TCGTAGTCTATAAAGGACGTTAATGTTATCTAGAAATTTTCGTATTTTAGATTTCGCGCAGGACATGATTTCAAGAGCGCTGTAGGATTTTAGTTAGTTAGTTAGTTAGGTTTGTTATAACCATGACCCCATTACAGATAAACCAAGTTAACTTTGCACCGGGTGATTAAGGTTAGACGTAGCTTCGTTGCACAAGCCATGTGCGATCAGGTGATGCCTAACCTATAGCATGCGACGGTCGCGTCTCAATTTTTTGTATGCTTTACCCAACTGTTATACGACTGAAAAAAACAAAACATGGAACCCCCAGACACGTTCAAAATATTCGTTTTGTTCGACAGAGAATATAGCAAATGAACTTATTTTTCTGTTCTACAATTATGCCGTTACTTACTCGTAATACTGTCAACGTAAAGGCATCTAATTCTGTAATAGTGTGTCATATAATTGGCTCGCCAGTGGCTGTTTTCAGATGGAGAGAGATAGACATCAAAGTAATCGTTTTCAATAGTTTCTTTCAAAATGATGCTGGTGCGTTTTCAAAGTGTGTCAATTTGGTTCGCGCTTTTAAAAGTGTCCGTTTTGATGTAAAAAAAAAAACGGATAGGCTCAGTGAAGTCTGATAGTAACTGGCCATGAAATGGCCGCATTTAGTCGAGGCAAAAACTTACGGCAATGATAATAACCAAGAGAGAATAAGGGGACAGAAAGCAAAACGCTCAGTCTAACCCTTGGGATATGTGAACTTGACTAAAGTTATTTTTAGACTAATTAAACGCTTAAAATTAATCGGAAGTTGGTTTCCTAAGAGGTTCACAAACTTTTATTCTGTGTTTTCAAGAAAATTCAACAGTCTCCATTACACTTTGAGGCGGTTACACGTGGACTTGATGACGTTTCAGACAATCGATTAAAATGTGCGGACCTCTCACGAATTAGACTTCTGTTCAATTACAATTCACATAAACCGGCCAAATGATCTAGGGTACAATAATAATCAACCCTTATTATAAACAAATTATTGTAAGATTATAACATTTAAAAGTATTTGCTATTTTACTCTTACGTATTTTGTAATTTAGTTTTTGGGAGATGATGAAGGATACTTAGCTCTTCATTAGTCAGTATAAATAATAGGGAATTTTAGGTACACTCAAGAATCATTTACGCTTTCTTTAGTTTTGTTGAAAATATCTGGTGTGCTAAGGCCCCTGCAAGTGCCTTTTAATTTTTCATTATTGCTGTTGTTTTGTCAATGGAAAAACTTTCGATGGCTCCATTGTTCCAGGTTTAAAGTGTGTGTTTTTTCTCTTTGCTTTCGTCAGTTTGTATGCTGTATATTAAATAATGTTTTCCAAAGCGTTTTGTATTTTCTAGCCTGAGTATCAGGCGTTTCTGGGAGAAAAGGGGAAAGATGGAAGCGAAAAAGGGAGAGAGCTTTCTCCCCCCATCTAAAATCTCCTCTCCCCTAGCCCCTTAGGCTATGTATTTTCTTGCTTTGTTTGATGGGGTTATCTTCTCTTGAATCCACTTAAAATCCACAAACAAACAAATAATCGGTGGCACCCAACGACGTGTCTCTCCCAAATGTAGTGAAAACACTCTTTTAGGCTATCCATAGTACTTTTAGACCATTTAGAGACTCGAGTAGTTCTTTTCTGGGACCTTTAGAAACTTGTTACCTGCTGCGAAGGTTAATTGACCGGGCAATGTAAACCGTTTAAGCCTGAGATGCTACTATATAATAACATTTATTGACTTATATTGCGCAGATATCCAATCAAAAAAATTTCATCTGCGCATAAGGAGTCGAGAAGACGCTAAACTGATAGACTGATAGACGGCATCAAACATCTCAACTGAATTAAATAATAAGTTGCTGTGTACGTCATACGTTTTAATCAGCATCTTGAGACAGTCTCAGTTGCTAACGGTGATATTTGTTCTTTGAGTGGAAAAAAAACTCTATTCATAAAAAGATAACACTATACAAGCCCTTAAAGTAGTCTTGGTGATGATAATTAAATGTCTGCGGTTCGCACGCTTGAGGAAGCACTGATAATCTTAAAATCCCCGCAATATTTACATGTATATTAAAACTTGACAAAGCGCGCAGTCGGTTTTGTGGCTTTGCCTTTTAATATTCGTCACTTATCAGATCAAGTTATCAACGCAACAAAATAAGACGTTTTCATAAATTGTAGCAGTTAGCCGTACGATCACATCGCAATTAACTTCTGTTGGAGTTAATTGTCTTGTGCAATTTAGATGCAAACCAGGTCGCTTTTATTCTATTTTTAGTTACCTAAAAAGGTAGAATATGAAAAAAAAGTGTAAATAGCCCAGGGCAATTGCCACCTTTTCTTTTTTGTTTTCTTTTGAGTTTGGTTTTTCCGGTAATCAGTTTATATTTCAGGCAAAATTATCTCATTTGATTACCGCGACTTACAGCATTTGGTAAGAGACACCACCCAGTAATAATCAAGCTCTCTTAACAGCCAACGGCCGGTTTATTTCATATTACAAAAGAAAATCAAGGATATTTTAATATTTAAAACTGTCTCGAGTGGCCGGAGTCCACTCGACTGACCTGAAACATTCAGCGGAAAGAAGGCGCAGTAATTAAGTCATAAAAAAATCAAACAGGAAGCCAATATTCGATCATAAATTTGTTTTTACTAACTCTACTAGTCAGCTTTCTGCCTGATGCTAGGAGCCCATGGCTCCGGCTGATAACCAACCTAAATAATGCAAAATGAGTATAATTTGCGAACCCAAGCTGCGAAATTAGCATTTGGATTAGGGAGTGCCCAGCAAGTGTTCGCGAATAATAAATAATGCACTACTAGGGCAGAAGCATGGTTATATGCTTCTGTTCACACACATAACTGCAGGCACAATTTGAAGCATACTACTATATTTAGAGCATTAAGCCAGGGTAATTTTTTAGTATAATGCTACAAAATGTTTTTTATTGTTTTCAGTGAGAAGTCTATCAGAAAAATGACGCAAATTTGGTTTTTAACTGCTTTCGTTGACCTCTTTCAGTACATTATTTTGCTCATTTCAAGCCTTGGTTACTGGATTAGAGGCCTGGCTTCTTCATAAAGCCAAGTTCCTAAGGCCTGCCAGTCATCAATCCAACCATGACTTCTAGTTTAGAGCTTGTTACTGTTGCTTGTATTGTGAGGGTCCGATCCCCAATAGGTTTTTTCGGGATCCGGGATTTTCCTTCGGGATTTCAAACCAAAATGGGGGCAATATTAAATCGTGGGAGGTGGGATGCCAAAAATAACCATCGGGATTACGGGATTGCTCGAAATTTTGGATCGGGATTACGGGATTGAAGAACCCAATTGGGGACCATCTATTGCAATATAATAGATCAATCAAAACGTTGTATATGGATGGAGGTAATTTGTTTGGGCAAGAGCAGAAAAAAAGACCTAAAATTTCTCACTGCAGCATTGAGTGCTACTTCGACACCAGCGTAGAGTTTCGACATAGTGCTTTTTTATTATTAACTGCAATAACAACATCAAAATACAAGAATACAAAACAATTCTTTGCTTCAAAAATGGGGACAAGAAGAGAGAGAAAAACTAAAGATTCTTCAGAAGCCAGAAGTCCGTGAAGATTCTTGAGGAGATCACCTTAAATAGTGGGATTTGAAATTCTTTAATTATTTTACAGCGAAGCTCCTCGTGCGCTCGAGTGTAGCCCCATAGGAAAATGTGGTAATCTACCCATCGGAGAAATTTTGATAATCACGTGACCGCACGCCCGTCCGTCGTCCGTCTGCACCACAGGCATACGAATGTAAAATAACTCAATCAACAGGTATTGCTAGCCAAATGCAACTCGAGGTTATTTTGGCGGGAAAACACATAGCCACCCGCATCTTGTGAAGCAAAGACGAAAACAGAAAGCGGAAATTGTTTCTGTATTCGTGTTGTCTTAAGTGTTAAGCTTAGATTAATTGTCATGTCCACATATATGGAATATAGAGAAAGAGAAAGGCAGAGAAAAAGAGAAAGTAGGCGACAGGCCAGCGAAGCTCAACGAGAAAAAGAGCGACAGAGAGCTAGAGGGAGAGAAAAAAGGAAAAAGGAGACATTTTTTTGTTGGATGAACAACATGAAAATTTTGTAGCAGCGGGGAGAAAGTAAGAAATGCTAGCGGCCACCAAGGTAATACTGAGCGGCAGTGAAAAAAAGGTAACAATGCAAGAAGACGTGCGACATTTCCTCCATAAAAAGTGTAACTAGGAAAACCACTCAAGTGTGACTGGGTTGCAAGAGTTGCTTTTCTCATACAAATCCTTCTAATCTTCGGCGGCCGTTGCTATCGCTACTTTTGGCATATATGGCTGAAACTTTTCAGGTTACCTAATTGTAATATACTCTTTCAGCTTGTCTTAACAAAATTTTTCAAAAGAGAACTGTTCTCGTGTTTACCGAAAGTTGATCACGTGATCAACTAATGCAAAAGGCCTATTTTAAAAGTGCACTTGTATCCCACTCGCGCGTTGCGTTTGAAAAAACTTGTACTCTTATTTCAAGAGTACGCCTTTCAATCTTTCAACAGGAGCTGCTAGCAGAGTCGCGTCGATCTTCACTAGATAAGTCGGGAAAGGACTTATCTAGGAACATCGAAGGTGACTCTGTTCGCAGGGTACCCATTACCTGATGCAAAATATTATAGCGTTGAATACAAATTCAAAGAGCGTAAAACAATTACGTAAAAGTAGGTATTGACATGGTCCACTAGCCTTTTTCGCCCTGTAGCTGGTTCTTGTTAAAAAGCCTTTGATTGCTGCTATTTCCTTTAAAGAAAGACACTGATCTTGAAACTAAAATATAACAATGGCGCCAGCATTGGCCCCTAATACAGCTTATATTGCTCCCAATATTATTGATTGGATCATTTGATGACGTCACTAAGTGGTGTGACCTTTTTCAACCAACCTCGTTCCGTGGCGTGACTGCTTTCAATTTTATGAGTTCAGAGTCCAAGTCAAAAAGATAAGCATTAAATTTATATTCCAAGGAAACACACTAAATTTCAGTCCGTTTGTCACAAAGTCGTGGCTGAAGTTTCCTTATACGGAATTATTTCAAGAAAGAAGCGATACAAACCATGACATCGCTTCTGTAAAACAAGAATCATTTTATTCTTAAAACTGTGGATCTGTTGTACCGACGTTTGTCTCTCTTGAGTCTTGCAAGGAGCTATCGATGGGAATCAAGAAACCGGAAAGAAGCAATTATTTCGTTCTGAAAATGTCTACATTTTACTGGCAGGTAAGTTTTATAAAACTCCAGTGTTGAAGAATTAATCAATAGAAGTTTGTGTAATAATTAAATTAGTTTTCTCAAACGATAGCAGAAGAAATAATTCTGAACTTAAGACATGGGCACGGAAACTTCTCCGAGTCTCTCTGTATTGTTCACCCGGCCGACTCAAATCTCTCGCAACTGTAAATGTTCTTTTTTTCTCTCTCTTTTTCTTAAAGACGATGTAAAATTAAGAGCATAAGAGATCATAAGATAACTGACAGGTTTGTTCTGTAAGAGTTGTTTTATTTACTCTGCCATAGTTTGAGAAGTTTAAATGTAAACTATATCACGTAATACTGCACACCACATAGTGCAACATTGTGCCAATAATGGAAACAAAAACTTTTGGCCCTTGCACAGCTACGGTGCAATATTGGAGCAGTGTTGTTCCAACGCAACTCGCGATAAGGATCCACCTGGTCATGGTTCGGCAGAAGGGGAAAGCCCCTTGAAACGACTAAGTTTATGTTTGTTTATTTTCGTATGTAAAAAGGTATTTTGTTGTCCATACTGCGTAAGCGACTACTGCGTCCATTTTTAGGACTTTTGTAATTTTCTATAGCTGATTTCTATGTTTGTGGCATGTACAATACGCACTACACTGATCAGATAATACACAACGTTTCGTAACAACGTGAATCTAAATTATCTTCCAAAAAGCAGTTGTGTCCAGGTTCTTCTTGGAAGAGGTCCCCTTTGGTTCGATTCTCGTGAGCGAACACAACCCATAAACAACCCGTAAACGATGTAATGGCTGCGGGTATAACAAGGAGTAATCAGATAGAACTTTCACGATATAGGGCCAGATGGCGGGAATGCGGGCCATTAAAACAGGTTATAAACCTGTTCCAAAGAAACATGTTAAGTTTATTTTTCCTCTTAAGGAAAGGAAAAGTGCCGTGCCTTTGTTCCCTTATTCGCCTTGCTTTCGTTCCTCAATGAAATCGTTCAAAAAATTGAATCTTGACTGGCTTTTTCACCACGTTTACAGTGTAAATACAGCGCTGGACCATGTTGTTGTTGTTGTTGTTGTTTTTTTTTCCATTTGTAACTAAGAAGATGTTATTTGTTTTGAAAACTGTCACAGGGCTTCCTTCCTCCTTATTTTAATTAGTCGATCAAGACACTTCTCGGCTTTTTGAAATAAGACTGATCGTTTGAAATGTTATTTTTTTATTGTCTTTTCGCTTGGTTGCTATTTGTATGTAAATATTAGACTTGCTACAAGTCGACCTCACGAGGACTTTTTTGAAAGTCTATGCAAATATCTGCAACAAAAATTTTATGCCATTTATTCTTGAGATAACTTAATCTTCTTTATCAAAATATTTAACTAAGTTACGTGGAATATTTTACTGATTAAATGTTAAATGTCTAGCTAAATGCCCCCACACGCTGTGCTAGGATAACCACTGCAAAGATGTCTTGTACAGCTAAGATAAATGAAGAAAGCAAAATTTAACTCTGATTAGCGGGAGCTTGTGCGTCAGTGAAACGGCAACTTCCAATATTTCTTCCATCAAGGGTTTAAGAACAGAAATCGTTTGTCAGGGCCTTTTAAGGAACTATTCATAAGGTTCAGAATAGTTTGAATTTTTTGCAACTCTCTAGGCCAAATATTTCAACGGCAGAAATTTAAGAGAGGGATCTTATCTTCCGAAGCTAATACTTGCTTTATTTTTTCCTTTCCAAAAATCCTTGTTAATGCGTATCTCGTATCCCAAACACAACAAGTTAAACAACAAGTTGCCGATATGCCGAGAGTTGAAGCGATCTATTATTGCAGAAAACCTCAGTATCTAATCTAATAAATTACGAATTCATATACAATCAAAGTCTTTTAAACAAATGCTGTTCGCTCATATGGATTTGTTAGCCACGCCAGGAATGAAAAACACTCGATTTTACTAACCAATGTTTTGACTTGTTTTTCCTTTTCTGTGCGCTAACACCTAGGAATTTCACATACAAAGTCGCTAGTTAATTAGCAAACAGCTGGATTCAAATGAACACAACAGCGTCAAAGTGTTTGATACCGCAGGTGTAAAAGGCCCTCGGGAAATAGAATAACGCTCAAGAGGTTTGAATTGAATACCTCCCAAATCTTTTTTGTAATTCTTCCATTGTGTGTTTATCCATCTGCACGTGATTGTTATTATTTCTAAAGCGTCAGAAAGTTTTCAAAAAGAACAATGTTAAGTTCATTTTGAGTTTTTTTTTCTATTCTAATTTTGCCGGACCAATTTTCCTCTGCCAAAGAATATAACATAGGCTCTACCTATCAGGATTTTGTTTGAGAGTAACGTCGTGTTCCAGCGTTTTACGTAAGCACTGTTGTCAAATAATTAAGCTTAATTTAAATGTTATACCCACGTTACCGGATAATCAATCAATCAGTCAATTAAACAATTGAAAACCTTTCGAAACGCGTGTTTCTGGTGAAAAGCTCTTCAACTTTTGAATTTGTTTTAAACCGAATGCAGACATTGCAATTGGTCAACTTAATACTCTTTGGCCTACGGCATTTAGAATGGTTATATGGAGACTTTTTAAAAATTAAAACAGTCCCAAATTCAAACTAGTACGCATTTGTTTACAAGTTTGGAGACCTAAGTTTCTGTCTGGCTTTCTATTCTCCCCAAAAGAAACGTTGACTTTCAAACACCTCGACTCTTAGCTTTTTATTTTTTTACTGTAACATACATCAATTTCCCTTCTGGGTGTTAAGCAGTTTCATAAAAATAACAAAAACATTGCCAACAAAAACATTTGTTACACGTCTATTAAACATGACGCGCGCCATAATTTTCCCGCGCTTCTTTGATCGGTCGCGTGGCCACGAGAACCACCTGCGTGACACATGCCGCGCACATGGCGAGCTAAGTTTTGGTGCGAATTGGAAACATCAACTGATTTGTTTCGTATCGCTTCTTATTGAATTCAACACTTTCAAAGACTTCATTCAATTCAGCGCTATAGCTAATTTGTTGAACAAATATTCGCTCTTTGTAATGGATACAAGGTATTTTAAGTTTATGACGCTTGCTTTTTAATTATCAGCAATGTTTTCTGCTGTATAATACCTTGTTCGCAGCTATCAAATTACGACCCAAGCCAGGCGAATGGCGGGATTGTTTGGAGAATATAGTAATGCCCTTTTTATCTAACGTTAGAAACTTGAGCATGGAAATCATATTATGGCTACAGGAAGTAACTCAAAAGTGTTTTCATTCCTTACATTTTAAACATGATTCAGTTTATTAGGAGCACCGCAAAAACTGAGAAAAGCTTCTTACAACGGATATCAAGAAACGCTCTGTATTTCTGAAACTGTGAAAAGAAACGTCGAAAAAAAATCTAAGGATTGATTGCTTACTGGAAAGTTGTGTCCAAACACTAAAACCACAGAATTTGTAATCCACTTTGCTGTTCTTAAATTAGTCTTTTGCAAACATAATACTTGGTTAAGTATAATTGTTACTATGAACTATTAAACAATCGGCCCTTCCTTGGTTTTGATAACCTCACCTGCATGCAACCTTTGAGAGTGTCGACAAGCAAAGAAAACCAAGAAGTCAACACAACAGGGCCGAGAAAAATATTAATAAAAGATCAGAAACAAAAGAAAGATTTATTGCATGCACGTTCAGTTAATTAACCCGCCTAACCCAACGGTTATGACTCATCGCGAAAAAACTATCACATTGTGTTTTCACCCACAAAAATGAAGAAATTTAGGATTAATTGTCGTGTATTTCCTTGGGTCAAAATCTCGAAATACCACAAATATGTAGCATGGCATAGGCTCCTGAACATGGTCAACATTCACGAAGTGCTTCATAAACAAACTGCTGAGCAAAGTGAGAAGTGTTGTGGGCTTTTCCTTAGATTTTATTTAAAGAATTTATTTCCATCGCAGACCCTATTTTTTCTTTTTTTTCATTCATTTTCCTATCTTAGCCTTTTAACAGAGTCTTTTATCTGTTCGTTAGACAGCTTCGGCGAAGTGCTTTCTGATAAAATTGGCATTTTATCTCAGTTTTTGTTCCCAGAGGTCAACATTCCCCCGTGATTTAGAACATAAATAAAACCGATATCACTAGATTATTGAGACTAGGTTTAGCGGCTGGCATGTTGATATCTAGACAGAATAAATCCTTGTATCAACCTCTGTCGTCATATGCTATCCAATACTTCATCTCTCAGGTTACGTTTTGCCGCCAAAACTTGGATTTGTATCAGTTGTCATGAATGTTAAAACACCTGTTAAAAGCCTGTAGCAGAGATATTGTATCTGTGGGCCATCTCTAGCGCGCTTGAAAGATATATAAAACGGTTCCATGCCACTATGCAAGACATGTAAAGAAAAGGAGAAATTGGAAAAATAACTAAGATGCTTCGCTTTTTAGTAAATTCTAGTCAGAATGCATAGTTTAGTCTTGAATTTTTTGTTCCCGTAAAGTGAAAAACAATTGAACACTCCATCCAGGCTCTTACTTCAAACGCGGACTGGTGATCTCTTTTGTTCAATCTACTGTAGGGCGGCAGAGAAAGGGGTTTTATTCCCTGGCAGCCGTTATCTTGCTGATCCTAAAACCATAAATAAATGTCTGAAAGGCTTTTTAAAACTTTCCATATTGGACCCGGAGTGGGCGTGGCGTTTGATCAAGATTAACCGGCGTAGCGACGAACCGGGTAAGAAACGCAGTGGGGAAAGCTGTAAGCTTTTCAAGTGTGACCCTAACTCAATTCTTTCCGAAACGCTTTTCAGAGTGGCTATTTTTGAAATTCGTCGTTTTCCTGTTGTCGTGTGGACGTATAAGAACGGAAACTTTCAAAAATGATGTTTGCGTGAGCAGGAGTCGCTCCTGGCGTGAGGTATTAAAAAAACTGTTTGACTTCTCTGCGCATTGAACGTCTTGCATATCTCTTAAAGAAAACAATTCCTCTTTCAGGGCAACTGTTCAAGGCAACCTGTGAAAGCAGACGCCCTTTCGACTCTTACGCTTTACTTGTACCCGCGCCGAGAAAAGAGCGTCTGTTATTTTGAAATTCAAAAATCGCTCGAAGTTAAAAGACCGGACAGAAGTAATACATAGGAAGTTGTGGTTTAAAGCATTATGTGTAAGTGCTTAGTGAGAGAGGTACGAATTTAAAACAATTCAAAACCAATCCGTATAAAACATGTCCATTTTCAACCTTTGGACAGGCTAAAACGATTGAAAACGATAGGTGTGGACGCCAATTTTTGACTGAGTAGACGGGAAGGGGACGTGACCTTTGCCCAGCTGGCTTGGATTACTATTACAAATAGGTGTATTGAGAGCCCGAAGGGGATTGAGAGGCGTTGGGCTAGCAGGAAAAGTTAGGATTTTTGGTTGTTAGGGCAGAATAGGGTTATTCAAGAGTTATTCACTTTCGAGTGGAAATTGTGTGGCACCCCTGGGGGGGAGGGGGGTTGGGGAGAATACTTTCTAAACGGGGAGGCTCCGCCCGAAAGGGGTATCTTTTTCAGGCTTCATAAGGTATACGAAAGGGTAGGGATTTCACTAGTTCTTGATGAAAGGGTAGGAAAATCTTTCATTTCGGTCATAAAAAGGCCAAAAGGACTAACAGATACATTTTATGGCTGTGAAAAAGTCGAGAAAACGTTCTGGCTTTGTGATATATTAATATTTCAAAGACAGTGGATTTACAGCTGTTAAAAGGGATGCCAAGTTCTAAACTAGGTACCGGTATGTGAAAACGCTACCTTTTGTCAATAGAAGGTATAGGAAAGGGATGACCTTTTCTGTCAAAAATGGTATATAAAACGGTAAGGGGTTGTCGGAGCCTCCCCTCGTACAAAACTTTCTTGAGTAGCATCCCCCGGGGGTGTGGCAAAAGCAGCCACTCTACCAAAGATACAGAATGTCCCCCCGTCCTCCTGTCAAGTTGTTCCGTGCTAAAATGAAGAAATCGAGGAAGCCAAGGTCACTTTTACTAGAACTATATTTTACAAATTCACGGATGACTCCGCTTGAATTACGTTTCGCTCAATGGCGCTGTGACCTCTATCACGTACACTGTGATGATGAAAGAGTTCATGGAGTGATAATATGATAAATAACAAGAGAGACAAAGCAGATTCTTCGCTTGTACAAAGGGCGCGCGCTTCAGGAAGGCCGTGGGTGTAAGGGTGCGGCTAACTACAAAATAACAAGATTGAGATTCATTGTTTGCTGAAAAGAATATAAAAAAAGCCATAGATTTCGCACTGACTGAAAAAAAATATGGACTTGAACGAATTTGCCTTTCTCTTTTCTGTCACGATTAGATTACGTGACGACATGTCGATATACTGATTACAATTGTTGCTCTTGGAATTGGACCCGAAATAGTTTGTTTTTTTGTTGATGGTAATAATGTGATATTTGCTTTACAGATTAACCTAAGAAAAATTCCTTTGTATCTCTATCATTTTAATCGCGAAAAAATATTAATTTAACCCAGATTGACTGAATTTTGCAATCGCCCTATCGAACGTAAATCCTGTCGGATTTAAATGTCCATCACCACATTGTCATATGACGAGGGCCTGGCCAGGGGAATCGTGGGGTGCTCTACTACGAATCTGCCTGGCACGACAACCATTCTTGGCACGTGACGAATTTACAGCGCATGAAAAATCACGAAAAGCCAATAATTTTTGGCTGATTCGGTTGATTTAGGCTGCACAGTTTTATATTAATCAGCTATTTGCTGTGAAAGACATGCATCGTGAAGCATCAAACAAAATTCTATGAATTCTTGGTTACATGGTAGGGTGACCTTTAGAACTTTCCATTGCACGTGTAACTTTAAAGGGCGTGAAAACATGAACCGCCTGGCAGGATCTAAAATTTTCACAACTTTGTAGAAAGAATGGAAAGTTTCGTCACATTAATTAACTGCAATTGAATAGGGCTCTTTGCCCATCTGTGATGATTTTTCGCAACCTTTAACCCAAGCTCTACTTCTGTTCCTCTGTAAACGAAATCATCTATTCATAAACATCATAAAATTTAAAAAAATAATAACAATAATATGAAATAAAATAAAAAGTTTTCCTCATTGAAGTCTGTTTACCATAACGTCAAGAGAAAAGCATTCGCAGATATGTGACAATATCTTAAGAGGCAACTTAAAAAAAAAGTAAAAAGTAAAACGTAAATTTAGCTGGTGCTTACTGCGGTTGTGACATTACACATGTAAAATAGGATTTATTTTTAGACAATTTCGTGACACAGGTTTTAGGGAATAAATAGAACACGCCCGAGTGAACTTTGCACGTCACCCTCGCTCTATGATTCTACTTTTCCAGTCCGGGAGTAAACAAAATTGCTTGCGAAATCCGAGACTGAATTAAGGAATCAGGCATTACAATTCGTTGGTGTACTCCATACTTATAGATGAAACTTGCGTGTCGCTAACATCGAACGTAAGGAGGTCGTGCGGTCGATTGTAATGTAACATTGTATCGAGTTTGGAGAAATTTGACCACCCGCGAAAGATCCGCGATTGCTCCTGTCAGTTTTCGACATTCATTTTGATGCCAATATTTCCCAAAACATTGAATTTTTAAATTAATATATGCACGTTTTGTTGTCAGTCGAATCGTGAACGGAAGAATTTGGAACAGATTACAATAGAGTAAACGGAACTTTGTACCGGGGACACATTGCGAGTTGTTACTCATCTGAAAGTTCAAGCCACGTCATTATCTTTTTATTGTGTTGTTGCCCGTGTTTGCACTAATGTCTAGGCCCTCCCATAGAAAAATAGTATATTTAAGTATAAATGAGAAATTAAGATTTCTCCCCACTAAAAGTTGCTCAATCAACAATCAAAATAATCTTTGAGTGGTATACGAGCTAGAATTTTGTGGCCGCTATTTGATGAGTTTAGTATTCAATGTCGGTGCGTTACTGTTTTGCGTAATTGCTTTTAAAATCAATGCGATTTAGAGTATGACTAATTTACTCGATCCTCTACCCTATCAATATAAGTAATGCCTGTCATGACAGATAAAACCCCCGGGAGATAAAATCGAAAACAAACGCCAGTTCGAAAAAAGTTTGGGAGAAACCTCATATGACTGGCTGGATTGAATCCCGCACACGCCGAACTCTCCACGCTTTTATATTGAGTTGTCAGACGGGAATTTTATTCTTTGTTTGTTACATGGCACTTTTGAGATGCAAAAGACGTTTTGCTATTGTGTAGTACAATCTGCCTTCCCCAGCACCTCCCTAGCGCGGTATTTTCATTGCCTTGGTCTCACACCCTTACCATTGACTGTCTTTGGAACAGGGCACGTGATTGGTTCGTGAAGAAAAGCTACTCTGCTATTGGCTAAATCTTGACAATACCGTCAATTTATAAACTTGAAACGTGCTAATAACGCGTGGTGCTCAACCAAACTAAAGGTCATTGTTGGGCTTGGCCTTAGTTCGCTATAGAAAGGCGTTGTATTCGATCGAAGGTTGATCATTGAGCATTAGTTTCTTGATTTTCTAGCGCAAAGATGGCGACAGAAGTCGAAACACCGCCGACTGTCGATGCAGTTGCAGATCAGGCTGAAACGAAACCCGAAGAGGTTGCCAAACCCGAAGAAAATCATGTCGAGGAGAAGCAAGATGATCAAGCAGCCGCTGATGAAAACAAGCCAACAGAGAACGAAGCGGACGCTGTCGCTGAAGCGGGTGAAAGCGAAACGAAAGAGGATAGCAGTCCCCCTCCGCCTCCAAAAGTTATAATTTATCAACATCCACCTTGGAATTTCATCCCTTCTCCTCTTCCCGCTTGCATTAAGATTGAAACCTATTGCCGACTGATGAAGATCCCTTACGAAAACGTCTACAAATCAGGGACGGACCAGAAGTTGCCTTACCTCGAGTATAAAGGCGAGACAAAGAAACACGATCTTTTAGGCTTCCTTAACTCCAAGTTTGAAGTTAACGCCGATGCTAACCTAAATGAAAAGGACAAAGCTTGTGCGCGAGCTTTCCAGATCATGGCTGAGGAGAACACGTTCTGGAGTTTGATGTACTATCGCTGGGTGGATAACTTCTCCGAAACTAAGAAGTATTTCAAGGGTTTGGATGTCGTGAGAAAGAATGTGCGTCCGAAGCTAGATCAAGGCAAATGTGTCAAGTGTCTAGAAGCACACGAAATTGGCAAACACAACAAGGAAGAAATTTACGCAATTGGCGAGAAAGATCTACGTGCATATTCTGCGTTCTTAGATGATAAAGAGTTCTTCATGGGAGCAGAGCCCACGACTATCGATTGCACGATGTTTGGCCTCTTGTCATGCTTGCTGCACACGGCAGAAAATTCGCCCCTGGCCAAAGTGATCCGCGAGGAGTTGAAAAATCTCGTGGACTTTTGTGATCGCATGAAGCTTAACTACTGGCTCGACTGGAATGACCTCGGTTCCGAGGAACAAGTGGAGGAGACGCGACCAAAGTCGAGGCTAAGCGTTAAAAAGAAGAAGCGCACAAAGTCAACTGAGCCGTCTGGAGAAGCGAAAGAAACCGAGGGCGAAGCGAAAGAAAACGGTGAGCCGAGTGGTGAAGCGAAAGAAGGGGAGGGTGAAGCGACCGGTGAAGCCAAAGAAGCAGAGGGTGAGGCGAAAGAAGAGGAAGCGAGCGGCGAAGCGAAAAAGGAAGAGGAGCCGAAAGAGGAAGCCGCTGGGGAGAGTGCAGAGGCAGCACCTGAGTCAAAGGAACAAGCAGAAGAAGAGAAGAAAGAGGAAGAAGCAGCCCCAGTGGTAAATGGCGATGCAGAGTAGGTTCCAGCTTCCAAAGAACCTCCGGACTGAACTGTAAGCTTTTTCAAATTCGTTTTATGTGAACTTTTGAGCAAACAAACGCTTCTATAACTTAGCCGGATACCAATGAATTACTTTAGACGTTCAATTCAGGGACATCGGTTCCTTTTCTGTAATTATTATTTTTCTTGCTCATTTTGGCAAGATGTGCAACGGTCGGCTTTCTGGCTTGAACGCTGTTTAGTTCGTTTGCTTTGTTAACATGGCCTACGTCGCAAGGTTTTTCTGAGGCAATGGACGTGCGTGTTCAACTCGCGATCAGTGATTGAAAATTTATATCTTTACACTTAGATATTATTCACTCTCATTCCATTTGATTGTTTATGCCCTCTGTCCGTTAAAATGAAATAGAAACGTATTCATTTAGTTCTCTTAGTAGCCCCGTGGGGAATGGAATTCGTTCGAAAACTTGAAATCGGTGTAATTTTTTGGAAGGTGTGTCGCTTTCCAAATTTTAGGTGGGGCTGCGTGTCGTTGTGCTGTGTTTTCGAATTAAGTAGTAGCGATCGTTCTGCACTCTGTTACATCACCACAAAGACATTAATTTTTTATCATAATCTTTTGATTGTTATGAAAAACTCGAAAGTGTAATAATACTTGTAAAGTATTGAGGGAATACCGGTAGGTTAGAAGCCGTGCTTTGGATCACACTTGGCATGCAAAGTAGAAATCGCGTTACGTTGAGGCGTAGGAGAGTAGTGGATAATAATGAAGCAGTGATATTTATATTAGTGAAATACGCTTCAGACGTTCGTTAGAATAATAGTTTCATGTCAATAGGAAAAACCTCTATATTCATTCGGTTTACTCGAGGAATTCGAATGTTTTCTGTCAATGACGAAACTCTATATCGCGTCTTCTCCTTAAAATTTACACCCCAGTCAGTAAATATTTACTAAAGAAGTTTTAATCTAGTTCAAATTTTGCTAAATCAGAACGAGATTAGAAAAAAACTGATTTCTTATGCAATTTCAATTTACTTGCTTCGTTTGTTGTCTGTAAACTGTGAAAAATTGCTAAGTTGAAACGCTTTTCTAACTTAGTCGGAATATTTAGAATAAATTTTTCCGTGAGTTTGCTGTTCTTCGATTTCAAATAACGTTTTACTTGGTTTTACAGTGCTTTATGGTTAGGAAAACGCTGGTAAGAGCAACAAAGTTATTTTTTGCCAATTTTTGACTGAAAACACACAAGAGAACATTGAATTTTGGAGTGGAATATTTTTGGTGTCATGCATAAAGCTTTGATTGTCCTACTTGCATACAGTCTCTTGTTCAACGTAGAAGTTAAGCTAAAGCTTTATATATTACACCAGATAAGAAGCGCAGGTACGAATTAAGGAGTATAATTTATATGTTTAGATATAGGCAAAATAGAATTGTTTCGAGGTGTAGCTGTTAAAAAAATTTTGTTGTATACAGGCTGATGTGCCTGTATTGGCGACTGAGATGGCTTTGCATGGCTGCTTATTTCTCAATTAGAGGATGGACAAAGTTTCATTTTTCACTTTTTTTTACTTTATGAGTTGCCTTCGATGAGAATTCAGCAGTGTGCATGCATCCCTTAGTAGTAAATTATCTATATAAGGAGTGTGATGGGGTAGCTAGCCCAGATCATAGATTTATTTTATTATTTTGTATTGTTGATCACTAAGTGAAACCATTTATTCAAAGTTAAAGTTAAATATTGTGAAATTATTTGCATAAAATTGCTGCATTTCCAAATTACATAGCATTTTAACGATATTGGTTCTTTGTTTTTGGACGTGTGAGTCACTGCATGCTAAATGTGGCTACCATATTTTGTTAGGGGAGTGGATTCTAGAAAATGTTTTCAAAACACCGGTTGTCATTAATTTGCTATGAGATCTGGAAGTGGTAGCAAAGTATTTTCCTTTAGAAAACTGTTAATTGTGCGTGTTGTATACGGAAATAGGATAGTGGCTTACAAGGATCAGTGACGGTTATAATGGATGGAATTGGACTGTGATAGCATATACATAGATCATTTGGAAGACTTTTTTTGTGTAAAATGTATCGTTAAATTATGTCTAAAAGATGATATTAAAACTGAGCAATCACTAATGGATTTGTTTTCTTTGAACTTATTATTGTGGGTTGAAAAATTAGTTTCCAAGGATCTTAATGGGAAGAAATGTCATGAATGTCTTGTTGCCAAGCCAAATGAGGGACTAATTGGCAAGTGATACGAAGCCAGAAAACTTTGTTTCTACTATATGTGGTAGTCTGATTGTTGCAATAACATGACAATTCTCGCAGAATACGCTTTCTTAAAATTTGAGGTGTATAGCGACTTGTGTATTTTTATTTGCTTGCAGGAATGAGCATAGGGAGAGAGATCCGTAACTCCACATTATAGTTAAATGACTTATTATTATTTTATTTGTGCAGCTGAGTGGACAAGAAAATTCACAGGAAAGCATATTGATGAGACATGACAATTAACTTGGCAATTTGCCAATTCCTTGGGACTGTGTTCACTCCTTTTAAATTTTTTCATGTGTTTCTGTGTGGGTGTGTGTGTGACAAATGCAGTTAATCCATCCACTTTCCTTTTAGGCAATCTTGTTTTGCTTAATGGATATTCTGGGATGGGAAAGTTAAAAGCCATGATTATATAAGCAACGTGCACAGCTGCAGTTAAGTGCTAATTATTAACACTAATCATTGGCATCTTTTGTCATTACTTGCTATTGACGAGTTACTGCATCTGTGTATGTTGCCAGTTCTTACAGTTGTGCTAGCTGTACACAAGACGTAACTGCCAACGATTTGCTGTCAGATGTGTGGAAGATAGGTAATGAAGGGTTGTCAAGGGTACGGCTGCAGTGTCATCCTAACGTATAAACAAAGTGCTAATGGATTTGCCACTTCTGAAGTGAGAAGGAAACTGGAGCCCAAATGCACCCCACAATTTTTTCAGGGGTCCTTACTGGAGATGCGGCGATCAGCTGCTGGTCAATTTTCTTCCCTGTCTGCAATAACGGTCCCAGAAGTCTTCGTGAAAGTTTACTCAGTCCAGTTTCCTTTTTCTTTCTAAAGTGGTCAATGATGAAATGTCTGTGTCACAATGGCGATCCATCATCCAATCGGCCGGTTCCACACAGTTATTTTTAGTAGACACATTACTGTTGGTGAATGTGTAGTCTGCTACACAGCCGTTTTTAGTGTTGTCATGCAACGCTCCTCACCACAAATGGCTGCTGAAAATCGAACCACATTCCTTTCCCTTTGTGTTTGTGGTCTAACGAACAAACCAATCATGTAGAAGAAAATGGACAATACGTGAGCCGCAGGGCACTAGGAAGTGAACATGCTTCTCAATTTTTGACCAATCAATCATCGCTGAATTTGGATGGGCTCTGTGTCTTCAAGCAACGAAAAGGTTAACTTGCAAGAAAGCTTTTTTAAGCGGTTAACAAAGTTCAAGGTGAGAAAAGGTTTGATAGGCCTACAAGACTCTTACCAGCATCAGTTGGTTCTTGTCAGTGCACATATGTATGATCAATTTCATGTGCCGGATGTGCTGATTGTATTGCTATAGACGTCAAACGAAAGGAATCTTTATATGAGTTATTGATGAGTGACTTACCGAAACGATACCCAGTAACTTTATAAGCACATCCATGTTGTCCATCACATTTGCTCGACTTGCTTACTGCCGCAGCTTATCTCAGAAATTTTGAATAGGACTTGACTACGATAACAAAACACTACTCTGATTGCTTGTTTTCATGTGACGATTTTGATTGTTCTGTCATTCCCACATGGGGGACAGATAAAAGCAAAGCTGTGATTGGAGGAGTCTTTACCGCAAACGTGGCGTGAACACCTTCAACAAAATGGAAGCTCAATTCTAATAGATTAACTGGGAGAAAGGAATGTGGTTCAATTCTCAGCAGCTTTTTGTGGGGAGGAGCATTGCGTGACGGCACTTAAAATGGCTGTGGAGCGGACTAGTGAAAGTGGGGTCTTCCAATTTAATGTGTTTTATTGTATGTGACGTCTTGTTGTGATGTAAATGGTCATGCATACTGATAGGGTGTAGAGTGTAGGGCCTGGTGGTTGAAATACTGTAAATAATTACTGTCAAAGTTAAATAATGTTTAGAGTGCCTCAAATTGCAATTCAGAAAAACTCCAAATTCCAGTATTGTTTTATTAATTGTGACAGGAATAGCAGTAGAGTGCTTCATTGCAGAATGGGATGTCATGGGCTGGATCACTGGGGCTGGACCAATACTTGGAAACTGAGAAATAAAGAAACGGCCTTATGCCCTGCAAGTGGTTGAACCTTTGCCTGGCTCGGATGACCACGTAAATATGGTGATCCTGTTTCTGAAGACAATACAGTTAACTGATGACTCTCTTAAAGGCACCTCATTAAAATGGACACCTACACCATGTTCATTACACCTTTTATTTGACTAACTGAATGACAGACATCTCTCTAAGACACACACTTAAAATGTCTTTCCCAAGGGTGTTTGTCTTAGAGAGACTTGGTGGTAGTAGCATAGACGTCGAGAGCATCCAGTTTTTTTGGCTCTATAGTTTCACCAGCCGAGAGTTTTTCTCAGATGCTCTCGCAGGCTAGTACTAGCATTGTCAATTAGCATTTTTGAGCTAAATACATTGAAAAAAAATGCAACATTACCATTTCAGTGGGTGCACTGCAGAATTTCATCCACAGACAAAATTTGGATTCTAATGTAGTCCCTCAACAATAGTTTTCTGAGAGGGAAGGCTTGAGGAATGAACCATTAATGAAGCAATAATTATTGATTGATGATATTATTGTAATCCTAGGCTGGGACCAGGCTGCGCAGTGGGGGAAAAAGGCAAAAAACGGGGTGAAATGGGAAAATATCGGCAAGCAAAGCAAAACCAGCGGTGGCCTGGGGATGGGGAAAGGGCGGCGGAAACTGGAGACATGCCTCTGACACCCTTTCCACTCCCCAGACTACACCTCTTGGCTCGCTTCGCTCGCCATTTTTTTTCCTTGTTCCTATGGGGAGCCTGATCCCAGGCTATTGTGATCGTCAACATTATACGAAATAAGTCCCTGAAGAAAACTGAAGTGACTTCTGATTTATGATAGATTCTCCTTAGAAATTGCTTGTACAGTGAAACCTCTATGAAGTGGACACCTTCGTGACCTTCCCAAGTGTCCGCTTAATAGAGGGTGTCTGCTTAATAGAGGTTTGCAAAAATTGCGCAATGTTTGTTAATTATTAACATTCAACGGTTATAATTACTCTGTACTGACTGATACTGTGAAGTTCCATGTTGTTAAGGAAGCTGTGCCATACTTTGAGCAAGACTTTTAGGGGAACTTTTGACAGCTAAATGTATTGATTTGTATTTTTTAATCGACTACAGTACATATTTCAAGGACGTAATCCAATACCACCATTGTCAATTCAGCCCGGTGTCCGCTTAATAGAGGTTTTTAACAATAGAAATTAGCCAAATACAATTTATTTTAGTGTCCTCGTCCGCTTAATAGAGGTGTCCACTGAATAGGGGTTCGTTATAAAGGAAAATATGAGACGTTAATTTTGGGACCAGGCTTAGTGTCCGCTTAATAGAGGGTGTCCGCTTAATTGGGGGTTTTTCTTGCAAGACTTAGGAAGAATTTGACACACAATCACTTCCCCTCTTTACTATAATTTGTTGGTATTCTTCTGTGCAGCAATTTAAATTGAAATTCCCTGAGTTTTATGCTTTTTGTGATTTTATGAGCTAGCTGGTAGGTCGCACCCCACGTTATTTCGTTTTTGACCTGTTGCAGTCTTGAGCTGGCTTGTAGTGGGGGGCACTTTTCTTTGTAATTAATTTGTCATACACCAACTTGCTTGCTTTTTTGGGCTTTCATTAGTTTTGTCGAAAAGCTTTAACTATTACCTTCGTTTGTGGTCACCTTGGTTGAATGGGAGTGAGGAATTTTCCTTCTCTGTTCCTTAAGTGCTTAACTTTTGTGATGCCTTTACGATACCATTCTTTAAAGAAAATAGGGGCTGTCGTTAATCCTTACAAGTTTGAAAGATAGTATGTCAATCATTTTGAGGCCACCTGCCGTTTGTGCAAAAGGGTGCCAAGACGTACACAATTTGAGAAGCTACCAAGCTTTTCAGAACAGTGATCTTCCCACTTAAGGTTAATCTACGGTATTTCCAGTTGCTTAGAATATTGTTAATTTTTTTTCCAGTTTTTCCTTATAATTTAGAAGTACAGTGTTTTCAGGGTCTGTCGTAAACCAAACGCCTAAAGATTTTACTTTGTTTGTTTGCCATCTGAAATTTCTTTCTGGAAGAAGAATTTCTGTTTTTCCACTATATGTTCCGATCCAAATTGCTTCTGTTTTTTTACTGTTGAGTTTGAGACCCGAGGCTTCTCCAAAATCGTCGAGTGTGTTGAGAGCAGCTGAGAGCGACGTTTGTGAACCATTCAATATTAAGGTTGTATCGTCTGCGTATTGACTTATTTTAATTTCCTCTTGGTTAACGTTGGGGTGTCTTTAGCCCTGGGATATTTTTTTTTCTTTGGTAAAACGAATAACATAGTCTATTAATCGCAAGACTGAGATCGGGAAGAACCTTTTTCAGCCTGTTAAGAAAGAGTAAGCGGTCTCCAGTTTTTAATGAAATACGGCTCAGCGTCTTTCTTGGGAATTTTGATTACTCCTCTTCTTTGTGTGATGGAAAGCAAAATACTCTATAAAATTCTGCAATCCAGGGTTTTTCCCTGTTCCATGGTTTTCAGGGCTGCAAGGCATTCCCTTTCAGTTAGCAGGCCTTCACAGTTGTTCCGTTGTTCGTCATTCACTTAAATTGTGTATATTTCTGTTGGATGTATATAGATTCATAAAAAGATTCCCCTTCTGCTAATATTTCCTGATCCGAAGTAATAAAGTTATTTTCGTCCACTTTAAGTTGGCTTATAATGCCTTGCTTATTATTGTTCTGCATAATTTTCGTTTTATTCATTGCGTAGAGTCCCACTGACTATGAGCTTTTTAATTTCCAAAGGTTCATTGTCTGGCTGCTTTCTTTATTAAAGCAATACTGGCAGCACTGGTTCTATTTCTTTATTCAAGCTGAGCCAGCCAAGCAGCTGGTCACCTCATAAAAACAAGGGATATATGATGTTTGCTGCAAATTATGTGCAATTCAGGAAATTAAAGATTATTGTCTTCAAACTACAGTCTTGTCAGAAATTTTTAAGCTACATACTGAATATATAGTAATTATCAAAAAGCACTTTCACCATATATTTGTTGAAAATAAAGTTGACTGAATGAAACAAAATCCACATTCACTGAGTTTTTAAATCATGCCATCTAATGCACCATCATTTAGCAGTGTTGTGGATTTTGATGGGCCTCTTTGAGTGGGGGGGCTTAATAAAGGATTTATTGTATATAAATATTCTTTTGGCTCAGCAATGAGGGGGTGGGAAGTGGTGGTTAGTGGTGGCCGGGGGTACTTTAAATTTCTGGGTGGGGATGTGCCGCTGGGACCCTGGGACCCTTAACCTATACCAGAGCTAGTTCAGCTGAATTTTGCTACCCTATATTATAAACTCCGCAAATTATCCTAGCCCTCAGATAAAATCTTCAACCAACTGATCAGTTTCCTGAAAAATGATACCCTATTCTAGACCCAAACGCTCTGATTTATATACCCTATCCTAGAGTAAACTGCTTGAAAACCATACCCTTCACAGCGGCACATACCTATATAGCCCATATATGGCAGTATCCCCCCGGGAGTGGTGGCTGGTGGGGGTCATGCAAGCAGGGTTGTCAAAAGTAGCCAGCTGCTGGTGAAAATCACTGCCTACTTGGTTAGTATTGGCTGGCTACTTTGCTTAGCATTTCTTTACGGATGGCGTTTTTTACATTAAAAATATCTCTGGACTGGCCGCTCACTTTGACAACTCAGTTGTCTACTTCAAACCTTTCTCACAACCCTGTGCATGATAGGCCAAAAGGGTATATATGTTTAGGAGGCTAATCATAATTTTTTCAAAAAGCCCACCCCATTTTTAGGGTTTTCCTTGATTATAACGGGGACATTAATACATAATTGAGCAAACGATAGATATTACACCTTTCACAGTTGAGAAACTCAGAAAGCCATGAACACAAGAAATATTTCAGGAATGTTATTTTCTTGTTGGGAAAATGCCAATTAGCAGTGAGAAAACTAAACTAGGAGCAGCAACAGTAATAACTTTCTGGTTTGGTTTGCCCTGATCTTTGCTTTGTGCTGATTGGTGACCAGACAATAAACATTGAGTTCAAAGGAGATTTTTTGGGGGATTTTTGTTGGAAAATTATAACAAAGAACTTTTAAGGTCAGGTTTCATTTGACCCTGTCAGAGAGGGCACTTCCTTGTTTTGCCTATATGGGTATGTGCAACTAAACAGGGTATGGTTTACAGGGTCTTGAGTCTTAAACAGGTCATACAATTTCACCATTAAGCAACTTGAAAGGTCAGGCATTGAAGGCCTTACCCCCTCCCCCTCCCTTCTGGGTATTTAAAACAGACTTTACTAAAGCAAGCAACCAAGTCCACCTTGTTCCTAGGGTTCTCTTCAACCCGTCCTGGGGGAGATAGAGAGAGAGAGAGAGGGTAGTCTGTCAATGGGAGGAGAAAGAACCTGGGAATGGGGCAGGGACAAAAAGGGGAGGGATGGGGGCGGGAGACAAGTGCAAAAGGGAAAGCAAATCCCCCCCGGGGGTTACTCCCATACATTACCTATACGGGTATGTGCGACCCAACGGGGTTGTGATTTTGAAGCTCCTGATTTAGAACGGGGTATCCATTTCAGAGGCGTTTTCTAGAACGGGGTATTAAAAAATTGTGGATCACGGCTTTATCTTCTGCTTAAAATTTTGCTGATTATGAAGAAGCATTTATTTGATGTATAAGTATAAGTCGAACAAATAAAGAAATATCTTTTAAAAAAAACAGGGCTATTTTAATTTACAAACTTTCTAGAACGGACTGTAAAAAATTGGCCCATTTCTAGAAGGGGGTATCAGTTTTAGGGCGAATTCTAGAACAGGGTATAAAAAATCGGCCCATTTCTAGAACGTGGTATCAGTTTTAGGGGAAATTTTTTTTAGAACGGGGTGCCAATTTGGAGTCCCGGGCAGCACATACCCACCCAAAAAATACCCAATGCCCCCCCCCCCACCCCCCTCCGGCAAAACCCCTCTTCCTTTTCCCTCCTTTTCCCTCCCCTTTTGATTGCTGCCTGCTGCACCAGCTATTTTTAAAAATGGTTGAATCTTTTCAATTCTACTACACTTTTGTTCTTACTACTTACATGGCACTGGGCTGTCAGTACATCTCTTCTGTACCTGCAGCCATAACAGATCATAACATGACACAGGGGTCTCAGGACATTTCATGGGGTCATACATGATCTACTGACCTTTTTTTTGTATGGCAAGTCTGCAAGGTGTGAAGAAGGAGGAGGACTTAAGACTACCCACAGGTTAGGGCCATGGAGAAAACTGACAGTTCAGATTAAACCTCACCTTATTTTCCTCTGCCATGATTTTTATTGGCACAAGAGAGTATTAAACTTGAAAATTGGAGCCTGTAGTGCCCGCACAGCGGTTATTCCAATAATTCAATATGGCGGAAAGCGGGTGCACTAAGTTGTTAGTGAGGCACTTGCCTTCTCAGCTGAATGTGAGCGACAAAACTGACTTACTGAAACATTTTGGAGCTAAGGAAGTAATATGCATGGAAAGAAGAGGAAAAATGGTGAGTATCTGGCTTTTAATCCGTCAAGGATCTGTCTCAGTGTCAATTGAATTTTCACTAATTTGCACTAGTTTTGTCAGCTCATTAAACCTGTACGTTCCTGATGTTTCTTGAAAAAAGTCAATGAATTGGCGTGATTCTGTTTTGTTATATTTCACAAGATCTGCTTGCGAGTGGTTTAACTTAGTCAATAGAAACATTTTCACACAACAGAAGAGCAAGCGTCCTCAACGGATGGCCCTTGTGTTTAGGTTTCTAGTCAAGAACTCCAAAATTTGTACACTAGCTGTTTTTTCTGAAGTAACAAAACATATTCTTTGGTTGAAATTAATTAATTCTTCTTCGTGGAGGTCTTATGTGATATTTGAATGAAAATATTGCTGGTTTTCACTTGACATCAAAATATTCAAACCACACAATGATATTGTCAGTTCTTCGGAGTTTTTACATTTATAAGGTATTGCTCTACAGCATGTGCGGCGTAACAATTTTATTTTCCAGTTTTTGTCTTGAAAGGGTTTTTGTTCCATGACAGGCATATGCTTGCATTTCTAAGTGTTTGCATGACTTGGCAGGAAGTACTAACTTGGGGGTCATTGAAAGTAGGTCAAAGCTCTTACAAGGAGGAATTAAAATTGAATGTAAAAGCCATGAATAGTTAACACCCATCTTAAAGACGTGATTGTAGATAAAGTATGTGGTGAAATTCAGCACAATTTGTAGCCTGAATATTCATAGATTCTGCTGCAATTGTGTGGGGGTCACATTCACAATTAATATTTTGTAGAATTTATGGGGAGTTATTTCTAAAAAGCCAGGATGAATTAGCGGGTCGGTTTGAAAATCTTCTTGGTGTCCCTGTGGGGGATACCAACGTGGTGTCTCCATACAAAGTATAACTATTATTTGTGTAAAACATTTTTCCGAGTATCTCTCATGTGAAAATTCACATAGACCTGAATCTTGGAGAGGTTGTTTTCATATTTATCTTCTTTCATTTATTAAACTATTAAGATTTTTTTTTGATGGCATGACATTGAAAACCAGCAATACAAATTAAATGTATAATGGAATTTGTAATAACTGTTAGTTAGTAAAACTTCACTTGATTTTCAGAGAGATGCTGCTTTTGCAGAATTTTCTACTCAAGCTGAAGCGGCTGGGGTAGGCTGTTGAATTGTATTTGTGTGTAAAGTGTGTCTAATTCACACTGAATACTACCATATACCTTTTGTCTTATTCTGTAAGATTTCCAGTTATTTTTACATGACATTTTATCCTCTGCCAATTAAGATTTACCCTGCTAGCAGAGGTTCCTTTCTGGCATTGTTTTTAGCCTGTACCAAGTCATCGCTAGGTTGGCTTGTTTTAATCACTGACAGAAACTCTGGGATGTAGACAAGCCAGCCTACACAAATGTCAGCAAAGTGAACAACTCCATACATGTTTGAATGCTGGAAAGAAACCTCTACTCAGCTGGGTACTTAATTTATATTTGTTTTGTCAGTGGCCAGTTACAAGGAGCCTTTTAAACACTACATGTACTGTATGGTGTATAATGTTTGGTTATGTGAATAATAATAATGTCTTACTTACTTCATAGGCTCTTTCTCAGTTACACCAGATAGAAATCCTTGGTAGTAGATTAACTGTTGAGTATGCCAAACCATATCATGAACATCTTGCTGCTCGACAGTGCAGTAGGTAAGCAGCCATAGTTGAACCTCCTGTAAGCAACCACCCAATAATTAAATTTAAAGGTTTAATGGCCACTTACAAGAATTAAAGAGGATCTTTTCAGAGTGGAAAGAAATAAAAAAAAGGAAAAGAATAACATTTATTGCATTCAATTTCTAAGTCACCATATGAGTAGTTCCTTTTTGTCACTAAAAGGTCTTTGTGTACTCTAGTATTGTAGCTTCACACATACAGTGAACCATATGTTGAGTGGTCATCTACAAGAGTTTAAAAACAATGGAAAATCATAAAAATGGTCGTCCCCACCCCCATCCTGAAAAAAAAAAGGGAAAAAATGATAGCTAGTCGTTATTAAGGGTTTCCAATCATAAGGACTTGACTAAGAAAGTTTGATGAAGAAAATGGCTGCTTATAGAAGGTGGTCATGTATAAGAGGTGGTGGCACATGGAATTCAGTTGTGTTAGTCTTGACTGCATTCAAAAGCACAGGCATCCCAAGCACAAATTATGAGGGTCTAATGTGATTTACATTCTGTGATGCAAGTGCGTCGACTCTTTGGCTTTGTTGGGTTACCCCTGTAACTCATAAGACAGAGTTAAGCTTGACTTCATCTTGTTTAGGTTATTGAACAGAAGGTAAAATATAATGATATTTGTTGTTCACAGACCTTAGTATTTTACTTCTCATACAATGTCTCAATGATCGCCTGAAACACAATACCGACTCGCTCTCTTCCACCCTTGTAACATGAGCTTGGGATGCCTGTGCCAAAAGATACTCTCTCATATGACATCATTTTTTCGTAATCTTTTGCTTTTTATTATCAAATGAGTAGTTGGAGTTACCCCACTTGAGGTTTACTTGTTTACTAGATGCAGTTTTTCAATGCTTTGCAAAAAAAACAAAACACAATTTTTCAAAATTCCTTCATGAACATGGCCAAGAATGAAATTTTGTTTATGACTGATGAAATGTACCAGTATTCGAAAGTTGCAACTGGATTTTGAACTAAGAATTTAGGATCAACAGTGAGTTGCATTATTAATGATTTGGTCTTTTTTGGTAGAGTCTCCCCTCAAACAGAACTTGCTGAAAATGGTAGGGATGAAAAAGAAACTAGAAAACAAGAATCAGAGCAAGGCAGTAAAGAAAAAGCGAAATCTAACCCGCAAGGAATGGCACCAGGCTTGGGGTAAGAGGAAAATAGAAGTGATATTTTGAAGTATAATGTTTGAGAGTTATTTTGTATATAAGGTGTTTATTTTTATCATGATTCTAGAACTAAGGTATATTAACCTTAGTGATAAAGAAAAAGAACAAAAATTTCAGACTGAATTTTCCTTGGCTTCAAACCTTCCTGGATTCATACTCAGCAGGAGGAGGGAAGTCAAGGGAGGGAGGGGTTGGGTTATATTAATGCCACTGTCACTATAATCCCCCCCCAAAAAAAAAAAAAAAATAAAATAAAATAAAATAAAATCGACCACGGAAAAAATTCCAACATTTACGTGGAGAACTACACACATTGTATACCCAAAATTGTTTAGCTAATTATTACCCTCTAAGAAGAAAAAAAAAAGAAAACCTGTACATGGTATACCTTAAACCCTGGATAGCCTAGGCTTGATTTCCAGCCGCTGTTCGGGAAATGAGCCCGTGCTCCCTTCCTCTTTTCTCGGGGAGACCAAGAGAGCAGTGGAAATCGAGCCTATGGATGGCCCTGTTGATTATTTTTAGTTTGTTCAGAGAATTTTGTCTTTTTATCTGGTTTTTGCTCCCTTATGAGGAAAGATGATCTACCGCTGAACACTGAAGGGCTTCATCAATGCTAATTTATTATTATTTAATATCGTAAGGTTTAGCGAGGCTTATTTAGCGAGTGCTTGGTGCCACAAACGTTCTTCATTGTGTTCTTTGTAAAAGCGAGATGATGTTAATTATTTTGTCTTTAAAATGATATGTCATTAAGGAGCAGAGACAATGATTTCACAGCCAGCCCTTCCTCATGTTGTAGATTTCAGTACAGTTAATTAAAGTTTTTATTAATTTTCAGAATAAATTATGCTCCGAATCCCAGCCTTCATTATGTCTACCCTCCTGTAAATGCCACAATTCTCACCAACATTGCTCACACTTTGGCTTGTGTACCAAGATTTTACATTCAGGTGAATAAGTAACAATATATTTTTTTTTTATCCTCTGTGAAGCAACTTGGATATGCATTATGTTTACGTTTTACATTTAATGAAGTGCTAAGTACTCTTCATTTATTAAACAGTACTAAACACTGTTATAATGCTGCTGATGTCCGCACAGGTTTTGGAAAGGCTGCAACTAAAGTTGGTCATTAGAGTTATCACTGACCATATCATTTTAACATTTAATGAATGAAAATCTGCCATGAGCAGTTAAACAGATCAGGACTTCCTTCCAATGTTACGTACTTTTAATGATGTGAAATAATTATTTGCAGTCAGGTGCCAAAATGTCACTTATGGTACTTAACATGTATACATTACTTGAAAAAATGCATTAAAGTTTGCAAGTTTCATTTAATATTGAAGTGGCACCTAGAAGGCCCTAAGTGACTTCAGCTATGATTTCAGATTCTCCTTCACTTAAGATAGACTAAACAAATATTTTTATCAAGAGGTAATAGTGATGATATTACCTGGGGGGGACTCCCATATGAAACAGACGGAGATGCTCATCGGAAATTTTGAATTTAACCCCTAAAGGAGACCATCTGGGCGTGGCTCAAGCTTTTTGTGACCTCTAAAGGAGACCAATCTGGGCGTGGCTTAAGCAAATTTTGACTCCTAAAAGAGACGGCTTAAAAACACACAAATACGACATGCAATGAGTTTTAATGATATAAAGACATAATCATCGAATGCTTTTATCTAATAGTAGTGTTTAAAAGCATTGTCATAAATCTCAAGTTCTTTGCGGAACCCTAAACGAGACCTTGGCGGCTTAAAATATTGGTGCTTTGCCCGGAACACCCTAAGCGAGACCAAAATCCAAACTTTACACCCCTAAGCGAGGGCACGAGCATCCCGTCTGTTTCATATGGGATTCCCCGGGTGATATTATTTGCAGTCAGGTGCCAAAGTGTCACTTATGGTACTTAACATGTATGCATTACTTGAAAAAATGCATTAAAGTTTGCAAGTTTTATTTAATATTGAAGTGGCACCTAGAAGGCCCTAAGTGACTTCAGCTATGATTTCAGATTCTCCTTCACTTAAGATAGACTAAACAAATATTTTTATCGAGAGGTAATAGTGATATTATAGCAACAACAAATTAGCAATATTGTTCCACTTCTTTGTAGGTTTTGCATTTGATGAATAAAATGAATCTTCCAGCTCCATTTGGTCAAGTTACCCCTACCCCACCAGTGGTAAGTCAGCCTATGAAAAAGTCCATGGGGACTATTGAGAGGTTAAAATTTACTCGTGTTGTGGAGGGGGACTTTGGGGTATTGCAGTATTGAGCTTTTTTTCAAGTGGTATTTTGGTAATTTTAATTTTAATTTGCAGTATTGTAGTATCCTTTTGGCTGATGGTATTTGGTAAAAGAAGACCTGTCATGGTACTGCGGTACTGTTTATTTGTGCTCTGATCTCCTGTCTAAAGACAATATGCAACTCAAAACACAGTAATTTTTAAAGCTTTGTAAAAACAGTCTGTTGTAATTCAGTTGACGTAATGGTAAATGCACAATTTCTGATAGTTAATTTTCAGTGAAATTGTCATACATCCAATGACCAGGTTTTTCTATCGTTTTTCTGTCGTTGGAGGTCTTCTCATGTTTTCTTGCAATGGTTGAGCAGCTGGCCGAGGTTGATTTCTAGTATATTTATGCCCACCTACCCCTCCCCTAAGCCAACATTAACAATTAATTCTCACTTAGGGCAAAATGTTGGCTTAGGGGAGGGGTAGGTGGGCACTTTCCCAGAAACGTATAATGGTCCCATGTATGCTTGAGATGAACAAAATATGAGAGATGGATACAACTTTAAGTAAGTGTGACTGATCATAAATGCCATATCAGTATTTCGTCAATTTTTGACGTGGTTTTCAGTATTAGCCAATTTTTCTTGTAGTATTGTGGTATTGGGTAACCCCTCCCCTCCCCCCCCCCATGTCCCCCTTGTTTTGGTGCATGCATCACAGGAAGCAGGGAAGGGGGGAGACGGCTGACTACAGACAGGATATGCTACATGTAAGCCCTCTGTTTAAAGGACCAGATGGAGTACAGCTCTCTGACAGTGAGTAATCTGGTACACTCGGCCGATTTCAAATTACAAACCTCGATTACTCCTGAATTGTACATTTACCAATGAATTGTAAAAGGGGGTCAAAGAATGCCAATTTATTCAATAAATCTTGACCTCAAAAACTGTAATTTGTCCTTGAAAGGTCGTTCCATTTTGTTTCTCTGAAGTTGTATGAACCATGTATGTCACTGTTTCAAGGCCATGTCACTTTTCAGAATTTTACCACTACATGGACTTTTTCATGAGACTTCAGCAAGTGTACTGTTTTCTTTAGTTCCACGCTTTCTAAATTGATAGTGTTTGATGACTGTTGAAGTCTGAAAAGCTCAGCCTGGAAAACCTGCTCGCTCATTATTTTGTTATTTGCTACTTGACATTGATACTCATAGCTTTATTTTCACTGGCTGTTTAACTGTCTGATGTGACCTGTCTAATTACAAGCTCCTGCTAATCATACAGGTCAAACTGGATAGTTTTGGTATTGCAGTAGCATAATTAAGCAATAAATATGGGCTGTCAGGAACCAGATCAATCCGTTAATCAGATTCAAGCTTTTTTTCATAATGACACAATTACCTGATCTATTTAATCCTTCTCATATCTTCAAGTTAGGTGAGACAATGGAGGAAACACAGATTACAGCTCCATCTTCAGATGATGACAGGTTTATGTCAAGTGATGAGTCAGAAATTGAAAGCGATGAAGAGGAAAGAGAAAAGAGGTAAACAGTGTTTGTTACACCACAAAACTCCTACCCTCCATTGGGGGTGGGGGTGGGGGTGTGGGTGGAGGGGGAGAAGTCCCATATGGAAGGCAATACCCATGGAAATGTTCATTGAAACATTACAGTTAAACCCCTAAAATAGACCATTCTGGGTATGGCTCAAGCTTTATTTGACCCCGTAAAGAGACTACTAAAACAGGCAATAAATTCTCAGTACCAATGTAGTTATTTAAATTGTCCAAATTAAAAGCTTTTGAAATTGAGTGCTGTCACATTTTCTCAGTATTTGGTGTTCTTCTTGTACGTTGGAACCTTGGTATAATGAACCCCAGTAATAGTAAACAGGGGCGGATCCAGGATTTTTTTTAGGAGGGGGTGCACTCGTCTCTTGCTGTACTTCAACACCAATAAACCACATAGTTTTTTTCTTTTTCCAGAATACCAGTTGTATTAGTTGTATTAGAAAACCACAGGTCATCTCAGGGGAGGGTGCGCACCCCCTGCACCCTCCCCCTAGATCCGCCCCTGGTAAAATATGTGAGAAAGAACCTCAATATAATGAAACCTCAATTAGTGAACAAAGTTCGTGAGTCCTTTGGTTCTTTGTTACATCGTGGTTCCACTGTGCTTTATTTCTCTACACATTACCTCAAACAATAACTCTTAGCATATAATGGACATCCTCCTCTCTGTCATATGGTGGTTTCCTCAGTCTCCGACTTTTATGTTCTTGTTTCTGAAAAAGTAAAAAACCTTGTAATTTTCTCAGAGCTAAGGAAAGAGCCGAGCATGCTCAGAGGATGGCTGTCGCGAAGCCTGTCACCAGCTCCAAAAAGCGACACAAGGTGGCACTTCACCCATCCCAGCCACCAACCAAGAAAAACAGATCAGTGCCTTCATCAAAACATGTTCCTGTAGAAAAAGCCTTTGAACAGCCTTCTGGTCAGCCAAAGAAGATAGAGTTCAAACTTACTGAGGCGATTTCAAGCATATTTGATGCTGGAGCATCTAATGAAATGGAAGGTTAGAATCTCTTTTAATACATGTTGGCACTGTTGGTGTGCATAAGTGGTATCTATCTACATAAGTGATTCTTGCTAAGTAAAGTAAGTGTGACGTTAAAGCAATCAATAATCAATCAATCAATCAATATTGATTCTCTATTAAAATTATATTAAAGAAAAATGTTATTTGCATTACAAATTTAAGAAGGGAGAACTGGGAAAATTAATTGATTAGATGGAGCTCAGAAGATACAACTGAGTTAGCCACCAATTCTCTTTTAAGTTCATTTGAATAATAATAATAATAATAATAATAATAATAATAATAATAATAATAATAATACAGATTTTAGTTTTTCTTTAGTATATTTTTTATTGAATCTCTTTATCATCAGTTCCCAATCCTCCAGAGACGACCGAAGGGTTTGGGAGATTTGCGCCCACAGTGGATACTGATGACAACAAAGAGGATGAGGAAGAGGAAGAAGAACTAATCTCTGAGGAAAGCAATGAATTTATATCATCTTCCGAATTACGCAGGAACAGGATCAGCAGCAAAGGTTCATTTACTTTGAATTGTTATTGTATTAACCTGAGATCAGGCCCAATTGTAGCGGTTGTCATACGTTCTCTCTTTTCGTTTCGCCTTGCCCGCCAGAATGTTATTACCAGGCGAAACGAAAATGGAGCCCAATCTCAGGTTATTATCGTATTTTCTCTAACAAGGGAAACTTCATCTCTCTTTGTTCACCCGCAAACTTTCCTCGACGTGAACGAAATTTTTGTGCAATTTCACTGCTTGAGTTCTTATCGAAACGACCTGTTTCCCTGCTCCCATATCCTCTCCAGCCATGAAAGGTTGTGTTTTGTTGTCTCCCTTGGTATTTTTGGGAGCAAAAATGGCGTCAGTATATTCTCTTGGCTTTCCATAAATACCGTAGTTGCAAAAAAAAAAAAAAAAAAAAATTGGACGTTTCACATGGTTTGTACAATGTTGACAAGGTCTTCAATTTTAGCAGTCGTCTTGAACTTGAATTTGGTTTAGGTCATTGAAAAGTACTTCATTTCTTTATTAGGTCTTGAAAAGTCCTTGAAATTCGCAACCTTGTCTACGCTACACACCATTTTCTGTAAAATTAGATTATTTTGCCAAGGAAAATTTGACTCATTCTCGGTGTGAGAACCTGTAAAATTCATGGGTAACCAGCGTGCAAAGAAAGTGGTGTCTGATAGCCTGGGGCTAGTGGATTCTGTTATCGGGCCAGTGAATTCTGTTCTTAACTTGCCTGATCGGCAAATGGTTTTTTGGGGGGAATTCAAATTACAGAAGAACTGTAATCAATCCTGCTCATCATTTTTTTTTTCAGGCTAGTTGAAATGACGTTCGGGCTAGTACATGCTAGGTACTTGAAAACTGTGATTTGTCCTTGAAAAATCCTTGAAAAGTCCTTGAAATTTGTTTGCCTGAAGTTGTACGAACCTCAGTTTCATTTTGTACCTTTGATTTTCGGACACCTCTTCTCTTATTTTGGCCAAAACTTTCGGACGTTTTGCTGAAATATACCTGAAGTAAATTAACGCCTACAAATCGTGAATTATGCTGAAGCATAAAAATGATAGTTTTAGTGTACCTTCAGTGTTTTACAGATATACTGAAGAGAAAATTTAAAAGCGAAATGCTATCAAGCTCATGTTTCAAGCATTGTCTCAACTAGAGTTCCAGTCTAAAAGGGATATTAGAGGCTTTTAGCTCAAAGTTCTCATCAGTGCAAAATGGTGATGAAGAGTAAAACGCCTGAGAAACGCCTTATCCGAATTCTACCTAGATATTTACAGTCGACTCCCGATAACTCGAACCTTCAAGGGAAATGGAAAAAAGTTCGAGTTATCGGGAGTTCGAAGCTTATACTAGAAAAAAGGAAACGGGATGGGGGAGAAATGCAAATATCATGCTCACTTCACTTCAAGGGCAGCAAGATATATAATGCTATTTTGAAAAAGGAATTAAACAACAAAGCTTGATTAGTCAATGCAGAACTAAACATTGTATTTAAATTGGACTGAAACAAAAAGTAAAGTTAGTTTGAAATAAATTCAATGTTTTGAACTGCAGTTCACTACTTTATTTCGACTTGTCACGTGCGTAAAACAAGGTTTGAGTTATCCAGGGTAAAATTGTATAGAAATAATCGGGAGGGAAACAAAAATTACCTCGAGTTAGCGCGAGGTTCGATTTATCGGGAGTCGACTGTATGTATGTTGACCTTGATGTCTGATGGCGTTGTCCAAGAAAGTGTTTTTTACACGGTACCGTTAAAATGTCGGATGATCAGTTAATTCGGTCACAGTTTTTGTCCAAAAATAATGCTTCATAGGAAAATCCTCCGAGAATGTAATTCGTAACCATTTTTTTCTCTTTTTTAACAGAAATGGCCGATATATCTGCCTTTAAGAATTACAAACCTGGAGACCCTACGTGCAGACTGTACATCAAGAACTTAGCAAAACATGTCGAGGAAAAGGTAAATGATGGGTTGCACAGAACAAATAATGTTTACAACAGCGCACGTTGTTCTTGCTTAGGAAAACGTCTGTTTTATTTTGATTCTTGGTGCGCGCGATTCGAAAACTGAAGATTTAGTAAAATCATTTCCCCAAAGTTTTGATGAGAATTATCTGTATATATGTTTTTTTTTCTAGTTTAAGGTTTTAGAAAACATTTCAGGGAATTTTTGCCGAACATCATTGTCACTGGACTAAGCCAATGGTCACTAATTTTCGAAATTTTACAAGTAAATGACCAACTGATTAAGGTTGTAGTTTTTCTTCCTTTAATCCCTCGAGGAGTTAAATTTAAAAGAAGTGGCCCAAACTGCTGTGCACCATTTCTTCACGGAAAGACTGAAATAGCAGCGAAAAAAAAGGGTGACGTAATTCTCTATGGCTTTGGCCTTCGGAAGTTCCCTAGCTTTTATGCTAATTGAGCTAAATCTATTCACCATAGCAACCTAAGGAAATCTAAAGCATTTAAAAAGTAAAACCAAATTTTGATTCGTGTAGGAAGACCTAGTATTTATTGAACACCGAAATTCTTATATTTTGCCTTGTTAGAACGTGAGATAACACGTCCTATTTCAGTCTTTGCTGATTGAAGAAATGTTTTAGGGTTCTGGAAATTTCTGTGTCTGCTGTTGAGAACGAAACGTAATGAATAATCAATTTACTAATGAGCCTTTAACTCAAAAAGATCAATACCCAGTAAAGTTTACTTTCCTGCATCACGCAACAGCGTTTTAAAACAGCACCCCTCTATAGTTCAGTTCTGACCTAGACCAACACCCTTTTCTCTGCTAGATATATCTTCGTGTTACTTTTGGCTAATTTTGCTAAATAAGAACCGTAAGGGAGTTACGAATTTCTCCTTTCGTGACTCAGAGAATAAAATGACCCTCTTAAGTTGACGACATCTTGTTCCATATTTGACGTTGGTTTGTTCTCCCTGAAAAATATTTACGTGTTTTAAGAATAGTTATTTCTACTTTTCAACCATCAAACTTAGGAACCTTATGGTCTACCACGACTTTGTTGACTTAAGTCTTCCCTTTTAGGGACTTGTCAGAAATTAGCAGTGGGGGAGGGAATTTTAAATTTGGTTTCGGAAATGAGGTGACCCATCCCTGCAATGGGAGTGAAATTTGCTAACCCTCCCCTTGACCTTGGCCTAAAATATCATGACCCTCCCCCTCTTGTATAAATGATAAAATCTTGTTCTTGCAATACGCTAGGGTGAGTCAGTATTATGAAAGCTCAAAATATATTTCTAATCAGTTCTTTGTAATGCCATATACGTACATTTCAGATGACAGCAGTAAGAGTCCGACTCTGATTCTGACAGCTGATCACTCGATTCTCCTATTTCTCCCAGGTTTTTTTTTTCACAAAATAAAGAACTTCTTTTTTCTTCTGTGGGTGAACATCTACATGATCACGGACACATATTTACATGACCCTCCCCCTTCTAACGGCCCATGACCCCTCCCTTTTCTGCAGTCTCAAAAAGTTGTGACCCTCCCTCTGTTTCCACCCCCCCCCCCCTGCTAATTTCTGACAAGTCCCTTAAGATCTCCACTAATTAAGAGTTTGAGTGTGACGGCCTCCTGGTGAAGAAAAGCTAAAAGTTTCTCCAATATCATTAAAGAAATGATATGTCGAGCTATTCCTCACAGACAGACGCTTCATCCTCCAACTTCATCATCACCATTATCATCGTAATCACTACCACCTTCAACACCACCATCATCATCATCGCCGCCGCCACCGCCACCGCCACCTCCACCACTATCTTTTATACCTTTCCCTTCAGATTGCAAGCCGTGTTGCTTCCATGATCTGTTTGGGCTGAAACTCTTTTTTCACGGACTAAATTTTTCGTACGCTCCAATTCAGTTTGTCTGACTTTGTTACATGGCTATTTCTCTTATTTAGGACCTCAAGTACATATTTGGTCGGTATGTTAATCACAGTGTTGAGGAAGAGAGAGACAGGTTTGTCAGACTGGATTTATAACGGAATGACTGACTTGAACAATGTCAATTCATCTTTAATGTTTCAAAATGGCGGTAAAACTGCTTTTCCTTTTTATATACAACTATTTCGCGAAAGGTTGTCGGAAAAAGTGCAGACGACAATCCCGAAGGGTTTTGCGAGTGGTTTTGAGTTCACTGTTCTTTAAAGAAATTTGAGAGGCCATAGACGTATGTTTGCAAGTGCTAAAGGAAAGCAGCAAAAGTGGGTTCGACGGCTATAGTGTATTGATCATATCCCATATTTCCTTTTGGGATTGTCGCGTGCACATTTTATCGGACAACCTTTCTCGAAATAGCTGTATGTAGCCCTCGGAGCCTCGATTGCTTCTGCCGATTTCAAAGCAATTTTACCTTGTTACTATAATATAACTGATTGAAATGGAACAACAAATAATGCCCATATGTCATTCCCACTGATAAGTCCATTCAAACGAATCCTCTTTCGCAGTTTTTTCAGGTTCTCAAAGGATAATAACTGTTTTTCAAGTGTTGTACAATTTTAATGTAGAAGTTTGTGCAATCTTTAGAGTGAAAAGGATAAATAAAATCCTTTCTCAACATCCTGGCAGGACTTAAAATCTGACATCCCGTGAGCAGAGCTTTGAGGACATTTTGCTGGAATCCGATGTTGTTGTTCTTATCAATTTTAGATTTGACGTTCGTCTTATGAAGGAAGGTCGGATGAAGGGTCAAGCGTTCATAACTTTACCAAGTGAAGAAAAAGCTAAGAGAGCTCTGAGAGACGCTCATGGCTACATTCTACATGGAAAACCTATGGTTATCGTATCCTTGAATGTTGGATATTTATAAATGATCTAAAGAATTTTCATAATTACTTGCTCAGAGTACATTATAATGAGATGTGTAAAGCGGAAAAACAACAGACGGGAACAAGTCAAACTCGGAGCAAACGCATCTAGTTGGCGAGAAGCGCGGGAAAGTGTGTTTAGCAGCGGCACGTGCTTCTGCTTGGTGAATTTTGCGGTATTTTTCAGTCAATCACACGGTGTAATAATTCAAAACTTTTAGGTGTAATTCGCAGTTTGCATATCTCCCATAATAGACCTTGTTTGCCCCCCCCCCACCCCCCCCCCCCCCGAAAAAAAATCGTAAGCATTTTCTTCAAAAAGAACGATTGTGTAAACCGAGGACGGGAAACCTGTGGTAGCTACACAAGTCTGGTTTTGTTGTGACTTCCCATTGAGAAAATAAGTGTCATGTCGCAAGGTTGGGATATGGAAAAAGATTATTCTTCAAGGGGATTCGAACCCCTGACCTCAGGGGTACCGGTCGGTTTCCCTAGCCACTGAAACGCGGAGATAATCATCGTCACCATTCGGGGACACCTCCCATACCAGGCCTTTGCATTCTTCGAGATAGTTCCAAGCGCACCAGTCACGATGGGTATTATTGTCACTCTCGTGTCTCTGTGGATTCTTTTAATTTCGAGAGCTATTGTAGGTCTTGATACGTTTCCACCTTTTCCTCCTCAGTAGTAAGGATATCACAGCAATGTGATAGTAAGGATATTTTGGGCCGCTGGCACAGCAATGTTGATTATTGTCAATTTATCGATTATTGTTATTATTATTGCATTCCTTAACTTTTATTCCCAGCAATTCGCACGATCAGCCAAGGCAAAAGATTAGACATTCACCGACAGATAATAAGAATTCACCTGAAGATCAAAGTCAAGCTGAGTTTAGCTGAACTCACTGCACAAGAGGCGTTTTTTCTTGTCAGTGTACCTTGTGAATTATCCTACCCTGATAAAATAAACATTTCTTTGCGTAGGGATAAAATAAACACTTGCGCCCAGAGGCTTCCTCCGCTCCCGACGACGGACATAGAGGAAATTGCGGTTATCACAAAGCGGCTGTTTGATAAATATTGGTGTTCTTTTTAATATGTAGAAAATATCGAAACGTTTTCCATACAAGAGGAATTCATATGTTGCCCCCTCTGAAATTTTTGGGGGAAGCGGAGGAAAACGTTTCACGCGAAACCTCGCACATCGCATTATTTCCATTGGTCTGGCTGGCACCAGTACTTGACAACACTGTACAAACTGTTGGGAACAGTTTCCGAAGAAGCTCTTTTTTCCATCGGAAACTTAAGTTTCAAGAGACGATGATTTTGTAAGAGGCCGTTAAGATTTGTACCGGCTGGAAATAAGTGAGGAATCAGCGTCGTTTTCTACAAACGATCGACTTGGAAATTAAAAAACATTTTATGAAACTTTCTTTTGCGTGAATTATGTCCATTTTCACTTAACCATTGAAACAGTATCTAACAAGTTAGTGCAAACTAGTTACAAGTTAACAGAAGTCTATTACCTATCTCACGGGTAAAGTAAAATCACTCTATAAGGTCCTTGGAGATCCAGCGGCAGTTAGCCGGGTTTTTAAAACTCCTCCAGCTTCGTCTTACTGTCCCCTTTGCCTTAAATAAAGACTAACTTTTATTTTGAATTCAGAACTAAACTTTTTATTTCACAATCAAGTGAAGAAGGTAACGTGGGTTGTTAAAACACCACGATTTCTTTATTGCAAAGCGTGTATCTGTCTATCTCCGCCAGTGTTTTTTCGTGTGGTTTTGCCTTCTTGTTGTTTTCCGCAGTTTTTCCCGTTTTCTTCTTCTCGTCAACCAATGAAATACTCGAACACTGCGCAGAGTCCAACAAAGTCGCGGAGACCTGGGCCTCGAGAGTTCTCGCGGAGACTTGGCTACTCTGATTACCCTTGACAAATTCTTCATTCTTTTCTTCTTTGACGTATTGAGTAGCTTTCCCAAGAAATATGATGCTGTTTAACACTTTCACCGACGTAAGGCTTCAACAAGAGAAAAAACAATTCGGGTGAGTTAGTAAACATGTGGTGAGTGTGTTGGCACATCCGCCATTTTAACATCTTCCATAATTAATCTCGTTTTCATACGCAAACGAGAAGATTTAAGTTTTGCAAAGAGTTCTGTGGCTGTTACTGGGCCCAATAGCTGAGCAGCGCGTCCCCAGGAACGTACCGTGAGAAGTACCGTATTTATTCGATTAACCGCCCTGGGCGCTTATTAAATTTTTGGACCTTGAGAGTGGGCGCTTATTCGAGGTGGGCGCTTATTCGAGGCTGGGCGCTTATTAAATTTTCACCATTTTCAGTAAGTGAAGCGTGTTTATTTTATAACAAAACAATAAATGCTAATAACAAAACGCGAAGAAGTAACAAAGCAAGGTTTCTGTAAAATACTCTGAAGAAGACTCCGTCCTCGGGGATGTCTCTTATTAGAATTTACTCACTCAAGTGGGTGGGGTGGGGTGAGCGCTTATTTGAGTTTGATTGGGAGGAGTAGGGGGTGGGCGCTTATTCGAGGGTGGGCGCTTATTAACTTTTTCTGCCTTTGGGATGGGCGCTTATTCGAGGTGGGCGCTAATTCGAGGTTGGGCGCTTATTCGAATAAATACGGTAGTTGTATGCATGCGCATGCAAAAGCTAACTCGACCCAGTTTCCAGTCGCGAATTTGTCTTCAATAGACCATTTCTGAGTCCCCCTGGCCTCTGCATCAAAACGAGGTTTTAAAGTGCTCAGCCTTTGATGTGGAAATAATTTTTCATTCTCATGCAAAATAACATTCTACCCTGCGAGCAGAGTCTCCTTTGATCTTCTTAGATACGTCGGGAAGATCTAGGAAGATCGAAGGAGACTCTACTCGCAAGGTAATAACATTCATCTTCACAAGAAAGGTTGTTAGTCCGGTAGCATGGCTCGAAATTTCAGGTGAATTGTGCACCTTTAGATACAAGCATGAAATTTGGCACACTGATAGTAGTCACCAATACAAGCATTTTCAGATATAGTGCCAAGCCGGAATTACGTCGGTTTCCATAGAAACCACAATTAACTAATAATTCAATGAAATTCATTTGTCCTTGTTTATAAAAACATAGTATAATTTCAGTCAGTGATCCCAGCCTGTTTACCCCGTACGTCTTGTTTATCGGACGCCATTAAACCTTAAACTACAACGACTGTATAAAACTGATGTGCTCCAATGATTACGTTCAGTTTGTTTTGCTGCCGCGCGTAATCTGCAACAATGGCTCGAGCGAGCAAAAAAGCGAAACGATTGACTTTGGTTAGGAAAATCGTCATATTTCACACTGTCTTTTTCGTTTTAAATTAACATTTCGGTCAAGATTGGTGTTGGCTGTACCCAGTCGCATGCACATTTAGAATGAGACAGCGCAAGCTTTCACCATCCGAACCAAGAGAAAAAAGAGAAAAAGCGTGTGCAGATAAATTCAAAATTACGAGTTGCATATATTTTGTTGTGAAGTATTTTGAAAGTTATTTTAAGATCCGTCTCATCTTTTAAGTTTCGTTTTTGTTTCATTAGGTGGGTCAAGGTTAGCCTTCTTTATCCGCAAAAGTGTTTCCTGTTTTGATCTTTTCGCTAGTTTACTTAATGCCATTTTAGGAATATTCTTCGCTTGCCATTATCAGATGTTAGTTCTTCATAGGCGGTCGCGTTGGTGATGTTAGAGCTGACCTTGGTTCATTAGTCTCGTTGAAGTTCCTGTTTGGGTTTGTTAACCAGCGTCTTAGTTTTTCATTGGTTTGTAGCTTCTTGCCGATCGCAACTATGTAGGTTCAGAAGTACCAAAACATCACCCACACCGAGTTCACCTTGATTTTATTCCCACAGTCAGCTAACCCAAACATGTCAAGCTTTGGCTATAAAAACCGCTACTATACTTGAACTAGTTAGTTAGAAGTGAGTAAGGATTGAGTAGAGCAGAAAGTAACAAGATTAAGATTAAGATTGTTAGCAGAAGTCAAAGCAGGATAACGACCAGGATGTAAATCAGATTCCTGGAACCTCATCGAGTGTAGCGAGCGAGTTGCTCGAACACAACCCCACATATTTTGGTGGAGAATCCTCTTATTTTGGTGAATACACAGACTGAAGAAAAATGCAAGCTTTAAGTGGACGATTCTCGGCAAGTTCTTCCTTGTGTGTTTGGTATGCCATTGCAAGCCTAAATTTTAGTTACACAATATTTTACATTGATTTCGTTCTTTTTGGTTTTTGATCGTCAGAGTCATTTGGCCTCAATTTAAAATTATTTTAGCTTGTTGGTTTTAGTCCAAGTCCCAAAATTGTACGGTTGCGATAGAGGAACGTTCGGAATGTTAATGCCTGAGACAAATTACATAACGACAACCTCGCACTAATTTCTCCGTTTTGTAAAAATGTGTTTTGAAGAAAATACTGTTTAAAGCCTACTAAAGAAGTTCTTTAAAGTTATTTTCATTTGACTGCTTCATTATAGAAATTTTTCTACTTTGTGTGAAGCATGTATCCAACATTTATAAAGTTTATGAAAGACTTGTGCCAAATGTGTTTTGAAGAGTAATTGGCAGCCGGAGCGTTGAATCGAGTTTTAAATGTGTACGGTCGGTTTGCAATATTTAAAAGACGTAGACAAAGGAGTTTTGTAAAACGAGGCCCGTGGAACGAGTTAGGCGGAAGAACACCCCTAACTATTGGAAATGGTGGTGGCTGACCATCAGTAGAGGGGCGAAATTGCTTTCTAGAAGTAATCAACATTGTTCCTCGGACTGATAAAATGCCTTCAGCAGAGCTGACGTTCTGACTGTGTTGATGAAAAGAAGGATATGAAGTTGAATTCTTTCTTTTTTGGTGTTCCTATTCCCCGTCACTTAAGGCAGTTAACCCCTGATTAATGGGGCACGACACGTGAAAATTGGAAAGCCAGAAACTAGTCTAAACTGGGCGCGTGAAGATTCCAAAACATTTATCCCCGAATCTGGTACTGATAAATTTACCTTTAGTAACTCATTCGTCGCTCTTTCTCGTGGCAATCTAGTGATTTGTTTTTAGGGTTGCTTTCTGGTTTTGGTCGGTCTCTGATTTGGGTAGTGGACAATGTTGTCGAGTTTGTACACATTTGTAGTTATTTCATGGTAAACGAGCGCTTTATCAGCGACATATTTCGTACAACTTTTCCGCAAAATTATTGTCGTTCGTTTGCGGAAAATCAATTCTGTGAAGTGCTGTTTGCTTTGAAAACATCTGGTTACCTTTTTTTAGCTCGGCACCTTATATCTTTCGCGTCCACGAGTATGAAGATATCTTTATTTTTGAGGACCTACTGTTAGCGCAGTCAATTTTCAGAAGTTAGTCAATAATCATGTGAACGAGTTTCAACCAAATTGACCTATATCCTGTACTATTATAGTTTTGGTTATTGTTGTGATTCTTTTCTGATTCTGCTTGTAGGAAATATGGATCCTGAACGCCAAATTCAATTTATAGCAAAGTGGATTTGTATTTTTTGTTTTAAAATGAAAGGTGTAGCGGTGTTTGACTGGACTGTTCTGCGCTGTGATCACCTTGTCTGCATGGATTGTTTCAAGAAAAACAACGACTTCCTCAAAACCATGAGAAGGTGTCACTGCGGACCACGTTTTCTAGAAAGTGCATACGACTACGTTGTAACGCATACTCACACCAGTAAAATGGCAGTAGGGGGAGATGCCATGAACTCTGTATGTCTCGCTGGGTAGTTTTTTTTAACATTGTTTAGTTTTACTATACTTATTAATTAAAATAAGTTCGTAAAGGTGATGTATTAATTCTTCCTACCGTCCACATGGAGGACAATGTTCATGCAATTTAACCGGGGAGGAATGTTATGAAGTCGTTGCTGTTAGTTTTGTTTTGGAGTTTTGGTATTTTTAAGGTTCTTCTTATGTTTAGGGTATCCGAATGATTATTTGGTAGTACGTGCTAGTTTCTTAATAAACAGTTCATAGTCCAAGGAAATTCAATGTATAGGCCACACGGTTAGTTCCTGAGTTTTGACAAGTATCGTCTATTTAAAGGATTTGTTAAACTCATTGTAGTTCTTTGAAGTAATCATGTTCGGGGATTACAGCTGACCTTAAGTTTTACCTCCACTGAAGTTCCTGTTTTGTATGCTTGGCCCTAGCGAGCAGTTTTACCTCTAGCATTCAATTGGTTCTTTGGTACTTGTTAATTGCGACAGTGTAGACTATTCTATTGTTCACAAGTTAAGCGACAGGATATGCCAGGGAAGGGTCTCACGGTCAGCTAACCCAAACAAGTCTACAATTTGGTTATTCAATTCGCTGGTGATGGGCTTGCTAGTAGTAGAAGAAGAGTTGTAGCTGTTAAACGCCGAGAATAATAAAAGTCAGAAGCAGAAGAACATAGTCTCGGTCCGTTCGCTAACTAGCCAAGCCAGAACCTTACAGTCCTCAACAATATCACGAAGAGAAGAAAATAACAATTCGCATCCATGTTTAAAACAGATGTTGTACGTGTATTTTGAAATCAGTAAAGTGCATTAGATCTATAAAAAAAAGAGCAAAAAGAAGTACTTCGCTGGGGGTCTCGGGTCTGAAAATTTCACTTGCTGCTAACAAGGTGGAATTAGAAAGTTTAACTTGGCACTATATCAGGAAATGACCAGCGTGGGAATGTAACTATTCGTACAAAGGTTGGTGCTTCTATCAGAAATAGCATAATTCTCTAGCTAAGCCGCCTGCCTATGTGTACTTGACCTCCTTTTGAAAGTGAGCGTATTTGGAACTCGCAAGTGGCCTCTTGGATTCTCCTTTTCTTTGTTACGACTGTAATACCCAGGAAACGCAGCAGCAAGATTTGCTCAGTCATTTTACACGGCCCCATAAGTTATATTAGCTTTGAAATCCACCGTGTTTAAATAAAAGATGTTGCTGTTGTTGTTAGATGCGGGAGGTTCCGCGTTTGATCCCCGGGACCCTACCAATACGTGAATTATTTCCGAACCCGACTGCTTGCCGGCTACCTGACATCATAGGGAGCAGAGCTGAGAGATTGCGATTGACCTTAACAGGCCTTTTCCAAAAGTTGATCACGTGACCAACTTACTGTAAACACGAGAACTGTTCTCATTTGCAAAATTTTGTTATCAGGAAAAGAAAGAGCATATTAAAATTAAGTAACCTGTAAATTTTCAGCCGTATATCTCAAAAGTAGCGATTGCAACGGTCGCCGAAAATTAAAGGATTTGTATGAGAAAAACAACTCCTGCCACCCGGTCACGCTTGAGTGGTTTTCCACACAAATCCTTGTAAATTTTTACATTTACAGGTTACCTAATTTTCATATGCTCTTTCAGTTCGTGCTAACAAAATTTTTCAAAAGGGAATTGTTTTCGTGTTTACAGAAAGTTGATCACGTGATCAACTAATGAAAAAGGCCTATTCAAGGAAAACTTTACAACGCGAATTGCATGATGTCTTGAACAGGCGAGAAAAATAGTTAAAAATGTGATACTCACAAAACAAAAGTGCTGAGAAAGAGACAAACTCCAGCTACTCCATGAAGCTTAACAGACTGCGCGATTACTTTTATAACCTGAAAATATCACCATGCAGCAGTTAAGTGGACGTTGAAAATGTCCAGAACAAGAACGCAATGTGATTCCTAAACAGTTTTTTTCTGTAACTTTGAACATATAAGCCTCTGGCTTTAGCATCCATCGTGCAAGTTTTTTTTCGTTAAGTTTGTGGCTACTTTTTGAAAAAACGGTTGATAAAGTTAAGTTAAGTTAAGGCGGAGGCTGAGAAACGAGAGAGAACAAAGCCAGGAGCGTTTTGCGTGAGCGGTCGTAAACTCATTGCGTGAAAGCTAGCGCGAAACCCAACACGAGAGCGCTGTTATATATAATGCAAATCATGACTAACTCACCAGGGATCCCAAAGGAAGAGGAATAAAGCCCATCCGACGAGAAACAAGATCAAAATGGTCAACATGTGCCTGTGAGACAAAACAACTACTGTGAACATAACAACTGCTTAACCACCCCATTTTATCACAATCAGGTACAGAATCATGAAAGAACGCGACATGTGCGTTATAAAGATGATTACCGTTTTTTTTTACTGCGCATCAACATAGCCTCCCATCCAGATGTTCTTTTGGCTCGTCACGCAATCCTCACCTCCATCATACAATCCTCCTCCTCCTTCGTGGGGAAGGAACGCGTGACAAAGCTCAAAGAACGTCTGCGCGGGAGGCTAGCATCAACATAATCGAGAAACCAAAAGGCAATTAGAGAAGTTTTTTATCGCTTCTAACGCCGGTAGCGATTGTTGGTCTAGCAAATAACCAAGGAAACAAAAGAGATCGCGAAAAAGAGGAGTATAGCCGACGCAGGACAGCAGGTTTTTGAGTAAGCTTAAGAGTAACTCCTAGAAACTGGAGAAGCGCTTTCACACCAACTCTTCTAATAGCTCTTCACGCATCCTCACGAGGTAGCTGCACGTACAAATAAATCACTGATTTTTATGTGTATTCTTCCGGACTTGTTTTTGTTCAAGACTGACATATTTACTCACGTTCTTTTGTCGACTTGAAGTAGCATCTTCAGCCAGCAGGGTCCTGTATTCACAATAAACCTACAGACGAATGAACATATCCAGTGCTGTTTACAATTAATCGATCATTAACAACAGAAATTTGACTACAGCACCTGAGGCACCTGAACAGCGACAAAATTGGCCTGAGAAAACAGCAGACATTTCGCGATGCCACCACTGGTTTGCTGGGAAATGACGTCTGAGAAATTCCATACTAATGACGCATGGGTAGTGCTTCTGATTGCGGCAAGACCAATCAGAAGCAATAGTCAGATATGGGTAGTGACGCGTCATCAGACGTCACTTCGCGGGGAGACAGTGGTGGCGTCCCGGAATGTCGGCTGTTTTCTGAAGCTACAACAAAATGCAACTACGTAGTAAAATTCGTGAATCTTTCAAGAAAAAACTAAACTAAAAAAAACAGACATTACGAACGCAAATGTCCCCTAATTACATCGCGCGAGATAAATATGTTTCAGGCCTAGATAATCTGGATATAAGGAAATGTTGTTTAGACAATAAGGTCTGAATAAACTCAGCTTCAGGGACGAATATTTGGCCTCAGAAACAAATGATCCTTCAATATTTTAGCCAAATAAAAAACAATGTTTTGAAAACAGTCGCCTACTCTGTGCAAAATACCGTCGGTGGTGAGTAATAAACATCAGGGTCTGGAACGTCATTCCCGGAATCCGAAATTTGAGCAAAATACATTGCGGGATTCGGCAAAACGCTAACGGGATACGAGATTTGACTGCTACCCGGGAAGTGAGATTCGCCAAAAGTTGGGCATGGATGCAGGATTGGGAAAGAAAAACCGACGGTATTCGGGATAGCGACGAGAGAATTTCGGGGGGCGGGATTCTCGTGAACAACGGAGCGGGAATACGGGATCCGGATCCTTCTTTCCAGACTCTAAAACATGAACAAGAAACATAAACTCCCCCAAGCAGGACAGAAGCTACTACTGTTTTGAATTCTTTCATTTTGGTGCTAAAATGAATGCATATATATACTTACCTCAACAGGAATGTTATTGAATTTAGTGATAAAAGCATGTTTGATCCAATCAACAAAATATTCAGACGATACAACGGCAACCAGATAAGGGCAGATCACATAAAGATGCTCTGTAAAGACAAAAATGTGATCACGACACTGAATTTTTATCCCAGTTTCGCGGTTATCGTCATTTTTTGGCAACTTTGCAGTTTTTAGCACTTTTAACCCTTTAAGTCCCAAAATCCACATACAAATTCTCCAGACTGATCTCCATACATTTCTTTTAAGAATAGTTGAGAGAATTCGGTTTAAGATCAACGCATTCTCCATTTGGTAATCAATTAAGTAATTCTCGTAACCTTTACTCTTGATGATCTGCTGATTTTGTTAAGAGAAAATTAATGTTGGTCATCAATTTTGTCATCACAATATCAAAAGATAAGCAAAAAAAAAGGTTCTGGGAAAATTCTTTGATTTTTAAACAAGCTATCTCCTCTAATTCTTCAAGGAAATGTATAGAGATCAGTGCGGAGAATTTGTAAGTAGATTCTGGGCTTGTAAAGGGTTAGAGCGATTTTCATATGAACTTGAAATGAAAACGCGAGAACAAAACAGAAAAAAACAAACGAACGGAAACAGAGCGATTTGATTGGTTTATCGAACGGATACAAACCCAGGTGGCTTTCGGTTGGTTAATCGAACACTCCGGTAAAAAAAACTTCATGCCCGAGAACTTTCTAGAAATCAATCGATACTTCGCTTTGACGTCATACTGCAACCAACTGCAACATGATTGGCCAATCGACCAATGCCTTCTCCATATTAGGTCTTTTTGGTGGGAAAACGAAAAGGCCATGTTTTGACCTTTTCATCCATTGGCTGATAAAACAAATAACGAACAATTACTGAAACCATTTTTCAAGGTCATGTGAAAATCGCTCTGATAGTCCCCGAAGAACCGTCCACCTTACGCAAGTAAAGATTTTTTCCGTTTTTCCTTTTACAGTATCCTTTTTCATTTCACTTAGAAAAAGGTCTACTCTTTTGACTTACCAAGGTTCCAATTAAATTCTGTCAAGTTCCGAAGCGTTACAATTGTTACTAAAATCAAATAGTGAAATCGTTCTCTTATATCTGCAAAAAGAAAACAAAAACTTAGCCAGAGTTCTCTCTACAAGTAAACTATAAATTCTTAAAATATAACGACCGTATTTCAACATACCACTGCATGCCATTTGAAATAAGTTGTTCTTTTCAAATTTCTTGAAAACACTTCCTTTTAGTTCCACAAACTGGTGAAGACAAAAATATACAATCAGCTTTCTCTCTCTCTCTCTCTCTCTCTCTCTCTCTCTCTCTCAAGCAGCCACTTCCTTGTTAGCCTCCCGCGCAGAAGTTCTCAGGGGTGAGTGTTGCATTCCTGCCCCATTAACAGGGCAGGAACGTGTGACAAACCCCTAAGAACATCTGCGTCATGTTACCGTTTCTGATGAAATAAGTTAAATTTGCATTGCACCATACACTGTTCAAGTGCTGAAAATCAGTAACTGCCCATTTTAACCACCATGGCAAATGGAATTTTGCAATTGACCGCGATAACTCAAACCCTCGCTAACTTTTACATTTCCCTTCACAGTTACTGGAGTTCCACTGTATTACTAACAAGTGCACCTACCTGGTTTGACACCATGATGACTAACAAAGCTTTGTTGTGTGAATTAACAGCAACATTGAGACAGATGGATTGAAACAACACTAAAACAGCATGAAAAACTTCACATGTTAAGGCTAAACAACTATACCAGAAATATATGTCCTTTCTGGTGAAGATCGTACTATTCGGCTTTTCGGCTACACATTTGATGGATTTCACTTTGCGCAGAACCAAATAAAACCCAAGATACTTTCCCCTGTGAGGTTATGCATTTTAATAATCATTTCTATTTTAGGCCACCCGGCTTTGAAACTGCACAATTCTGCTTCCAAAACAAGGATGCCATCAGTTACCAAACATTTACAGGAAATGCATTAACATTGTCCAAATACGATCAATCAGCAATGACAAAGAAATTGAAACTGTAATATGCCAAGCAGATTTAATGATTTTGTCTACGACTTTTAAGTCATTTAAAAACATCATAAGTTTCATTACGCATCTGAAGGATACACACATAAACGACTGCCATAACAAAATGTGGAATAATTCCGATATGTTCACGTCTTCTATCTTTTGGTTCAGTTGCTGTCCAAAATAGTGCGTCCAAGATGTCTTGTCCAAATGATGAAAACAGTCTGTCTGCTATCTACAAGACAGTAAAAGTTTAGTTGTAAAATATCAAATAATTATTAAAGTTAAAACAGAGAAAAAAGACAAGGAAGAAAGGAGAAAGAGTTTTGGGGGGAGGAGGGAGTGGGGATACAGGAATACAGTGGAACCCAGTTAATGCGACCTCTGTTGGGCCATAAAATCCTGGTCGTAATAATGAGGTGGTCTCATTAATGGGGTCTTCAAAATAATAAAATGACTCTGTTATTTTTAAGTTTGGGTTGAAAGAATATGGTCGTAATAAAGAGGTGGTCGCATAAACAGGGTGGTTGTAAGGCGGAATTCCAATGTACTCACTGTAGTGGCCTTTGAGGGATATCTCACCTGATAGGGGTTGTTTTTCAGGCTTAGTGGAAGTATATAGAAGGGCAGAGACTTCATAGGCTGAGTTATAGAATAGGGTAAGGAGAATACCACATACACTGTAGGTATATAAAGGTGTTTAAGGGTACAAGAATAAATTATAATCAGCAAATATTAATCTGTATCTCTTGCTTCAAGTCTTGCCACTGCAATGCTTCCTCTCAACAATAATTATTATTTTTCTTGTTTGAAGTGATCACATGTGGTGGCTAAAGCTATCGCTGGTCCTCAGAGGCTGTTTAGTCTAGAAAAGATTTAGTGTTTGGTATTTCAAAGAAATGAGATTCCAATGGGGTAATTTAAAAACTCTTTACTTTCTGAGGACAACTGCACAAGATTTTCTAACTTGTACCTCTAGCATGTTGTAAATGACGTAAAGTTTGATGACTGATTGTCCTCTCACAATGTGGTAGAGAACAGAAACATCCACATAAGTTAAAAGTACCCAGCAGATCACAACAATTGATCCTGAAAGAAAACTATCATTATTTAGAACTTCATTGTAAAACACAATTGAATTAACTTCACAAAGAATATATATATCTTGATGAGAAATTTCTTGGATATACATTTTGAAAATATGTCATTCACAAAATGCAGGCAAGGTCAACATAACTTTAAAAACTAAACATGAGAACCATACCTTTCAGTAAGTCACATATTTGTGCAGGTTGTAACATTCGTGACCTGAATAACAAAGTTAAGACAGCGTAACTGAGATAAGTGAAGGCCATTAGATTTTGATAATTTAAGATTTAGTTAATTCAACAAGAAACTAAGATTAATGCTGTGACAGTTCCCTGTTACAAGTATTGGAGCAAGTGTCATTCAGTTCCTAAAAATTAATTATTATTCATTTAAAATATTTCCCCAACTCTGATTGGCTAAAAGCACACGCACAATTCACTATAACCAGTTACTGATGACCAAATTCGGAAGAATTTTGTGTTTAACGAGGAAATGATGTCAAAAAAGCAGCCCACTACAGGTTAAGGCACCGTTCACCGAGAAGACCTGGGGACTAGGTTGAGCCATTTTGGTTGTGAAAAAAAAATGGCGGACATTTCGCCCGTTTCAAGAGTAAGAACTACAGCTGGAACTCGGCGAAATAATCAGGGCTGTCAATAAGATTCCAAGTTGCCGGGTAAAATACAACAAGTAGGTGGGGAATCAAACACCTAGGGATTTCTTTTGGTTCTATTTTTCTTCTATTTTCCTATGAAAGTAGCCGGGGGCCATGTTCTTAGTAGGCCGGGGAAATCCCGGGCCCCCGCCTCTCAATGACAACCCTGAATAATAGCTAAAAACATGGCAAAAACAGCTAGAAGACAACTCAGAGGGTGACATCTGCTGTTTGGAGAAAATTTGCGGAGCTGGACAAACCTAAAGGTACACTATCGAAGATGAACTTAACATCGATCCAAGTAAGCATGTTTTAGCTATGTTTTTAAACTAGGAATTATTTTGAATAAATAATAAAACAATTAACGAATTCAGCTTTTGTAGTATATGAAGAATTAGGCAGATCGAGGAGGGTGTACCCTCCTCGATCTGCTTAATTTCATATCCTATGAAAGCCAAATTCATTAATTGCTAATTGATACACGTATTACAGTCAAACCCCATTAATACGAACATTGAGGGTGCCATAGGAAGTGTCCATATTAATGGGGTGTCCCTATTGAGCAGGTTAAATTTAGAGAAAATGTAAGGGCTTTCTTTTCGGAGGGACAAATCAAACTGTCTGTAAAAATGAGATGTCCGTAAAGGGGGGTTTGATTGTAATAAAAGTTTTGTATCATTTTGTAACTCACATTCTGCAAAACAGCAGTCCAGTTAAAATCTTGTAAAATGCAACAATCAAACGTAATGGAAGGAATGTAAACATGAACAAAAAACAGTCAAGGCACAGCATGAAACCAAAAACCATCAGCTGAAAGAAAACAGAAACCCCAAAACAATGCTGTGAGTGCAAACTGTTTTAAAAAAACAAAACTTAGGTTTCAATAATGCTGTAATTGTGGTGAGTTTAAGTATAAGATAAAAATATAACAATGATTTTAAGAATAATTTATTCATAACCTTTGCACCTTAAAAAAGACTTTTAATTTTGTAACCATATAATGATAAAAAAAACCAAGAAAACTGTAGAGAATAGTGCTTCAAGTTCTACAAACAAACACAAGCAAACAACAAACAAACAAAAGGAAGAATATTAACCTTTTCAAACTCTCTTGGAATTTTCATGAATGTGTACACCTTCTCACGCTTTTCTGTATACTTGTCTTCTTCAAGTTCCATATACTTTCCCCGGGAGATTTCTGCCATAATGTACTTCATGAATGACAGCTCTAAAGTGAAATCATGAGTCATAAATTCAAGCAAGACTGCACCGACACGAGAAATTTGACACTATTTTCACTTCTTAAGTCATCATACATTAGACAGTCCGCCTGCATTTTGCCGACTTCAAAAGGGAAAGGAGCAGCGTTCCTGACACTATCCCCTCCAAGCAATGTCATGCCACTGTATGAACTACTTATAACAAACAACAAACACCCCAAATTTGAATGGAGGGCAAAGGGGAGGGGTGCAGATTGTTTTGTTCTTTTGAAGTAACCCAATTAAGGACAGTGTCTCAACAATTTTGTTGCCAACTGTAGCTAGTACAGCGTGCAAAGAAAGTCGTGTCCGATAGCCCGGGGCTAGTGGATTTTGCTATCGGGCTAGTGATTTTTGCTCTTAACTTGCCCGACGGGTAAGTGCTGTTTTTCGGGAAAATTCAAATTGCAGAAGGACTGTAATCAATCCTGCTTAACAAAAAGGGTTGGGGACCAGTTAAAATGACATGTGGGCCAGTACATGCTACCTACAGCTTGCCCGAATGGCAGGCTGTAAAACTGACTTTCTTTGCACTCTGTAGCAGCATTCTCTCTTTGTTTTACTAACAATGAATAAATAATAGAACCTTTTAACTTTTTTTTTTCTTTCATGACACCCTTTCAATTTTGCCTGAAGAAAAAAAATGCCTTTTATTGTTGTAACTCGTCATTGTTTCTATATACACCCATCTTAATGTGCCCAAATTGACATAAGGAGGGCCAACCTACATTCCCATCATAATATTGTTGAAATGCTTGCGAATTCAATGTTGATCTCGAAAATGCTTGTGCCAAAGCACACATTTGAAACCAGTATTGCCGAAAGGGGAGGGAAGCAATATATGTATTCATGAATTGAGTAAGTTTATCTTGAGTTTTCCGGAAGTGTTTCAACAAATTATGACAAATTATACAGGTATTTCTTGGTGTTATGGAAATTATTGTTGTTTAAGAACTGTTCCATTGTGTGGATATAATCTAGTGTCTTCTAAAATTTTGTATCAAAATATGTGGGTATCACACCATCTGCGACACCAACAAACCACCTACTTACTTCTTACACCATCATGAAGGTCCTGTTCAGAAGCTTCCTCCTTTATCACTGGACTTTCTTCAACTTTATTGTGAGACTTTCTACTTGGTTCCACGACCTCCACTGCTTCAGAGGAATTGTCATTACTTTGCAGCACCCTAGTTTCTTCGTCTCGTTTACTCAGTCTCTCATTAGTAGAGTATCTATGTCTAAATTCCATATCTGGTGATCTCTCCGTAACTCGTGATTCCAATAATTTTGTAACGTTCTCAGTCTGAATTAATCCCTTAGAATTGAACATAGTTGAACTCGTTCTCTCTAAATCCTCATTTTTAATACATTTTTCATCCTCACTAAAAGTAGATTTGTCCACAACAGACTCAATATGACTGTCTTTATCCAGATCATCCGAGTTATTTACAAAACTCGTTGGTGTCCATCTCCAACTCTCACTCTCCAAATCGGGATTGATTTTTTCGGTAGATTTCTCATTTTTTTCATCATCCAGATTGGAACATGAATCAAAGACCTCTCTATGAATAACAACTTCCGTGTCTGAACCATGCAAATTCAGCGTAGCAGACGAAAAATCACAACTTTCCTGTTTTTCTTTTTCCACATCATCCGCCATGTTGTCGTCTTTTGAAACAACTTTCGATGGAGAGGACACTGGGAACAAATCAGTAAAAGTAGTTCCCAGTTTTCGTCAGAAATTTCCGTCTAGTTTCCATGACACCTCTGTAAACTTCACTTATGGCGGACTTTCGCGGTATCTTTTCATCCTCTTCTTTTAGGTTTTGGTTTTCAGTCATGTTTTGAGTTCAACAACCGAGAAAACCTCTTTGAACAAAAATGTCTAGGGCACAGGCTGAAAGCGTCATCAAGAATATCATACGCGAAATCGCGCAGGAATGTGCAAACAAAGGCCAAGCTGTATCCGAAACTCTGGTAGCATTTATGGTGGGTGAATTGCTGTTTCTAAATTTATCTCGTTTTGTGCTTATCGATTAAATAATGTGGATTTTATGATTTTAGGTCAAGGCAGTTGTTTTAGATCCTGATAATGAGTTTAACGTGGACAGAACTCTTACGAAAGATGATGTACAAAAGCTTATTATGGTATGAGAAGGCGAATGTCTTATTTGTTTAAGCTATTTATTCATTTATTTACCAGTCGCTCAATACGGAGCATTTTAGACCTCAACTACAAGATTAAAGACAGAGATTGATAAGGTTTACTGAAAACGGGGCTACATTCTCTCAACATCAACATCAAGTGAAAGTTTCAGTGTTGAGGAGGTCCCTAAATATTTCTTATCTACTGTATCTGTTATGAAAAACAGTAAGCTTAACTGGTTTATACACTTAGCAGCGGCCATCCCTAGGGACGGACAGAGGATTTTGTGATAGATGAGGCCTAGAGATATAGTATGCAGTGGCAATTGGGTGCAATAGCACCCATCAGGACTGCGAACAGCGCACTTCTATAGGGAGTTTTGGGCACATGCTCCTCTGGGAAATTTTTTCAGATTGAAGTTCTCTGAGATGCAATCAAGAACATTCTGGATACAAATGCCTGGATTCCATATTGAACATGTAATGCTAAAATATTTAAGAAAAAACACTCCCAGACAAAAGGGGGGGGCAGGGCAGGGCACTCTTGGCCCACCCCTAAATCCACCCTTGATCCCAGGGTCTTAAATCCCCCTTACCCAAGAACTACATTTATTATATACATACTGAGAAATACTCACCAAAAAGCTATGTCGTAAATTTTCGTACGCAAATTAGTTATAGCCAATCAGAGGAGCGAACGATGGTTTTCACACGTGAAAAAAACGATACGTCCAATCAGAATCGCGAACGATGTTTTTTCACGTGTGAGAAAAAATGATACGTCCAATCAGAAGCCACAGAGGTGTGCGAGTTTCACGCCAAAATTCCCGCCTTTTATTGCAGCTTGCAGCGCCGCCACACACATTTATCAACGAGAAAAGTTTTACTCAAGGAGTTTTTCGCTAAAAAAGTGAAAAACATTTCGAAATGGAGTGGAATAGTTTCGTTTGTTTCACTGTCGATAAAAAAATACGGTAGAGAGCCGGCGAAACAACAGCGGAAAGGGATAAACAGAACGAGGCGTAAGCTTTTGTTGTGCTTTTTGTCGGAGCTACTTTGCCTTTCATTTAAGCTTAAGCTTATATTGAAACCGCCATTTTACTTAAATTCACTCATTTTCAATTGTGCATTGAGAACAAACAGTTAAGATTACTTATAGTTCTTGGATTAAACCTCATATCCTCACCGTCATTTATGTTTTTAACAAACGTTTTTACTAAAAAGCTGATACTTCGTTTTTCGTTGTCATTTTATGCGGTAAGTGTGTAGCGGCAAATTTTAGCATTTTTGAAAGATTTAAAATAAAAAGGCCCAAAAATGATGAATGACTCAGTATGTATATAATAAACACAATACCACATGGAAAGTGCTTTTTATATGCGGTATTTACGCTTTTCGTTGTTTTTTGTATCAGAAATCTTACTCGTTCGCTGCGCTCACTCGTTCGATTTCTGATACGTCAACAACTCGTGCGTAAATACCGTACGCCAGCACTTTCCATGAAGTATTCTCTATTTCTCCACAAAAAAACCACCATCATCACTCCCCTAGGGGTAGTAGTTCATTTGGATAAGGGACAGGTAGGAGAGAACCCTGAGAATGAGGTTGAAGGGGCCTTAGTCACAAATTGCAGTATTTTGAAAGACTTCCACATTTAATTTTAATTTAGCATGTGAAAAGTGAAGAAAAAGCAAAGGTCATGTAATTCTTTTTGTAAAAACAAACTAGATAGAGGCGTAGTGGCATGTTTTCATCTGGTTGATAGTAAGACATTTGGTACCTTCTGTGCCAGTCCTGCCACCTTTTACAGGGTCATGCTGTAACATTATGGTCTATTCGCAGGAAAAACTAACAGATTCCCATGTTTGGATATTTTAGGGTATTTGAAGAATACCCACAAAAATCCCAAATTTGGAAGAGTGAGACAAGTCCCAATCAGGGAACTTGGTTGGGAATTCCCTGGTTGGGACTTGTCTCACTTTGTCAAATTTGGGATTTTTGTGGATATTCATTAAATACCCTAAAATATTCAATATTGAGAATCTGTTATTTTTTCCTGTGATTCTGAGATCTCTCTCCCAGTCCTTCTCTACTAAGTGCATTACAATTCCCACGGGACTTTCCTTGGGGGATCCTGTTACAAAAGTGTAATTTGTGACCCAATCCCTCCATCCCGGGTTAAAAATTTGTAGCAAATATCATAAAAACCTGCACCATGCCCACGTTTGTCCCTGGGGTTGACCCCCAGGATGTCTGCTGATGAGTGGATAAATTTGCTTCCATCTCCTCAAAAAGGTTTATGTATACTTTTCTTTACTTTACTTTTTATACCTTTAGATGTACAACATGATAACAGAGAAAAGAAAACAAATTTGCCAGTTTTAGTTCACATGGAAATGGGAAAGTAGGGGTAGCTAGGGAGCATTCCCATAGATAACCAAACTCATCCTCACAACCATTCTTTTCACTTACTGGCAGGTGGTAAAAGGTAACTCATACCTCAGTGGTCACCCCTATTAATTAACCTTGACTGAACCTCCCCTGTTCTCCATTTCTTCTATAATTTGCATAGAATAGGCTGTAAACAGGTTCTTGGTGTGGTAACTTATAGGAGGAAAAGCTGAGCCTGGTTAGCTCGATAGGTGGAGTTATTACCAGGCCTCTAAGGCAGCAGGTCTGGGTTATTTGACATTAATACCTTCTCTTTGTTACTTAGCTGTGTGTGGATCGACTACTTGACTCACAGTCTCCATCCCTGGATACAGTCAAAATGCAGGTGTATTTTGACATGAATTATACCAGTAGAGGTAAAAACATGAGTTTCTTCTTGGATTAGCTGCTGAACTCAGTGCTTCTTTGACATTACGCCTGCAAGAGCAGATACTTTTTTTGGCTTTTGCAGAAAGCCGAAAAAGGCATTAACTCTCGTAGGATCTTCTTGGATCAGTTCTAGGCGTTGTTGTTTGTTACTTTCATGATTAACTTTCCACCTTTTCATCTCTTGCTTTCTGGGCAACTCTTACCTAAGGTGTCTCTATTACTCGGACCATTTCAAAGGTGTACTTACAGTTAACCCGAGGCTTGTTTTATTTCTGACAAAAACAACATGATTTACATAGGAAAAGTAGAGTGATTGTATAAAAACAGGGTCAATTTGTAGCAGTTGTATTTTGTCCCAGCTAGGGATGACATTATACAGGGCAAACTGAACTGTCACTTTGGAGCTGAAGTTATTCAGCGTTCAGCAATCAGTGAAATACCCCTGCTGGTCAATTTGAGCCTTGCATACACATGTACAAACCCAACTGTAGGCTGGACTTTCCCAGACAGTATCACAGAGAAGATGCCTGTGATATAGATCTCAGTTTTTTTCATTTATTTCTTATCCTCAATTCTTTTGCAGCTGATTTCTTGGAAGAGCACAGACGGGTTCTTGATCAGCGTCTTCAGCCAGTGATCAGAGAGATCACGGACAGCCGCGCCAGGACACGAGATGAACTAGAGGGTATAATAATAGAATTATTAATATAATTCATTTGCATGTTTGAGATTGCTAATGCTCCTGTTAGGTTTTACCATTAAATTTTTGAACTATTTTTACTAGTGATTATCAAAATAAAAAAATTTCAATGAACTCATTAAAATGGTTTTCCCTCAAAATGTAATCAGCCCAAGTTCCAACTCACTATCAGCTATTGTAAAGAAGTAATAAATCTAGAAAAACGTAATATTATTAATGCCACCAATTTGCAAAACCCTGCATTTGAATTTGCACAGTGATGTAACTGAAATATCAAGAAGCATTATCTTAATTGAATCTGAGGGCTTGTGTTTGTAGGCCTGTACAGAAGAATAGTGTCATGCGTTTTGCTACGCTCTGGTCTGGGTTCACCTACAGACATTGCAGTTGTCAGAGAAGCCACAGGTTTGTCACTTTGTCTTGATAGTTTTCAACATTACAGGTTTCATTGCCCATCATTACTTCGATTTGGAAGACCTTTGATTAAAGGGGTAAATTGTGGCAGGTGTTTGAGACTGCCCTAAAAAGTAGTAATGTGAGACTCTTTTAGCACCAATAAACACTTCAATTGTGCTGCCAAAATATGACACAAACAACAAACACTGAAATTGACAGAGATCTCACAAAGGAATAGTCTGAACTGAGGTCAGCCCCCTTCAAATATGGGTGGCAAGTCAAGAGAGTCACTCTCACCTTGCCACCTGTTGGGTTGAAGAAGTGGCTATCACTTCAGACTAGCCTAAAAAAGGAAACAAGGATTAATGAGCTATAGTATACAATCATCTAAGTGTGAATGCGTAGTTAGTCACTGACATACATGTAATTTGATAGTGAGACTTCATCTGCTGCAGTGCACCCATCAGGTAAAGCAGGGCACAAGCATCATTCACTGTCAATAGTTAGGAAGCAATTTGTCCATATTGTTCAGCAAAGTATTTGCAACTCATTGAGTGAATACAGCCAAGTGTACATAAATCTTAGGACGTCTATAATTTTTAGAAGGGCAAAGGGGTGTGTTCAGAGGTTTACCAATCTTGTTGATATCCAATTGCTTTTCCTGTGTCCTTTGAAGAATTTTCATTGCCGGCATTTTTTTCATTAATTTTACAGCTGCCCTACAGAGTGTGTTTCCTCAAACAGAGCTGGGAACCTTCATGTCTCTTATTAAACGTGATAAAGAAAGGCAACTAAATGAGTTAACACTGATTGTGACAGGAATCAGACTTTTCAATCGGGAGTGTGGTAAAGGAGGAGAAGGAATTGATGATTGTAAGTTAAAATGAATTTAACTATGCACACAGAAAGGGCTTTGTTTTTTGACATAAACAGATATTTTTTCTTGCAGTTACTTCTCAAAAAGTAGATAACAATTCCATCAAGCAAATATTTTGCTCGTTCTTGCATTTCTTCCGTTCAGTTTTGGCCAGAAATTCAGCTTTAGCTCATGCCTTCAGGTAGCCGTGGATGCCATTTTGTTTAGTTCACTCTAGGCGGCTTTGCCTGGAAAAGAGGTTGTTCAATGGTCTATTGCTCATGCAGTCTCGTTTCCGAAATATACCAAATATACCATCGATCATCCTCATTTCCAAGTCAATACACTAGTGGTGGATCCAGGGGACGGGTGGGCGGCCCAGCACCCCTCTCTTATTTTTTGACCAAAATGAGGCCCGAAGGGCTGAAAAAAATTTTTTTGGAGACTGAGCCCCCCCCCCCCTCTTCTGTAGGTCTGCTGGATCCACCACTGCAATATACTATATCTTCCAAATTTGGTCAGTGGTCAGGTTGGTTATGAAGAATTAGCCGGGGGCTTTAAGACAATCAGAAACGGTAAAATATTTTGAATGAATAATAGTTATCATTGTTATTTATCTTTCACTTTGAGTGCCGGCAATACTGAGGGAAGCAGTTCCTGCAACAACTCAAAATGTCCAGGTGGAAATTCAAAACACAACCAAACTGGCTTTTACTTACACTGGTAAGATCTATGATTTCTATTCTGGCAGTGCTGTCCTCCATTGAATAATTGTTGAACAATTTTCAGGAGTTGTTATTAATTTCTTTTTTATGATCTACAGCAATAATAGAAGAGACTGTCACCAACCAGAAGCCGTTAGAAGGACTATCATTAAATTTGCTGAAAGAAGCTTTGATCAACACACGGCAACATGAAGCTTTTCTTTCCATTCTGCTGGTAAACTCAGTCTTCCACTTTACTCCCAAGTGAATTAACCTGCCAGCTTAAAGACTCAGTTTCTTCTTTCTCTTTTGACAGAATGATGTAATTGGCTGTGCACAGCAAGTGGAGGCACTAGAATCTCAGTTTGCTGCGAGAATGGAAGCCTTGAAAAATACAGTTCAATCAAAAACTGCTGTTCCTACAGCACAAGTTTATGTAAGCACCTTAAATGTTAGCCTGCAGTAATCTCTCATGGGTTGGAAGAGGTCAGTTCCAACCCCAACCCCTGGGGGGGGGCACTGCCATATATGGGCTATATAGGTATGTGCCGCTGTGAAGGGTATGGTTTTCATGCAGTTTACTCTAGGATAGGGTATATAAATCAGAGCGTTTGGGTCTAGAATAGGGTATTATTTTTCAGGAAACTAATCAGTTGGTTGAAGATTTTATCTAGACTAGGGAAACAGCTACTCTAGGATAGGGGGGATTTGGGAGTTTACTCTAGTATTGGGTAGCAAAATTCAGCTGAAGTAGCTCTGGTATAGGTTAAGGGTTCCAGGGTCCCAGCGGCACATCCCCACCCAGATATTCCTAAAGTACCCCCCCGGGCCCCAACCCATTGAAAAGAGCCAAACAGTGTGTTTGCTTGTCAGCAACTTTAAACGTGTAGTGCACCCGCAAACATTTCCGTAGATACCGAATGCCCCATTAACACCTACTAAACATGTTTAATTAAACCAGGTTTTAAAAAATGGAAAACTTGAACACAGGGTTTCACACAGGATTCAAATGAAATTCAACATGTTTTTAATTTGCACTAAATTTGCAATCCCTTTAAGTTAGTTGGAAGCTTTTATGAAGGAAAGAAAATTAAGTCGTGTTTAACTAAACTGCTTTTAAACGTGTTTAAGCTTCGGTGTGAATGGTTAAGTCTTAACTTTAACAAAAAAAGTACTAAACAACTTTACAGAGATTTTTCTTAAGGTAGAGCAGACACTATTAGCCTTTTACACAGCCGCTCCCTTCCCTCAGGAAAAGCTCCGATGTTTTTCCGGAGGGAAGGTAGTGGTTGTACGCAGGCTACGAATCTCTAAGATAAGTTGAGACCAATTCAGAAGTAACCTGGGATCTTTCATTTTTACTGTATTTTAGCCCCAGTTTATTACACTGGCTCATCTTTGGACTGGATTTCAGGATGAAATGGTTCTGCTGAGTGTTTTGAGTAACATTCTCGCCAGTTTAGAACCATTTACTAAGGTATGTATCATTTACATGTGTTATTTTAACAGTCTCTTCGAAACTCTTTTTTACTTTTTTTCATGGGTTACGCAAAAAAGAGACAGATAATACGTTGAGCCTTTCTAGAGTTCAAAAATTGTCATACGATTTTCCTTTATTCAACTACGCCCCAATGTTTAACCTTTTCACTTTCAGAAGTAGCCGAATGAAAAATTTACCAAACTTTCTAAATTTCATTTTGTAAAATGCTGAGAGACAAATAGTACCATGTAAAAGTACCGCTGAAGAGGTTTCATTTCATTGCCCACACCATAGAATTTAGTTCCGACACTTCCGACAGATGCAAAAGTTAGGACCAGCTCTTAAAATTGAAACTCATCGTTTGCTCTTGGACCAAGGGTTAACAGAACATGCTAGAGTTGTTGTTTGTGGTCGTTTCGGCGTAAAGCAACTTTGAGAACGTTGTTAAAAGTAAAAGAATTCTAAATGAAGCAGCCCCTCTCCCCAGACTGCGTTTTGCTCGTTATGCAATCAAGAAAATGGCAACTGGAGACTTAAATTCTAGCCTGCGAAAATAGCCGTTTCTCCTCGCTCTTCGCCGCTGAGGACGTTTCGCGAGGAATAACCGCGCGAAACGTCTCCAGTGGCAAAGAGCGAGGAGAAACGGCTGTTTTCACAGGCTACTTAAATTCTTCAGAAAATGTGATTTTGGGAGGGAACAAAACCTTATACTTTGAGCGCGTATTCGGTTTCTATTCGAACGCGCCTGTGATCTCCTCAAAAACCTTTTAATATCGTTACTGTAGGTGCACAAAGAATTTTTGAGGGAAGATGTTCTTCAGCCTTATACCGAGGGAATAGAAATCAAAACTGATGATCAGAGGCTAGTCGAGGTAGGTGCTAAGCTTAAAAGCCGCTCATGCAAATTTCTGTTATTCCTGCACAAAACAGAATTGACTCCCTGAGACGCGCGAGAGCTCCATGAAAAATCATTAGCTATAAAGGCTACCTCTTTCCACTCTTTCTGGAAAAACGTTGACGTTACAGAAAGAACTTGTGTGCTTTGTTTCGAAGCATCCTTTCTATACTGCTCAAATAGCCTGTGAACAGGCTCTCTGTTCATCCTTTCGCCAAACAGAGAGGCTGTTAACAGGCTACTGCTCAAAGTGTGCTTAAGATTGCCTTATTCTGCCGAAAAAATGCTCCCTTCAAAAATCGCTTATTCTTTGCAAAATTTTCTCGACAGTATTGAAGCCTAAGATAGCCCTGATTGACCAAGCGTAAGGTCAACATGGCTGGATATTGGATATTACTGTAACTAATACACCTTCATTGGTTTTCAACAGACTTCCTCTGAGGACGATAGAATTAACGGCAAGGAGATAGACAATCACAAGATTGAACTGCTCTTTCACGAGACAACGAAGAACTTTGACAAGCTGCCAATACAATACCGGGTAAGGAATGCAGTAAACATTTGGCTATCTCCTTGAAATGAAAGTCAAGTGAATTAAACATCGCGAGACCAGAACCAACTGAACCGTTAGGGGCTTCCAAACAATTTTCGTGTTCGGAAACGATTTGAGATCAATTTGTTGAAAATTTCTTGAGGATTTTCGGACAAAAAATGAAGACATTTTTAAATTTTTACCCCTAAAGGTCACGATTCAGTTTTTTTTTTCTGGCTAATATTAACCCTATAATTTTCGGATCACTTGATTCTCTGCAACTGTTTTTTAGGGATGTTGTCTATATCTACCGAAATAGTAAAATACGTTTAACAAGACAACTATATTCTCGTGGTGTCCCAACCGGTAGGCTGTATCAACTCAAGAGTAAAACGATCTAGTTCGCCAGAATAATTGCATCTCCCCACTGATGAGCTTATATTTTCATTATGCTTCTTGTTCAGGGTTTCTGTGGCTGGTCCCTGGTTGTTTACGATCGACTTTTAATTCCGTCTAACCCAGCCAATGGCGTGCTTCGTTATAAAGACAACTACTACGCCTTCTGCGACAAACAGGCTGCTTACGAGTTTGCAAATGCCCCAGATAGGTAAGACTTAATTGTTGATTACACACACCACGAGAATAGCAGGCGATTTATCGTGGTGTTCTAACGTGGTTACACTCGGGTTTTTTTTCCGCGGTATCAGAGAGGCGTGGTATCGGTACTCTCTACGTGATGCGCGTCTTTTACGCGGGAAATTTCATAGCCACGTTTTTGATTGGTTGGGTTTTTTGCGGTAGTGGCCGGACTCAGAAATCTTCAGAAATCCAAAGTAAACATCTGGGAAGCTGTCATTGGTTGTTTCCTTTGAACTTCAACTAGTTGCCATAAATATGACCCACGGTAAAATTTTTCCTCAAAGGAAGGTCTTATCTGTGGCGAAATACTCAACGATAACCGCAATTATTACTTTATTTGTCAAATCCTTGTGAAAATGGCTACAAAAATTTGCCCCACTCGCTTGTTCTTTCTGGCTGCGCGTTTTAGCCGTAAATTACAGTTTTTCACCTTTTGGTTTTTATGTAGCTATATCAACGGTGTGGCAGAAGCAGCTAAGAAGTCTCCTGAACTCATTCAACTACTTGAATTGCACACCCAGTTTGCATCTATTACACCCTATGCACAGGTAAGATTAGCCTATATGACACTATAACATTTCTCAAACGGCCGCGGCGCTATCCAGTTCCCCTTCAACGTGGTCACCTCTCCGAGTATCAGTCACTACTGGTTTAGGCACAGGCTACCCAGACTCACAACAGCCCACTCAGCGTCAGCCGGCACTCAGCCCATCAGAGTTCGAAGCAGATACGTGCACTCGACGCAGAGCGCGAAAACAAGAACAACAACAAACAGGCAGCAAGAAATTCACGTTTTTTGTGGTATCCTTGCCATTGGTGAACTGGCTCGAAACGTCTAGTCCAATACAAACGCAGGAATGTCCCAAAAACAAAACATGCGAAAAACCTCTAGTAATGTTATGATATTTACACAGGGAAGGGAACCAGGCAGAATGATTGAGGCTCCAGTCACCAAATGTGACAGTGGAACACAGACAGATACACACTTTATGGAGTCTAACATTGTAAAGTCATATGAGTGGAACGAGTGGGAACTTCGGCGAAAAGCCCTGAAACTGGTCAGTGATGACAAATTATACTTTTCTATAACGCGTGCTTGGTGGAAACAACTCTCCAATCAGAATCTGAATTTAAATCTAGGCAAGGCAATCCTTGTGGTTTGGGTCGGTTTCGTACGCTTTAGAGAAGATCAACTGCTTAACTTAGCTAATTAAGCAGTCGATCGTCTCCAAAGTGTACGAATAAATTTCATGTCGTTGAACGAACACACGAGATAGCATTGTTCTGATTGTTACCATCCAGAAATCCCCATCGAATGAAATAGGTGAGGGCCATTCCATTTAAGACACACTCCTTTACGAAGTACTTTTAAAATTTCAGGGCTCAGAAAAATAATTCTTTTTCCCCAGAAAAATGCAACCATCCAGAAATCCACATCAAAATAAATAGCAGAAATTTGCGAGTTGAAGTGTAATTTTTTGTTTTTGATTGAATTTGTTTTACCTTTGATGAAATAAGTAAAGAGGAAGCTCAAATGTTTACATTTCTTATCTAGGCTAATCTTCGTACAAAACTGACACATTCGATGCAGACGGACTTGAGTAACTTTAGAAGAGATAATGACTCACAAGTCTACCTACCCAAGTAAGTGCTCTGAAAATGTCCTTGATATTTTTACAAATAAATAAATAAAGCTAACCTTAGAGTTTCCTCAATCTGCGAAGCATGGTTATGTATATTTTGAACCAGATACGACAGGGAAAACTGTTCATGACTTAACTTTCAAGACTGTCTCAACTAAAAGAAAAAACATGACGTCATAAAAGCATTTTTTGACGTCAAAGGTTTAGCGCGCGCTTGCAGAAAAAAAATGCGCGAGAGCGGGAATTATACGCGCGGAAACTCGAAGGTACTTTTTGCCTTCTTTTTTATGTTTTTTGTTTTATGCAGTGGTTTAAATTTATTTTCCTCTGTTTCTAACTCATTATCATACTGCACTGCCAGACTCAAAAACAAAGAAAAATAATATTTAAACCAAAAATGAAATTGAACCAAAACATATACTTAAACGTTGTTAATTTTGTAATAGCCATTAGTGACCCCCAAAAAGTTTATTTTTGTAGCAAATGTAAATATTTTCTTTGTTATCCTCGCTTCTTCCAGGGATGCGGTTACACAAACGAAGCGAGAGTCTTCAACAAATGTTCCAAAACCGTCTACGTTTATCGCTGGTTTGCGGGGCTGCAACTCGACAAAAACTACCATGAATGTTGTGGATCTTACGTTGGACGTTGATCAAACGTGAGATATTTCGTGCACCTTCAATTGATTCAACAACGGAGGCAGTTTTTGCGAAGAATTTTTGTAAATAAAAGTTTGTTCACCCTGTCGGTATGTCGACATTTTATTTTGTGCAAATAAAGATTTTAGTAGTGGTTGAATTTCGTATTAAAGTCTTTAAGTCTAGCTCTGTTGTGTTTTCTGCCGTATAAGGAGGTTGAGGCAGCGCAATTCATTCATATCCAGTACGTATAATTTTTACAGGCGAAGAAGCAAGTCTTGAGTTTAAATTAAGTTTATTAATTCCATATTATTTCTCGTAGTGTTACATAAAATGTACGTAAGATTTTATACATGTAATTGATTACAAACTTGTTCAAGTTATGTCCTTTAAGGAGAGAAGCAGTGGTATCGATGAAAAGCGAAAGTCGTTAAAAGTTTTCTTGTACAATTTCAAAATAACTATTAATATTTTTAGTTAATTCCCAGCACCTTTGAGGCGGTTGCGAACTCTCTAGAGGAAGGAAAAATAAAGCACGTCAGATAAAAAGTCTTTCACTGCGAAAAAGAGAAATCTTCAACTTTTTAATCAGATCATACCTTGCCGTACAATTGTGCTCGCAGTCTATTTGTTCGGTAAAAAGCTTGTCGCTTCACTTGCTCATTTTTTGCTTTTACCTCAGGTAGATTCTTGTACAGTCTATAGGGGGAGGTGAAGAAACATTAAAGACGAAGATTAGATTGTCAAAGCGTACACCAGTGGCAAAACACCGCGTTCAAACGAAACCGGCGGCGGGGTTAAGGTTTGCACCAAAATAAAATGCACAAGGATTGTTGCAGATGTTTTAAATTTCTCTCGAGATGACTGTGATACCCAAGGGAATTTTAAACAATGAATAAGCAAAAGATTGTGGCTCAAAAGAGGGGTTTCATCGGCACTGCGAAAGTGGGGAACATAGACGGGACGGTCCTGTCTCTTGCACGGTGCGAATACAATAGGGCCATTTATACGAGGAAAAATAAGACGCGAACTTTCCGTATAAACGGCACATTTCGTCTAAAATAAGACGCGGCTTAGCTAAGACGCGCTCGTATGAATGGTACAGTTCGCGTCTTATGTAAGACGCGTCTTATTTTTCCTCGTATAAATGGCCCTAATGTCTCTCAAATGAAGTCATTTTTTAATTGTTCTAAAAATGGAGAATTCTCCTGGATAACGTAATTCAAAAGTAGTAGAGGAACTTTTAGTCGTGATGAACAGTATGCAAAAAGAAACCCATTTTCTAATCTCCAGCTCAGAGCCCGTGAACGACAGCCGGCTTCCTAGGTGCTGACAACGGGGAAAACAAGTTCTAGCCCTTGGTGTTCAAGCGTTGGATAGCGCTTTCCTTGGGATAAAAAAATATCAAGCGGATAAACATTAGAGAAACAAATTGCGCTATCCACTGGATAGAGATTTGTCCAGCGGATAGCGCTATCCACCTTTTGAACAAACTCTGCCCTGGCGACAAGACTACCGGTCTACTAAAGTTAATCAGTTTACTTCATTTTGTAAAAGTTCTTCAGCTGATTTACCTTTTGTTCAATTCTTTTATCTCTGCTCGAGTCATCTGCCTTGGTTTAGGTACATGAAGTTGATCTAAAGGCGGATTACAAAAAGTTTGAATCATCGTATAATGTAACACAAATTTAAGCACCATAACTCCAACAGCTCTTCGAGAGGATAAAATCATCAAGGTCGTACAGGAAATGTTTTGACTATCAATACCTAATTCCATGAAAGTGCACAACAACTTTATAATAATGGAGTAAATCAATAAACCGCAGGCGGAGGGTAAAATGTTTTTTACACTTTTTTAAAAATTTCGAAGTTCTGGTGAGTGACGGAAGATCATTACGCGTGTTTTGACCATCTGTCACGTGAAACTTACGCAAAGCACAGCGTTGGAGGAAAAGCGTTTGGACTTTCGATACGTTGTCGCCTTCACTTCCTAACCTTTGGTAAGTACTAGTTCGAGTAAATACGGTACGGTTAGTCTTCAGGCGATGAGGTCTACTGGTTACGCGTCGCCTAGAATGGGAAGTTCACTACAAGCTTAGCGACAAGAAAACAACAGCCTCACTCACCAGCACCCTTTACACGCGGCTTGAACTTAGGAGAAACAACATACTCCAGACGTTTTGCTCTCTGAGCCTCTGCGATCCTGTTTTCCTCTGCAGCAGTTTCTGCAATCATTTTACGTCTGTCTTTCTCTCGTGCAGCCTCTTCAATTCTTGCCACTCTCTCCTGTGAACGCTTCACAAACTGAGGTCGTGCGTACAGAAATGCTTCTTGAAGGCTAAGTTTCTGAAGAGAAGGAGACGGATTAACCGCAGAATCGAACACATCCACTCGTAATTCATCACTAGTGCGACTTCTACTCGGCGTCTTGAAATTTGTCTCCGTTCTTTTTTCGGTCTGCGTTTTGCTCGTTAAAGGTAGAAACCAAGTGGGAAGTGGTGCCCTAAGAGTTCGGTCTGAACTTTTTTTTGCACCGTGACCCGGAGAGTTCTGACTGGCCACCAATCGCTCTTTTGGTTTATGCTTAGATTCTCGATGGTCCACTCGGTATATGAAATCTGACTTTGAGGGCGAGGGCTGAGAAATAACTCCAAACTCTTCGGCATCTCTAAGAGGACTCTTGGCTGACTTACGCTGGGATTTCATGGGTTCACTGTCAACCAGTCTCTTTCCTCTTCGTCTGATGTCAACCTCTTCCGTTTGCGTGCTAGCGTCTTCATGCTGCCGTGAATAATCGGAGCTGGGAGACTGGCTCCTTGAGACGACTGGAGTAGGGATATTGACACCAACATCTCGTTTCTTTGGCATGCCAAACTCCATGCCATTGTATATTTCTTCTCTTGCCCTGAGACCATATGAAGCAGCCGTCTGTGCGACAGGCCTTTGCGAGCAGGTGCATGGGATTTGTGGCTCTGACCCTGTAGGTCTGGAGGTAGAAATGGGTATATCGAATGCTTGTGGTCTCGGAGGGTGTGTCACTTCTGAAGGTGCCCCTCTTTCTCTCTCTGGTGTCTCTTCTTCTCTTTCCCTTCCAGCTGTTCCATCACTCGATACAAATGACGCAGACTCAGTTGAAGTGTTTTCTCGAACTCTGACGATTGGCGAGATATCACGTGCCTTGACAGACTTGAGCAATTCCCTCAGGCGTATCTTATGTTTGATGGAGGAGCGCAGATGAGGCTCCATGAAGGCGTAATTGAAATACTCAGACACGTCCGACGAACCACTCGACGAGCTCGTCTTGTGTCTTTTACTTCTTTTACTTGGCCATCTGGACGTAGGGATGACGGACATCTGAGAGGACGAGGAAATACTCTCGTCTGTCGACTTTGAGATAAGAGAGGACAACTTGGAAATATTGGCATCTAGCCTTGCATGCGAGTCTTTCCCATCGCGAGAGCGATGACGAGACTTGCTATCATGGTGCTTTCTACTCCTCGATGCCTGTTCTGACCGCGTTTGAAGGGAGGAAGAAACAAGACTGTCAGCAGGGTACTTTGATCGTGATTTTCTTGAACTACCGGATCTTCCACCGGCAGAATGGTCGGTACCTTTTGAATCTGTGCTTTCCATATACTGCCCAGCTAACCGCCTTGATCTTTCTCTAATATCAAGTGCTTGCTCTGGCGTTCGCTCTGACGTACGGTTACGGACAGACGCGTCTTGACTAGCGGAAGGGCGTGACTGGTGACCATGCGAACGGTCAGACCTTCTTTCCTCACGTGAAAGATAATCATCGTCGTCATGATGGAAATCGCTTTTTCTCAGCACCTCACGTGCCTTTTTACCTTTGCGAACATTCGATTCTCTTACCATCCCATAATCTTTCGTTCTCGGCCTCCTCAACCCTTCATCCCTTTCCATACGACCTTCGTAATATTCCAGCCCTGGTTGAGTTGTTTCACGATAAACGGCTGCACTTCCAGCTAAATCAACGTCTTCCCTTGACGGCTGCCTACTGCCATCTCGAACACTATTTGGTGTAGAGTCCCCTGAAATGTAAACCATGCCCCCACGGTTTTGACTGGCATTTTCTCGTGCAGGGTTAGGTTCAAGACCAAGAGCCTTACGACGCCTGTTCGTGCTTCCAGGACCAGACGACCTCCGTATGTCGTAAATACCGTACGACGAGGTATGGTTTTCCTGGTTCTCCAAGCCATCCCGATATAAAACGGGCCTGTACATCTCATCTGAGGATGAGAAGTCAGTAGTTGAATGGCTACCAGTATGTTTCGATGCAGTCAAATTGCGATCATTGGTATGAGCTGAGGCGTCGTCTTCTTCAATACTCTGCTCTTGCAACGTTCCATTCTCTAGTACGCTGGATCGTTCTGTAATTGGACCCAGGGGTGTGGACGACTTTTCCTTTTGTGAACTCAACTGACCTAAGCTAGTGACAGATATGGGAGAAATGGTACCTGCTCCGAGAGACCAGTGTAAGGACTTGATATGACTGTCATCCAGTTGTATTGGAGTACCAAGATCACCACCCTGACTCTGCCTTTCCGGAATGGAAGATGATTCGTCTTTACCAGGCAGTCTAGGAGCAGTATCTATTTCCCTAGACCTTCCTGCAACTATTCTTCTGTCACCATTCTCCATTTCCTCAGACCGTTTCTGGCTATGTTCTGAATGTTTCGACTGTCTTTGCATGCGCATGCGCAAATACTGACGATCGCCTTCCACCACTGGCTCATATGACAGGAGATCATCCGTATCATCTGAGGATGCAGTTGCATCACTGTCACGTACATGTTGCACACCGCCTACACTCTGTAGTGTTTGTCTTTCTTCTCGTTCTGTCCCGTTTGGATAATAAGATGAAGCTCCTGTTCTGTCACTGAGATTTCCGCTGGTTTTGCCAGATACCAATACGCTATCTGCTTGCTTGGGACTGTGACCAGACAACTCCCTGGACGAACTTGTCGGTATTCTACTTTCCATTGGAATGCTGCTTCCAACAGTGCTAGGAGGTGTTAGATCGTGTAAGGGTTCCAATAACGCACGCGTGTCCGAATGAAGTACTTCATGAGATTTTCTACCAATCATGTCTGTAGTAGTCGAAGGTGGTGTAACATGCTCTCCCCAAGCGATTCGCGAAGTCTTTAAGCTTGTTTCTATAGAACTGCGTGAACTTTGCGCGGGTGAATATCTGTTAGTAGTTGGCAAAAGGGGTGCAGGTAATGCATCAACCGGTCCATCAACAATTAAATTGTGGTGGGGAAAAACTTCACGTTTGTCAATGGAAGCTGCAGGATATTTGTCCTCTAAAATCCTACCATTTGCGACGCTACTAGTAGCAGAACTAAAGCGCGCTGGATCATGAGACGGTTTCTTGACAGCAAGTTCAGTTGATGCCGGCATCCTAACATTCGTGGCACTACTAGCTGCAGAACTGAACCGCATCAGGTCTTGCGTTGATTCCTTAATTGTTAGTTGGGCTGATGCAGGCATCCTATCATTCATGGCACTACTGGCAGCCGAACTGAATCGCATCAGGTCTTGAGATGATTCCTTGACAGCGAGTTGGGTTGATGAAGGCATCCTAACATTCGCACTTGTAGCTGCAGCACTGAACCGCATCAGCTCTAGTGAGGATTTTTCGGCGGTGGGCTGGGTGGAAGTGGGCATTCGTACAATGGCGTCACTGTTGGCTTCAGAACTGAACCGCAATAAATCATGCGGTGATTTTTTGGCAGCTGGTTCTAAGTTTGACTTTGGAACTGCATCGGCAGGGCTCATTTCGCTTGAATCATAAGGGACTCTTGCACTTGACCAGTTCGATACGCGTGTGGTTTCACTTCCTTCCGTGGCGTTACCCAGAGCAATATTGCTATCGGAAAACCTCCGATTAATATCATCAAGCGAATATCTCTCTCCCAAACGTTCTTCGTTATGAGTGGAAGCTCTTGAAAAAGGTGCATCAAGTCTATTCAATCGCTCAATGGAGGAGCGAGGTTTTGCCTGTGACGTCCATTGTGCTTCATGGACTCTTGACATACTAGTAGAAGCGGGCAGTCCAGCGCTTGACGTGGACCTTAAACTCTCTTCTGTCAAGGACTGTCTTTCAGAAGCCACTTCTTCTGCCTCGTCACTAACACTACCAGTCAGCTTTTCCTGTTTCAGTCTATCCAGCACTTGTTGTACTGCACGAAAGTTTGGACCAAGCAGTTTGGATACTGGACTCTCAGTATCACTGTCACTGTTCAACTGAGGGGCGCGTCGCTGCCTCAACTCGCTCATGAGGCTTACGCCTTTCTTGGTAGGAGGAACACTCCTCGCAATGATGTCCAGAGGTGTGATGTTGTGGTCACTCTGTGGTTGTGATAGTACAGACACATCACTTGCACTGTCTTTACTAGCAGCAGTCCCATTGTCGATGTCTGAGCTCTGCGAAGAAGGCACGACAGCTGGTTGATTGCTAGCCATCCAAGGCGTCCGTTTAAGGTCAGGACCGTCTCTTCCGTCAGGTTGTGATCTCTCTGGTGGCGAATGTTTGCTGTCATCATCTGACCAAGCATGTGGTATATTTTGTAATCTGTCGCCACTGTTTGATCCATGGGTAGCTGTGACTGCTCCAACATTTGTGACAGGACTAGAGTCTTCATCATCTTCTCCTACAGCGTTCGGTCTCAGAGGAAACCATTCACTTGCTGGTAGTTTTGGTTCTGCGCCAGACTCTTCCATGCTGAAGGAAGTACCACTGTCACCTGGATCATCCTCTTGTACACGCTCTGTTAAGATAGAAAATGGATACAAAAGGCTGAAAAGAGCTTTTAAGATGAGGAAAGATCAGTTTCCTTACTATCACTTCGTATGACTATTTTCATGTGGGAGAGTACTGCATTGGTTTTATCGCATTTGCCTACATTAAGCAGTTGGCCTTGTGAAAACAAAGTTACCGAGCAAAGTCGGTTGTCTGTACAAAGTACCGAGCAAAGTCAATTGTCTATACTTATTTAAACACGCTGCATGGTGCTTCTTTTTCAGCGTATGTAGGTATTACAAGCAAGACCAGTTTCTCACGGAAAGAAAGAAATCTCAGCAACTAACGTAAAAGCACAGTTATGAGATCCTAACTGAGAAAAAATAGAGGCTTCCAAATTTAAGAAAATGCTAAATTTTAATCTTTAATTTTCATACTGAAATACAAATGGTGTATAGGATAAAGAAGTGAAGAAGAAGTTTCGGTTGAATGGTCACTTCCCAAGATTTCTTCCACAGAGTCCAGTATCTCTGTATTTTTTCCATAGTTTCAACTCTTGGAGTAGAAAGTGCGTGCATACCATTAAGATTATCCGGATCAGGATCTGGGATCCGAGATCACTCAGATCATAGCACATCCAAGGAAACGACGAATCCTTCCTGGAAGAGGATTCATAAAGTCATTTGATACCATAACCATGATTCCCAGGAACACTTACCATCCTGAGCTGTTGCAGTTTCTTGTTGCAATGCCTCAGTGTTTTGCAGTCCAACCTCATCAAGATTTTCAACACTCAATGAACCACTGCTCAAACCACTTGCTAATGTTTCGTCTGTAAGCAGAGCTGATGGTTGGGGTGACTGTGGTAGGCCTGCAGCATGGCTTAAGGACCTAACACTTGCCTTGAGTTGTTCCAGTTCATACCACTGTTCAGCATATGGGGACAGCTACAAGAAATTATTATTGTACTCACATAAATGAAACGTTTTTAAAAAGGCTTCAGGGTGTCAGAGATGAGGCAAGCTGTTGTATTTCAAAAAGTTTACTAGCCTGGAGCAGTGTTACTGCTAGCCTACCAATCCCCATCTTCACTAACATTTACTGTTTCTCGGCAAAGGCTGCTTGCCCGCCAAGTAAATTGTAATAAAATCAAGATAACCTGACTTGTCGATCCACTAGCACCAAGCTACTGGACAGCATTTTTGCTGCAACCTGGCTTGGCTTTACTCGTGCCCAAAAATAATGTGCCTTTACGGTACTAAGACAAATGCATGGGATTTCTTTTGTACGCATGTCCTTTATTGACAACATACAAACAGAAACAAACCAATCATGTTTTTAGATGACCACCAGTTCATGATGGCTGAATTGACAATCATTTTATCAACACTTGTTCTAACATCAAGTTCTCCTTTAGGTTCATATTAAGCGAATTCAAGTTAATTAAGGAAGCGCTCCATTGGGATGATCCTGTTCAGGATCCATGATCTAAGATCACTCAGATCATAGCAAATCAAAGGAACTGTTGAATCCACCCTGGGAAAGGATTCATCATGGTCCGAGTGATTGCAGATCACCAATCCTGATCCAGATCATTCCAAAGGAACACACCCTACAAGACATGGGGCTTTTTTCCAGGTACCCCTTGGAATAATCCCCACAACAAGTCATTAGTACCCTTTGAAACTACTGATAGGTGGAACAAATCACATTCCCTCAGAAAGATTTCACTAACATGGGCGGAGTTGTCTCCATTTTGCTTCATGTTTTCATCTGGGTTGGTGGTGCTGGTCTTGTTTACTTCTTCATTTTCAAATCTGACTTCAGATCCAACAACCTCAGAAGAATCTTCCTCGTCTAGAATAAACCACTGTTCGCTTCCATCCTGAAGGAAAAAAAATCAAGATCTTAAAAAAACAATCTGCAAGTGTGACAAAAAATGTCCCATAAAAGAAATAATAAATAACTATAGTAAACAAAACCACTATATGCCCTGAGTACTAACTATCTAGTAGATTGTCGCCTTCTTTATCGTTCCCCCTCTTTTCACTCCCACCCAACCATTTTTTAAGATAAGTCTACTGGAAGAAGGTTGTATGCTCAAGTTCCGGTTAGAACAGCAACCACAGATTAAAAACCTGGTAAGATCATGCTTAAGGCCCTGTTAGGGAAAAATTCTGACAAGCAACATGGCCTTAAACAGCAACATAAGACTAGATGAAATGCTGACAAATGACATAAAGATGGGACAGTTAAATACCGGCAAGGACATAGTCTACTCCTCAAAATGTAAAATGACTGTATTTAAAATTCAGACGAGGGTCATAGGTACATGTACTCCGCTAAGAGAGTGGCCCTATGCTTGCTGTAATGAGACATTGCCTCAGTTCAGAAGATCACATCATTGGTTGACATAATTAATCTGGCAGCATCGTCCCCTTCAACCTACCTTATCAACTCAAAAGGGACATAAAGAACCGACATGGTTTTTAAAAAAGAGCATAGAATGAAGAGCCTGTGCACTGTGAGTATTAATGGTGCAAGCTGGACGTGTAGTGTTCCTGCCATTTCTGGCAGACCTAATACATGAAAATGGACTATTCTGGCCACTATTGGACAATCTTGTTAATTGCCTGAGGGTTTATATTACTTTCAAACCGACAAACCCTGAACACTTGAAATATTTCAGTAATGTTTATTGTGTTACGACCAATCACAGCAAAGATCAGGGCATGCCAACTAAACATAAAACCACAAACTTATTAGTGTGTGGCTTGCAGTTTAGTTTTCTCACGCCTGATTGGCTTTTTCTTGAAAAAAGAATAACAAGTCAAATATTTCTGGTGATCATGGTTTCCTGCCTAGACTAGTTCATTACTATATTTGAGCGGAGTTTTTCTGTGATTTATAAGGAAAATTAGTAATGTTATTTAATTATTAATATTGTTATTGTTGATACTTGTAATATTCTCCAAGACACCCATACCTTTTCTTGATGATCATCATTCGGTTCAGCACCTTGTGTGCTAGCACCAGATCCATTGTTCTGAAAAAATGCTGAAGATTCTTGCTGTTCTTCGGAATGTGTCTCAGATGGCAAATCAGATTCTAAATTTGCTAGTGAATGCCACTGTTCTAAGTACTCCTGAATACAACATAAAATGCCAATTGAAATGTCAGTTGACTTTCTCAATACCATGCTTATTTATCATATTAAAATAAACTACTGTTCTTTCAAAAATACAATAAGGATATTCTAAGCAATGGATATAATTTATTATATATGAATGGCACATATGCACATAAATGTATTTGCTCTTCATATGACATTATGGATAGTTCTGAATTTTTCCAAATTTTTTACAGCCTGTGAAGAGCTGCTTCCTCTCCTCAAAAAAAAGGGGGAAGAGGGACATCTGTGTCGTGCTGTCATTAATTGTGTTCTGGTTTCCCTGGAATGTTGAGGAAAACCTCTGATACGTGATTGGCTGTTATGTCAACCAAGATTCTATCTCTAGATTTCAGCGGGGAGTTTAGTTATTCCTACATGTGCCGGTGTTGCTTCATAAAACAAAAGAAAAGAAGAGCTTTAATTTCTAATGAGAAAGGAAGCATTCTTTACATGAAACCAAACAACCAAATAGATTAACTTAGACTGATAAAATGTTTCATTGGAAAAGTAAACTACTTCCGAGCTCAAAATTCTGTCAGAACCAAAAAACCACAGGAAAGCAATGTACAGGTAACAGACTGGCTTTATGAATCCTCCAAAGCTTAGCTAAACTTTTAGTTAGAGCCATGCTGTTAAGCCTGAAAATAACTGCTTATGTGCTGTGCAATAGTTGTACAGCTATATATTAAGTAAGAATAGTTTAACAGGAAATGAAGAACTTTTTGTCTTGAAGATGGTAGTGGCACGTTATGGGTGGAAGTAATCATTGTTACATTCTTGGAAGCAGTAGAAAGCATAGATGTTCTCACAGCATGCATTAATGACGTAAAACTTGGCCAAAATTTAACTCGCCTGCACAATTTGCATGACTTTATGTTAATTGTCCTTTTCTTTTGAGAGAATAAACAAATTCAACTGTGATAACTCATACTGGCAAATTTTATCACTTGTTTGCCCTCTGAAATACCACGTGACATAGCTTTTATCCCAACACTCCTAAGGTGCATGCAAAGATAGCGGGATTCGTGAATAAGGGCAAGCCACAAAAGAGCATGAAAAATTTACTTAAAAGGCACTTCAAATACCTGTTGTAGATCATGGAATCTCTCATTTGATGCGCCTTGACCAACTCCTGAAGAATCTGATGTGACTGTCGTTGTTGGTCTGGACTGCTCCATTACACAAACTCAACATTAAAGCTGAAATGGAATATGCACATCAGTATACTTAATGCTAGCTACAAGAAAAGTTTATGTTATGAATCATAATGCAAGGCTGGGAAAAAAGTTGAATTCCAGCTTGTCCTTTAGGCAAGACAATGTGCTTCAATGTTATTTTTGCCCAGGGACATTGCTCGTTTGTCTGAGTCGAAGATTTAGTTACAAATTAAATTTTTCGCCTGGAACCTTGCCCATTATTGGCCAAAGGAGATTTAAAAAGGAGATATTTCCCGATATAATTTTTTTTGAACATTTTTCTCTCTTTTTTTACCCAAGCCTAAGGTTTTTTATTTGAGATACATTTTTATCAATGATTTTTTGATGACTGTTATCTTATGCTTGTATACTGTAATCTTTATTTGAACGTTTTTTTAACAAAGTTTTTTTTCTTTATTTGTTTATCTACTGTATCTGTAAAGCCCCTTGGGGAGAGGATAATTTAGTTTTTTTTATTCATTTGTTGGGTCATCTTTATTTTGCAAATATGACCAATTAAAGTTTCCTTAATTGACATTTCTGGTTAAATGAAACATTTTGCCAGTTTCAGGTGCGAATAAGGTTACAAAAACAAAAAACTGGTTATTTCAGAATTTTCAAATTTTTGGCAAATGCCAAAACTCTATTTCTTGCCATAGCGAACAGGACCGTCTGCACCATCTTATGTAATATTATGTAATATCATAGCAACACCTTCAACAGGGGCACCCAATGACTGCTTTCTGTAAAATATCTGTTCGGAAAAGCAGATATCGCCTAGAATTGTCTATTTCTTGAGGACAGCTAAAAATTTCTTAATGACTGTTCCATTCATGTACAATTTTTGAATAAATGCCCGACGATTTTCTTAAGATTGTTTTCTCATGTATTTCACTCCCAAGGTTAGGCTATTCTTCGTAGAAAAGAGGAAACCTAAAATTTTTGGATTCAAAAATGTGATGGAGAGAGGAATCAGAAAAATTCTCACTTTCGTAATATGTTAAATAATCTAAAATTTTCGGCATTATAAAACTGAAGCCCTTGTAATTTTGAAAAGACTCAAGTTGCCCTAGGATGACTAAAAAGATAAAAATTTTATAGCGTTACTTAGAATGCATCTCTAAAGCGCTAAAAGTACTCTGGACAGCCTAAAAAATGTTTTCAATATATTGAGGAGAAAACAGCTTCCAATGAGAAACACTACGCCCATTTCATTAATATCAAAATATCTGGCAATAAAGTTATGTCAAAAAGTCTTCTTTTGTTGTTAATCTCAAGAAACCTACTAAAATAAACTTATCGTTCTTCTGCGATGCATGATCTATGGTCATCAATGATCATTTCCCAAGTTCTTTTAAACGTTCGTTCGTCTTACTTCGTATCAACTACCGTTGAAAATTAGTAGGGAAAACAGTCGAATCGTTGACAGAAATCTGGGATTTCGAACAACATTAGACCGACACCAATTAACTTGTTCACTTTAATAATAAATTAAGTGTAATTTGTCAATAAAATAAGCTTGTCTTAATGTTAAAGGGCCATTACTTCATTTGAATCTTTACGCGCTTGTAAGTACTTTCTAACATGAGCCATAGATAAATATTTTTAACGGAAGTAAATGCATAAGCTGTTGATGAGACATAATTTTTTGACTCATATGTTAGAATACGCTAATTAAAGAAAGAATTCCCTTACAAAATATTCCTACCTCATTGTCCGTTGCTTTCTTAGTCAAATGGCGGTCATCGGTCAAAAGAGTCAAAAACAAACAGGCAATACTCGGTACCAGTTTTACCCGCGCCATTAAACAATAGGGAGTTTAAGAGACGACGACGGCGACGGCAACGAGAACGTCATAAAAGCAATATAACGGGGGCACCCAACGACGGTTTCTTCCTAGATGCTTTGAAAACACTTTTTAGGCTATCCAGAGTACTTTTAGATCCCTAGGAATATATTCTAAATGGCGCTAAAAAATTTATATCTGTTCGGTCATCCTAGGGGAACTTGAGTCTTCTCGAAATTTTTTAGCTGCAATTTAAAGTTTTACGAAAGTGATAGTTTTTTTTATTCCTCTCTGCATCTCATTTTCAATCCCGAAAGTTTTAGGTTTTCTTTGCTCTACAAAAAATAGCCTAACATGGGGAGTGAAATGGGAAAATTAAAACTTCAGAAAATCGTAGAGATATATTTGATAAGTTTCGAAAATTGTAAATGAACGGAACGGTCACATAGAAATTTTTAGCCTTCCTCAAGCTATCGAAAATTCTAGGCAATTTTTTTCTTCTCCGAACAGATATTTCATAGAAAACAGTCGTTGGGTGTCCCTGATATAATAAGTTTACTGAGCAAAACAATAAGTTTGCACGTGCATCACGCTTTTTTGTACATTTCTTAACCGTTACTGCGCGACTACGACGTGAAAATGCCTAATTTCACGTTTTATGGAGGACGTAAACAAGCGAATACGAAATTCTCTTTCTGGCTAAACTTGAGTGCGGTCCCCAAGAAATCAACTCCAGGGAAATTTGCCTGCATTTGACATTTTCAGCGAACTGGAATAAACGTGCCAAAGTTTGAAAAAAAAAAAACGCCAATTCATTTTAAAAGTGACGTTTTCGCTACCGTCGCTGTCGTCGATGCTAAAGGTCCCTAGTACTGCCACCCACGACCCACACAACCCACCCTCCCCGACCCTCGCTCTATCCCTCGGGCTTACACGTGTCATCCTGCTCGCCAAAAACAACGGCATAGCCTCCAAAATAAAGATTGGAACATTTGAGCGCTAGTGTCGGCCAATATTTATCCAATTGATTGAAAGGGGAAAAGATAAAAATGTAACGGCGCCAGCCGGTGTTTTCACTCGGGTGAGGGTTTGAGAGCCAATATTCAACCGGCTATAAATGAGAACACAGAACATTGGGTTTCATTAAAAAAAAAAAGTACCCTTTGAAGAAAAGAAATCACCTACTTTCCACAATGGATGACATTGTTTTATTCCTTTTTTTGTTCCTTTTATCTATTCAAAAAGTTGGAAACAATCATTAGTCTTACCGTAAATCCTCTATTAAGCCCCGCCGGAGGGCTTATTTATTTCAAGCCCATTTGAGGGGGGCTTCATACAGACGGGAGATTATTTAATTTAGAAAAGACGATGGTATCAGTTCTCCACAAAGAACTAGAATACAAACTGGGAAAGCTCAAGTACAAGAAGGTTGGAGGTCATGCAGCCGAGGATCAGAATCAAATCCGAACTTCCAGTTGGTAAATAAACTATCCTGGCTCAGTCCACACGAAGTTTTACAGTCATGGATGATTTATACAGTCTATCATTTATTGGCTATGGGGGGGCTTAATAGAGAGAGGGGGCCTTTTAATTTTCTTCATCTGAAAAGGTGGGGGAGGGGTTTATCAGAGGGAGGGGGGCTTATTTGAGAGGGGGGGCTCAATAGAGGATTTACGGTATTATTAAAAATCTTTTGTCTCCTTTCTCCTCGGTCGCCGTCACGAGTTTGAGGCACACGGCACTGGACGAATTTTCGACTAGTTGAATTTAAATTTGACAGGACACTTCGCTCACACAGGACTGTTCACCATTTTCGCTCTGTTCACACGGAAATTGTAAGTACTAGGCGTCTAAATTTTCGTACGGTTAAGGTGGTTCCGTGAGAACAAAACACCTAAATGGGTTGCAATAGTCACTTGTTGTCGTTTTTCAGCACAGTTTATATAAATTATATACATAAGTACCTTCCATTGTGCTAAAATAATACTTTTTCGCTTTGCGAAGTGATAGCATATGAAATAGCTTGAAATCCATCGAGTTTGGAATGGTTTAGGTGAACATTGCAGAATTTTTACTTGAACTGATCACTATAACAGGATACTCAGCTGTGAATATTGATACGGCCTGTTCCTTTGTTTACCTGAAAGACGATGCAAAGAAAGAGATTTGGTGGCGAGTACGGAAAACTTACCCGTATGCTCGCCCTGAAGCTTAGAACACGCAAAAGCGAAAAGTCTTGAGTGAGGGTTAAGAGAGAGAGTAAGACTGGGGAGAAAGGTATTTGAGGCCAAGTTCACGCACTTTGTGCGATAATCTCATGCCGTCACTTGGCACCCTGAAAACCGATTGGAGAAACAACATCAATTGTTTAGTAGACTTCAAAACTGCCACCTATACAGGCTACTGCCAACTGAAAGGCCTCCATGGTAGCAACAACACAATAACTTAACTCATCTAAAAAGAGCACTTAACCTTTACTGGACAGCTCAATTTAACGAAAGAAAAGAGGTTTTAATTTTACTTATATCAATAAAAATGTTTACAATGCTAATCCTGATAGTTTATCTTCCCGAAAAGTATTTTTTTTAGTACATTTTCAAAATCACCGGACACTTAACTACAAAACGGGCAAAGTGGAACCAATTTTGTCAAACCCAATAATAATAAATTAATAGAGAAAATAAGGAAAGTCAATTTGGAGATCAGGTACAAAATCTGATCTTTTTTTCCCAAACAGTGAAATTAACATATTCCCAAACAGTGAAATTCTCTATACAAAAGTATTGGTCGTGCCATCCTGTTCTGACAAATGGCAAGAGCTCTTAGTTTCGCTACCTTTAGTTTAATTTCCTGCACTTGCAGAATTATATATATAACCATGGAGGGCACTCCAGATTTCAAAAGACGGGAATGATCAAAGGATTTTTGGGGGTTCAAAATTTTTTATTCTGGTAGGGATTTTTTGGGGGTACTCAAAACAATCCGAAGATTTGTGGTAGTGCCCGCGTATCCCAGCCGCACAGTTCTGCAAATAAAGTATTACACAAAGGGTCATATATTGGGTTTTGATTTTTGCCCCCATTCGATTATCCCCGTCACTTGAAATCCGCAGTACCCCCCTGGGTATATATGTAGAGTTCAAGTCAGATATCTTGGTGAAAACAATGTAAATGAGACAGCATCCATTTTACAAAGGTGTCATTTGACAAAAACTCAGAGAATTATTGATAATTTAGCTTTCTGCTCACAAGATTTACAAGTTCAAGGGATATTTAACTCTTAAAGTCCCAGTATCCACATACAAATTCTCCAACCTGGTCTCCAAGTATTTCCAGAAGGATTAGTTGAGAGAATTTGTTTATAGAACAAAGCATTTTCCCTTAGTTACTTATTTTGTTAATTCACGTAACCTTTTTTCTTGTTTATGTATCGATATTGTTGGGAGAAAATTCATTTTAGTCACTCTTGGAACATAGTGGGTTTAATAATAAAAACAATAACCCTAATTTGTACAAAGGAATAAAGGCCCTGAGGATTTTGGTAGTACTAAAAAAGTGATGACATTGAGTGAGAAGACAGCAATTTTTTAACCGGTTAGAGCAGCTAGAACTTTCCATAAAATAAGAACTTATAAATCCATATACAACAAGAATCTTGTTATTTCCATCACAGTAATCTAAGTATTTTCACCGTTTCAGATTATTATATTATGCAGATATATCTCAAGAGACTATCTCTGTTACTTGACCTGTTTGAAATAGCAGGATTCTAGTGTAAAAAATGATAATAACTTGAGTTTCTAAATCCAGATCTCGTTCAAAAGGATTTCTCAAGGTGCTTTTTATCTTTAAGCACTAAAATACCATCCACAATCACATAAAAACCATGGCATACAATCTAGAGCTGGGCCATCATCATCCCAGTCAAGCATTCCTACCAACAGTTAATTTTATTAAACTAGTTTCTTTGCTTCAAAAAATCCCTTGAGATGACGCATCTGCCAGAATCCTGTCACCAAAAGTATCAGAGTTTGTGCAAGAGCCCACCACAGAACACGCTGGTTGGTGCTTTCACTTGTTTGCCTAAACCTCTCTTCACGGAACTGAAATGACAAGTAAATAAGACTCAAAAATAGGCAAACGTAATCCCAAAGACAGGATTTGTTTATGAGCATCACTTACAGTGTATACTATAAATGACCTAATAAACACCCACTACCAAATAAATGTCTCTTATCTAATAACTGCCCACTCTATGCTGTTAAAATTGTATTAGTCGCCCTTCTCTAATAAATAACCCATGTCTAACAGACACCCCCTATTAGAATTACTCCAACAAACTGGGAATTAGAAAAAAAAGGAGCAAAATCATTCAATTTATTCAGTTTCTTGCTTGATTTGCAAGGCCTTGCATACTTCATCTTGTTCAGTGTCAAGTCAAGATAGACTAACAATGGCAACACAATAACCCTGAACGAGGATTCTGACATTGATGTTGAGAATTGAAAAAGTGAGATGGATCTTTAGACGGCCTAGATGTATCAATTATTGATTGAGGGATATTCAAGGATTTTTAAACTCTCTCGATTTTTTTGCCGAAAGCATATTACCGGTAGTTTCATTGAGCTTGTTACAGTTACGAGAGTGAAAACCTCTCTCTTTTAAATGCCTCATATCTATTAAACGCCCCTGCTTGGACTCCTAAACTTACACAGGAGCCCCGCGCATTTATTTGGTCATTTACGGTTGCCAAAGTTTCTCCTACTTGATAATCCTTTAATACACAAGGCCAAACCATGAGTTCTAACTTTCAAATTAAACTGGGTAAAAAAATTAATTTTGAGTTCACCCACTTGTTTGCTGGAAGGATAAAAAGATTTAACACGCAATTATCTAAAAAAAGATCTCTCAGGTCAAGTACTACAACCTACCCTCTGATAATTTTGTTCTTTGCTGATCTGTTCTACTTGGTCTAAGAGCTGACGGATGCGAAGCTGAAGTTCAGTTAGTTTGTCTTTTGCAGCAATCTCTTGGTAATCATTAGCATGTTCACCAACTGAGATATCCAAATGAATACGCTGTGGAGAAAAAAATACATGCAGTTGAACTCCGACAACTCAAACTCCCAACTAACTCGAACTAAGTCCTATTGATTTCCTTTGGATTTCACCCCACTTTTCAGTAATTTTTAACTTGGTTAACTCGAACTCGGATAACTCGAATTCTCCACTAACTCGAAGTAAATTTACATTCCCCTGATCAAAATGTCACTGAAATTTACCCTCCATAACTCAAATTCTGGTTCTTGTAACACACTCGGATGCCATCCCATCCCATCCCATTAGCTCCTCTTGTTATATAACAGGTAAAAACACTAAAACTAACATTACAGCAATTTGAATTTAACTAGTGAAAAAAAATATCACATTTTATCATAAAAATGCATCACGTGACCGTTTCTTATGAAATAAGTTAAATTTGGACTGTACTATACACCGAAGTGCTGAGCGAATCATCAGTAACTATCCATTTTGAACAAGGGAAATTGAATATTTGTTACAGGTCAAATTAATGAATTATTTGAATTATTTAATTTTGACCTGTAGCATATTCACTCATCCCAATAACTTGAGCTCCCACTAACTAGAACTGTTTTTTTTGTTTCTTTTCAGAGATAGAGATAGAGCTGCAGTTGTGCAACGATTATTTAGTGACAGATACTGAAACTTACAGTTAAGTTACCAAACTGCTACCTTCCTATGTATTGCTTTAAGTAACATTTTGTGTTACCATTACCATATCTCAGAGTAAAGGCCCAATAGTATGTTGTACGTTCTAGTTGCATGTCCTTAGACAAGAAAACCTTGCTTAAAATTCAGTTTAACTCTAGGTTAAACTTAACCACCTTTCGAGGAACCGGGCCCCAAAGTACACTATACTCAACCGAGAGTGAAATTCTTCCTACTCACCAATTTTCCTCCGGTCCAAAGGGACCATCGAGTGGAGTTGGAGTGCAAGCAAATAAGATGTTCACCAGGTGAATGTGACGTAAAGGTGAAACGGCCTTCAGATGCATAATATTTAGACAAAATAACTTTCATGTTGGGATCTTTAACTTCTACATGCATGCCAATACCAGGACTAGAGGGAAGAAAATCTCCAATGTTCTCATCATAAAGTTGTGTCTTGTATTTTCCTGTTGAAAACGAAAAGTATTTCCAGACCATTAGGTGCATTGGTTTAAAGGAAAACCCAGATATAAAGTTCAAATGCTTTTCAAGAAGGTGTTATGATTCCAGTCTCTTAAAAGCCATGTATCTTGGCACCCTTGTAGTACAATGTTGTGTTCTAGCAGAGTCCCATGGTCCAGATCAGGGTGTGCCAAAACCTGTCCAATTGTCTGGGACAGGTAGAAATTTAGTTCCGTCATGTGTAAAGCTTTAACATGACTTGTCCATGGGACAAGCACATTTTTAATCAATCAAAATTTATCTTATTAGTCATAAAAGCAATATTATTAACCTCATGCCGGATGAAATAAAGTTAAATCCCTTTTAAGTTCGCCATTCTGTGGACATTTCATTAATTTTGTTTTTCTGGCCTTAGTAACCAGGCCTGTTAAGACATTAGTCATTTGTACTATTAAGATTGTGCATGATATTATATTAACATTCAAGTCACTCAAGAACATTATTTACAAGGCTAATAATGTGATTAAAAACCTTAAATGCCCGGTTTGTTTTTGAGTTTCGAGTTTTGAGCAAAATTTTTGGAAACGAACTCTTGGGTTTCTGACGATAAAATTTAATATAGTGCTTGTCCAAAGGACAACTGGATAACAACTTGTGCCCTTTGGCAACAAGAAAACAATATGCTGGGGACCGAAGGGCCCGTTTCTCGAAAGTCCCGGTAACTTTACGCACCCGAAATCAAATATTCAAATCAAAATATAAAGAAAAAGAGCGCAGGTCCTGGCTAGCAAACTACTCCATTTTGTTTCATTAACTGACAGTTTTATCATGTTAGATGCAAAACTATTGAAACCTCGATCTTTAATGTAAACGGAGACAGCTTACCGGGCCCATTAATTATCGGGACTTTCGAGAAACCGGCCCCTGGATTTCTTAAGTTTCAGAACACTGGCCTCCCTCCAATAATTGTTTTTATAGCACAGCATGCACATCCCTGGGGCTTTTTATGTTAAGAGTTAGCATTGAATTGAGAAAACACAGCATAATTAGTTGCTTACAACTGAGACAGATCTGCATCTTTCGGCCATAATACCCACAAAAATTTAAGGCTTCTCTGATATGTGAGAACTGAGGCCTTCAAAAGGATAGAAGTGACAGCCTACATGGCCCTAAAAATCCTCTCCGAAAGCTTCGAAAGAAAAGGAGGACAGTGACAATCCATTGTTTGAGTAGTGAAAGAGACATCTGCTCACTTTTGTATTTTGGCTGTTTCAGCAGCAAAGTAACAAACTCCCCTCCATTATTTCCAAACATTTTCTTTTATTTTCTTTGGAACGTTTTTAACCAAGGTATTGTTCAAGAATGGTCCCCCAAGGGAGAAAGGTTTACAACAATTAATTGTTTCCAAGTGCTATTTCTGCCGTAAATTCCAATTTATACGGAGCCGACAGTGGCATTTTCATCGCAGTTAAAATGTGACAGCAACTTTTTTCTAAACCTACCAGGCAACAGGCAGTCTCAGAAATGACTGACAAAGCAACAGCATAATCCCCCCCGCCCCTTTCCTCGGAAGGCCTCAGAACAGCCAACTCTCACAATTTGATTGATGACTTGTGGTTTGGGCTATCAACTCATGATCTCACAATTAAGCTTCAAACTGCAACACAATTTCAATAGAAATGAAGCTGGCCAAATTGTCTCAATTCTAATTTTTGAGGGAAAACTAGGAACAATTCCAACCTCATTTCTGAAACAAAGGTGAGCTTAAGGGTGCTCTCCATTTTGTCAAAAATTTTCAGAAATTTTGGTTCGGTAGAAAATGGAAAACATTTCGTCTGTTCGTCCCACTGGAAAATCCAGGAAAAAGTGGAAAATCTAAAAAGGTAGGCCCATTTTCCCGGTTGGAACTCTTTGAACGAAATTTCATGTTCCACTTGTGCTTTACACCAGTTTCAATTGTTACCAATGCAGCAGCCATCTTGGTCTCCCATCGGGCAACGGGCTCAGGGCCATTCTGGGGTTTACGATCAAAGGGAACAACTTTTTACCTATCGGAAAATACATTTTTTGTTCCCACTGAAATTTCCGGATTTTTTACCTAAACGGAAAGTGCCCTAAGTCTGTGGGAGGGCTTAATCTGTGAACAATTAACTCAAAATGGCTACTCACTGTAGTCACCTCTGCAAAAAGCAGCAAAAAACTACAATAGAGAGCAGTATTATGAGGTAAAGTCAATATGGTGATACCACGAGACAAAATTTGTCCTATGGTATCTTAAAAATCTACCTTTTCCAGCTTCATCTTATACACATTTAGAAAATATCAGAGTGCGAGGACCTAATCTCCAGGTTTTGGGATGCTTTTTTTCAATATCTCCAGATTTGCAAGGTTTTGTGGAGTGGCAGGGCTACAATATCAATAATAATGTATGGCTGGCTATACCGGATTAAAAAAACCTTTGATAAGTTATCTAAAGGATAGAACGCAAGCTAAAAGCTTTTGCTAAATTTCTAGCTTCAGAACACGTCTCATTACTGAAATCATGAGGTTAACTTTTAAAAAATGTGCAGTCGAAAAAGTTTACTTCGAGAGTTAAAAGCATGGTAAAAAACTCACCAGTGACCATGGTTTCATCCGGTATTTCTTCAATAAAGCACTTCTTTTCGGTTTCTCCCATATGAAAATAAAGACCATGGGTAAAATCTACCGGCAATAATACATAAACTACCACTACAAACCACGCTAAGACCGCCATGTTTCTTTTGTAAGCAAGGCGCTCGCCACGTCAGTGATAGAGAATACCCAGCAGGCTGTGCGTTCGTGGCCTTGCTAATACTCAGTCTCCTCTCATAACGGTTAACCCCCGTAACGACGTCTTCGTAACGTCCTGTCCTCGTCCCGTCCCGCATAGAGTTGACCCGGTGGCCAGTGCTGGTGGCAGATCTGCCCATAACACCAAGAGAGGATAATATACATTGTTTGCCTCCAGAACTTTCGCATAAACAATGTCTCCAGTTTCTCCTGGCAATAATTAGTAACGGCTCGTGCGGGTGACCAGCAACATTTAGCAATTAATCGATCAGCATCACCGAGGTACCCCATGACACAAGAGCAAGCAACTAGAAGTGCGTGCATCGCAGAACGCACCATAGTTACTGCACCACAGTTAACGCTCCTCTTAATTGACATCTTTACGTCCTTTCTTTGTGGTTGGCAAGCGAGTGAAGAATTATCACCAATCTTGACACTCGCATGTGTTCTCTTGACTGCCACGAATCACAAAATAGTCAGCAAAAATAAACATGAACGGTGTTAAAACGTTTTGATGGTTTTCTTTATGCGTACACTTAATTACCAAGTGGGCCTCTGTTTTCGTGGGAACTGCTAAGTGCTCTAAAAAGTGATTTGTGGAAACGCAGTCCTCGTCCCCAGGGCTTTTCACTAAAAATATAAGCCCCGGGGACGAGGCTGGAAACGGGGTGAGAAGGGCTTGGCGCGATGGTTACAGTTTGCTCCGCGTAAAATCCAGCTACCATCGGAATTTTGAAGCAATTGGAATGCAGGATTACAGGGCAATTACTAACCTACCGATTTCTTGACTTCGCCCGAAAACTCTTTGAGCTTAATATACTGTAAATACAGATCTCTCGGTACCTCTGAATAAAATCTCTCCGTAACGTAATTGACAGGAAGAGATTTTCTGAGTAACTTTTGTTATACTATTAAAACGGAACGCGGCGCTGCAAAAACCAAAGTTTATAATAAAAAAAAACCTTTATTTTTTAAAAACTATAAATGACTTCGGGGAAAATCAAATACAGGAAAATTTCTTATGTCTTGTTTAATAAGCGAGACTAAATGATAAAACACTTTTTCCAATTCATTAACTTGTTCGCGCGCCCTTAGCTTTGTCTGAAGAAATGTTTCAGTTCTATTTAAGAAACAAAACTTTTCAAATTAAATTGATCAATCTTTTTTGGTCTAACAAAGCCACAGCTTCGCTCTCATCAGGTCGACTCAGGGCTGGTAATAGAATGCATGGTAGAAGGACATCGAACAAATTAGTTGAAAGAAAAAAATAAGAAAAAAACAAACGATTGACATAACCACTCGGCCACCACCGTCTATCAAAGCGTTTTTTTTTTTTGCGAAGCAACAAAGCATTTGACGTTTGTCTTCAAAACTATTCACTGGAAGATAAAACATCACTATGATGACAAGTAGCTGCGAATCAGGCGATGTTGATTCAACGAGAGTCAGTGAGAAGCCAATTGATGCGCCACAGACCGTGTTATTTTTGTTGAGTCGTTTACTTATAAACAACTGAGTTTTGGGCAGCTCGAATCTTACCCTCTGTGCATCTCAGATTTTATTTAAAACTGGGAAAAATTTTCTTCTATGGGTCACAAGTTTGCTGTTCTCATACAAATCCAAGAACAAAAGATTGGAAACAATTAAGAACAAGGCACATGCACCATGCAATATTAAACATTAAAGATTCTGGCGAACCATTGACACGTGTAGAAAAGGACTAACAACATGGATCAACAATAAAGCCTTTATCCTGCGCTTGCCTTCACGGCAGCGGGTCACCGCCAAACGAAACTTATATTGCATATTCTGGCGGATTTAAGATCTTTTCGAACTAGGGAAGGATACCGCACAAAATGGCTTCTTCCACAAGCCACGAAATTTTTGTTGAGAGCCCAAGAAGTAACGAGACACGCTCACGAGAAAGTCCGGGGCTTCAGAGACACAAAATCATCGACTTTGTTCTAAACCTTTGCTACAAGCTTGACATGGTTTTATGTTGTGGTTTGCACGTCTGTGTTCGCTTTATGAAGCCGTGCTGCCGTCTGCGTCAGTCTACCTTCACTCGGATGTCTTACATCGGTTTATTGTTTGGGGCTTGCTTACTTTGTGGTTCTCTGCTAACCCCACGGACAAGATATAACTTGGGTGACAATTTTTGCCAAAATGTTTCGTACTATTTCTGTGACATTTTATTTAGTTACGCTGCGGTTTATCGCGTTCTTTTTCTGCTAGCAATTTACTACTTTCTGCAAAGCCTTCTTTTATTTGGCGTTTGTTCAAGTGGGGAGAGACGGGCCAAAATAAACAATGGCTTCTGGGGAGTAAAAATTCTCGTTTTATCGTTGCTAACATTTCTATTTTTGTTTATCCCGCATTCTGAATACGCCGGAGAAGTTTGGACATTTTTTGGCCTTAACGGAGGATTTGCATTCATCATCTTACAATTCGTGCTGCTAATAGACTTCGTTCATGCGTGGAACATAAGCTGTGTTGAAAGGTTGGAGGCCTCTACAAACTATGCCCAAGCTAAACTATGGTACATTATTCTTTGGATTCCAACATTAACGCTGTACACAATTTCAATTATTTCAGTGATATCCTTTTATATACTGTACGCCTGGGCGCCTGGATGTCATAACAATATGTTTTTCATAACGTTTAACGTATATCTCTGTCTTGCTGCAACTTATATTTCAGTGAACCCAGTCGTCCAAGAAGCGCGCCCGCGATCGGGTCTTCTACAAGCATCGGTCGCTACCACCTACAATACATTCATTACGTGGCTCGCACTTTCCAATGAACCTGACGATATCTGTAACCCGTCACGTGACTACCTTTTCCCTGGAACTCCTTTCGGCAACATTCAAATTCTATTGAGCTTGGGATTCATGTTTTTTGTCTTAATCTACGCATGCCTGCGTGATGTGCGCGCTCCGCAGTACGGCAAGCTGCATCCGGGACCTTCATCTACCCCGCCATTGAGAGAAGATCGCGAGGTCCCGGATGAGAATGGCGCATTCGTACGCACCAGTGCTTTAGTTGAAGGAGGCTGTGTATATGACGATGAACAAGAAGGCGTGGCTTATAGCTATTCCTTTTTTCAAGTACTCTTTTGCCTCGCCTCGCTCTATGCTATGATGACTTTAACAAGCTGGTACCGACCCGAAGAAGGACAACGCGCTAGCGTTAAACTGGTTTGCGGTTGGGGAGCGGTTTGGATCCGACTTTCTGCTGCTATTTTTAGCACATTTATCTATATTTGGACGCTAATAGCGCCTGTAATATTTCCGGACTCGTACAGAGATTTAGTGTTCTTTCAGTTTATGCTGGGGACATACAATCATCAAACAACTCGGATGAAAGCATCACCAGCCAAATAACGATTTAAAACATCGAACAACTACAATACTCGTCTCATTTGTAGAAACACTTGTCTCGTTATGCCCTCCCCAATGTTGATTCACGTAGCACCCATTTGCAAATATACCCGAATCTCAACATTGGGGAAGGAGAGAAGAAGTGCACTCTGGGAAAGTTTAAATAAGTTGGTTGAGAAGGCGTAACATGAATAAAAAATCTGTTTCAGTTTAGGGTTTCAACGAAATTTGACGAGCATCGTAGTTTTAAAGCCATGCGCCCAACGCACTTTTGGCAGGCTACAGCGTGCAACATGGCTGTTAATATTGAAGGAGTGCTTGGAAGCGGAGAAAAACGTCGTACTTCTTCAACATTTCGCCAAGTACGTCTCGGTACCCTCTGTCCCTAAATTGTGAAACCCGTTTTCTTTCTTTTTTTTTTATAAGAACCTTTTTTATACACATTGTAAAAGCATTGAGGCAGAAAACGAAGAAAAACCTAAAACCAAACAGAACTCATGTAAAAATTTTCCCAAGAACATTTCATACCACCTGTTTCACACGAGCGACGTAAAGAAATTATCACACGGAACGTTTCGGTCTGCAGTGTTCTAAAAGAATCACTATTAAGTCCAGCTGAACTCAATGCATGGTCAACTAAAATAATGACAAATAGCAACATATCGTGACTAGAACAATGCAGATTTCTATCCATGTACTTCCACATGTTGTAAGAACATATAAAGAACGTTTTGAGGCTTAAATCGTCCAAAAAATTCCAGAAAATTCAGTCCTCGCTAAGCCTCGGCTAGAAATAAAATGTTTTATAAAGAAGAGTGCAATTCAGTTTTCTTTTTTTACCCTTCAACCCATCTAGGTACGTCGTTCAAAGTACTCACAGTTTTCAAGCAAACGCCAGTGAACATGTTTCAACAGATTCGTGAATAACAAAAAAAATTTTAACACTGATTTCATTAGGTCAATCACCAAAATTAGCCTTAGAAACCACGACGGGAACTGCACCCTCTTCGTACTTCTAATATCCTTTTCGCTGCTTCCACGCTGATAGATCTCTATAGAATAACGCCAATGCAACTTCTTAGCCCTAGGGTTTAAGCTCGTGAGGATTAGGAACAAGGTAATCTTTTCTGTGAGACTCAACGCAAGGCGGTCTAAGAGACGCGCATTAGTCTCATGTGCTAAGAGTCATTCCCGAAGCCTTCTTTGCGACTTGAGAAGAGAAGAGCAACTTGTTTGACTTGCTTCTCTTTATGGCTCCAGGGCGTTAGTCCAAGGAACAAACGACCTACCTCGCCCACTTCATAATAGATCTTTGACAGCAGTGATGTCTGTACTACAACTGGGATTGTAGAACTGGAAACTAACTTCACGAATGGAATTTTCATTCAACTGGGAATGAAAATCGGATGAAATTTAGTAAAAACAACCAGTTTGTCATTCAGGTACAAAGAAATTGTGAACCATACTTCAATAGTGAAAAACTACTATCTACTACAATGTTTGGATGATTTCATCCATCTTTTTTCGCCTCATGAGTTGTCCCGGCTTTCACGTACAGGAGTACATATTTCAGTGTATATACAGTATCCAATTTTGATCATAATTTCACTTTGTTCATTTCTTTCCCTCTTTTATCTGCCATGAAAATCGTCACCTCTTCTTTTCTTTCCGGTATCATCCCTGTAAAAGAAAAAAAGTCACATTTATAATTTTGATATGATATTTAAACACTCATTCTTCCCTAGTACATTCCCTTTACCAATACAATCTCAAAACATGTCAAAATTAATATATTATACACAATTATACTAAATACCGTAAAATTCCGAAAATAAGCCTCGTGGCTTATATTTTTCAAAGGTCCTTTTTGAGGGGATTATTTTTGGAGGGGCGTATATTTGGAGGGGCGTATTTTCGGAATTTTACGGTATCTTTAAAAACGTATATATCTCCGTAGCCTGCCTAGCGGAAGTCGAAAGGGGGCAGGGGATTGGTGGGAAGGGGAATGGGGGCGGGTGGGGAGAGCGGGTCCCTTTGGCGCTTTTCTCCCTTTCCCCTTCCCCCACCCACTCTCCTTTTTGCGCCGTACAGACTTTGCCCATTTTGGTCTGGAGTCGGGTATAGGTTTCTAGGAAGCTATGGGAGTGTATGAACGTATGAAAGTATTTGTCGTTTTAATTGTAAATGAATAAGAAAGAAAAGGTAATAGGCGAATGACAATTCGAAATGGATTTTGAGAAATCTTTTTGTTGGTGTTCTAATTTAAGTAATGTTAACATAATTTTTGCGTATGCCAGGTCTGAAAACGGGTGTGGAAAATGCCATTTTTTGGTCTCAAATAGGGTCAGGATTTGGAGAACCGGGTGGCACACCCCCACCAACAATTCCCAGGAGTAACCCCCCCCCCCCCCACTTTATCCCCCCTCGCTCCTCAAGAAAAGTATTGGTAGTCCTGTGCTTGGCAGAACAAACAAAGGCAACCTGAAAAACCGCATGTCTCTTACCTTGAGAAACCTTGACTAGTTACTAGGTCTTCTTGTAACATACGGTCTTCTTGAATTAGAGATGGCAGTTGTTCACACTGCGTTGGTGGCAAAAGATTGGGAATAAATCGTGCAAATAAGACAGGATTACGTGATGAAAACTCTGAAAGCAAAACAAAACAAAATAAATTTTGGTTTCTCTCCTTCAAGAGGAGGAAATGAATACATGTAAGCTGCAACGGTGCATGGTTGTGCCAGTGAGCAGATGAACGTGGAAACAGTTGTAATACCAAGACATGCAATTTTGAACTTCACTTTTGAATCTGTGACGGAATACTAGGTTGTGACCATTCAAATGAAGCCTCTTCAGAAGTACTTTTATATGGTACTACTTCTTTGCAATTTGTTAGAAACTGAAGTTTGGTAATTTCTTGAAGATTCCTTTTAAGCACTTTTCAGGCTAAATGGTTTGATATTTATTTGGTTGTTGGGGCAACATGCCGCAGCTTAATTACCTGTCAGTTCTATGAACATAGTACGGGTACGATTCTTGGAACCACTGTTCATTTGTGAGTTGAGTTTGTTGTTGGTGCTCAGTCTTGTACAAGGGTTTTTCTCTTCGTTCTCTCGTTCCCCTCCCTCCCTAAAACCAACATTTCCAAAAATTCCAATTTCATTGGGACAAGCAGGCAATGAATGCACGTGGTTTATTTCATTTAAGGCATTTTTCCGTGGTATTTCTGCTGCAACATGAATCGAGGATTCTTACTACAGTGCTAAGTGCAGTAGCCAAAAACCACCCTTTTGATATCTTATTAATTGTTTATTAATTTATTAATGATTTGTACATCACCTGGTTTGAGTGAGTAGAGTCCTTTAACAATGGACATCATAACCTGAGGATCAGCACCAAATGGTTTGGATGACACCTCTTCAATAACAGCTGCAACATAATTATAGACAATACAGCTATGACAATCATGCATGTGACCCTTGAACTTACTGTCAACTCTCTCTAAGACAGACACCTTAAGGAGCGATACTATGTGTCCGTCTTAGAGAAATGCCCGTCTTAACGGGAGTCAAAACAAGGGAGTAAAGAAAGGCAGGCACCATCTCTAGGTGTCCATTTTACAGAGGTGTCCATCTTATAGAGATGTCCATGAAGAGAGAGTTGACTTTTTATTATGATCAAAATAATAGCTTCAAAAAAAGCAAAAAAATCAGGCTTCCAATGTTCTCTTTAATAATTAATAATTGATCTGATGTGCTCGATTGGACGTAGACTGTTTCATCTGGTTGTAGCAAGGTCAAAGACAATGCTATGAATAACTAGACTCCCACCCAAAAAAGGTAATTTGACCAGCAAGAAAAACCTGGTATCTCTGCTCATGGCCTCCAGTTATGAAGTTTACACCGCAGGTTTTGTTAAAACATTTCTTATGACAGAGTCTGATAAACTTCCAACAAACAAGAAAAAAACGGATTAGGATACGAAAAGAATGGGGAGGAAAAAACTTAAAATAAAAGCTCAAGCTTAATCATTTTGCTTCTTTATAATCCTTAGAAGCAAATCAATCTATATAATAATTTTAATATTTAACAGCTTGAATGTACTTACTGAAAAGAGAGTCATTGTCAGCAACAAGAGTTGTGAAGAGTTTCCCCAATTCAGTCTTCAAATCAGTTTGAAGCTTTGTTGTGACGTAGAAACGGTTCTAAGGTGTAAAAGCAGGATTAGTACTTATTGGATCTTTAAAATAATGTCACTAAAATACACAAAGATGTCTTCTAAGCAAAAAAATATATCTTGACAAGCATGAAATTCAAAATCTACACCAAAAACCAGAATTGTCTTGTTTGCAAGGGAGAGCTGTAAGGATGTAGCTAAGGAAAAGCTAAGTAGGCTCTTTTTTAGTCAAGCTGGCTTTTTACTCAACTGTACCTTCAAAATTTTGCCATGTCTTGAACCAAACTAATTTTTCTTTTTAGTAATCTATGTATATATACTCAGTCTCTCAAGGTTAAGGTATGTTGTACATTGGTGAAACATAAAAGAAGTAGTTAAAATCTTACCATGTAACTGAAGATGGCAACTATGCCACTGACAGCTTGAAAAAACTGTTCCATCACAAAATGAAACTTTTCTAGATATGCTTCTTTAGGGGTTTCCTTAAAAAAAATCAACAAAGAAGAAATGATGCAAAAGTTAATGTACGGGAAATCACATCACAGTCACATCTAAAACCACATATCCCAGCAATCCTAGATTATATAGCCATTTAAGCCCCAAGATCAACATACCAATTCTCCACACTTGAAAAATTGGTTGAGAGAATTTGTTAAAAGATCAAGGCATATTTCCTTAAGTGATCATTTATTATTTTTTCTCGTAACCTTGATGTTGGTCATTCTTGGGACTTTTAAGGTTTTAAAGTCTCCTAATTATGGGGTGAGTCACCTGGTTCTCTGCATGGGTCCCCAATAAGTGGTAGTACTATTGGAATTTAATCCAAACTTTCCCAAAGTCCATCTCAGTCTGAACATTTAGGCTTACTATTAGACCAAGGGGCAATACCAGTGCTTTGATATGGTCCAACTTTACTCACCTGAAGCTCCATAGAAACACGTCTAAGATAGGTAGCTACAAGTTCAATAAGGTTGCTGTACATCCTGTCGGCATACTGCTGGCATACACATTTATAAACAGTGCTAAAAAAAGTTAGAAAAGAGAGGAGAAAGAAGAAAAGTGTTTTTAACAGGTAAACCTTTAAGTTCTTGCTTCTCTTAGATCTGGTTTTGCTGTTTACACAAATATTTATACATATTCTTTTAAACTGCAACAATTTTGCACAACATCTGCTTTTTGAAACACACAAACAAATCTCTTACATATTAGTGAAGAGAGTCCAGGGTTTTCGGCAACTGTTTAGATCAAAAGCAGTGTCTTTCACATGGCAAAATGGTGTATAGAAGTAGGTATGGGAAGGGAGCTACATCCCTCTCATAGGGGGAGTACAGGGACCTCCATGTATTTCAAAGAGTTTTGAGCCACCAGGAAAGAAAGCAATGATGATGATCCCCTTTATTTTCCCACATTTTTCACTGATCAAACAAAGTGTTGGTAACCAAAATAAAATGAAATACTAAGGATATTTGGTTTCACTGAAAAACCATTTTTTTCTGTGAATAGATGGGGCCTCTGTGTCGATCCTAGGAGTCACCTCTTAACCCCCTAATGGTGACCGGTTGTTTTGTTAATGTCACTAACATCTTAAGTTGTTTCGCTTACAAGCACTACACATGTATATACCTCGTTCCTTCAGACACAACACAGTTAGTCTCAATATACATGTGTATATCTCTTTCTTTAAGCCATTGATCAAGAAGTCAGGGAATTCACCAATGTGTTAGCAAAACAACTTAATATGCTAGGAAACATGACGTTGGGTTTATAACAACACATAAGCAAAACGACTGTAAATCAATCAAATGGCTTAGAGTCAAGAGGTGGCATATTTTCATGCTTAGAGGCAAAAATAGAAGTAAAAAACAAATCTTGGCATATTCAACAATTTTATGTCAACACTGGTTGAGAGACATTATAAGCTACACTGTAATAGACCTGCCAACTCTCAAGATTCTGCTGTTTGTCTCACGATTTTTTACATTTTGTCACAGCCAAATGACAAACCTCCTAATCCCATGGTTTCTTGAGAAAAATTACTCTGAGGTGAAATGCTACTTTGCTGAATAATAGTGAAAATTTAACGGTGAATGTTAGTGTCTGTTTGAGCCTTGATGGCACTTTGTCTAACATTTTGGCCATAAGGCTGGTTTATACAGAAGAAATGACCCCTTGCTTTATAAGTTTTGTCCTAGTGATAACCTCTTCACAGCCTCTTAGAGCCATGAAAGAAATGACGGTATCTTGTTAAAAGAGGGAACACAAATAAAGCGAGATAATATTTAAATACAGTATACAGTTAATGTCCTTAATGGAAAAAAGGGTTTGTTTAATATCAGGGATTGCAGAGACAAATCTGGCTAATACAAAGAAACATTAAGTTCATTGCTCCGCCATTTATAATGCATTTGCCCACCATGTTATTTACAGCCTCAACAAATGTAACATAAATGTTGTCACAGGTTGTAGTATGCATTATAGCCAATATGTTAAATAAACCTTCCTATAAAGATTGCTACTTTTTAAAGTTGTGTACAATGCCAAAGTTTCTCTTGCGGTTCTCATTGCAGGAAACAAACTCCTGTGCGATGTTGGCTATAAAGACACTGTCTGTTTTCCACTGTCTTGTCACCATTCAACACTGCTAGGTTGCTAAACCTTTCGTCACCCATCCTGGATCAAAGCCACATCTTCAGACACCGCACAGATGGGAATGAACGCTTACTAGCAGTGCGGGTAGCAGGGTTTACAGCAAGCAACTTACAGATAGTTTTGAATTCCTGAATTAGCTTCTCTTCTGGTTCTGGAAACTTTCACACCACCAACAGGATTTAGTCAAAACATGATATTTTCTCCTCACTTTAAAACTTTCAAAATATGTGGATGCCCAGGTAGTGCCCCTGTATCAACATCTTTGCTGTATGATACTTCAAGAAACTTGAACTCTGCCTCATAGTCGTCGCCATTAGCAGCTTTAATCAAGAAGGTATCCATCTCGGTATAGGAGCTGAAGCTTTCGTGGTTAACGTGCTGATCAATAGCCTTGACGATAAGATCAATAGTCTCATAATAGATCCTTCTTAGGTGATCTTTGGCAGTTTGGGGGTAGCTTGGTGCACCAGCACCAACCTCCAGTCTGGCCAGAGTGCATCGCTTTCTTGGAAGTGTTGGTTCACCAAGCAAGCCTTCACTCTTGGGGCAACATTAGCAGGAAATGGTCAAAGCTCTGATCAGTGTGAATTTTTGTGAGCATCTCCTTTGTTGCATTTGTCAGGTGTTGCCCACTGACAGCAGCCATCTTAGTACCCTGAAGATCCTTAGATAGATTATCGGTGTGGGAATATAGCCGATCTCCAAGATGCAAAGCAAAGAAAAAGTCAAATCGCTCCATTTGGGCATCACATCTTATCATCTTGCACCCACATCGGGTTGTAATTGTTCAGACAAGCATGTCAACTGGAGTGCTAGAAAACAGGAGCCCATAGTTATGGGCTCCTGTAGAAAATAAAAGTGGTACCTAAGGGCTACTATTAAGGGTAACTATTGATTGGGAAAAATATATATATAATCTTACTACTTTTTGTAGAATCTCCAGATTTTTTTGAGAGTCTCCAGATTTTCCTTTATAAAGGGTTGGCAGGTCTGTAATTAGTTTAGTTGCATATAAACATTAACAAAATTATAAAATACCTGTACATTTCTTCATAGGAAATAGGTATAAATTGCCCAGGACTCTGTCGTAAAATTAACAAAATTGCACTTTCCAGCTTTGGCCAGTGTAAATTCATGTAGTCATCATCACTTAAAAAAACTACAAGGCAAAAGTCACAGACATTTTAGGTATTTCGACAAAGATTTAGCAGACTAGCCCACAAGCGAACAAAATATGAACTTCAGCCACTTTTTCATCGTTGACAAGTTGTACCTCTTGCCTGCCTAAGCAGCGAGTTTTCTGACATAGTATTAGTAGTCATCTTGGATGAATTCTCCTGAATATGCTTTTACAAACATGACAAGTTTAACTAGCGGGAAAATTGCCTTCGTGTTTTCCTTCAATCATCCGCCATTTTGTGTTTTGTTTCGCAAAGCGAACCCATTTCATCCCCAGTGCTTCCTCGGCTTCAACTGGACTGGGGCGAAATGGGTCGAGGGTGAGCTTACATACAGTATCAACCGTGAAATCGTAAATTCAAGATGGCCGATTCGGAGTCGGACGAAGATAACGATTGGAAGAAAGGAGAAAAAAGAAGACAAGACAGCAGTAATGAAGATTCTGATGAAGATTCATATTCAGAGGATGATGCAGATACATCAGATGAAAGCTTTGACGAGAATATGGTTTGCCTTTATTCTTGTTTTAATCATCAGCTTTCGTGTTGCACTTGCAACCTCTCAAAAAACAAAAAACACGTGATTGTATGATATGTACTGTTTCTTGGTCATTTGATAGGAGATTCCTGTTGAATTTGAAGCCTTTCCGCCAACAGAAGAAGATTTCAGTGGGATACGATGTCTTTTGCAACAGGTGGGATGAACTTTTTTTATGACCATTAACTGTACTGTAAAATATAGCTTGTGGTTAATGAAAAATGCAAGCTACGTACGTACAAAACAAGGCTAAGGGTATGAGAAATATACTTAATCTGAGACACGGGTGACTGGCTAATATTAGTCTTTCTCAGGGATGGTTGACCATAATCACACCCCTGAACTAAGCACTTGTTTCCATATCTCACTTACACTTACATGAACTTTCTAAGTTTCTTGACTCAGAGACTTAGTTTCTGCCCAACAAATGTCGTCAAAGTGCAAGTCTCTTCAATTTTAACGGAAAAAAAAAAATGTTCGAGTCAAGAGCAGGAATCGATCCCGGAGTGCTAAATCTGTAGTCTCATGCCCTAATTTAACTACTGTAGCGAAAGCCCTAACCCTAAATAAAAGCTAACCGTTAACCCTAATCACTATTCTAAGTGCTTAACCCTAATCAGTATGGTCAGTGCTTAACCCTAATCAGTATTGTTAGTGCTTAACCCTAATCACTATGGTCAGGGCTCACTCACATATGTATACATTATATGCAATTACTTTGTGTAGGCATCACAAGGAATCCAAGGGCGGTTTGAGATATGGAAACTAGCGTTCACCGGGTTGGTACCCTGAACCCTCACCTCTTTGCAAACATTGTTCTATGTTTATTATTCATAATCTAATGATAATGGTTTGTTTACATTTCTTTTTGCAGTTATTTCAAAAGAGTGCTGTTAATCTTTCAAAGCTTTGCGATCTGATCATTTCCCAACCAGAAGTTTCTACAGTTATAAAGGTATGTCAAGAATAATTTTCAATGAAACTGTAATATTATTGGAATGATGTTCAAATTATCATTTTTTGTGATCTATAATATTACTTTGATTTGAAAGGTTGTCGATGACGAAGATCAAGAAAGCAATGGTGAAAGTAAAGATCATGACGAGGAAACTCATGAATCAGAAGAAGATGTGTATGGTGTTACAACAGTAGTTAATTTGAAAAAGCATCAAGTGAGAGCAAAGAGCATGATGTGTTATTGGCCCTATGCAGGGCTGCAAATAACGGCCGGTCAACGGACAATGTCCGGCCTGATCGCGGACTTGACCGGTCAAACTCCGGTCTTGCCGGTCATTTTGACCGGTCATTTTTGGATACAAACACTTACACAGTTGTCGCTTAATGCTCTATAACGCTGTAATGATTTCTTTTTCTTTGGCGTTTTTTGCTGCTTTGTACTAAACCCTTCTAAGAAAAAGAACGCCGCAATAAATTAATTTCATGTCGTCATGTCGTAATCTAACGCAGCAAAGTGAATAACAAACTGAGTTGGAAAGTAACGCAACGTTGCAAGTCATACTGTACTTTCGGCTTTGCTGTAATCAGCAATGTGACCTTCTTTGGGAATTCAAGGAATTCAGGCAAATCGATCGCAATTCTCAACAGGTCGTCCTGTGTTTCTCCGGGAATAAATGTTAGCGCATCGATTTCTTTTTATATCGAACATGAATCTCGTTTGCAGACTCGATTCCAGAATGGTCTGATAAAAATTTAAACTACTCAAGAGGGAAGGTCGTCGTCTATCGCGGCGCTAGATTCTCGTTCTTGTAAACAACTTTATGCAAATTTCTGTTGACATTTGACCCCTTCGCGATAAAATGTTGCGCGATGACCCAAATTTATTTATGGACTTCTGATCATCAACACGCTGTTTGTGGAACAAACTTCTCGCCAATGCAAATCAACTTCTTTGCCGAAAATATCAGCGACGATTCTTCTTTGAAGAAGTGACTTTCGATCACATGCCAGGCAAGGAAAAAGATCAAGTTTCACCGATGTTCATTTCGGAACATCAACGTAAAACAAGCGTGTGCAGATTTTGTAAAATAACCCAATTTTTTTTTTTTTTTAATTTTCTAAAGTTTGCTGAACTGTATGTGTATTCCGTTTCCTGAACCTTGGGAGTTTGAAAAGGATTTACGCTTCACTTTTTACCTCTAGAGACTTCAGACACCGCCATGCAATGATACTCAAGGTAGAACGTAACATTAAAACGCCCGAAAACCGCGGAAAGGAACTCTACAACGTGCGAATGCATTTTTCACTAATTTGCTGTCAAAAATGTGAACGTCAATGCAGTAATAACGATCTATTGCCAGCATAACTGGATATGGCAAAAAAGAATTATTAGTATTCATTATTTGACCGTCCAGAATCGGGGTTTGTCCGGGCTAAAAAATATTTGGCCGGTCTTCATGACCGGCAACCTGTTGTCCGTTATTTGCAGCCCTGCTATGTAACTTTGTTTTAACTACAACCTACTTTGTTTTGTTTCCTCTCTTTGCTCTCACATAGGATAATGATGCTGTTAGGGAGCTAAAAAAGTTTCTGTTAGATAACTGTAAAGAGTCAGGATCAAAAGAAACAAGAGAAGAGTTCACGGAGGTGATGGAAGGACAACATGCCATTGGATTCCTCATTAATGAACGCTTCATTAATATCCCACCACAGATTGCCGCACCTGTCTACAAAACATTAAGGTAAGAACTTTCTTTATTTCAGGGGACGTGAGGATACTATGGGTACCAGAGTCTTTTTTGGCTTGTATGCAGCTGGATGCTTCGGTATTGGACATAGGCCAACAGATCTTTGGTCTTTGGCCGAAGTCACAAGCAGCAAAGCCTTGAGAAAAAACCTCTGGTAAGAAGCGATGCCATAAATACTTTACTATCACCATTGAACATTTTTATTGGATTACATTTTGAACCAATCAAATTGAAGGTCTCCTATTGTGATCATATGGACAGTGGCACATAAAGTAATGCTGGAAATGTGACAAACAATATGGTAATAATTTTGGCAAATTTTGCTCTAAAATATAATTTGCAACTCTGTAAGCTTACTTTACTAGCATAAACAACAAAGTCTTCTGCATACCATTTCAGAATAAGGGCGTTAACTGGATAAAAAAAAGTCATTAGTAATAGGACTTTAGAGATACTTGCTGATCTCACTTAATTAAATCGTACACACAGTCCAGCAATATCAGTAAAGCTGTAACGACAACAATAATATTTCTATTCCCAGTCTACAAGACTTCAAGAACATTCTAGGTTGCACCCATGAAATAGAACATAATGTCAGTTGTTTGCCATGAGCTATTCTAATCCTCTCTGTCGCCCATTTTTTTAAATTCTTGCGGGTACTTTCTGTCATTACTGTTTCAAAACTTTTAGCATCGCAAGAACAGAGTACATTGTTATCCTAACATAAACAAAACAATTTGAAATATTCTGTCATGTCCTATTCTTGTCAACCAATAAATTGGAACATCTGTACGATTGTCATTAGGATCTAATCAGCTATTGTGTCCAAAATCTGGACCAAACTGATTTAACTGTGCTTACAACTGGCTTAGTGCTATCAAAGCGATAGGGCTCTGGTCCCGGGGGCTAAGATTATTAAAAACTACACGTAACTGAACTAAAAAGACTGTTGAATGAACTGATGGTATGACTCTTTCTCTAGTCTGTGTAAAGGACATGGTCAGTCTGTAAAGAATGCTTTTCTTAATCACAAATAAAAACATGATAAAGTGGTGTTTAAGGTCAATCCAAAATTCTCCTCCAAAGATTGTAAAAAAGAAGTGTTTTGAGTCACCAGATCCTTGCATCATGCTAATTTGCTGGTTGGCCTACATGTGTTACCTCATTCTCTCCAACGTAGAAGTGGTAGGAAGCTGCTAGGAAAGAATGTTTAACCCCTTAAGCCCCAATATCCACATACGAATTCTCCAAACTGATCTCTATACATTTCCTTAAAGAATGCGTTGAGAGAATATGATAAAAGATCAAAGCATTTCTCTTAGGTGATCAATTTATTAATTCTCATAACCTAGTCTCTTGACAGTCTATGGATATTGTTAGGAGAAAATTGATGTTGGTCACCACTGGGACTTAAAGGGTTAACAAAAAAGTGGTTTGACCATCTTTGGTTGTTGTATTTCATCTCTTTAAGGCTGGCTAAGCCAGTGCTGACTGCGTTGCTGAATGTTCAGACTTTCATAACACTAGCTTCCATCCAACTTCACATTTAAGTGTTTGGAGTTCGGGTATCTGATGATTATTCTTTGTTTTCTTAGATCTGAACTGAAGAAGGTCCATAAAAAGGTATGTGTTTTTAGCCTTGGATACAACTACATGTATATGTTGCAGTTAATTTTTTATTTTAGTTAATTTTTGTTTTTCCTTTGTTTCAAATCCATTAGCATACATTACCATACCCTAAAGCAATGGAAAAATAAAAATTAACTGGGATAAAAAATTAACTACATCATATAATATATGCTTTATTATGCATCTGTTTACAACATTTTGTTTTGCAATACATGATGCAGCCAAACCTAATTCTTCAGACCCTCTAAACAATGAACTACAAAAGCCTTTCTTTCATAGGCAGTTCCTTTCTCTTTGATACAGACCACTTTAAAATAAAAAGGACAGATATATGCGTTTTTGACCAAGCGTGAGGTCAAGATGGCTGTATATTGGCCAAGTTCTTGACCTAATAGGCTTGGTCAATAGAGGATTATTTTATTATCTGGCCAAAAAGGGACCAATGCAGGAAATCTTGAGTGGGCAATAATCATTAATGTGCAATAGTCAGCCATGTAATTAACACTCTGTCCTTTATGTGCTACCTCCAGTGTGTCACTATATTAGAATGATATCCTTTCTTACTTACCTCAAAATAAAATAATTATTAATGTTCTAGGGTCAGGATACACCGCTCTCTTATTTCATAATACTGTGCAAGACATACAAAGAGATCGAGACAAAAACAAATAAAAAAGGAAAAAAGGCTAAGAAGCCCAAAGTTCAGGAGACAACAAAGTCCCTGGATTTTATCAATGTTGAAGATGAAGTGTTTCTTAAGGTAAGAATCAAATATTATTATTTGACTGGTTTGTGAGCCAGGAACTGTGCAACTGTTCAGCAGGTTTTAGTCTTAAAATTTGCCTTTGGGCCTGAAACATTACCGAGCCTTTCGAGAAATGGGCCCCAGAGCCTTAAAGGAACCACAGATTGTAGTTTATTATTTTAGGTACTGTACATTAGTTGAGATATTTCTGAACTTTGCTTCCTAATAAAGGAACTTGTGATAAAATACAATTTTCCACAATACAGTCATCTCCCGATAGCTTGAACATTTACAAGGGAAATCGAAAGAAGCTCAAGTTATCGGAAGCTCAAAGCATAGCCAGAAGTCAGGGAAAAACTAGATTCTATCATACAATGAACATTTTTATCCCATTTAGTTGTAGAAATGTGAAGTGAAAATTGAAAGATACTTGTAGATTATAAAGTATAAGTATGTAAGGTAACAAAACATAGCCCAAATGGAGCACGTGTTTTACTGTTTTGAGAAGTAAAGCTGTTTCACGTTAGATTTGTGACAAACAACATCAGCCTCCACTAGTAAACTATGTACCTGCAACATCGTGTCAATGATATGGGAAATTCACTGAAAGCTAATACACTGTTTTTTTTTCCTGACTTTGTAAGCAATAAAAACATGGTTCGAGTTATAAAGGGTAAAATATTTATAAAGAAATGATCTGAGGGGAAACAAAAATTACTTTGATTTAGTGGGAGTGTTGAGTTACCATACAGTAACATGTATGGCGGAATAGGCCATTTCCGAGTTCCCAAGGGCCTCTGTATCAAAACAAGGTCAAGTGCTCAGCCATTGATGTTGAAATTATTTTTTATTCTCATGCAAATAAAACTCATTTTCGCAGGAAAGGTTGTGCACTTGGCCTCATTTTTGAAAGTGAGGGTTTTCGGAACTTGGAAGTCTCCTATTGATTTTGTTTGGATTTAGCATGAGGTTTGAGTTAGCGAGGGCTCAAGTTATCGGTAGTCGACCGTAGGTCATTCTGCTGGCTTCAACCTACATATTGGATGGCACTTCTGTTATGCCCAAACCAAATTATCTGCCCCCCAAAATTTATACACTGTAGTTACAAGAACCTTATGTGCGATGTCATATTATGTTGCACATATTTCAGAATGCCTATCACAGAAACTAGGGGTTACATAATATGTTAATTAAGCTTGATAGTATTGCCTGATCTAAAATCAAATTCTCTCCAGTTCAAGAGAAAATCAGCCTTTGAATGTAGACTTATAGCCGATCGTCACTTCTCTCCACCCTAAAATAACTTTTCAGGTGGAAAGAAGCGATGACCAGAAATATGTCTGCATTCGCAAGCTAAAGCAATAGACTTGCCACAAGTAGACTGCAGGAGTGCTGAAGGCGAGAGGAATGGTTGACTGACCACCTAACCAGCACAAACTTGAAATGGGCTTTGAGAAAGTCTAGGTGAAGCAAATACAAACCATATTGGACGTGGGAGGCCAGTTGGCCAGTAATAAATAAATTAGTGTTGGAAGTTCTGAATCAGAGCCCTGTTCACTGCATTTACTGTTCTACACACTAATTTGTTCTTCTTTTACATCAAGAGCTCACTAAAAACACCTTGTATCCAGAGTTAAGATAGTAAGCGAGGTGGCAAATAGACTGTTCATAGTCGCCTTCTTAGATGAGGGTCAAATCTACTTTTGATGAAAGAAGTGTTCAAAATCTCATTCTTGACTTTTCCATCTTGTTTACAGGCAAGTCAGCTATCTTTTAGTTTTGAAGCCAGCACAAGCTCTGACGAAACTCTTGTAGGAGGCAAATGGACATCAGATGATTCAGAATTAAAACCTTACAGAACAGTTTTAGTTCTTTCTACTGACAAGTTTGATGAAGCACTAGAAGGGATACATACAATGCTTACTCAATAAAAAACACCACTATAATGTAGTGTGGTTTAGAAACTGTACTTCTAAACTGTGACCTTTGTGCTTATGCAATAAACTTGTGCAGCCAAACAGAGTACCAGAAAAAAATTACAGGCTTGATTGTGTTCAAACTGACCAATGACCCAATATTGCAAACACCAGGGTTTGAAATTATCCTGGTCAAAGATTTTGATGCTCATTTTGAAACAAGAACTATAAGGAACTCTGTAGTTTGATCTTTCAGGTGCTTTATTTATTCACAGGTGCACTTATTCATAAACATGAGGGATTTTTAACTCAATTTTTTAACTGGCACAGATTTTAGTTTTTTTCTTTTGGAAAATCCAAGATTGCAAGGTAGATTCTTAATTTCACCTCAAGAACTCAATCATTACAATAAGAGAAGTCAAATTTCTCAGACTGGATTCTCCAAGAACTGGCAGAAACATGACAGGCTCAAATGTTCATTGGTAAAAAAATCATGGATCATAACCTTGTGATAATATTTATATTTTCTTGGATAATACATTGTATCTTTTACTGAGCTACAAAGGACTACTTTTGGAGTAGCAAGTACAACAGGTAAATTTTGTAAGGCTTTGTGTACTTACAATAAAACATTTCACAAGTCTTGTGAGCAATTCTTCATTAATTTTGTATTGGGAAGGCAACTTATCTTTTGAAAACCTTATAACCGACATGTCTCTCTGAACACAGGCCTATATGTGCGTCTCAGTTGGGTGCGGAAGGGTTATTGAAACTCACAACTTAACATGGTCGACAACAGTCAAAATTTTAGTATCATAAAGTACATCTTCCATTGTACATGGTTCGTACAATTTCAGACAAACAAATTTAAAATTCAAGGACTTTTCAAGGATAATTTACTGTTTTCAGGGTCTGAGATTTCTTCGGTAACACGACTTTCTTTGACCCCCTTTTGAACACCTTACTGGCTAAAACACTCAGCAGAGTCATTTGTGATTTTTCACGTTACCTTATTATTTTTATACTACTTTCTGTGACAACAGTTGCTGGGTACAACTTGCAGTTGTATCTGACGTACAGAAATACCACTTGAAATAAAGAAACAAAAATAACTAGAAGGTAGAGAAGTTCAAGGACTTTCAAGACCTAATAAAGAAAGTAAGTACTTTTCAAGGATCTTAACCGAATTCAAGGACTTTGCAACATGACTAATAAAATTCAAGACCTGTTCAAGATTGTACAAACCATGATTGTAATGACATTCAGAAGATGATGTTACATGTATGAGTGTTGGAGCTTTTTCAGAGTGGATTTGCAAAGGGCTTCGAGTTCCCCAAAAGCTTAAAAGATCTTTGGTCCAAATCGCAGGGATTTCCGAGGTAAACAAGATTTTCCTGCTGGGAAGAAAAACTTTGATAATCTAGGGGTGCATTCCATTAGTAAGAACTTTATGGCCAGATGAGTTCTGTTGAACAGAGTCAAGCCAAATCAGTCCATTCCTAAATGGTGTGCATGGCAAATGGGTTTTAAGCAAAAACTCACATTTTCAAAATGACTGGTCCGGCTGGTCAATTCTGACTTTTGGTAAGCATCCTAAGACATGCATTTTTTTTTTCAGTGTTGTCAAATTACAAAAGAACAAACAATCGGCATAGATATTTTCAAAATATTTATTGAGGCTGATTTCGAAGGAAAGTGATAGTAATAATAACCTTTCTTCACAGGAACATCTGAAAAAAATTAAAATCAAATACATTATTGCTATTATTATTATTATTAGTTATCATCACCATCATTTAATCAGGGGTCATATTTATAGGAAAAGGTTAAGTCACCAATCAATACATTATTTTAAGTTGTCAGAAGGTATGGCCCCCAAAATAACAGAAAAGCAAGTAACTTTATTTTTCTTTTGGTAGAAAACATACCCAACTTTCTATTTCTTCTCACTCAGTTGCTTATTTTGTGTTTATGAAACGAAAACATCAAGTTTTGGTCATCAGCCCCCAGGAAAAACTTAGGTACCACCAGTTAAAGTAAACATCTGTGCCGGGTTGTTCAAAGCCAAGTTAACATAACCCAGGGTTAGTACAAAATTTGAATTCAGATATGAAAGCTTAAAATGCAAATTCAGTTTACCGGTAATTCTTTTTTCTACAATTTGATGATTAAATACTCTAAATAGAATAGAGAAAATTTTCCAAGAAAACGCTTTTGATGAAAAGAAAAAGAAACCCGGGTTAAAATTTAACCCTGGGTTAGCGCTAACTGGCCTTTGAACAACTCGGCCCTGCACTATATTACTTTAGACAAAACAAAAAGCTAAGATATTCGCTCTTTTCTACTCTGTCTTTTGGCAATATCTCATAAAATCCTTTGCAAAACAGTACAGTGGACTCAAACCATAAGACTCAGCTACATTGATGTTTTTTTTTTCAACTGAAGTTCACTTATTTATTCATTCATAACTATTGTAGATTCTCATTTGAATAGTACAAAAAAACTGTAACATAGTGGTGCTACTGCATTTCTACTTTAACACACCATTTCAATCAAAATGTTAACCTACTAACACTTAGACGTACCGTAAGTTAGGGGTGTAACGATTCATATTCCTTGTGGTTTGATTTGATTTCGATTATTTCGATTCGATCATGTAAATGTTTCTTAATTCTTATAACATAACACATAATGTAAACAACAGGCAACCCTAAACCCTCAATTTGAGAATAGTAGCAGGGACAAGAGGATTCACAGTCGCTTGGTTTGTCGCCATTTTTGAGAACCTGACAAAGAACGTAGTTCACCTTATTTGGAAATTCTCAAGGGGTGGTTAAGGGACAGCATTTTTACCAGGCAGCACAAAATGGCGCAAGAAATGCTATCGTCTTTGCTCGTCAATCATAAATGCACAATTTAAAGCGTTCTGGATTCAGATTTTACAATATAACAACTCACTAAGGGCACCCTGGAAAAGGTGTGCAAAAATCGAACCAAAATCGAAATGTGGAAGCAAAGAATCATGAATCAAACCGAACCATTATAATCACGATTAATCGAGAATTTGATTAATCATCACACCCCTACTGTAACTTACATAAAAAACATTGTCACCTACTTATTCCGTTGACATTGCTTGGACCTCTTCTTCTGTGTGCTTTCCCTTTTCAGCCAATTTGGACCGGTTCTTGCGCTCTAGGATCTTTTTCCTGTCTTTGTCAAGCTTGAGCTTTATGATTTCCACCTTGCTTGGGTGAATGCCAACACTGACAGTAGCTCCATTAGCTTTTTCTCTCTGTATCCTCTCAATGTGAATGACCTGTAGTGCATTAAATTTTATTTCATTTATGGTGAAGAGAGCAACAGAGCAGAGCTGCAAGTTGGTCATCGGACAATGTCCCTCAAAATACATGTATGCCAAATGTCAGAAGAGATGCCATGCACAGTTGGGCATGAGCATCAGACAAATCTAGTACTAAAGATTATCATTTTGAAGCTGAAAATTTGAATAGCAATAAAAAAGTAAATTTAATAAAAAATCAATGTAACTGTTTATCTGGTTTGCATGACAGGAACAGTAAATTGATCGACCATATATCCCTTCTAAAATAAAACATCATGTGAAGTTCTGGCAAAGAGGCAGTCAAATTCCCACATCAGTACAGAACCAGGTCACTTCTCCCTTTCTAATGATTAATTATCAGATCTCAGCAAAATTCCCAACAGCACCTTGAATAACCTTAGTGTACATAATGTTTTCTATTGCTACTTTTTTCTAATCTGTGAATACAGACCTTTCTCCTCGCTCTCTCCTCACTGTCTCAATGACAGAAATTGCATACTGACGATGGTAGTCATGAGGACCAAATGTAAATTTGTTCAAGTTAATGTTTTTCCTGGGATATTACGGTAACGTTTTAAATTTTTCTGCAAACAAACTGCAGCAAAACTCAAATGCTTCTTCCTCTGAAGAATATTTTCCATGAATACTAACCTTTTTGTAGTAGCTTCATTGTGTTTACATTTGACCCCCGTTCCCTTTTGTCTGTCATTGGTAACCACAGCTAAAACAATATAATTACTATGTTGACTAATCAGAGCTCCCGTCCACAACATGGACAGATTTCACATCATCAGTATGGAATTTCTATTGATGAGGCATAGACATCTTTCTTGCAAAACGTCCCAAGCGGCTAGGATCAAGGAGAAATGGTTGTATTTGCAAGCAAACTATTTCCCTATGTCTTGGTTTGTGTCACTTATGAGTGTTACAGGTTTTTAAACTGAGGAGACTCTTAAAGGCAAGTTCACCTCGTCAACTCATTTTTGCAATAAATATTTATAATGCCGCGCTCCAATTCCAGACCTGGGGTACCTGTGGTCATCTGTTATCTGGGTATTTCGTATACACACTTCTCAAGGATTTACAATGCTAGCCTTCTGATTATCTGCCGAATAAAATTCTTACTCTATTAATCACTTACCCATTTCTTACGGTAAACCTGAATAACTTTTCCAACTTGCTGACTCTTAAAATGACCACGTGTGACTTGAACTTCGTCGTCTTTTCGGATGGGCATAGAGCGAACATTGTATTTTTGGCGAAGTTCTTTGGACAGGGGCGCACTCATAAGCTTCCTCCTCACGCTGGAAGGCGCTGAGAAGTGAGCTTTTCGGTTTTTCCTCCTTGAAGAGCTAATTTCACTGTTGAACTTCATTTTGAAGACCGACCACACATGTGGGGACGAGTAAAAGGGAGAATCTGTGGTAGAGGGGGGACTATATGATAGAATTAATCGGACCCCTAACCCGCTGACATGAAAGATTGCGGCGCTCCAGCGGAGTCCAAACATCAAAAACATGGAGTTTACAAGAATGAGTGTGCACTTTTTCTTGTTTTCTTCGCTTATTGGGACGCTTTTAACAATCTCATTTACTAGTGCATTTCGTCTAAATGATGTCATCGATGGCAGACTCAAGCATATCCCTTTGAAGAGAACAAGACCTGATGGTCGGTTCGGTTTTCTCCGCGGAAAAGACTTAGAGCAATTTGACAAGGAACTGAGGCAGTTGTTCATTGACGATGGGGCCGAGGATCATACTAGATTGAGACGAAGTGTGGATGGTACAGTCCGCAGTCATAACCGCACAATAATAGATGAATTTGAACTCAAAGGAGACAACCATTCTGTGGCGTTCTTGCATTGGGCGGGCAAAAAAAGTTCGGTAGGTATCCTGTACCTTATAAAACGTGCAGCTTGCTAGATCGACCAGGTGAAAATATATTAAACTTGCTGCTGTGGCGATCGACCGATTTGCATACCTTTGAAGCTGTAAAAATCCTACACCTTGCTTAAAGTTAAAAAAAAAACCAACATTGGCTCAGTTGTGTTCATTTTCCAACGTACGTTTGATGACTTTAGAAGCGGGCACCACAATCTGAAAATAAAAGCCTAAGTATTCGAAACAATTGATCCTATTGTTATGTAAGACATCTCTCACACCTGTTAATAAACAGGTGCACTGTGTATTGCTACTTTTTAAAAGCCATAGTATTAAGAAATATAAACTTGCAGGGTAGGTAATACAGGAAGTACAATGTAAAGCTAAAGGTTAATTAGGATAAGTGTGCCTTCCCGTGGCGCATTTACTAGACTAGTGTTGTCCTACATCAAAGCAAATACAAATGCAAATCATTTCCGCAATTCGGTAGAGCTTGAAATGTAAGCATGCACTCAGGCATGATCAGGCCGAAGAGAAGAGGAAAACAATGTTGCCATTTCAAAATTAAAACAACTGCAGGCGATTGTACACCCTAGAAAACCATAAACTTATGCCAGAGAGTTGTTTGAAGAAAAGTGGCATGTACATATAATATTATTGTAGGTTAGAAAATTTAACACTATGCCATTGACTTTGTCTATTCTATAAAATGGTAGCCTATCTTTGTCTGATTACTCATCTGTCCATAAATACAGTCAATGAAATTTATTAGACAGAACACTGACCTTTGGGCAAACTATCTGTTTAGATCATGTTGACAGATGATTTCTCTGTGTGGAATTGTAATCTGCCTATAGTATCTGAGTCAAGCCTGTAGTGATCAGAAAGTAATGAAAGAGTGCTTCAGCTACCTAAATGTAAACAGTTGAACATATGCCATAAATCAATAGAGCTTTGTTTCATCTGGTGATGAAAACAATGTTGAATGTAAACCCCTTGTGGGCTTTTCACATTAAATTTAGAAGTCTTATTAAAAAAGCTAACTAATAAAATAACAAATTACAAGTTATTTGTAATTTGTTATCTTTTTTGTTGCTGAAGACAAAAATTAATAAGGTTTACCCTTTAAGTGCCAATAGTGACCAAGATCAATTTACTCCTAACAATATCCATACACTGTCAACAGATAAGTTCTGAGAATTAATAAAATGATCACCCAAGTAAAAATGCTTTGATGTTTTATATTGCTGTATTGCTTTGATGTTTTATATTGACTGTATTGCTGTATTGCTTTGATGTTTTATATTGACTGTATGTTTGATATTTAATTCTCTCAACTAATTCTTCAGGGAAATGTATGGAGATCAGTTTGGAGAATTTGTTTGTGGTTACTGGGGCTTAAAGGGTTAAGATCAGTAAACAACATTCTATAAAAAATAAGTTCTTACTTACATCCAATACATTAAGCTCACACAAAATTACAATGAGTTCAAGAGGAAAGAAAAAGGGGAAAAATTAGTGAAAGGAAGGACAAGGAGAAAAAAGTCTGAATAGGATTGTTAGGATTCCATTATTTTAATAAACTGGCACAAAAGGCACTTAGAAGCTTAAACAACAACTTACAAGTGAAGTGAGTTGAGGATGGTCTCATATGATTGGCTAAATCACACAAACCGATTGTAATATGACATGATAACGTTACAAGACTTAAGCCTGTCAGTTGCCACACATGTTTAATATAATTTTTCCACACTATATTGTTCAAATAGTGTGCATAGAAATACATCTAAATGAGGTTTCTATGCGATGTTTTTTTCAAGTGTACACTTGACAGGGTTTGCACAGTCTTGAAAAGTCCTTGAATTGTAGGGGGAGTCCTTGAAAAGTCCTTGAATTCCATTTTCCTTGAAAAGTCCTTGAATTTTCATCAACTTTGAATGTTAAAAGTGGCCTAGAAAGTGTTTTTAATGCTTCTTGGTTGTCCAAAACAGAATATAAATCATTGCTCAGAGAAGTTAAAGGTGATTTACTTAAACGTTTTTTTGCTTTCTGTGCAAAAATTAACTATCAATATTATTCAAGACAAGTGAACTGAAAAATGTAGAGAAGTTGGTGGAGAAAACAGTTCAAGCCTTTAAAGTAACATTAGAATGGACTGGGAAATAAAGTTATGTGCATTTTTTGTTCAATCTGTGAAATTAGATTTCCGGTAGGTGGTCCTTGAAATTAAAATTGAATGTGGTCTTTGAAAAGTCCTTGAAAAGTCCTTAAAAAATGGTTACAATTTTTTCTATGAATCCTGGTTCAAGTATTTCTTTTGCAGTGATACCAATAAACAGGGAAAAAAAACTACATACATTAAGACACATACCAGTCGGTCTTTGGCTCCCAGTTATCCAGCGAAATTGTGGTCATTTTGCCTTAAAGTTGTTTTGCCCTTCAGCATTTCGCCCTCTTGTAAGTTGATTTGCCCAATAACAAAGAACACTCAACGGACAACAATATGGCTTATCAGACATGTCTTTGAGTTAAGCTTGGATTCCATTCTTGATTGCTGGAAAAAGGTCCAATGATCTGAACCAACTAAGCAATCTTGATAATCATATTCAAGATACTGAAAGAATATGTACAAAACTGTAGTCTACATGTGCAATAGTGATTGCAATGATCGCACCAAATCATAAGTCTGGGCGAACTGACCTCAGGTGAATTGACTTTCACATTAAAGAATTACCTTTTTAGCAACAGTTCTATGCCATTCTAGTGCTTTGTGCCTGAAATTTTAAACTTCTAAAGCATGAAGAAATAATGAATCTTATTCTGTTAATCTTTCAGGTAATTTATATCTACACCTGTGGACAAATTAACCAAACTGAAAATGATCACACTCTTTGTGAAGATGCCTATTTCTGGAGGTAAGCTGTTCTGTCATTTTTAAAAACTGTACATAGCTAATGCAAATGATTACAGAGTAGTTATAAAACTGATGATGTCACAAGCAGTACAAGGTCTGCAGATCTGTTCCAGGGGATAATGGGCAGTTTAAGTGTGAATGGCTTGAAATTGAATGACACAAGTATGCTTTTTTAATAATTTTTACTTTTTCTTCATTTTTTTTTTCATTTGCTTCTTATACACATTACATAAACATAGATCTTAAATACAGAAGAAATACATTTAATGTAAACAAAATTAATTAACGATTTGATAGTAAGGTTGCTAGACAGGATATTCTGTAGAATATATTTTGTCTTGTCTTTTGGAATCTGTAGATATTGGATTTTTTTAAAAACAAGGCAGGGGAAAAAGGAGAGTTTACTCAAATAAATGCCTTTTCTGAATAATTTTTCCACTTTTCTTCAAAAATTTTCTCTGTTCCTTTAATAATTGAAATTTGTTTGTTTTAAACATATGCTACAGTAGATGGTTTTGAGCTTTTGTGTTTGCAACTAAAGATATAAAAACTTATTTTGTCTTCATAAAGGTCATCAGATTATGGCAGCACATTTCATCGGGTAGATGAAGCATTCAGTCACAAAACCATAAATAATGTGGATTTTTGTGCCAGCAATAATAAGAAAGTATGTTGAATACATTATGTTATGAATTGTTACAGTTTTATATTTTTTTAGAGAATAGCTCAATTGATTAGCAATGTTTTAAAATTTAGCAAAAAAGGAGAATACTTGTCCTTAGAATTTGTGTTGTGGCCTTGTTTTGCTTCATAGCAACTTGTTTTGAAAGTTGTAAAACAATATATTTTAAGGCTGAGTTCAGAAAGACTTACCGTTATGAACTTTGTCTCTAAAGATTTCTTTGAAATTTATCTCATTGCAGAAATTGAAGCCAAGAATATCAGCAAAAATTTCTTGGAATATCATTTTCTTGGCAAAATATGGTTCACTTTAGCTCTAATTTTGCTCAAAAGTATTGACCACTTTATATTTACAAATTGAAGTTTTAATATTATGCCTGAAAAACGTTGCAAGACTTTGGACTTTTTGCAGTCATTCGGTTAAAACCAAAACAACTTTCATAATAGATTGCTGCTTTGATCTGTAATGACAACAGATCCTCCTTGACCCTTCAAATATATATATAAAAGATCAAGGCATTTCTTTTTGGTGGTCATTTTTAAAAAATTCTCAAAACCTTTTCTCTTAATTATGTATGGATATTGTTAGGAGAAAATTGATGTTGGTCACCATTGGGACTTCAAGGGTTAACTTAGCCTGCATAGCAAGTGTTTCCAATTAAGTTAGAGGGCAAAAGTTGGATCGAGAGTAAAGCAAAATGGAAGGGGGAGGGGAGAAGAGGAAACGCAGGCCTGCAAATCCCACGGCTCTGGAAAATGCCCCTTGATATTTCACAGTTCGGTTCATTTGTAAATTCGACAGCTCATCAACGTAGCAGCCAGTACACAGTGAAACATGAATAACAAACTGGTTACCAGATTTGTAAATTTTACTTTGTTCTCTTCAAAACATGCTCCACATAATTGCAGGAAACTATGGTAAAGTAACTTTATGGTACTGTAGTTGTTGTTTATTGTCAAGTTTAATTTGGAGCATTATGTGGTTTCATCTCAACTGAAACCTTATCAAAACATTGCAAAGAAATGATTTGTCTGGAACAATTCAGTCCTCCAGGTATTTGAGATATCCTTTTGCTTTATCGAAGAATGAATCCTCGATAAAAAGCGTTATCTGTGATTCCTTTTTGGCCTGTTTGTTTTTCAAGGCATCCAACTGTTCGTAAAATATTTCTCTTGGTACACACGGTACATGTACATGAGGTTAGGCCATGTTTCGAGCTCTAAGTCCCACCCTATACCAAATGCGCTTTTTTTACTGTATGAATATTTCAAGAACAAATTTGGCCGAGCAGAGGGGAGTGTGGAGCTAATTACTTATAAGGTCAACAAATATCGGTTGCTCTCCAACGAATTCTACCGTGGTCTAATGGAGAGAATGGATGGCAGCAGGCTGGTGGTTCAAATCCTGGCATGAACAATATCAAAGTGAATAAATAAATAGTGTAGAGGTGGAGTGGTAAATAAGTCAGGGTGGGTAAATGAAAGATCCTGTGGGGTGGTAGGGTAGGGTAAAAGACTAAGAGGAGATCTGTGGATGATAGATTGCAGGAAAAGTTCCATCCTTCGTCCTTCCTCTCTTTCATTTTGTATCTGATTTTTTTCAGAACCCCCCTCAAAAAGCCATGCCCATATTTTTCATCCTCACCCCAAAAAGAAAAGGCCCTTTTTCAGACAGTTGATTAACAACTGGTTAACAAAAATTAAACTGGTCGAAAAAAATTGAGCCGGTTTGGAAAAAATTAAACTAGAGGTTAAAATTGAACTACAACACCTGCACGCTGTCATTCCCAATAAATTGGCCTTCACTAGTTTCCACTGCTCGATCTCCAAATATACTTTGAAGGGGCGAAATAACAGCGATGCTAGCGAGACCTCCTTTCAGCTTAGATCTGATAAACCTTCGCACAAACATGGTTTAAATAAATATCAGTCCAAAACATTTCTAATCTGCGACCAGCATTTCCTTCTGTCCTCTCCGCACCCCTTCATTCCTCGTTTTTGCTCTCCTCCCAACTGTCTTGACGAACTCACATGGAAACGCTTGCTACCCAGGTTACTTTAACTTCATATAAAACTGCAAACCACATGTACTGTACTTATTTTTCCTTTTATATATTTCTTTAAGGTCATTGTTAGTTCGCTGAAAGATGGCACTCTTTACATCTCAGCAGATGAGGGGAAAACTTTTAAATCAACAAGCTTGGCTATTTCACCGCATGTAATTTCCTGTAGTCCTTATTCCGACCAGTGGATTGTTGCCCATGATACAAAAACAAAAAAGGTATAATGGTACAGTGCTTTATTGCAGGTGACAAGAGGAGCCTGTAAGCCTTATCTCCAGGTTGTTTTAATTACACATGCGTCGCATGTATGTAGCTAGAATTCATTTGCACTTCCACTAAGAATGTATGGAATGCACAGAACACAATTTGATCACGCACATTTGCACCTTCTATCACTCAAATTCTGATCATGTGAATTTGATCGCACACGTTTTTGACCATCTGTCAAGTGAAAATTACACAAAGCACAACACTGGAGCAAAAGCATTTTGACCTTCGATCATTGTCGCCCGCACTATGTAACATTTGGTTATTACTAGTATCTTTTAATATATAATAGAATTCAAACAGCTGAAACTACCCCTCAAAACCGGGGGATTTGACTTGCTGGTAATCAGGGTTGCCATGGTCAGGGAAAAGTCAGGGAAAAATGAACATTTTTCAAGGTCAGGGAAAAGTCAGGGAATTTTTTAAAAAGTCAGGGAAAATCTTTGATATTGTCAAAGTCAGTGAAAAGTCGGGGAATTCTGTTTTCCGGTTTATAGTTCATAACTTTTCTTCAAGATTTTGAAATGCATTTTCTTTCGGAAAAGACAAAAAGTATGGTGCAAGGCAAGAAAAGCGATCAATTTGACACTACATCTGACACATGTGGTAGTTGTGATCAGTGGTTTTCATTGTGAATGCTTTCTTGCAAATTCCTTCTTCCCCTGTCCGCGCAAAGCAGAAAGAGTTTGAAAATGAAGAGAAAACTATTGATGGCCCCTAAAAAAGCTAAAGTGAATGGTAACATGGATTGTTTCTCATTAATAAAAGATCAGTGAAAACTTTTTAAAGGTCAGTGAAAAGTGAGGGAATTTTTAACTTTCTGATGAGTGGCAACCCTGGTAATGCTCAGATGGCCTCAGTTCTGGCTAATTGTGAAGAACAACTCCCCTAAACTGACGGACAACCAATAGTAAACTGACAGTTGGCCAACTGACAGACTTGCTCAAAGCAAGCTGTTTATTTTAAATTCGTGCACTTTTCAAAAATGGAACCTCAATTTACCTTAAAACCACAAAATCATAGTTTGGATTCCTACCTTGCAAAAAAATGCAAAAATTAAAGACCCACAAAAATAAGTGCTATTAAGGTAGACACCCTGGGTGTCTGTTAAATTCGTTACTGTACTCTGAACCCTTTAAGCTTTAATTCTCCATACTGATCTTCATCCGTTCCTTAAAGAAGTAGTTGAGAGAGCGGGTTTGATAAGAGATCAAAGCATTTTTTCTTTAGTGGTCATTATATTAACTCTCATAACCATTTCTCATTTCTTGGCAACATATGGATATACCGTATTTATTCGATTAACCGCCCTGGGCGCTTATTAAATTTTTGGTCCTTGAGGATGGGCGCTAATTCGAGGTGGGCGCTTATTCGAGGCTGGGCGCTTATTAAATTTTCAACATTTTCAGCAAGTGTAGTATGTTTATTTTGCAATAAATGGTAATAACAAAATGCGAAGATGTAACAAAGCAAGGTTCCTGTAAACTACTCTGAAGAAAACTCCGTCTTCGTGGAAGTCTCTTATTAGTACTTGTTCAATTTGGGGGTAGGGGGTGGGAGCGGGAAGGGGGGGGGTGAGGGTGGGCGCTGTTTGAGTTTGAGTGGGAAGGGAGGGGGTGGGGTGGGGTGCGGTGGGCGCTTATTCGAGGCTGGGCGCTTATTAACTTTTTCCGCCTTTAGGATGGGCGCTTATTCGAGGTGGGCGCTAATTCGAGGTTGGGCGCTTATTCGAATAAATACGGTAGTTTAGGAGAGAATTGATTTTGGTCACTATTAGGGCTTTCAGTTTGCCTTTAAGGCTTTTTTTTCTCAACTTATCAGTTTCTAAAAATTTGATTCTTTTTGTAGGTTCTCTATGCAAGTGATGGAGGGAATAGATTTTTTGATCTGTCTGAAAATGTGTTGAGACATTCATGGTGAGATTTCTCATTATGTTTGAATTCAGGTGGATTATATTTATTTATAAACCTGTATCATTCAACTGGGAGTTAGGAGTTAAATACATTGCTATTTTTTGCTTCCTTTTTTTATAATGAAAGGCTTATGATTTTCAAATTATTTGACCCAAGGCCTAATTGAACGTGTTACTTTAGAGAGAAATTAAATGTGGGCCTCTTCGGCTGGGTTGTTTGAATGATGATCAGCATAAATCCAGGTTTAATTTCTGTGACAACAAATGGGCTGCTGTTTGGAGTTCACCCAGGATTAAAGTTACCTAAGCTTTGAAACAATGCAGCCCTGACTGTGTAATGTTGCTGGTCAAAATTGAATTCAGGTGAAAGTTTTTTAACCTAGGTTGATTCTCTATTTTTTTTGTCTTCTGTCCCTAATTATTCATGAATTAGGGCTAGGAAACAAAGGAAACTGTGAATCAACCTAGGTTGAAAAATTTAAACGGGAAAAAAAATTTTCACCTTTAACATAATGTACCAGCTCTCTCAGATTATTGGTGAGTCTCCTGCGTATGGCGACAATCTCCAGCTCTCTGGCACAGGTTACCAAATCTTCCAGATGAAGCCACCTTGGTGGTTAGTTTGGAATTTAGCGTGGGGCATTTTTGCATGTATTTCATCAAAGGCAAAGATTATTTTGTTGCTACAATACAAAAGCAAATTTTTACTTAACATGCAATGTCCCAAGCCATTCAAGGGAGGGGGGACTGGTGATTTGGTCATTGATATTTGGCTGAGGGTAACGCAAAATTAATGGTAGTGTCTTCAGATTTTAGATCTCCAGACTTGGGCATCCCTGTGACTACACTTTCCCCTGTTCTCTGAACTCTCATTGATTTTGTATACAAATGGCCATCACAAAATGATTAAAACTTATTTATTGTATAGACACGAGTGTTTTACTGGAAAATATACCACTCGTAAAATTCATAAAAACAACATCCAGGACCCGAGTGGTTTATTCTCCATAATCTGACACGTGAGTTTATCCATGACGTAATTTTGGTCATTTCCCTCTATTATTTTGTCGATGTCTTTTTGTCTATATAATAAAAAGAACGTTACATGGCGGCTTGAAGATATGAATTTTATTTTCTCGTGGCAAAAACAATATTTTACTCACTCGCTGCGCTCGCTCGTAAAATATTTTTTTGCCACTCGAAAGTAAAATTCATATCTTCATGCCATTGTGCAATATCCTCTATGTATTTTGACAACATTAATAGTACGACCTTTGAAAACACCTTTCAACATCTCCTTTAGTATACATTTGCGATGTGTGTATAAGTTTTCTTGTTGTTGCTGTAGTTTTTTGTATTTATAAGTTGTTTTTAGACAAGTATTATTGCCACTAAAATTTTCCATATTTTGTTGTTCTTCTTCATTCTTTTTTTAATGTTACATAATAATTTCTGTGAATTTGACAATTAACATGTTGCTTTTGTTTTTTTTGTGTGTTTGTTTCTTGTTGTTTTGTTATAATAAATAAAATAATTAATAATAAAAATATATTTTGGGAAATGATTTTATCTCTATAAACTTTTCTTTTCCTTTTTCAGGGCACCTGAGAATAGCTCTGAACTCTTTCTAGAAGTGAGCTCTGGAAAGCCTTGTAAGAGATTTTTGCATTTACAGTTATAATTTCAGTTCCTTACTTCCACAATAATTGGCTAAAGGCAACATACAGGGTATTAATGTGACTTTAGTCACAAAACATAACAGATTGATATGTGCACAAAAAAAACGTAGGGAAATAATATTAATTTTTGTTATTAGATAAGTACCAAGTTCTCGTGGTTATTTGAAAGTCTCATGAAATAATAAGAACATTTCTTTGTAAAAGCTCCACTGGCATGCTTCTATTATTAGTTAAAGAAAGTTAATTTTTATTTTCAAATTTTGCTAACATTTTGTTTACGTGTATCTTTTCTGATTTAATAATGATAACGGATATAGGCAAAAATTTATCTGATTTTTTTCTTTTTTATCTCCTCTTTCAGATACCTCATTGCTAAAGCACATCAAGTTCCCACCTTGTTCGCAGACAGAGGCAAAAAAGTGTGTTAAAATTTTTGACACAACTCTGGGACCTTTCTCGTCACATACCTTCGAAGTAGAAGGCAAATACATGTTTGTTCAGGTAAGGTAGTCCAAGGCAAATTGAATTTTTAAGAGTTGAACCCCTCCACTGTAAAGCTTCTCTTGGTACAGATGTAGAGAGGGATCTTCATAGTTGGGTATAGGGCTTGAAAGAATAATTTGGCAGCTGGCTTTGGTTAATTTGTTTGGGCAAACCCAGTTAAGCTTAGACATACACATCTTTGTTTCTTTAAAAGCCCTCTCAGGTAAAGCAGGGGCAGCTATACAGAAAATCAAACTGGGCTAGCTGATAAAAAATAATTCTGGTAAGGGCATTATCCTTTTCCCCCAATGTTACCCCAAAGAAATTCACACTCAAAAAGATAGTCTTAAAGTGTTCTGGGAGTGTTATGAGCATTAGTTAAGGCTTTTTAGTAGTGCAAAAATACGCTGAAATAGAAAAAATACAAGAAAAAAGGGGTTGCTGTCAGTGGTTAACTTGGCCAACCCCTAGATCTGCCCATGTTTGACCATTGCATACTACCGCAACCACAACATTTTAGCTACGATTATTGTACTTTGTATAATCTACCCAGACTAAATTAATAATTCATACTACAGTCACACACTATTAAATAATTATTGTGTTTAAATTTTGTTTCTGTGCTGTACATTTATTGTAAATTGTGGGTCAATGTAATAAAACTTTTACAAGTGTAGCTATTATTTTGGGTGCAAAAACAATAGCTACACTTGTAAAAGTTTTATTAAATTGACCCTGTGTGTTCAGAAACTAAAAACCCTTATGCACCAATTCAATTTTACACTCACTGTTCCATGGTGAAAAGGTATTTTGTCATAATTGGCCCAGTTGTGTTAACAATATACCTTCGCTAAAATGATCCTAAAAATGCATAACAACTCTTTAAAGCCCTGTTTTTGTGATGGTAGGTGAATTGTTATCACCTTATGAGTATCATCTCTGATCCTGTTATAGGTCATGTCATTGATCATTAACATAATAATGTTGTTTTTCTTTTTATTTTAAGAAAATTTGTAAGTTTGTGGCACAATTAACCAATCACTCAAGTAAAAACCTTGTATGTATAGAACACTCTGACAGACAGCATTCTCATCAAAAGCTGTTCTGCTAGATGTTTTTTTTACCCTTCACCAAAATAATTTGTTTAAAGTTGAAAGTCATATTTAGCTTTGTCAAGCAACCTTTCTTTTGTACATGAAATGTTGAGGCATTTTGACTCACTCTCTCAACTATTTTGATGATGAGTATGTGTGGTCAAATGGTGATGAGTGAAAAAAGGATTTTATTTAACAAGTTTTGTCAAATCCTAATAATTTGTCAAGCCTTTAGTTGAGAGAAAAATGATGATAAGAATTTTGAAAACACACCAAAATTAAATAAACCATTTTGATTACCTCATGATATCATGATGGGGGTGATAAGTTGCGCTAATAGTCGTGTCAAGTTCTGACTTGTTCATTGTATTGAAAGCTCCTCACATTTGAAAGTTTGAAGTGTTTGTTCAAAGTTCCCAGTTTTCTGAAATACAGTTGAACCTCCCATAAGCGACCACCCTAAATGCAAAGAGTTAGTGGCCGCTTATGGGAGGTGGTCACTAAGAATCGAACCATGGGGGTTTTCTTCCGACAAGAAGTCTGGACGTGTCTACTTTAATGAAGAAAATTTATTGCATGCAATTTCCAAGTTATGACATGTGCAGTTGCATGTTGTTATTAAAGCTCTTCGTACATTCGAAGTAGAATAGTGCACACAGAGACCACAAGAGAGCGGAAAACTTGTCACTTGGTTACTTATAAGAGGTTAAAATAGAAAATCATTAAACCATCAGCCCCAAATAGCCGTTGCGGTCGCTTACAGGAGGTGGTCTTTTACAAGAGGTTCCAACTGTAGGACTTAAACTAGTAAAGTTTTGGTGTTTTGGATAGGTGGTTGCTTGGGGGGCTGCGGTGGTGGTTGCTTATGAGGGTTGGCGGCACATGGAGGTTCAACTGTATTTATTTATGTATTTAACAAAATTTGTTAGATTCCTTAGGTTTTTACAACCTCTTTTAGTGCTCTAACATCTTCATTTTCAACATCTTTACTTTGAGATTGTAATTTCCTTCTTGGTACTCAGAGGAAGGTTGCCATCCACAATATTGTAATTTCATCATGTGTTATATGTCACCCGGGCTATTAGATTAATGTTATACATTTATATTCAAAAATGATAAATGCTGTGCAAATGCTGCCTGTAAAAAGTTTGTGTGAATGTTGGGCTGAGCCTTTGTCTTAACATTAGGTAGCCACAGTGGGGGAGGGGGGATGGGGGGGCAGGGGATGTTCTCCCTACAATGGCCTACATTGAGAAACTCCTTCTGAAAGGGTACCTTTTTTTTCTGCAAAGGGAAGGAAATTCATGATTTGAACAGCTGGTAAAATCTCTCTCTTAATTTATAAAAAGGGCCTTTAATTAAAATGGTTTGAAAAGATGTTCCTTATAGCTATGTCATTTTCATTTATTAAACATTACACAAAAATAACAAGAGGATTGCCCGTTTTAGCAAGTTTTTCTTATTGAGTACAGCCGACTCCCGATAACTCAAACCTTCAAGGGAAATCGAAAAAAGGTTCGAGTTATCGGGAGTTCGAGTTACCGGGAGTTCGAAGGAATAGCCGAGAGTAAGGTAAAAAACAGTTTTTACTGCACAGTGAACATTTTAATCACATTTAATTGTAGAAATGTCAAGTGGAAATCAAAACATACTTTTAGATTATAAATCAGAACGTACGCAACAAAACATAGCCTAAATAGAGTATGGGTTTTACTGTTTGAGAAGAAAAGCTGCTTCACGTTAGCCTGTGACAATCAACGTCAGCTTCCACTAGTAAACTATACTCCTACAACACGTCAATAGGAAATCCAGAAATAAAAATTCAATGTTTCGGTCGCCAGTAGACGACTTTTTTTCCCAAATTTTTAAGGGCTCAAAACATGGTTCAAGTTATCTAGGGTAAAATTATATAGAAAATGACCTGAAGGGAAACGAAAATTGGTTCGAGTTAGCGGGAGTTCGAGTTATCGAGGGTTCGAATTACCGAGGGTAAAATTACAGTGAATTTATGACGGAAATCCAGGGGAAATTGATTTTGGTTAGAGTTAGCACGAGGTTTGAGTTAGCGAGGGTTCGAGTTATCGGGAGTCGACTGTAGTTATATATGTTAAAGGGGTGCCATTTTTCAGTGGAAGGTATGTGAAAGGGGTGCCTTTTATGTCCAGAATGGTATCTAAAATGATATGAGGTTGGAACTTGGAACAGATCCTCCCCATATTTAAAATGTATTGGTCATGTTTGCTGTTGTTTAAACACTACGCTGACAAAGAAGATGCTGTTTGGGAAATCTAGGTGTCCATACAAATGCCGAACCCTTGGATAAATATTACTAATTTATTAACTGTTTCCATTGAGCAGCGAAGAGGTCTACACAAGTAAGAGTGATTTTGCTGCACTGGTCGATCGTGTAGTCGCCAGTGCAACTCCATGGTAACAGATTTACCATCGGGAGGATTTTAATAATTTACTATACTGTATATAAATCTTTGTTGAGTAAACCCTCCCCCCTTCTTCGCCAGTGGAAATAGTGTTCAGAGAAAAAGCCTTTTGCTTTATTCATGTCTAGTAATGTGCCAAATTAACATGCTCTACACATAGCCATGTACCTGGGACTTTGCTAGATTTTTAACACGTTAACTCAATCTCTATAGAAAGACTTGCCACCCAAAGCATTATATGTGTGGTACAAGAATTATAATTCCAACCAAGGCCAGAACTTTTTCCAGCGAGCACGTTTCCCCTTGACTGATTATGATGAAAAGGTAAGATTTAAATAGAATAACTGACATCACTAATTAACCCATTTGCCCTTGAACCACCCCTTAACACCCGTGCTGATCCACATCCCTTGTGCCACTTGTGACATCATCAGTTTGAACAGTCAAGGACAACTTTGTCATCTTACTTGTGCAGGGGGAGATATTTCTCCAACCATACCAGAATGAGCATGAGTCAGTCAAGGAGGGGAGAGAAAAAGGCAAAAGCGTTGTAAAGTTGACTGGCAAAAATTCCTGTATTAAGAATCTTATTCCACTACCTACCTGCGCTTCCTTCCATAATAATAATAATAACTTTATTAATCTCCTCAAAAAGGCTTTTCAGCTTGATTTACAATGTCAAATATCTAAAACCTAGTTTTCCAAAAATACCCTTAAAAAAATGCTGTTTTATTTTTACTTTAAATACATCTAAACTAGTGATAGACTGAAACTCGTCTGGGAGACTATTCCACAGCTTCCATCTAATCCTAGTATCCTAAAAGCTTTCCAGAAAATTTTTCCCACCTAAAGAGAAGAGAAAGAAGAGGAGAGGAGAGAAAGCGATATGCCCAAACTTTAGAGGTTGAGTTTTTCCTCTGGAACAGAAGGCTGTGAACTGCTGGACCTTTAAATGGCGTCTTGCATTGGGAAGCTTTGTAGCCAGTGACCAGAACATGATGGGAATATCTTCGAAAGGCGTTTTTGCCTAAAAATTGCGAGAAGTGAATGGGTTAATATAACATTATTTTAAGGACCCCAGGGCAGAAACCTGTGCCAGGCAAGCACTTATTTTTAGCGATTTAGATCTGACTATGAACTATTGTCAGAATTTTATCTCTTGATTCTTGATTATTCACCTTTGTCTATTTTACGTTCACTAAGATATAAAAGAACTAAAAAATTTAATGTAAACCAGACTAGATGTATAACAACCATAGAATTTTACTACCACAGGTTGTTGACCCTTCTCATTACTTTGTTTGATGATTTTTCAGGAGTACAAAGTGGTTGATGCTAGCGAGAATGAATTGATGGTAGTCGTAAAGCACAAAAAAGATTATTACAATCTCTACATATCAGATGTGACAGGTGCCAAGTTCTCTCTCTCGCTAGAAAATATCCTAAGCACCACCAAAACAATTTGGGGAAAGAAGACGCTTTTGGTGGACTTACACAGGGTACTGATAATATTACTGAGCTATGATGTTTTCTAAATCATTTTCACCCGTATCAGTTCCATTGTCGCTTCTGATGACAGGTAGCATTGAGTCTTACTTTTTGAGTTCGTCTACCACATCCCATAGTGCGATCATTCCAGCAGTGCTTTAGCACTTTATTGATTCAGCTTTGGTATGATCAGAAAAATAATGCAGATCTTGGAGGGTGTACCCCAGCTGATGACATTCACCTCGATCAATCTGAAGTCACCAAAACATTATTGGTCTCAGTAAATTGCTCTGGAAGTGAAACATTTACGTTGAAGTTTACCGCTATTCCTGACTGTCAGCTCCAAATCTAAATCGTTACATTACTGGAGCTGCAAAATATAAACTTTTTAGAATTTCAGCAGTCAATTAGCAACTGGTTTTACAACTGGGTCTGGTTGTTCAAACTTTGGATAGTGCTCTCGCTGGATAACACTATCGAGTGGATAAGTATTAGGGAAACCAATTGCATTATTCAGTGGATAGAGATTTATCCAGTGAATAGCGCTATCCACCGGATAAATCACTCCCCAGGGGCGCATCCAGGATTGTTTTTAGGAGGGGGTGCACTCGTCTCTTGCTCTACTTCAACACCAATAAACCACATAGTTTTTTTTTTTGCAGAATACCAGTTGTATTAGAAAACCGCAGGTCATCTCGGGGGGGGGACACCCCTGCACCCTCCCCCTAGATCCGCCCCTGCTCCCCAGCGAATAAGTAATAGGGAAACTAATATTGCATTATTTAGTGGATAGAACTTTATCAAATGGATAGCGGTCTCCACCCTTTGAGCACCTGGGGCCTGTTAAGTCTACTTAGCTGTCCCTCCTACTGTGTGGTTAAAGACATAACTGGCAGTAGCCGAAGAAGTTGGCTGCACTACTGTTTTTTGTCAGCATGGTCAGAGGGTTTAGCTTGAGACAAAAAGTTGGGACTCTAGGGGTAGTGACCAGTGTGAAAACGGAACATTAAAATTTTAGATTACAAGTTTGGCATCCAAACCACTTTAACATGCTACCTCCTTGAGGTGATGGTTTGATCACTGACTGGGTAGCTGAATTGGTTGAGTATCAGAATGCTTCAACACCGGACCATCAACCAATGTCTATAAATAGCTGAATCGAGGGCATCCTCGGAGACCCAGGGGCAGTCAGTCGGGCCGGGAGAAAAGTTACGACGAAAGTTTTCAAGCATGGGTTGAAGAGCCCCTGGGTACCGACTCTCACCAGACCATTTCCAAAAGGTCAAGCGAATGCTGGCTCCTGATAGGGCACAAAAAATGCTTTGTATTATTGTGCCCAATCGGTGAACAGTTTGTCCTGAGTTCTTTTTGTGAGTTCGTACACGACGGCTATTATCTTGCCACAGTTGCCTGGTTCGTTTACCAAGCTTTCCTAACTACTGATGAGTCGAAGAACGTTTCGGATGCTACCAGCGGGAGCAATTCAATTTGCACTGAGAAAATTCCGTTTCTGACGGATCACAATGTATCGTAAATAATAGGAAGTTTAAGATGCAGTGGCAACTAGAAAGTAAAAAAAGCAATGGCTTGATAAGGCAAAACAACAACTTTGCACGTGCATCACGCTTTTTGTACATTTCTTTGCTGTTAGTGCACGACTGCCACATGAGAATACCTAATTTCACGTTTTGTGAAAGAAGTAAACAAGCAATGACAAAATTTTCTTTCTCTGTATGAACTTGGATATGGCTGATAGAAATTCAGCGCCAGAGGAGATCGCTTGCATTTGACAAAGTAAGCGAGTTGGAATAATCACGATAGAGACTGAAAAAATGTGAATTCACTTCTCATGCGAGGTTTCGTGGCTGTCAGCTGTCATGGCATCTTAAACTCCTGAATATTTAAGAAGGCGTGATCGATGCAAGAGTGAATACTTGTTGTAAGCTCAAGCTTGTATTTTTGGAAAAGCGTCTTTAATTTTCGGGTAGACAGTATTTTGAACTGGAGAGTTTATATCAAACTGAAAGTTTCCTGACTGCGTGCATTTCTTTGGTGCATGACCCAGACAAGCCGTGATCGAGTCAATAGCCGTTGTGTACGAACTCACGAAGAGAACTCAGGAGAAACTGTTCGCTGATTGGGCACAATGATACAAAACATTTTGTGTGCCCAATCAGGAGCCAGCATTCGCTTGACCCATTGGAAATGGTCCGGTGAGAGTCGGTACCCAGGGGCTTTTTCGCCTGTGCTTAAAAAGTTTCACCGCGCCTTTTCTCCCTTCCCGACTGACCGCCCCTGGGTCTCCAAGGATGAATCGAAGCTGTTGTCTTAGTGTTTTTCACATCTGCAAAATACTTTGTAGCCTTACTGGCTAAGAATGAAGTGCCATAGGCCCCAGCTTATAGCACTTCCCTAATCTGACTGTTGTGGGTCACAAAGGAAAAAAAACGATAGGAATAAACTAATTTCTGGAGGTGACCCAGTGTCTATCTGTGAGGAGTTGTGGGAATGGTTAGGGATGGGTCATACCCATCCCCACCGAGTAGTAGGTCTCTGCTTGGTGAAGGAGATGAAGTAACAGTTAAAATGCTGCTTCCCCCTGTTTTTTATTGCAGGTCAAAAGTTTACCAGGAACATATATAGCAAATGTCGTGGACAAGATTGGAAGCAAAGTCAGATCTGTGATAACCTTTAACAAGGGCGGGGAATGGCATCAGTTAAAGGCTCCAGAATTTGATCACAGGGGTAGACCAACAAACTGTCATATGGTAAGCACATGAATTTGAGAAGAACTACCTTTGGAAACCAGTACTGACATATACAGTCATCTCTTGCGGTGCTCTCACAGAAATCCCTAGCCTGCGAGCAAGCTCTCCTATTTGGGAGAGCCTCGCGAGAACATGCCAGCGAGGGGCCCTCTGCCCTTTGCCCTCTGCCCCTCGTGGCTTTGCCACTTGCTTGCGCGTTCTCGCGAGACTAGCTTCGCTCGCCCAAATAGGAGAGCTTGCTCGCAGGCTCAGAAATCTCCACCAATACAGACAGCAGCCAAATCATCAATGAATATTTAGGGGTCAAAATAAACATTCACAAGCTACAAGTTGTGAGTTGTGATTGAAAGAATATCTTCTGGCAAGCATTTGCGAGTTAGCATTTTTCCAGTAAAAACTTGAGAGACAAGATAGAATTTACAGCAAAAAGCTATGTATATCTTACAGGTCAAAATTAAATTCAGGTAAAAAAAATTTAAGGAAGGTTGATTCTCAATTTGCTTTGTCCCCTAGCCCTAATTATTCATGAATTAGGGCTAGGGGACAAAGGAAACTGAGAACCAACCTAAGTTAAAAATTTTGACCGGTAACATAACCATTGAGAGAGAAAATTGGTTTCATTTATTTTTTAACATTATTTTTGCAAAATTTATTGGTAATTAACAACATATGCCAAGCTTTGTGCTAAAAGCTCTTGCAAGCGGCCGCCTTTCATTTACTCTAGTAGATGCACAGGTAGCCCAAGCTCAAAATATGAGCATCGGCGAGCATCGGCATTGTTGCGTAACATTCAAAATATAAGGATTTGTATGGGAAAAAAACCTATCCTTTCTTAACCTACGAAAATGAAAGGATTTCAATAAAAAACAGCTTACCTTACTTAAAATGCGTGTTAAGTCTCTCCTGTGTGGTCCACAGGCCGATTTATGGCCGTTTTATGGGTTTTCATGTAAACGGTTTTCTTGGCGGCACCTTTTATTCTTTACTGGGGTGGTCGCCTCCAAGAACTATGACTGTATTTTCTTTTCAAAAAAAGTTACAAACAACTTTGAATATATCTTTCTTTGCTGTGTTCTTGTCATCTCATGCAACAGAGCCTTTCATTTCCTTGTTATACCTCAGTCTCTGTACTAATTGTTACTGTTTTTTCTCTGTCAGCCGAGATGCTCACTACACATTCACATTACACTCAGCCATTGGCTTTACTACATCCCAGGGGTCGTGTCTTCAGACTCTGCTGTGGGCATTATTGTAGCCCAAGGTTTGACATTTTTCACAACATTTTTAACACTAAATAACAAGTCCCACCATAAACAGTGAATGTACGTTTAGAATCGAAAAAACAAATTGACTGGTTGTCAACAGACGTAATTCAACTTAGGAAGTAACCAGGGTTTAGTTTCCTCTGTGACGCAGGCTAGAAATAATTACTAGGCCACTTCATTCCAAAAACTGTCTCTTTCAAAACGAGTCTAAGTGCAAAAACTCTGTTGTAAAGATAACTTATACTTGCATGAGAATAGGAAATCATTTTTGCATCAGCGGCTTTGCATTTAGCCTCGTTTTGAAACAGAGGCTTGGGACAACTCGGAAATGGCCTGTTGATTTGTTACATTGCATAACAGACAGTAGCAGAGCCAATGTGACAACAGAGCTGCGGTCTATAATCGCAGGCAAATGTGCGGAGAGGGGAAGCTCTCGTATAATAATAATTATAATAATAATAATAATGATCGTTTATTCAACCTTTTTGCAGCATAAACTGAATTACAAGGCGGGTCATTAATTACATACAAATACTTCGGAATTATGACACGTAAATATAACTGTTAATGTTAAGACATATCACATTTCGGTATTTTAAACGTGATTCTGGTATTTGATGGTGCAAAATTTCCGAATCTGTTAGTTCTTGAGGAGGCAGGCACAGAAACAGCTTCTCCTGTTATAATCAATCATATAAGCTACACCAGTATGTGCCGCCTCAAAGGTTACGGTTTTTGACCCCATTTGGTCCCAAATTGGGTTTAGATTTCAACCAATCTGGCTTTGAATAGTGTTTGGTTTTATTCTTTCTGGAATTGGGTGATTTTGTTTTTGTTTGTTTGTTTATTGTTGTTGTTGCTTTTTTTTTTCCACATTCCCCCTCCTACGAATTTTGCAAGAGTACCCCCTAGAGTAACAGTAAACTGTCATGTTCTCTCGTCATACGTTTGTGCAATGTTGCTGGCTCTGAGTGTTTTGTAGCGGACAGTTCTTATGCTCCTGCAAATGAGAAAACATTGTTGCAAAAACTTGTTTCTCAGCCAACCCATTGGGGAGAGATGAGGACGCATTTTATTTCGGCTCAATCCCAAGACATCATAATTCCCTGGCTGTTTTAGAATTGTCAACAACAGACGTGAAATTTTGATGGTAAAAAGTTAAAAACATTTGGCTCGCAATCGGAAAATCATCTTTTTCGGAACACAAGGAAACATAATGTTTTCATATACGGTCAGCAACATTTTTTAGTAGGTAGGAACAAGCTGATTTCTGATTGGTTGACGTCCCAAACACCATTTTCAATCTTGGATTGCAGATGTATTTCTCTCGGTCGGTAAAGAAAAGCTGACCGAGGCAAGACTCGATGATCAGTCGCTCTTTAAAAAGTGGGCTGCGCTCCTCCCCTGAAAGAGGGGAACAACAACAGCAGACCAGACCCAAGAGAACGGAGGAAATCTAGCCTAAAGGGTCCTTCGAATAATTACCCCTTAGATTCACGACCTGCCCCCCAATCCTCCTTCACCATCTTTGACAAGTTTTTTTCGAATTTATTTTTAGGCAACTTAGGTAATGGACTAGGACAGCACTGGCCAATTGGAGTATTTATGTCCAACGATGGAGGACTAACCTGGACAAAGGTAATAAATCTTTACATTATGACGACTGCCTGGTTGGTAAAACAAACAGCGTTGTTCGGGCGAGACAAGTAGGCAACCATTTCGTGAGCAATACGTCTTCGTGTCTGTTCTGTTGACGGTGTTTTGTTTCATTTTGTTGTTTTAGGAGTTCAGTAGTTTTTACGATTTTGTGATCGGAGACCATGGTGGTATTATTGCAGCTGTTGGTATGTGGCGTAATCAACAGGAAGTTTGGTAAGCCATTTAATCCTTTCACTCCCAAAACTGGACAAAAAGTAGACTTACCTTAACAAAATTGCCAAATTTCATTTTGTAAAATGCCGAAAAGCAAATAGTACCATGTGAAAGTACTGCTAAAGAGGTCTCATTTGAATGGAAACACCATAGGATTTCATCCACAGACTCAAAAGTTAGAACTACATACTAAATAAATAGTACCATGTGAAAGTACTGCTGAAGAGGTTTCATTTGAATGGTAACACCATAGGATTTCATCCACAGACTCAAAAGTTAGAACTAAACACTAAAATAAATAGTACCATGTGAAAGTACTACCAAGGAGGTTTCATTTGAATGGTAACACCAGTGGATGTCATCCACAGTCTCAAAAGTTAGAACCGTATCCGAAGACTCCGCCACTCACTTTGAGAGTAAAAAGAGTTAAATCAGCATAGGATTCTGGGAAACTCCCCACCGACCCCTCCCCTAAAGCTCATGTCATTGGGAGAAGGGAGGAATACTTGATAGGCCCCACCCCGCTTTGGCCGAGTTAGAAGTAAGCGCCCTGCACTCATTCGAGGAAGTACCAAAACCAGATTTCTTGTGAAAAGTAAGGGCTTAAAAGTTGGCATGTTTGCAAATATACGCTAGAAATATGTAGTGGGAAGAAGAGGTGATTGTGGCTACTACTAAAAGAGAATACCGTAAAATTCCGAAAATAAGCCCCTCCAGACCTCCAGATGTAAGCCCCCTTTCTGCAAATTACTGGCATAAATTTTCTTCCAACTATAAGCTAGCCCAATTGATTTTGAGATGCAAATTTCCCTCCCAGTATATGCCTAGCCGATTTTGAAACGCAATTTCCCCTCCGTATATAAGCCGCTCAAAAAAGGTCTTTGAAAAATATAAACCCTGGGGCCTATTTTCGGAATTTTACGGTATTTTTTTCTGACTTAAAATGCCTGCATGCTGTAGCTCCTGTCTCCTTACAGACTCTTTTAGAGTTTCATAAATCTACTAGAACCCCGCACTCTTCAAATTTGAGTTAAAGGCTAAAACCTCCGTCTCATCCTTTGAAATTGTATTGACACAATAACTTTTATCGCACATGCGCCAGCATTCAGAATGAACTGCCTTTACACGTGCGCTGATCAGACAACATGTCTTTATTTAAATCCAGACTAAAGACTTATCTCTTCGAAACAATTTATGATCTTCAAGGTTTTTAGCTTTATAGTCTGTCATAGTAAGTTAAGGTAAGTTAGATTGGCAACTGTAAAGGCCTTAGGACACAATGTATAAGCGCTATTTTTACGTCATGATACAACTTCAAATTGTCAAAATGCATTGTTATATTCTTAGGTACAGTTGCACGGAAGGCAAATCGTGGAAGAATATATCATTAGATAATCAAGTCGTAGTATATGGAATGGTGACTGAACCAGGAGAAACAACATTAATAGTCAAGTAAGAAACACAGTAAAGGCAGGGTATCGTATAGTACTATGAAAAGTAAATGATGTCGTAACATCGCCATCACCCTTCCCCCCTAAAACACAGACCTACACTTAGAGCATACGGTTATTGCACTAACAACAACAACAGACAACAAACAAAATGCAAATTTTATTGAAAATTGAAAATATAACTAATTGCATTACTTTCCCACCCACAGCTGAAGACATATTACAAGTAAAAGGTTTATATATAGATGGACTAAATAACAGTGGAGACACTACTATACAGTAAATAGAATAAACTAACATAAACCAAGGCAAGTACGTACACAACGACTACGAACAGAGGCTAAGCTAAAGTATTAAAGAACTTAATAAGACGGGAGACTTCGACATAATCATCTTTTGACCGCACTTTTGGTTTGCAGGGTACTCACAGTTTTCTCACCTTCCAATCCTTAAAGTGTTCTTGTTTTCTCTTCTTTGTCCTTTTCTTAATTACTGCAACGTTTGTGACCATTTGCCTAAATTTAAAATTTTAGGAATAGAAGTTTCATTATTTTGACGTCATTTAATTTGCACACACTGCATGTTTGATTTGTTTTTGTTTTTGCTTTTTTTTTCTTTCATAGTTTGTTTGGCCAGTATTCTAAGCAAGATTTCCAGTGGCTTTCAGTGAAACTGAACTTCACCTCCGTGTTAACCCAGAAATGTCAGGCGGGCAACTATACCTACTGGTCTCCTAACGATGAGGTACCAGATCAAAATACATATTAATTCTTTTTTCCTATTTATTTCACATGGTGTTATTGGGAGATTTTCTAATTATCTATCAAGAGGTAAACCAGTTGCCTATTTACAAGCGTGGGTTGAATTCAATAAAGAAATCACACCCACCGAAGGAGGCACCGCGCATGCCCGAGCGGCCAGACCCGCTGGACTTTCTAGCCCTCATTTCAAGTTCCAAGCCTTGGACACCGCCTGGATTCCTAAGTAACTACATTATCCGTACGTTTATCCTTGCAAAATTCGGTTATAAGTTCTGGGATGGAACCTGCGCGCTTCCAATAACAAAGAACTAATTGAAGTTTACATTATTTAGGGTAAATCAACAATGCTAGAGGATAAAAAAATCCCCGTCATCGTTTGCTTGAATAAATGCCGAAAACTACTTTTTAAATTTTTGTTCAGATTATTCCAAACAGAAGGACCAGAGAAGTGTATATCAGTATATACTGATCTCTCTATTGTCTTAAATGCTTTTTATATATTTATTATATATATATTCTTGTCTTCGGATTACGAACTCGACTCGCTGGCAATCTGGTCACACTGCCTTTCGATCAATCAACTAACTATCTTCATTGGATTTAAAACTGCTAGCATTGCTTTCTAATAGACAATTTTTCTCGCAGCGCGCAGATGGCCGTTGTCTGTTGGGACAACACCTGACATATGAACGTCGCAAGTCAGGAGACTGCTGTTTCAACGGAAAGGAGTATGAGAGAGCAATCAACATTTCTTCTTGCCTCTGTGAAGCAGATGATTTTGAGTGGTAAGGTCACTTGCTTTAGAGTAACTTCTTCCCTTTTCAAATACTATCAGTGGCATAAATACCGTACGTGGAGATAATTTTTCTTAGACCTTTACTCCTTTGCTTCCGTATAAATGGCAAAGTGACCTCGAAATTTAAAGCTCTGCTACAGGCATTGTTTACCCTGCCTTCTGTATTAATCCCCCTGGCAGATCAGTCGTTGTTGTTGGACACACTGGAGTACTTTCCTCACTGTGCTATGAAAAGCGGTCTCGCATATTGCCGTCTGCCTGCTCAGTTATAGATCAATAAAACCATGGAATGTTCTGAGAGTTCTACAATTAAGAGATCAAGGCTACCCTAATTGTATAATAATGTTTTTTTTTCTGTTCTCAGCGACTTTGGTTATGAGCATCCTGACATTGATGAAGTTTGTGTCGCTACCCGTTCCGCCAACCCCATACCAAATCCATGTCCCGAGGGAAAAACCTATCTTCATAGCAGAGGGTGAGGACTATTAGACTGCGAGCAATCTGCTTTTTCTTCAATCAATCAATCAATCAATAATATATTTACCCACGTTAGCTCCTAAGAGCACAAGTGCTCGTTCAAAATAAGCACGTGCATTAAAACTACAGTTATAATAAAAATCTAGCGTTAAAAAAAGATAATAAGACGAGACAAGACAAGACATTTATTATCATAATATTACAAGTACAATTTTTTTTTCAATTTTTTGCTAGTCAAGGCGTGCCAAATTAATTCTATTACAAATCAGATATTATATTATAATAAGTAACAAGCGAAGAAAAAGAAAAGAAGAAATATGAGTAATAAATTCAAAAGCAAGAAAGACAAATCTGTTTAATGCAACCTGTGAAAGAGGCTAAGGTTTAGGATTTCGCGATTTTATTTCTCGTGTTATCATGGTTGCATCAAGGTAATCTTCTTTGTCTTTTAATAATAATAAAAAATATATATATATATATATATACATACAATCTATAATCTATGTACATATGAATATAAAAATTCCAAAAAAAAAAAATAAAAATTACAGCTGAGTCGAGCTTAGCTTAGACTTAAAAATATTAACATTATCAGCCAGCTTGACATAGATTTAGTTAGGGGAGTGCGCGCGCGCGACGGCGAATTCAGTCCAATGTAACTCCACGCCTTCCACTTCACGCATCTCTACCAATCCCTAAAATATACAACGCTACTGCACTACTCTCACATCACTATTAAATTCACATAGAAAAACTTCACACACGCCTAGTACTAGTACATTGACGCCCCAATATACGTTCCCACAGCGTGTTGTTATTGTTGTTGTTACTTTTTTAAAAACAGTTACAGAAAAGTAGCCGGAGACCGTTGTGTGGGGGGAGTGGAAAACACATTCAAGCCGGAGTCCAGGCTTTGTCCAATATCAGGTAAGCTTTGTTAGGATCTGGTGAAGTGTGTTCTCCGCGAGAGGAGGATTAAGTCAGAACGTACCCGCGCGGCTCGGTGGGCTTAACCCACATGAAGCTCCTGGAAGTTTTACTACTGCCTCCCCCCTCCCCCCCTTGGTGGGACGTTAGTCGTTCGCAGGGTCATCCGTAACACTATGTCGCTGGTAGCTCCTCGGGGAACTCCCATATGAAAGGGGGGATGCCTGTTGGAAACTTTGAATTAAACCCCTAAAGGAGACCAATCTGGGCGTGGCCCAACCTATTTTTGACCCCTAAAAGAGGCCATTTAGAACTTTGATTACCTGAATCGAGTAAATAAAACGAATTGAAAATATATAAATTTTGTATTTCTTCGCATGACCATTACGGCTAATTTGTATAATGGCGTTTTGCCGAGAACACCCTAAGTGAGACCAAAATCCGAAATTTTCACGCCTAAACTAGACGACGAGCATTCCCGCCCCTTTCATGTGGGAGTTCCTCCCGGGGGTATTCCACACTCCAGAAACTACAAGGAGAATGGGTGAAAGCTGTCCGCACAACGATGTCTGGGATCGTGTGGGTGGAAAAAGCATTCCTTATGATTTTTTGATGGCCGCCTTGAATACCATCGACAAATCATAACTAACACTTTTCCACTCAGGAGATCCCAAAAATCACTTCATCCAAAGCTTGTACCCATTCTCCTTAGATTTTGTGAAGTGGGAAACAGTATCAACGTCATCGTGGGGCGGCTGCAAAGTCGACCACACCTTTACTCCGCTCGTTTCGGTGCGCTGTGAAAACTGAGCAATTTGTCTGCCCTTAACAATCTAGGGTTATCTTCGTGTTCCGGCAGCAGTCGTTTGATGTATGTGAGAAAGACAGAGGCTCGGCCAGGTCTCCTCTTACCGCGAATTCACTATTGGAACACATTGTGCCGGCGTAGCCCCTGACATGATAATCGTTCAGTGTGCTCTCTTTAAATTACTGCCTCTGTTGTCCATGCCTGGTTTCCATAAAATCGTCCGCTCTTAGCGGTTGCCCCGATTATGCGGCACGATAATTACGCGAATATAGTTTAATAGTGGCGTTTTTGCTGTCGTCGTCGCTCCCTTTTAGTTCTATCCAGGCTGGACTGCGTTTGCCTCACTAGTAAGGTAACGGCCCTTACTGCTTTAAACATTATCGTCTCGATCATGGGCACCTTTTGAGACGGTTCGGATGATAGAGTTGGTCCAAACGATAGTATTATGCAGACAACCAGGCTTAAGAGGTGTTGGAAAAGTAACTAGATACGGTTATTCAGTGTTAATCAGCATGTTATGTCTCAACGGTTTCTTTCTGTTGATGATTTTCTCTTAGCACCTGGAGATATGAGTATTGTCTTTAAAGCAAAGTCGGACGCTGTGGAAGTGAACAAGCAAGTGTTTTTCAACCTTAGCCAGAAGCAGGTAATTGAGTTCACTTTATTGTATTGTGTACCGCTGAACAGGTTTCATCTGAATGGTGACACCATCAGATTTCATCCACTCACTCAAAAGTTAAAAGAGCATATCGGATAAAAAGTATATTGTGAAAGTACTACAGAATAAAATGTGTTACATCATGAGATTTCATCTATCGACTGAGAAGTTAGAAGAACATACGTTACCACAGACTCCTACGTAGCAGTTCTTTGTGTCATCACGCTTCTCCACCCGAAGACACAAAGAATGACTGTGCAGGGAACCAACGGCCTCGAGTTTATGCCGTAGTATTACATTCTACATACTTATTGCGAATGTAATTTTACACATGATAAGCGCGCACATCAAAACATGGCGGCTTTTGCCTTAAGGCTGGAGCTCCCTCAAAGAAGTAAATCTTCATTTTCTCTTAAGTGAATGCGGTGACCTATCATTTTTTTCTCTTTTTAAAACAAAAATGAACAGTAACTTCCTTTCTCAAAGGTAGATATAAACTAATTCCCAGTGCAAAAAAGAAAAAAAATTTTCAAAGCACGTATTCGTAAATATAATCATTTATATTGGTATTTTATCATTTATATTGCGTATTTAGAAATTGCTGCTGCTCCTAACCGAGTATAGGGCCCCGCCAATTTTATTTCAAAATTTAAGTGTATAAAACAGAAACAACCAATCGTTTAAGTTTGACAAACAGCTCACCGCAGGACCTATTTCCGAGGAATGATCTTGAACTCACACACGATAGTGATGTTATGATCTTTTCTTACAGGGTTCAAAAGAATCTACGCAGTATACGTGGAACTTTGGAGATAAAGGGCCTTACAGTGAACTTAATCTCACAGGAATAAACCTGGCTAAGAGAGTGTCGTACACTTTCAAAAAGCATGGTCACTTTGTTGTGACTTTGAGGGCAACTAACTCTGCTGGTCACTTTGAGGTCTCAACTGAAGTCACTGTACTAGGTAGGCTCTTGTCACCGGAGGCGTGCGTTTCTCAAAGCCCTCAAAATATTTCGGCCCCGAAAAACTAATTTAAGTGAATCAAGTCCAGAAATGTGATTCTGAATGAATTTCAAATGGAAACTTTTTAAAAGTTTAGAAGATCGAGAAGTATGCTGGTCTAATATGCCCCAAAACTCCCAAAGATCGTCAAGAACGGATGAGAAAAAACAGTCTCTGGGAGTTTTGACAAATGCACGCGGGGACGAAATTGTTCCGAGCCCGGTTAGCGCTCATCCTAAATAAACTGTAAACAGGACATACGCGGAGTTTTCGTAGTAGAAACCCTGATTTACGCTTACCGACACGGTCTTCTTCACGTTCAAAATGACAGGTCGTAGAATCCCTGGACAAATCATGCCAAAAGTCATCTCGCCCGAACCCGAAGTCGTCTCGCCCTCTTGAACCCAAAGTTCATTCTAAAGTCTAAAGCCTTAAGCAGCGAACCCGTCAACCGAAGTCGTCTTTTCCTCTTGATTGCCTTGATGATATAAAATTTGTATTCCTTTATAGAGGCGATTTGATTCTAAAACCACCGTCTAAAAAGAGATATTGACGTGTATTCGTTTTTCCTCAATGTTGACATCAACAAAATTTGCAAACAGACAGAGTTTTAAAACAAATGTAGAGAAGATCATCACAGTTAAATACGCAAGTTAGGCAGTTGCGAAAAGAAAGTCGGAGTTTTGTGAAGACCAAATGGCACTACACGAAAAGGCTGCCGGAGTAATTTCATTTGAATTCCCCCACGAAACATTCTTTTACTTATCCCATCATATTCACTGTTCAGATCCCATTACATCGTTGGAGATCGATCCCCCTCACGCTGTCGTCATTGGCAAAGAAGTTTGGTTCAACGTAACCCTTTCCTCTGCTAATGAGGCTCCTCGTTATGGCTACGTTTATTTCATGTGGGCGTTTGAAAAAAAGATACTTCCACTTCTGACTTGGAAAAGCGAAGTGTCGCATACCTTCATGAACACTGGGAAGTATGAGATAACAGTTACAGCGCATAGTTTTATTGGGACTAAGGATGGAAAAGCCACGGTTACCGTGTATGGTTAGTATAGATCTGTCAAATGGTCTAATTTATATTTACCAAGACTTAAAGGGAAAGCGCTGAATTCTAAGACCCCGTCCAGCTTGATGCAATTTTGTTGGAAAACGCATGAACTTTTACAGAAGAGCTTTTCGAGAGCCGGGTTTACGGAATTGAACGTTTGGAGAAATAAAAACGGAGTCCAGCGTTTTAGGGTGAATGAAGAAGACACAAGGATTTCAAAAAAATGCTTACGTCACAGCTTCTCATAAGTGATGGGACAATAAGGCAGGAAATTATCAGCAATATGTCCGAGAATAGCGTGGGAAGGAATGGGCATGTCCAGAAATGCGTTTCCAGTGGCTATGGGCCTGTTTAGTTAACCCACCTGTCCATGTAAGCTCTGATTTTGATTTGACCACATTTACGTCAGAGGTGGGGTGACCCGCCACATGTCACCTCACCTATTTCTGGTACTCTAACTCTATGTAAACAGGCCCTTAGTGTGAACAGGTGAAAAAGGATGCGAAAGTACTAGTAGTGACTAGTGACGCGGAGATTTTGATGCGTTCATGTATATTTTACAAATGTGCGCATGCTGGCAATTTCATTGAATCTTGAGGTTAATAGTTATTGTTTTAGTGCGCATGCTGGCTATTTTATTGAAACCTGGGGTCAATAGTCAGTAGTAGTCCCATTATTTGGGTTATACGTTTGTTACCACATTCGAACCTGTGTATAACGGCCACCCTCCGTACTTGAGGAACTGGCTGCTTAATACAAGATTACTAAAATTACTCACTGGGCGTGGTCTAATGTCAATTTTAATGGCGTATCATATAAAAACAATTCATGCAAGGAAACAATAGTACAGTCAACACTCTTTCAAGCGATTAATACTTTAAAAAAAGTTCAGTACCAGCTTGTAACTTAACGGTATAACATACGTAACATTAACTAAAAGTATTGTGCAATAAATCTGATGACAACGTTACTAAACGGCCGGGTATCAGCTCACAGTAGCTTTGTACATGTTTAAAATTTCTTTATAGTGATGATGGATCGCATTTTGAACACAATAAAATACCGCTTAAAATGACATTTGGCTAAGTTTCCGTTCATGGGTTGCCGCTTAATACAGGTAAAAATAACGGAGAAAGACAAATATAGGACTAATACAGGGTGGCCGCGGCCGCTTAATAGAGGTGGCTTCCTAACACAGGTAACAAATACAGAGTTTGTATGGGCGAAAAGTCGGGACTTTGAAAACTTAATAGAGGATGGCCGCTTAATACAGGGCCGTTATATGCAGGTTCGACTGTATACTTTATCTATACATATTTAGTCTCGCTTGCGTAAGCAGCGTATTTAGGACACAAAAGGGGGTCATTGTGCTAGGCGTTCCTTGCGGAGACCGTGGGAACAGGGTGTAAGAATCGTTGCGTGATCGAAGCCACGCATGTTTTGGGAAGATAGCTTTTAGAGCTTTTTCGAAACGTGTCGGTCCACGAATTCTATCGCTTGAAAGCGTTGATTATTTTGGAACAAGTGAACACTACTGTGTGGTCAAAAAAAAATAAGAATCTTAATTAGCAAAACTGCGATGGTCGGGTGTTGTATGCAAATGGCTCTTGCGATGAGCATGCAATTTATTTTCGGCGATGATATTGAACTGACGTGCCATGTAAATCACTTTTTTGATCTCTGGCAATGATTTAATTTCTGTGGAATCGAGGCCCTTGAATTTTCGTGTATTTATACACGCGTATAGCCTGCGGCAGATATATTTCCGGTCGTCGCTAACACGCGTACTTAGTCAATTCGGAAACGAATAAAAAGTGTCGACGTCGATAAAGTAGGAAGTAAAAACCTTTAGCGAGTAAATCCTGTTTCGTGTAGAATTAATCGCCTCCTCATTTCTCGATCTAATCTCTAAGCAAGCGAGACTGGCCGCCAATGCAAGAGCGTTCTTGTTATATTATTTATCCACCTTTTATCAATGTCATGTTATTACGTAGTATACACTCGAGCCTGGCCATGTAAACTTATACTTTTATATTCTGAGAAAGGCCAATATCTATAAGCCTTATGGTTTCTTTTTGGGCTTCCTCACCTCTTTGCTTCTGTCTATTTTTTGTATTCTTGTCTTTTGTTTATTCTGTGATGGAATAAATAAACTAAACTAAACTAAACTAATTTGAGAAAACGTTTTGCAAATGTAATTTAAAAGTGTAGCTATTGCTTTCAGACTGTGCAACAATGGCTATACTTGTAAATTACACTTGTAAAAGTTTACCTCTATATTAAACGAAAGACCTGTTCTAAGCGATCACTTTCTGACGCCCCATCGATTAATCCCCTGGCGTAGCGTCTTTTGCTATTGTTCTTACATTTCGTTTCTCTGCGTCATATTCCAGACAAACTTACCACTGTGCGCCTGTCATTTGATACTTTATTGGAGAGTGTAAAAGAACAAACGAAAGATTGGAGGAAATGGTTCAAACTGCAACTGGAAGGGCTTCTTTATCGGGTAATAAATCGTTTTTTAATTCCATCTTAACAGTGGTTGCTAAGTGAATGCTAGATGTTCTCGGCCGGGCGGTTTGTGTAGTTAGAGGGGTTCTTCACTGAATGTTCTGAAACTAAACTGGTAGAGGAGAATTCGTTACGTCACGGTGCCATTGTAGGAAATTTCAAGATGACAACAAACCGAAACGTCACTTAATATTCGTACTGTTTCAAACTCCATCGATCTTATTCAACTTCTTGTAATTTGTCAAATGTTGGCAAAATTTTCTGGGGTTGGATCCGAAAGGAACGTACCTAAGTTGAGAAAAAGAAAAAAAAAGTACTGTAGTGTGTTCACGTACTCCATAAAGGGGGCGTGTGAAATAGGGACCTTAAAGAAATACGACAACAACAACGTCAGACAGCAATTGGTTTCGTGAGCAAAACAACAGCTTTGCACGTGCATCATGCTTTTTCTACATTTCTTTGACGTGCAGTGCACGACTACGACGTGAAACCTGCCAATGCGACGTTATATGGAGGACGTGGACATACGACGACAAATTTTCCTTTCTCTATTTGAACATGAATAAAGCCTTTAAGAATTCGACTCCAGGAAAAGTCGCCTACATCTGACGAATAGAGCGGTTCCAAATAGACGCGATAAAGTTTGAAAGGACGCAAATTCATTTTTTTAGTGACGTTTTCACTGTCGTCGTCGTCCTTTTTGCTCCGACGACGACGGCTAAGAAGGATACAAAAGTCCATTCGCGTTGCCGTCACCGTTGTCCTTGCTTAAGCTCCCCATAGAAGAGTTCACGGTCATAGCTGCATCATGGGTAATCAGGCCAAGATATCGGGAAATTAGAAGAATTGTCTTAGAATTCAAAGCCCGCTATATTTTCCTGAATTCATATATTTGATGCTTTCTCTTTAAAAAGAGTAACTTACGAGTTCAAAGAAACAATACACTAAATCTGGAGTGCAAGCAGATCCGTGATCAGTTTTTACAAAACTTTGATTTTCCCATACATTTTCTGTAATTTGACAGTATCAAAGTTACAGAAAATGTATGGAAAAATTGAGGTTTTCTAAAAACTGATCACGGACGCTTTTGCACTCCAGATTTAGTGTATTGTTTCTTTAAACTCGTAAGTTACTCTTTTCAAAGAGAAAGCATCAATTACATGAATTCAGGAAGAATTGGCTCACTTTGTCCTCGAATTTAACCTAACGAAGGGATCAAAGCTCGGAGGAAGTCGAAACGAAGGACAACGCAAGTTTCGGCTGGTGGTGGTTTTGTTTCTGATTGATTACGGACAAAATGGTGCAAGAGTTTTGAGCCAATCACAAAGCTCATAAGTACAAACACAAACTCGATGTCGTTCTTACATTAATTACATCCGTACAATTTTCATTTTGTGTATGTCAATCGCATTAACACCTTCTAGTTTACATATTTTCCAATTTCATTCCAAAAAACAATCATTTCAGTAATTTGCTTAGCATTTGTTGTTGTTGCTGCTGTTTAGCTGTGGGACGTTAAAGCATCTCGTCTTGAAGTTTGGGTGTCAACGGGTATTTCAACTTATGCAGATGTGTCTATAACTCCAGCCACCGACGATGACCCCAAAACGAGAGAAGAGGTATGGTCTTGTTTTACGCCAAAAAGACAGTGAATAGAACGCTTTTCAAGTGAATATTTTAAGAATCAAGACAATTAAATGTACTATTAGCAATGACGGTTTTTGTTCTTAATCTTTGGAACAGCTCGTGGATTTGTTGCGGCAGAAAGTCTCTGAAGGAGCGGTTGAGATCCTCATTCCCAAAGATGTTACTATCAGAGTCACTCGTGTTGACGTGCTCCCTGATCAAGGTAACCTACTAGAGCTAATCCTCTGTCTACGTTTTCATATAGGAAGTCTAATTATATTTATGTGTAGGAGCTTTTAAAACCTTTAAGTGTTAATTGTGCGAGAATAAAGAGGGATGTGTCCTTGCAATAATTCTAGTACTTTTCATAAACATTGCAAGAACATGTAATTTTTCTCGTCTTTTCTTTTTTTTTCACGAATCAGAAAGTGTCTGTCAGTTGTTAGTCTTCCGAAAGTTTCTGAAAGCATTTGTTAACATTCAGAAGATTTCGAGTTGCCATCAGAAGTTTTTTATTGTTTTTTCGGTCAACTCTCGGAGCTCTTATGAAATGTTCGGGACAACTTCGTGTCGTTGAATGATGGCTCCAAATCGTCGTTGCGAATCGTCCCGTGTAATACCACCTTTAGCTGAACTTAATTTGAAATGTTCAAGGACAAACCACTTCGTGTTTGTGGAATTCTCAAAATCGACTCATTTTAAATTTTCGTTAGCACTGTTAATCGTCCCGATCGTAAAATGTCAAACTTAGCTGAATTCTTAAAACTCGCAGCTTTACTTTTCCCGCCAAAATGACGCTGGTTCACGCGAGTAATAAAATGAGTTTAAAATGCTTGGACGGCGGGACAAAAATGCGTGACAAACGTGACATGGCTTTTCCAGCGTGCTTTATCGTGATCGTCACTTGACATCAATACTTTCTGGTCTTTTACGAAAAGATCTACCGGTATTTAAAGGAAGGTGAAGTTTGGCGGAAAGTTTTTTCAAAGCCAATTTTTCGTCACGCTTGTCACGCAAGGTTTGCCGTCTTCTTTCCTTTCCCTTCCTGTTTCGTTAGTTAACTAATGACTGTTTCCAAATACTGATGTTGTATTTTTAGAGTTAAGTGGTGATCCTTTCCCTACGGATCAACATGGATCAGATGGAACCCGCCTGGCGATCGGCATTGGTGTCGGTGCTACTATGCTTGTTATTTTTCTTGTTGTGACCCTTGCCTATTTTTTGAGGTTTGTAGAGTGGGTCTTATTGAAAAATATCAGTTTCATTTAATAGACGGTTCAGCTTGGCCAATTTTAGACGTCGGACTTTTCATGAGCCGAACCTAATGCACTGAATTACAGTTTAACCTCTCCACCACGGCCACCTTGGGAACAGACGAAACTGGTAAACAAGAGTCAATGTATGGACAGTCCGCCAAAAAAGTAGTCTGCTACAGAGCCGTTTCTAGTGTCGTCACACAACGCTCCTCCCCACAAAGTTAGTGGGGAGGAGCATTGCGTGACGACTCTAAAAACGGCTGTGTAGCAGACTACCAAAAAAGCGACCGTTGTAGAGAGGTGCCCGTTAGTGGAGGTTCGACTAGTGTAAGCACATTAAAAGTTCGTTGTCTAAACCAATTAAGAACACCTACTTCAATTTGGAATGGCATGTCCTTTCTCTCCGTCTAGCTCGGTCAGGAATTTCGTCTTTGGAACAACTTTAATGTGGACCATGAGGTTTTCATTTGACGAACCTAATGCCGAATCTAAATTATATTAACGCATTTTGGACTTTGACGACCGTTGATAACGTTTTGGCTTTGGAAGTTTAATTCACTGAACATGTGAAGTTCCAGGTTTGAACTAGGCTATAGTCCTTAAAAGACGACATGATTTGCGTTGCGAGTGAAAACTGCTGACAAAAATGATTGGTGTCTCCCAAAAACTATCTTAACTCTATTTGGAACGTTTGTAAAACGGCTACTTAAGTTGGACAGACGTAGTTTTTGAAGTTTGGTCGGTCCAAATTCGAATTAAAATCGACTTATAAAAGGTTCGACGTCTGAAACAGGCCTTAGATACTGTGCAGCAGCTAACTTAGAGAGTAGTATAGTAAGAACAGAATTAAACCCTTATTGTCTTTAATTCTTGAATAGACTGTGGTGCGGTCTCATTAGTATGGCCATTTTACAATTGTGTGGTCAGTGCACTGGCCTTGAATAGACGCAAGACAGGAGCTGACTTACTACCAGTTGATTATGATTACAGGCTTGTCAATATGAGAATAACGCCATTAGTGCGTAAAAAAAAGGAAGGCTTGTAACGAAACAAGGTCATCTCTACCCTCACTTCCATTCAAAGGCAAGGAGCGGTGCTCTGATCACACAACTTTAGAATGGGCTATTCGCTGGTATCAAGTTATGTTTAAAGTTTTCTCGATGATACCACGTTTCGTGGTTTGAGAAACAGACGAGGAGATCACGATTTTACCAACTTTAGTAAATTACAAACAGAGCTGTTCCTTTGGTTCCGGAATTTAAAATTCAGAGAATGGTAACTTGTTGGAAAATAACTTTGAATTCCAGTTCCTTTTCCAGGAAATGGAACTAAAACATGACTGTACATATGAATATCCGCCAATTGGGGCGTCATTTTCTCTCCAGTATTGTGAAAAATTTGCGTCCTTTTGTCCAGTCTCTCTTCCTCCGTTGTCCGGGCTGGTGCTGACGGTTTGGTGGAGGAAGAGAGAGGCCGCTGAAAACAAAGTTGGTTCTTTTGTATGGAAAAAGAACGGACATAGGGAGCAACGTATCAACGGCAAATATTCAAAATGGCGGCGCGCGGGTAATTGACGAGCGGAAAAAATCATTTCTATTATCAATATTGTTTTGTTCACAAGCAATGAATTTTCCTCTGACTTTGTGGTAAAAGAACTAGAATTTGGACTTTTTAGGAGCTGGTTTTTAATTTCTTGTGTAACGAGTGCTCATTAACTTCGTTGTTGCTTTGTTTAGACGCTATCACAGGCTGCAGTCCCGTTACACTCACCTACGCTTGTATAGTGATGGTGGCGAGTTAAGAGACAGGGACCCCCTGATTGAAGATGACGAACAAGCAGATAACGAACCGGCCTTGCACCCTCAACCGGGGGGGACGTTACGGTATATAGCACTTCCTACCAATAGCGATCCCGATCCAGTCAGTGATGATGAACTCATTGATAACTTTCAGCCAGGTAAGTAACACAGACTGATTATGGAGCGACGATGACGACGCCAGTGAGAACTCCCCGAAAAACTGACTTGGCGTCCTTTCAAACCTTTTCGCGATTATTTCACGGGTCTGAGCTCAGACAGATACAGTAAAAAGTTGACATTTCACCTCGTAGTTGTACAGAGACGGCCATTGTTGTTTTGCTCCATGAATTTTCCTGTTGTCTTTGCCGTCGCCGTCGTAGTTTCGTAAGGTCCCTGTTTGTCATGTGTTGAAAAACTTTAAACAAAAAATACTAAAAGAAGGTCCAAATCAGGCCAAAGGTTATTCAAAATTGTGGGGTACAAAATAAGTTTATTATGGGAGATGTGCAAATGGTGAATTGGCCTTTTTGAAGACTGGGTCAGGTTTCGTCTGTTATTGCCCATTGGCAGGTATGTCCTCTTTATATGGGTATTTGGTGCGGTATCGGTTCTTTTATTGGTTTCATATTATGAAGTTGCGCAGGAACGTGGATCTAAGAACCGGTCAATAGGCCTTTTGCATCGAGCCGTCTGTCACCTGCATTTATAAATGACATAGCTTTTTCTAAAACAAAACCATAAGTGAAAGTATCTCGAAAGCCAACAGGTCAGTTTTGGATTATTAAAATTCATACTTTGCTCTTAGCCTGAGTGGAGTAAAAACAGAAAAAGTGACTTTGAGATTCAGGGATGGATATAGTAATTATTTTCTTTTGCTTTATATCCCGAAGCCTCGGAGTCAAGTAACATGACTTTCTATTTTTTGAAGTTGGTCTAAATATAAGAAATAAAAGTTTCAAACAAGGACAAAATTTTGCCAAACCCGTTGTGCTTCCCAATTCAAGTGCGTTTCTGTTTTTACGAGAACGTGTTCCTGTCATGTATCTAAAAAGTACACCTCTCTAGAGTGAACCGAAGTCCCTAACCATTTCCCTAACGAACCGCGGCAAGTTTATGCACCAGTCGCGCCGAGATCACTGTTCCCTTTGGGTCACTGTCAGTCATAAAGTGCTTTAGTAATGAATCTTGTCATGCTGGCTTTTACGTTTCTTGCTATTTTGTGACTCGTGTCCTATTTCTGACAGGAACATTGGCTGTTTTGCCACCTGACCAAAATGGAGTGGTACAGGACGGAAATCCAATCGCTTGAATAAGCAAAGAAATGAACCTGCATGATATGGAGTGTAGTATGTATTCCCTCCATGTAATAAATAAGTTAAAATCAAGGGAAAAGTTTGTAAAACCGCTTGCTCTTTTTGACCAAAAGAGGATGTATCTTTTTCCTTCTCCTTGACTAGGCTGCTCTCTAGCTATTGGCACACGCAAAAGAAGTTCCTTCAATTAGAGTGCAGTACGTTTTTATTTAACACTCACTGCTGTTACACAAGTTTTTTTCAGCTTGCACACAACCTCCTTGTTTTAATATTTTCTTGAAAGCAGAGGCGAATGTACACAGAAGTTTTCTCATTAGAAATATTGTTTTTTTTTTTTTTTTTGACAAAAAAAAAAAAAAGCTAAACGGAGGTCGCTGTAGCCTGCGTAGCAAGCGTTTCTGTGCGGTTTAGGAGAAAAGAACGAGGAACGAGAGTCAAAGACCGCGAGAAAAGTGGCGTAAGTAAAAGAGCGGGGAGGGGGTGAGGATGTTTCCTTCCTTCCCTTCCCCCTCCCCTCTTTCACTTTTTGGCTCTCGTTTCATTTCTCGCGCGGTCAAAAACAAAAGTCCCCTTCCTCAGTATTTCTTTACTCCGAAACCAAACGGAAACGCTTGCTACGCAGGCTAAGATCGCTGTTTCCGAGCCTCGCTGATGAACGAGAGACGATTGACAAAGTTTTAAAGAACTGCACTTGTTTGGAGAAATCTTCAATTAATCCTCAGTGCTATGAAGTATTTAATGCTAAGCAACAAGAAAGACGGTTCAGCGCGCTTTGCTTTAAATTCGCCTCCCTTTGAACCAGTTCTTGGTGGCTTTGAGTTAAACTAAACGGACACGTTTGTAAATAGTCATGACCGCCTGTTTGCACTCCAACGAAGAGTCGCACAGAAGCCCATTCGGTAGATGTGACCGAAGTGACCGGTCTTATGTGTGAACGAAACCCTATATCCGATGTGGTGTTCGTGCCGGCTTAAGAGCTATGCGGTTTAGTGTAGGAGTGTAGACACAACCTTAGTTTTCCCCCTGAGCAGCTTGGACCCTTACTTGTAATGTTTAATTTGTTTTCATATTGTTTTTGCCCTTATCCAAAAGAAAAAAGAAGAGAGATTTAGAATTCACGTTTAGGGCAAAACAGCAAATGTTAGTTTGTGCCACGTGACCAAGTTGTCCCTTTACCTGTCGTTTACTGTTCATTATATCTGCAAAAAAAAAAATGATTAGTTTCATGCCCGTTTCATCTATGACAAGTACATTGCATTAGTTTTACCTGTTCATTTTCTTCTATGGGAAATCGTCAACTTGAATTTGACGTTTGCCGTTTGCTGTAAGCGTGATTCTAAATAATTGCAATCCTCTGACGAGCGGCAGAGTGATCTTTTATCCCGGAGTTTCCAGTTCTTTTAGTTATACGCGAAGCGTACGCACAAGACACGATGAGTAACGTCACCAGACGGAAAACAGCTTAAGAATAGATTATAACTTCCTGTTTTATATCAAATTAGAAAAAACGAAAGCTGCTGCCTGAACCAAGCACTCTTTTTTAGTGGATGTTTCTTGGTGTTCTGGAAATTATTATTGGTTTGGTTTTAGTAAGACTTGCCCACAAGTCCAGCTCAAAATATTTTTTTTTTCTAGCGCAAAGCGCGATCTAGAAATTTTTATGTTTTCGGTGGCAAAGTGAGCGAGAGACCAGGAGCTCGCGCTGGGGCCTACCACCGGAACCGGAAACAAGAAGCGAAGAACTTTGAGGAAGTCTAGGTTTTATTGTATTATGTCATTTGGTGATCATTACATCATCCGCTACACCAAGAAACTGCCCTTTAGTTATCACGACGTAGTTTGTGGCTTGGAAATGCTCGCTGTTAAACTTCAAGGAAAGTGTAATATTTTCTACATAATGTTTCTATTTAACAAAATAAACGAACAGACAATAAACAACGAGGTACCGACGTTAGTTACAATGAAAAAGTATCGTAAGCAGCAATTACGGTGGTGGCAAGAAGAAGGTAAATAAAAATCAGTACTTCACGTGCACCACACTTTGTGATACTTTTTTTTGGCTATTACTGCACGACTAAACTTGGACGCGTTCTTTAAGAATTCAATTCCATGAGAATTCACTAGCAATTGGCAAATTGGGAGAGTTGAAGTTTGAATGAAAGCGGTGAACTCGCTTTATCAGGATCCTTTTCGCTGTCGTCGTCGTAGTGGCTGTTTAACCACTTTGTATATGTTAGTTGATTGTTCCTTTAACGCATTTATATCAAACATTTAACTGAGCAACGCCGCTTTCAGTGATGTTCATAATGCAAATAAAGTATAAAGTGGCTGACATTGCTTTTATTAAGTGCAGTTAATCGAAAGTTAAAAATGATAAAAATCTTCGGATCTGAAATATAATGATTAAGTAATTTTTGTACGGTTGCATCTTTGTAAGGTAAATAAAATGTGACTCTGTAAGTGATGCGTTGATTGTTGTCGTTCTTGTTCATAATATCCATGGCCATCTTCTTACGGGTTACCAAGCGAGCTTGGCTTCCCTTCTTAGTTTTCACTAGAAAAGATAGAGCAAAACCATCAAGGTAAAAGACGTCCATTCTGTCCTGTACAGTAAAAATTGGCGAATAAGAACCTGGCCCCAGTTGTTCGAAAGTTGAATAGCGCTATCCACCTGGTCCCGGTTGTTCAAACGCTGGATAGTGTTATCCACCGGATAAATCGCTATCCAGAGGATAAGTATTAGGGAAACCAATTGCGTTATCCAGTGGGTAGAGATTTATTCAGTGGATAGAGTTATCCACCTTTCGAACAACTGGGGCCTGATAAATCACTATCCAATAGATAAATATTAGGGAAACCAATTGCACTATCCGCCGGATAGAGATTTATCCGGTGGATAGCGCTATCCTCCTTTTGAACAACTGGGGCCTGATGATTAAGAACCTGTCAGACATGGGTATTTACACCTGTTTTATAAGAGCTAGATCGAACATAAAATCTTGCGCAGATTATTATTGGGAAAGGAAAAAAGAAAGATCTGTCTTTATCGATCTGGCATTCTTAATACACAAAAGGTCTTGTATTACAGTAAAAAAAAGCCGCGTCCAGGAACCCGGCTGCAGTTGTTCAAAAGCTGGACAGTGCTATCCATCGGATAAATTACTACCCAGCGGACAAGAATTAGGGAAAACAACCACAGTGCGCTATCCACTGGATAGAGATTTATCCGGTGTGGAGAGCACTTTTCAGCTTTTGAACAATTTGGGCCTGGTTTTCAAAAACCTGTTAGGCTAAAAATTACCAGTTGGTCCCGTTCTATACAACAAACTGTTTAGCCTAAAATTTGAAGAGGTTCTTATTTTCTAAAATCTATTTTAAAAAATGCCGTACACTTGGTCAAATTCTAGGATCCTCTTTGGAGACATAGGTGCGTTATCACTTCGACTGCAATGCTTTGGTATGCAGATTTTATATAACGAGTAAGGAATAAGCTGAATACCACTAGACCAGACTAGACAGTCTTCCTAGCTTGGTGATGCTGTGGTTCATTGCGCGAAAATGGGAAAATGCGTCTTGTTACCTGCGGGTTTTTACGGTATTCTTGGCACCCGAGCAACTAGTGCGAATGCCTGGGTACCGTAGTCTCTCCTAACAATTTCCTAGCTTGGTGATGCTGTGGTTCATTGCGCGAAGACTAGGAACCACAACCTCTCCCTGAACTCCGATTGTAGTTTGAACTTTGATTTCTTGCTGTGCTAACAACCTGAAAATTTCCATCAGATTCGAATCAGATCGCATGAAAGAAATGGGTAAACCCCTTTTTCTTCTTTCCTTGTTTATCATTTATGCTGTTGATGTCGAGTAAAAGCATAATAATACAGTATGTCGGCCGGAACGAGACGAAGGCTCCAAGATGCTCTGAACGCGGGAAAAGATATCGAAAATACCAGGTGAGAACGACAATAATATTACAAGAAATTTGATTATTTTTAACATGTAACGCATCAAATAGTAATGGCTGCATAATGATAGCTAAACCTCCTCTACAGACGTATCAATATCAAGTAAATCTGTGCATTTTGTAGCCTTTCATTGCCTTGTAAAAGTAAGCTCAATATGCACATTACTGGAGTAATTCAGTTCACAGCTTACGACGTTTTTTAAAAGTTTGTCTCTCACGAATTGTTATCTTACACTTTAAACTTGATTAGGTTGCTTACGAATTTTAACCAAACTTGCCCTGGACTTGTTGCAAAATAATGACATCTTACGGTGATTTTAGTCGTCCAAGAAAGGTCAAAAAAGGGGGTCATTTCTGTTTAATGTTTCATGCTGCTGCGAGAAATGAAACACAAGTTTTTGAATGATCTTTCAACATTATCATCATCAATTTGAATTGAGTTTTTGCGTATGCTTCTTAACAAAGAGAGCAAAGCAAATGATAACAATGTGACGATTAAAAATGCTAGATGAAGAGTTACAGTGCAGATCGAGTGTGAGTCTTACGAGTGATTAAATTTTTTTAAACAGATTAAAAGTACATGCATGCCGCCACACATGTTCTCTGAAATAAGCTGTAGTAAATCATTATAATGTTGACTAAAGAAAATTCGCACATCACTATTTATTATTCTTGCCTTGGGAGAAAGAGTGACAATATGCATGTAAAATAGGGGTGATTGTTTCTTTCAACCTCATGTTCACAGTTTCCATAGAAACTGTAACACTTTGCAGTCATGTCATGTCCGTAAGTAAATAATGCAATAATTCTGAAGGCCAGAGACAAAATTTTGTGCGATTCAGTTGACAAGCAAAGAGAGTCTATTACATTCTATTCATTGCTTGTCATTTTATCATTCTATCAGCATAGAAAATTTTTTCTTCCAATTGCAAGAAGTCACGCTTTATTTTCTTCAACAAAGCAGGCTACATTTCATGCTTATATGACAAGCTGATAAAATCACGGGTGCACAACAGACATAAAGCTATGGTAAAACAGGCAACAAAACACATGCAACTTGTTTTGCAACATTGCTTCGAAACAATTTGAATAGCGATGTTCACATATTACCACCCACATTTGGACCTGTCTTTGCAACAAATAAGGCTGCAAGTTTTTTTTCTTGGGTTGTAAAACCCGCAACATTGCTATCCAACTTCATTTGCAGCAAAGTTGCAAAACAAGTTGCACATTTTTTATTCCTGTTTTACAGTACCTTAACAAAAACTGTAAACACAAACTCTCTTCAGAGCTTTTTGGTGGAAAAAACATGATACTTCCCAACGAGGCAAAAGTGCATGAAAGCACTTATGTCCAAGAATAGAATTATTTCAGTCTGACTCTTGTTTTTGTTTTTTCCAATATTTTACTCTGAATTTCAGTGCTGCCGCAAATGGTGTTTCTAAACTATCATCAGTCCAAATTGATTTTGGAGATGTCATGGGAATATATGGTGTAAATTTCTCATACAATGCACAGTGTTTAGTTGCTGGCTGTGGCAATGGGGCAATTCAGGTAATCTAAAACACATCATGCATTAGGGCGTCTTTGAGTACCAATTAGCTACTAGCAGTTACATTAAATCTCCTGGTCTCAGATGTTTTGGATTAAGGATGGAGGGTCTAACAAAATACATGTGGACTATTTTAACCCATTTGCCCCTGAACCGCCCGTAACCGCCCGTGCGGATCCAGGTCCTTTCTACCCTTTGTGACGTCATCAGTTTTAACGGTCAAGGACAACTTTTTTCGCTAACTTGTGCAGAGTGAAGAGATCTTTCAAACCATACCAGAATGAGCACAATTCAGTCAAGGACACCGGAGAAAGAAACAAAAAACCACGTGACAAGGACCTGAAAATCTCCATGAAAATCTTGTTCCATTACCCACCTACCTTTCCTTTCACCTAATCCTAAGATCCTAAAAGCTTTCCTAAAAACTCTTCCCACCAAAATGAAGCCTACTAAATGCCCAGCAAGAGAAAAAAAAATGAGGCAAGAAAAGCGAAAAAAGAAGGAAGGAGAGAATGTCGAAATTTTGCTTTCTGCGCATGCCCGAACTTCGCAAGCTGATATTTTGCATCTGGATCAGAAGGCCGCCAAGTGTACGACCTGTAAACCGGTTTGTGGTAAGTTTTAGCTCTTTATAGCACGACAGTGACCAGAAAACCACTCGACTAGCTTCAAAACGCGTTTTTCGGCAAAATCTCCAGGAGCGAATGGGTTAATTAACAACCAGGCCCCAGTTGTTTCAAGGCTGGATGCACTGGTACTATCCATTGGATAAATTAATATCCAGAGGATAAGTTGGGAAACCAATGGCGCTATCAAGTGAAGAGCACTATTCAGCTTTTGAACAACTGGGGCCAGTTAACTACTTGCTTGAAAAGAGGTTTTAGAAGTTTTTATTGAAGAAGTAAATAACAATAATATTAATAGGTTCTACTAATCAGAAAAATAAGAACTTGAAAGAAAAATGCCTTTTCTAGCAAAAATTGGTGTGAAATATTGCATGACTGCCAACAAATTCTTGAAAAAAAGGTAGATGAACTGGTGGAGACATTCTTTGTTCAATAAGTTTACAGTATGTTTATTAAGAGATCTTTTTAGGTTGGCTCTGCAAACATGCAAGATGAAGTAAATTCTGTGTTCTGATTGGCTATGCATGCCAAGTGGATAAGATGGGCTTATCTTGACCACTCAGGATTATCCAGTTTGAATCTTTTTGTTGGGAGGGGGGATTTTTTTAAAATTTTATAATTTATTATGGATATATTGCTGACGAATGTAAGGTTAGTTTCTCTCCATTTCATTGTAAAGGTGTATGCTTGTGACACAGGAAGGAAGAGACGTCCTCTAAAGCATGGCTCTCTCTATGGCTTGCCTATCACAGCAGTCAAATTTTTTCCATATAAGGATGACCAATTGATAACTGCAAGTAAGTTGATCTTGCTTTAAGGTTAATGTATTGGTGCTAGGAAAGCCTATCTCCTATTTTTACGTGAGATTTCAGGAAAAAATCAACCTTAAAGACCAAATAGTTTGTTCTACTTAGTATAATTTTTTTAAAAACTTGTTGTACTAAGAGAGCTTTGGTCACTACTGATTTCCTGTTGAATCTGTAGGAAAAGTTAATCGGAAGATAAGTATATAAATAAAGTATGAATCAACTTGAAGTTTAAACAGCTGTATTTTTTAACTGACTGAGTCAAATATTTGATACTAATATTCTTAATCAAATTGAAATCATGTGGAAGTGTTCAATTTTGAGGAAGAAAGAAAAACCTTGGGTCTACCTTATTACATGAAATTTTGGTGACACTTTAATTTAGCAAGTCAAGCTATTTTTGAAAAATCACTAAATGAAAATGCACCAAAATTAAGTGTCACTAAATTTACGTAACCAGTGTGTAAAATTATTTCTTCTCATCTCTTGCATTTGTTCAATCGTAACATTATTCACATCTCACTTGAATGGAGTCATGAGGACCCCGAGGTCTGTTTCACTGACATATACGCTATTTGATGGTCAATTATGACATGTATCATTGACCTTGTGCAATGTATGAGCATTAACATATGACATAACAATGGAATATCGATTGTTTCGTTTAAAATTAAGTTTCAGTAGGTTGTATGATTTTGATTTAAATGAAGCTACTGACATTTATGATTTTATCACATAGATGATCTATTGTCTTCGTAAAAGTTTTGAATATCATAGTTCTCCAAAGTTTCAGTTTGTGAAATCGTGAAAATTAAGTGACTTAGGTTCTAAAATTTATGAGAAATCGCTAAATCAAAGTGCTGCAAAATGAGGATTTTTCAAAATCACTAAGTTAAGGTATCACCAAACTTTCATGTAATAAGGTACAGTGTAGTTAGAGCCAACCTGTGGCTTTGGTCTTTGCCTTTTCTTGATGTCTATTTCCACTGGTCCCCTGCACCTCGAACAGGGTTAGGGGCCCATTGGAAATGCATGCATTTGTCCATAAATGGTAGGAGGAAGAATGAGAAGAATCAAATGTACTCAGCTGATATAAGGCAAGAATAAATTTAAGCAGATATTAAATGACAGCGTGTTATTGCGGCTGGTATTTAGGAGCTGATGGGACAATGACATGTTGGGACCTGGAATCATGGAATGTGTTTAAAACTGTTGATGAACCTCACAATGAAATAAGTGCTTTGGATTTCTCTCATGATGGCAAAATATTTGCTACTGCTGGCAAGGTATTGAAATAATCATAGCAAGGCTGGGTCACAGCTGGATTGAGTCAGTGGACTACCATATGCACCCATATACTGCTGTATCAACATTCTGGGACTGAAACAAAGCAAATCTCCTGGTCGCCAAAGGCTGGCCAAATCTCCCAGCAAAAATTGTCTGTTAAGCCTTTAAGCAGCTTTTTACGGGATTAGATCCACATAGCAATTTTGGGGGGTAGTCAGTTGTGTGGAGTTTCAAGGGGTGGATAAGTTTTATGGACGTTTGTCATCTCAGGGTGAGGTTATTAGGCTGGGGGATCTTGAAGATTCAGATCTGCAATGGCTGACACCATGTAAATTTTTCAAGTGAGAAAAGATTTCCAATCTCGTCAGTGAATATTTTCGTTAGTGTCAACTGTTCAACATATTGACCCAAAAATTAGTTAAAGAGGTGTCATGTCAACTGGACCAAGAATAAGTCAGTTATTGAATATCTTTTTCATAATATTTCTCAGGACAGAAAGATAAGAGTCTATGACACAAGCACATTACAAGTAAAGCTAACATTTGGAGGAACAGATAAACTTGAATCTACACAGTGAGTGAACTTAAAAGAACAATCAATCCCTAGCTTGACATCAATGATTCTTTTTGTGCAACAAGCCCTGCCTGTCTTTCACCACTGCCTGTCAATATGCTGCTATATCGCTGACCCTATGGCATATCTGGTACCCAACATTTGAATTTTGTGCCAAAAAAAGGGATATCCCTGTTCCCCAAAGCAATTAAAGGTAGCCAAAGCCAAGAGGTTAGTGGGTGGGGCCTGCCAGAAAACAGCATTGTTTAGTTTGTTCTGTAATCACCATTTAGAAGATGGAGAGGCTTAAATATTTATGTCAATATATCAGCTTCTTTTCACCTGTCTTTTTTTTTTTTAGACAAGGTGTTTTTGCTCCTGAAGCAGGGCATGGAAGAAAAGTATTTGCTGTGAGATTTCATCCATTTGATGACAATATATTTTTAACAGGAGGCTGGGATCGGTGTATCAAGGTATGTACAGAGTCAGAGCTTGTCCATTTATTTGTTACCCTTTCCAACAGGTTTTCCATTTTTGATCTTTTGATTTAAACCAGTTTTTGATAGATTGTTATATTGGTAAATTCTTGTGTTTTCAGTTAAAGTGTTTCTTTTCCATTGAAAAGGGTGTTATAGTGTACCTTGTTACAGTGTACTTTACAGTCCAAAATTACCATAAGAAAGTGTCAGAACAAATTTGACTGTCTTATTTTTGAAATGTTTTTTATCCAAGAACTGAAACCGACGCTTAACAAACAGTGTGATTCAATTCGCGCTAAATTATTTGTTTAGAGTAGTTCTTGTTAACATTGTTTTATTTCCATTGTTTTTTGACTTTATAAATATTTTTAGCACTTTTTACATTTTTACATATTTTATCACATTTTAGCGTTCACCACATTTTTATCTATTATAACTTGTTTTTAACTTATTTATGCTAATTTAGAGAACTTTTATACTCTTGAAAATGACCTCAGAGAGGTCCAAACGTCGTGATTTTTTGTCGCTGATATTTATCTCAAAATCGATTTCTAAGAAACTACTTATTAAGTTATTGTATTATGACAAAAATTATTAAGATATTTTTGCAACATAGTCTCTGCCAATGGACAAGCAGAATTTGCGAACGGCTTGTCCTAAGGACAACCTGAATTACCCACAATTTTCTGCAAGCCCTGAAATTAAGGTTTTCAGTCTTCTTTTGAAATTTCTGAACACACAGTGCTACTACTTTTTGATGGGAGTGTCCACCAACATATCCCATAAAAATAGACATGTACATAGGATTTTCGTATCGTAGTTGCTTAAAACAACAGCAACACATGAATGATGTTTTCTGCATCCAAACTGTCTTAGGGCCTCTTTACATGAGCTCGGTTGACCAGGCTGGCCTGGTTACCGGAATGAATTTCGCATTGGGTTCATAATGAGAAATTCAGCCTGGTTTCTGAGATGAGAAACAACCAAAGATCCTGAGGACACGTTCTGGCACCAAATTCAAGAAACAAAGCAAACATGGCAAAACACAAAAATAGTATTGTTATAACTTTCTCACCTATCATAGCTTTGGCAACTCTTAAGCTGTATTCCTGCAGTTAAATGGGATGCTTATGATGTGGAAAATACGGCAGGCAATACCAAACGATGCCATTTGGACCGCCAGAGTTCATGCAGCTGTCATCACAGTAACTGGGGTGAAGTGGGCCATGTGGCAAAATTTCCAGCCCACTTATTACCAATATCCCGGTTGGAAAAACTTAGATCTCGGGAACAGAACCAACCCGCCCTCTCATATGAACAGATTTTTACAAAGGACTTAGAGTATGTTGAGATCTCGTAAACCAGGCTCATATGAAGATGCCTTAATTCATTTGAAACAAGTTCGTAATGCTAATTGTCATCACCTTGTTATTAATCATAAGCTGAAGTTAACAATCCTTACTAATTATAAATTATGGTTATTAATCTTATGAAGATCCTTTTAACTGAACAATCATATTTTGTTGTAATCCCTAAGGTTTGGGACGTGCGTGCTGATCAGGTAGTCCGTTCAATCAATGGCCCATACATTTGTGGTGAAGGAATTGATATCTGGGAGGATTCAGTTTTGACAGCATCTTGGGTGGCACATGATTCTCTACAGGTACATTTTAGACTTACAGCTAAAGTCCGTTTTGTTTGGGTCATCAGTCAGGAAGGAAAAGAGACATTCTTTTTCTCACAACTTCATCGCTGGTTTTCACAATTAGTCATATCTACCTCTGCTCTTCATTCTTACACTAGGTCTTGGTAGTAATTGTCTATGCACATACGTACTCGGCCCAGAGGGAAGTCTGTGTGTCAAACATATAAAAGGTTGAGGAAAAGGGCACGAGATTGTGAAGATCACACAGACTTTTCATCGAGTGTTAACAAAAAGATCAATATGAAAGTCACGTTTAAAAGATTTTCATGTAAGCATCCCCAAGGAAGAGTGGTATGTGTCCCTACTTATATCAACTGAATGAAGAAATTCCCCAGACTAAAAAGAATCAAACTTAGTCCTGACAATAAATGGTCATTTTCACTTGCTATAATCTGTTTAGTTTTTTATCTTTTATCAATGCTACTCATTCATTCATTCATTCATTCATTCATTTTGTCAGTCAGTCAGTCATTTATTTATTTATTTATTTTTTCATTTACTCATTTTGTCTAAATAGTAGTAATAACAGATTCTTTTGCCCTTGTAGGTTTGGGACTTTGGGAGTGGTCAGCTGATGGAAGTCATTCCATTTCCCAGTGATCACCATGGTGAATTTCTTTACGTGGGCCGGTTTTGTGGCTCTGGTGACCTCATAGCTGCTGGAGGAAGTGGAACAAATGATCTTAAGATCATCGACAGAACCAAGCGTGAGGTGAGAAAAACATTTAACTGTATGAAAGGAAGGGAAGGAAAACTACCTTAAGGAGCTCTGGCATTTTATTTGAGTCATTAATTTATTTTTATTTTATTCTTTTTTCGTTTCATTAACTTTTCTATAAGTGGTGCAAGAAATAAGCTTACTTAAGGCTAAAAATTTACTTTTGCCACAAGGGGGCAATAAATGATACAGCACAGTTAAGTTAAGCCGCTTGGTGTATATTATTAAAAGGTGCGATTTCAGGAAAAGAATTTCATCATAAAGTGAAAATTAATTAAGTTTGCAAAGAAAAGTCTTATTTTTTGTTTGCATTTTTTGGCAGGTAGTTTCCAGTGTAGAAGATGAAGGCAAACCCATTCAAGCGCTAGATGTATCACGTGACGGCAATCAGTTGGTTATTGGCAGCACAGGGAACTGTGTGCAGATCGTTACTCTTACATAATGAGACCAACAGATCTGCGTTTTGCTCATACTTTTTAAGCTGTGATATTTCAATGCTCTTATAGTAGTTCCTGGTTGTTGTAAAAGGTATATTTTGTTCAAAACAACATTATGCAATTCTTATCATTAAAATGTTTACGTACGTTTTACTTAAGACCATAACCTCGCTCACAATAATAAATTTGAATAGATATCATATGTACAGATATTTTTTAACGATAAAATCTATCATGACAACGCATGTTTGTCTCCAAACTTAAAGTATAATAACTGTCATGAGCCTCTTTTTAGTTCACAAAGTTTTGATACTTTAAGGTTTCTGATCAGTTCAGCAAATAAAAGCTTTTGTTCAGACAAATATACATGATGAAGGTGACTGGTTCGTTTTTACCCGACTGAATTGGGATCCCCATGTTTTTTGGGTGCCCCTATGCTAAAAACTCCTAGTGATATCAGTATCTCTAGTAACCGGTCAAGTCGCCCGAAAGTCATCTTGCCTGAAACCAGAAATGCGGAAATGCGAAATGCGGAGTAATGTCGCCCAAATATTATCCCAGGTGAAGTGCACAGAGAAACAAGGTTCATTTTTATGAAATAAATAGTGTGTGTTAATATCTCTCGTTCTTTTAACCGTCATGAGACGAAACAAGAGGAACGAATGTGTAACAAACCTCGTTCTTTAAGCGGTGTAAATGTGTAATATACCTCGATCTTTAATCCTGGATTAACAACGAAACAAGCGCGCTGAAGGAGTAATATATCTCTCTCTATAATCTTCGATGAGACGAAGCAAGCGCGGCAAATGGTAATAGGGATGCTAGGATATTGTTGAGGCATGATAAAATTTCGAGCCACATAACTCGGCATTTCGGGCGATATGACTCTGAATTCGAGCGACATGACTCTGAATTCGAGCGACATAACTTCGGGCGACTTGACTGTAAACCATATCTCCTTCTCGTAAATGTCAGTGTGTTTTCTATCCCCTGATACTTTCCCGAGACACCGCTGAGGTCCTTTGGGTATATCCCCAAGACTGTCTTTTACAGCAAAAAGGAAATGGCCACGCAAGGTATGGGGGAAAAGACAGGCATTTGGCATTAACCAAATGGTAGCGAATACTTACTTTGCAATTGATCGAAGTTGAGTGAAATTTTGTGTTTTGCGGGACTAGAACCAATCCCATTCCACAGCTCAGCCAGCTTAGGGTTTTGAGTTGACAGCCCGCAAGTAATTATTTTTCCATATCTACCCACAAGGAACACTATAGATTCGCGGAACATAGCGCGCGCGTGCCATGACATCATCCGCGCGCACAAACTACAAAAACATACGTCTATGACGTTGAAATATTCAAATCTGAGTAAGACAGTGCCGAGATCACATAGATCTAAGGTGTTCGTAGTATGGAGCTAAATATTGCCAATACGATTTTACCATGAGAACGATTATTAGCTGTAGATTTACCCCATTGGACAGATGACACCTCTTTCCGAAAGAGAAAGAGATTTAGAAGGTAATGATTAAGGTTGTCTTTTGTAGTTCGTTCAAAGTGCAATAAGAAATAAGCTCATATTTGAAAACGTACGAGATCGAATTTAGGCAATAATTCCAGAAAAAAAAAACTCAAGACTTCACGAAGAAATTAGCAAAGTTTTTAAGTTCAATGTAGGGGAAGGGGAGTGCTTGTGGAATAGTGAATGCGAAAAAATCAATCTTATGCATGTATTTAACGTCATATTCAGCGCTGAAGCAGAGACTAACATCTCTACAGCCTGGCCTGTATTATTCACATGCGGGGAGCCGTATCACTCGAGCAGGGGCAGTCATAGTCGACTACTCTTCAGCGAGGCAAACCCCTGGCGAAATGATTTTCACTTGCAATCACTAATTATGCCAATGCGAGTATAAAAGCAGCCGCTCCATCGTACACATGTGGTAGCTGTTGGCTGGAAACCACTACACAGATCTTGTCAAGCATATCGAGGCGGGATCAGCTAAACAGACCGGTGTGCCACAAAAATTAGAAACAAAATCAAATTCAGGAGTGAAGCACACGCTACCAACTCCGCAGTATGGCCAGTACCTTTAATACACATGGTTTTAATTTATGCAAACCTGGCAAAACCTGGCAAATTTATTACACCCAGGATTTCAGGGCGTAAGATAGACACGTGACCAGCCGAAGCCAGGGCCTTTTCGCGCCCCACCCATTTTTTGAGGGAAAAGCCCTGGGGACGAGGTTGTACTTCAGTGTAACCTTACCAAGAGTGATGAATCTCCCTTTTTCGTCTTAAATGTAGACTGGGTTTTTGTGCGAAATTGGGTATTGCCGTAAATAAATGAAAACGCGAAACGCTCAGCTGCGTCGATCCTCATGCTATATATTCACTTTCTTCTGTCTTTCCCTGTCACATTTGATGCGAGTTAACCAAATTGTTAAAGTAAAATAAATATCTACTCACCAAATGTTGATAAAAAGGAAAACTCTAAGGTTTCCTCGGAGTTTCTTATGCCAAAATGTGACTCATCGAATGAAATACCGCGATTTTTATCATAATTGATACATACGCTCACACCACTGAAATATGAGCTATTTTTTTCAAAATAGGTCAACAACTGATAGGGTTACTCCTATGATCGAATCGCTTCGAACAACGCAAATAGCCTTCTTCAGGTTCGCAACGCCTTCTGGATTTCTGGGGGGGCGGTAGACTGCTTGCAGTCCGCAATTTCTCTTAAAATCCGTCTAGCTCTTGACTCATCCAACGTGATCGCAAACCACGACGTTATTAATACTAAAGTACACCCTCGTTTCTCGCGGCTCGCGGCTTTGCCGCTCGCGTGCAGTAACTTTGCAAAGAAAAATAAGAGACTGCTCGCAGTCTATCCCCCGGGGGACCGTTTTTCTGTACAGGCGACCGAAAACCGAATTTATAACTGGGCAGCCCTGATAGGGGCAGCTCAGTAATAGTGGAGCTCTCGCACGCGAAGCGCGCACGGCGGAGCACCATGGGTAAGAAAATGTGGTAAACTACCCATCCGAGGAAATTTGGTAATCACGTGACCGTACACCGACCGACCGCCCGACCATCCGTCCGTACCACAGGTACAACAATGTAAAATAACTCAATCAACAGGTACGGCAACCCAAATGTAACTCATTCATTTCATTCTTTAGTTTGCCATATAAACGGCGAGGAGACCTGAAAGAAACCACGAGGCTTACAATGAGTCAGGTCTATTCAACTTAGGATAAACTAGTCTTGATAATATAATTACAATATGGGCTTATGATGGCTAACTTTTGACCGCGAACTCACACACACACATACACACTCACATGTTAAATTAATTAATCTAATAATCTACTTAGTGCCATACTGAAGCTAATATGTACTGAGAAGGAATTCTTTAAGCTTTCTTTTAAAAGAAGCAGAGGAGGACGAACCAGTTATAATACTCAAGGCTATTTTGACGGGAAATTGCATAGCCACCCGCGTCTCGTAAAGCAGAGACAACTAAAGAGTCAATGAAGACGAAAACGGAAAGCGGAAATTGTCTCTTTATCAATGTTTTCTAAAGAATTAATCTTCGATTAATTGTCATGTCTACAAATTTGGAATATGGAGCAAGAGAAACACAGAGAAAAAGAGAAAGTCGGCGGCAGGCCAGCGAAGCTCAACGAGGAAAAGGGCGACAGAGGTCTAGAGCGAGAGATAAAAAACCAAAGGAGACATTTTTTTGTTGGAAGAACAACATGAAAATTTTGTAACGGCGTCGACAAAATGAGCACTGCTAGCGGCCACCAATGCAAGGTGAAAATGAGCGGCAATGAAAAAAAAGTGAACGAGGAAACGTACTACATTTCCTCCATAAAACGTGTAACTAAGACGTCTCTGGAAGTTTCACGTTGTAGCCGTGCAAAACAGCGGTCTGAAGAAATGTATATAAAAGTGTGCTGCACGTGCAAAGTTGCTTTTTTTGCTAATTTTATTGTTGTTTTCACCGTTCTCCGGCGTTGCCTTCGTCGCTTAGCATTACACGACTTTATATTTTGTTTGAACAAACCATAAATATTATCGAGAGCTTCGCTTTTAGCCCTGGCTAAATCTATATATTAAGGTCACGGTCCAGAAACTCGTCTTTGGGTAGTCCGATTCGGGCTGTTACCAGGGTGCTCTAGGTCTATGTTGGCTTATATGACGTACTTTACAGAGCGAAGCGAAAAACGGCCATCTGCTTGGAAATTTCATCATGGCCAACTCAAGGGAAGTGACTCGCGAAAATCGATATAGAGTCTTTAGCAACATATGCCTTGGAAATGCTGTTTCTCTTGATGAACATCTTAGAAACATGAGTGATAGTGAAAGATCCCTCGCGTTAAATGCAGGTCAATCGGATACTTTCGACATATTCCAAGGAGAGCCTCCGCTAATAAAAGCTGTTACGTTTGGAGATCTTGATGTTGTCGAAGTACTTCTGAAGTACAAAGGAGAGGTAGATATTGAAGTTGGAGGAGAATACCATAGAAGAGGGAGACCATTATGCACAATAGATGACAATCATTCCTTTGGTGTTCATCACGTTTCATTTACATGTTGCACTCCATTGTTTTTAGCTGCTTCACGCGGACACTTTGATGTTCTTAGGTGTTTGCTTGAAAATGGAGCTGATATTAATGCTAGTACAGCTGATAACTGCACCCCTCTCATGATAGCGATTGAAAACGGGAACATAAATGCAGCCACCTTTCTCATTGAACATGGAGCTAATGTAGATCTTAAAGATGATCGTGGTGATACAGCGCTTCACTACGCCATGTCACGGTATATTCTGTATGACTGTAATGCCTCACTTGAAGTTTTCAGTTGTTTGATTGAACATGGAGCTGATGTTAATGGCCGTAACAGTAGCAAGGGGCCCAGTAATAGCTGTACTCCTTTGATGGTAGCAAGTAGAAATAGTAGAGTGGATCTAATGACCCTTCTCATTAAACATGGAGCTGATGTGAATCTTCAAGATGAAGAAGGTGAAACAGCTCTTCACGTTGCTATGTGGGGTTCTGATGATTCATGTGAGGTTTTCAGGTGTTTGATTGAAAACGGAGCCAATATTAATGCTGTTTCAAATGATGGTCGTACTTCTCTGATGAATGCAATTGGAAACGTATCTGTAGTTACTTTTCTCACTGAGCATGGAGCTAACATTGATCTCCAAGACAAAAATGGCAATACAGCTCTTCACCGTGCTGTTTGTGGTTGTTCACTTGAGGCTGTTCACCATCTTGTGACTCTTGGAGCATCCCACATGTGTAACAACAAGGGATTTACACCTCTTCTTCTAGCCAGCAATACTGGAAAAAGTCGATTGGTTGAGTATTTAATCCAGAGACCAGAGATGACAAAGGAACAAAGAATTGATGGCCTGGAACTTCTAGGTACTTCTCTTGTTTTTACGAGATCAAATGGGCATGTGGAGGGATTTAAGTACATTAAGCTTGGCATGGAAGAAAGGTTTTCTGACCCCTCTCACCCTTTGTCAAAACAACCAATGGAACCTGTTGAGGCTTACCAGAATAGAAAAGAATGTCAGACTCCTGAGGAACTAGCACAGATAGAAGGTGATGTTGATGCTGTATTCATAGAAGGTGTTATTATGAGAGAAAGAATTATTGGAAATAAAAGTCCAGAACTTCTTTATCATGTTACTTATGCTGCAATGAGTAAAACAAGTAATCTTGATTTTTCCACCCGCATGGGACTTTTGAGACATGTAGTCAAAATGACCCAGAGCATCAAACAACCGTGGCCAGCTAGTAATGAGTTGCATTTCATGAGTATGATGTTACATAAAGAGTTCATGAGAAGTGGTCAACGAAACGCAAAAATTTATGTTGTTGAATTACTTGAGTTAACAATTCTTGAGTATGAAACACAACATAAGGCCATGCAGACTGATGATGATTATAAACAATATTCACAGTCAACGCTGTTTGATATTTCCATGGAACTTGTGTTATTCATTACCAAAGTCAAATTTTGTGGAGAGAGCAAGACTTCACATTTGTCAATGCTGCTAAGAAAACTTTGTAGGAAAGATCCTCAAGATAGACTGGGAAATACACTGTTACATAAGGTCATTGAATGCCACATGAATGATGAAGTATATTCATGTTTGGATACAGTGAAGCTTCTTCTGAATTCTGGATTCAATGTAAATGCCATGAACCACAATGGAAGCACTCCACTTCACGTAGCTGCCACTTTTAAACCCAGCGAAGTCAAAATTTGTCTTTTGACAGAACTACTGCAGGTTTTGGTTGATGCAGGTGCTCATCATGATTTTGTCAACAGTGATGGTGAAACACCCATTGACATGGCTAAAACTGATGAAGTTCGCCTGATTCTTTCAGAGAGTAAAAACCTTGAGTTACAGTGTATCAGTGCTAGAGCTGTGAGAAAGTACAGAATTCCTTACATTGGGGTGGTACCTGTTATACTGGAGAAGTACATTTGGAGGCATCGTGGGGCAACCCCTTCAAGAGAAGAAAGGTTGCGCCAGAAATACTTGCATACAATTTTAAGGTCAATTTACGAGCCTTTCTAAACTTTGTTGGTCATTCCAAACAACTTCCATTGTATAATGCAGTCACATTTGGTTCTATGAACGCATAACTTACCAAAAAGTACTGTTTAGGTCAGATGAGTTCAAGCTGTTTTTTCTCGACACTGTATCTGATCAAAAAGAACCTAACCTTCCCAAAAGTTGCAAACATGACAAGCACTTCTCTATCACGCTTTTCTTCAAGGAAAATTTTAATTTTGGGACCCAGTAAGTGCATTCTATTGCAATAATTTTTAGAGTGATGGTAGAGAGAATTTTAGCCTTTAGGATGGCACCTTTACATTATTCCTGATAAATCACAAGTTCTTTTGAGATCATGACATTCTGAGTCGTTCTGTTGTTTTCTACGAAATAATTTTTTGACATCATAGATCACAGTTCATCTTTTACATGTTACATATCATGCCTGTTGAATAAACATGGGGACGTTAAACGTGCATGGGCTATTTTGAATGCTTCAGTGTAACTTTAATGCTTCAGTGTAACCTTACCAAGAGTAATAAATCTACCTTTTTCGTCCTAAATGTAGACTGGGTTTTTGTGCGAAATTGGGTATTGCCGTACATAACTGAAAACGCAAAACGCTCAGCTGCGTCGATCCTCATGCTATATGTTCACTTTCCTGTATGTTTCCCTGTTACATTTGGTACAAGTTGAACAAATTGTTAAAGTAAAATAAATATCTACTCACCAAACGCTGATTAGAGGGAAAACTCTAAGGTTTCCTCGGTGTTTCTTAAGCCAAAATGTGCCGGCCAACGCCCTTAGACTCCCTCTCCGTCCTATTTTGGCTCTTGTTGCTGTTAAGTATTTTTGTCATTAATTCCTATCCAGAATCCAATCAACCAAGAGTCACGGGGCGACTTCGGCTGGAAAGATTGCAAGAGCTACCCAGCGGTTTTCGGCCGTATTTCACATGCGTGGTTGCTTTAGTGCAGTTGTGTATGTTTATCTGGTTGTGCTGGGCAACAACTTTCGCTGAAGTAGGATTGTCACCCATAACTATTACAAGAACAGGTGAAATTTAGGGCGGCTTACAATTGGTTGACGTGAGAGAAAGAAACTCATTGAAACAAAGGTTCCTAGAGGTCTAGTTGTACCAATCACGAGTTAAAGCAAGTGACATGTACCCAACCTCGTCCCCAGGGAAAAGCCCTGGGGACGAGGTTGACATGTACCCTACACCAGAGCGGAGAAATGTTTGAAATGTTTTCTTCGGCCTCTGATCGGTTGAAAAGAAAAACTGGCCCGAAATTTCATATTAACCAGTCTCAAACTAACAACTGATCATTTACTGAAAAGAACCATGAAGGATCGCAAACAGATTTGCCGAAAGACGTCGTGTGGAAGTCTTGCAAAGTTAAGACTTACTTGGTAAGATCAGCTTTGCAGATTTATTTTACTCCAAAGCATAAGCGAAGCCCAAGTAGTGTACAAGTACATGTCTTAGTTGATTGTTACAGTTTAATGCGCCTTGTCTCAGAATCGATATTGATCTTATGACGTCATCGCTTAAGTGTTTCCTCGTGAACAAAGAGGGGAGTTTCTTTAAAAGAAGAGAGAACGTATTGACAATTTATTGTGTAAGTACAATAAACACTGATGAAGGTACGCTAAAAGATATGTATTATTTGTTTTAGAGCCCGACACATTTCGTGGTAACATTTCAGTCATATATACCAAGCGACCCAACCCATTGATAGGTCCCTCAGAATCACAGTTGGTGTCTGTAGGAGCACTTTTCCCACCATGTATCAGAGAGGACCATGCACTCAACCTTCAGCAGGTACAAACTTTGCATCCACGCCTTCAAGCAAGAGGAGAGAAACTGGGCTGCTGTGAAGTTACAAAACTTAATTTAGCTGGAACGACGACAGAGGTATTGAAATGGGCATTCATTCAGCATATCCGTGTTACTAACTGAACGTTTTCAGCAAGGATTTTAGTGTTCCAAACAGTTTTTATATATTCAGAAATGGAACTGGTCCAAGAATAAAACTTAAAGTTATTAAAGTTGGATAACGTTTCGATGTCTAAATGTCATCTCTTTATTTCGATATCGCTTGATTTATTTCAAAATCTGTCATCAGAATTGAGATCATGAGAAGTAAATGCCCTCTGTTCTACAGATCTATAAACAAAATTGTGACGTTTACCTTGAACGTGTTTGTAGGCAGAATGCACTGTTCTCGCGGATGGCCATGCTCAGTGGAGAGCAACACAGTGCAGTCAGCGGTCTTCATTGCAGTCGGTTGTACAACATGTTTTAAGGCCTTGTTGTGGAGAGTTCGATGGGCAATGCACGCTGACCAGTCCTCAGCATTGTTGGTTTTTAAAAGGTCGGTTTCATGTTCACGCGGAGCACTGCACTCAGGTATGACATGCGCATAGTGACCATCCATTCAAAAGTGCGTCCTCTTCCTCCATGCTATACGTGAAAATAGTGCTGAAAATAGATCCGATCAAACAAACAAATAAAACTCTTTGTTTGTTTCGGACCAATGAAAACGGAGACTTCCCAAATATTTAATCGCAGCATCTTTCCTGTTCGGTGTAACCACCGCAGACCAAGACCATAGACGCTTGAATTACAGTACATCTTGTTTAATTACCTTTGAATAAAAAATTCTGCTAAGTAAAAGCTTTGCAAATTGTTTCGTCAACACAAGGCAACAGCTAAGGTGTCATAGGAAACGTTCTTCTCTCAAGGAGGCATGGTTGACGGAAGGAATTCCCGAGATATATTTGTCCGCGTTCTCCACCAAAAATTTTATAAAGCTCAAACCCGGCATGTTCTCTAGAGCTCTATATTTACCAATTCCTCCACCTAGTTCTGTATTCGAATAATTTGTTACGTTCTTAGAAGATCGAAAACGGGATCGTTTTCAAGTCACTTTGAATAGATGGCGCTTTATAAGATCTCAAAAGAGACAAATTACATGCATGTAAAGAAAGACACAACATGAACGAACTATGTCACTCACAAGACTCTACTCATCGTCAGTATTAGAATGTAAAATACTAGCAAACAATCTCATTGCTAAAACTCTCTCCCCTTTCCAGGGTAAGTTCTATAAGTTCTCGGCTGTAGCTAAGTTCCAGTTGACTGAAGGACAAGATTATAACAGCTGGATTAGACGAAAAAGCAATGTAAAGAACATATTTCTTTTTCAGGTTGACTGCCTGCAGCAACTTTGTATTTTAGGAGCTCGGGAAGAACTCAGTAATGAGCAACACGTAACACAATACTCTCCTCGTCATCCAAATCAGTGGTGGCGTCTTGTGTCGTCAATGTACTTGCACCGAGGAATTCTGGACTGGATTGTGTTTACATCTCTCCAAATATGGGTAACTTGGTGTCAGGAGTGCTCTCAAGGATGGTTGCGCATGGCCCTAGTTTATCATACCGCTGGTGTTGGTGGACATTTGGTGAGGAGTACAGGACACTTGGAGTGTTCTATCGAACCTTGGAAAGTAGATTGCTAATTATGGCCTGGAGCCATAAGAATTTTCAAGCTCTTCCCCATTTATAATCTGTCGACCTGCTTGTAGTCTTATGACGGAGCAAACAGAGATTACTGTTGTCTACACCCTAAGGTTATGACTATCATGACAGTCGACTCTTTCTTCACAGACACTTCTGCAAGACGGACACCTAGACACTCTTAGACGGACACTTAGTGGGGGTCACAAAGGTGTATTTCTTACAGGGAGGTGACTGTATTATAAGGTGTTACCTACCTACCTACCTTCCTACCTCCCTTCCTACCTACCTCCCTTCCTAGCTACCTTCCTAGCTACCTTCCTAGCTACCTTCCTCACCTACTTACCTACCTACCTACCTTCCTACCCACCTTCCTACAGACCTACCTTCCCACCTACCTTCCTACCCACTTTTCTACCTACCTATCTGCCTACCTTCCTACCTACCTACCTACCTACCTATTTACCTACCCTCCTACCTACCTTCCTACATACCAACTTTATCTGTTCGCAAAACACTGTAAACGATATACAACAGCTACAAAAAACTACAAGTGAGTTTTATTCATTGTCAGTAACTGTTATTTCATTAAAATTCAACATTTTATTTCTTTCCACAGATTGGTTCCTTATTCACAAATTACGATTCGCCACAGGCCGGTGCTGGTCCAGCTGTGGGTGGCATTGTAGGAGTGGCACTAGTAGAACATTTCATACTTTTGTCGAAACCCAAAAAAAGTTTAGCCATGTTAATTGGCTCAGTGCTTACACTATTTGCTTTTGGAACTCTGCCGCAAGTTAATAATTTTTCCCTGATAGTCGGTTTACTTTATGGGTGCATGTTTGCTATGTTGTTTTGGTCTTGCATCATGTTTCAAAGAAGAGTGGCTTTGATTCAGTCTCTATTAATTTTTGTAATAGTTATATTGTTTCTATTTAGCCTTGTCTTATTTTATGGAGTGCAACAAATTCGGGCAGACTCCTTTTTCAGTTTTATAAATTGTATTCCTTATGTAAAAGGTTTGTGTGATTATGTCTGACTAATGCGTCATAGAGACAGGAATTAAAAGTTGTTGTGATAATGTATTAAATCTGTCTCTTTAAATTCAGTATCACTCCCTGGCTTTAAGTTTTCCACATCCCACTTATCGATAGTCGAGTGTTCTTTAGGTTTTCTTTCTAAGTCGATTCACTGCGAACAAAAGAGCCTCGATTTCGAGGGCCATACCTTAAATCGAGGCAAAAAGGTGATATTCATCTAGCCGATTTTTTGAAAACCAACCTAACGAAATTTGCAGTCATTTGAGTGAACAGACGTCAAAAGGCAGTTTTTTTAAGCCCTAGAAGCTTCAAAATCACAGTAACGAAGGAAAAAAAGGAGAAAGAGAAAGAGCGAGGAGAAGGAAAGAAGGAGAAGAGAAAAAAGCAGTGGTTGCATATCTAGTTTTATAATAGCTACTTCGTTTCAAGATAGTTTTTGGCCGAAAAAAACTGTCGGACGCAAAAAGGTCCATTTGGCGATAACATTTTCAAAACTCCGGCTAGACGTACATGCATACATACGGTCCACCTCCTCTTCAAGCACAGGCAACCCAGGCTGGTCAGTAAGCTGCGAGGCCTGGGGCGCTTTCCATTTACGAAAAAAAAACCGGAAATTTCGGTGGTAGCAAAAGTGGAATTTCCGATTGGTAAAAAGTTGTTCCATTTGGCTGATTTGGTCGTAAACCCCGGTACGTGGCCGGGTGCCCGACCGTAGACCTGGAACTGGTACAAACTACGAGTTTTTAATTTACGATAAAATTGCAAAAAAAAAAAAAAGAAGAAGAAGAAGCACAGCCAATAGACTGGAAGTCCCAGGCCTAAAAATAAATTCCAAAAGTTGTCCAATCAACAGGGGAAAAACCCACGGGACCAAGTTGAAAAACTGGCAACACCCTTTTAATCATTTTTTTTATTGACATTTTTCTGCAGAAACCCAGTTCGAAACGTGTTCCATTTACCGCCGAACCGGTTTAAATTCCGAAATTTTGACAAACAGTGCATTTATTATTCATTTTCTTCATCTTCGAATCCACGAATGGACCACCCAGGATTGGATGGAGATAAATAAATACTACTTTTAAAAATAAGCAGTTTTCCAGTCCATTTTCGATACAAAGGCTTTCCAGCTCGCGTTTTTAGGCCCAGTGCAGCCACTTCTAATACGTGGACGAAACCCAAAACTTTACCGACGGAGTGGTAGCATAAATCACGTGGTCAAACGCCCCGCTGTCGTGGAAAAGTGGTTTCCAGCGTCGCTAAATTTGTCATATACAAAAGGCTGTTTTCTCAGGCTAGTTGTGTCGCAGCAATTACGAAGACCGAACGAAGACCCGGACATATAGATGATTCAATAAGGGTTGCTTGCTTTGGGTATTGGGAAATGGCCATTGAACAATGGCATTTGGGCATACTGGGAACAAACAATAGCTTCCTAGCGCCCACTTCCCAATGCTCAAAGCAACCTTTTTTGGCGCGCAACTTTTTTCGGAGACTGAGCCTAGGTACTTCATATATGATGCATGGCACTTGTCTGTCTTGTGTCTTGGATCGCTTGACTGTCTTGGCCTACTTCACTGTTCAGTTACTTGGGTTGCTTGAGTTACTTGGATTGCTTGTGCGCAGCGTACTAAATTTCGACTCGAGTGATGCTGGCGGCCTGAAGAGAGATGAGTGGTCTAAGAGAAGAGGTTTTGGAAGCTGCAAAGTCTGGAGACGCTGTGCTCCTAAACGAGATTCTTATGAAGCTGGATTGTACCAAAAGAATATCTGTATTAGCTGCTTTTGAACGACGCAACACACCCCTTATACTTGCTGTTCAAAATGGGAATCTCGATTGTGTGAAAGTGCTTGTAAAGTATGGAGCAGATATTGAAGGGAGAGGATATTTGATTTATCTTGGTGAAGACGATCTACGCCGCGTATACCGATCCTGCACACCTTTGTTCGTTGCTGCTGCTTATGGAAATGTTGAGATTTTGAAATTCTTGGTTGAAAATGGAGCTAATGTTAATACAAACAATAATCATGACAGCATCTCCCCACTGATGGTTGCTATTAAACACCAATTCACTGATGCTGTGAGCTTTCTTATTGATCAAGGTGCTGATGGGAATTCACAGGACAACAGTGGCAAAACTGCCCTTCACTGTGCTATTGAACAAAATTTTGATGCCTTAAGTTGTTTAATTACTCATGGCGCTGACATAAATGCTGTTACAAATGAGAAATGCACTCCTTTGATGATAGCGTGTAAGCATAACAATGACAGTGTAGTCAACTTTCTTCTTGAAAATGGAGCTGATGTGGCTCTTAGAGACAACAACGGAGAAACAGCGCTTCACTATGTTTGGAATCGTTCAGGCTCATCTGCAAAGATTTTGAGTTCCCTGATTAAATATGGTGTTGACATTAATACAAGAAGAAACAATCCAATTAATGAAACCCATCTGATGAATGCTAGCCATTGTAGTGCTGTGACAACAGTATCTTTGCTCATTGAGCATGGTGCTAGTGTGAATCTTCAAGACCAATGTGGTAATACAGCTCTTCATTATGCTGTAACAGAAAAATCTGAAGAAACTATTTGTGCTCTTGTGAATGCTGGAGCATCTCATTTGTGTAATGGTCGAGAATTGACTCCTCTCCTGTTAGCTTGTAATGATTGCTATGTAACAATGGTAGAATGTTTAATCAAGCAACCGGGGATGACAAAAGAGGAAAAGATTAATGCGTTAGAACTTCTTGGAGCTTCTATTTTAATTGAGTGTGTCTGTAAAGAGGAATTTGATCATGGAAGTGACATTGAGGAGGGACTCATGTACATCAAACGTGGAATGATAGAGAGGTTTTCTGATCCATCCGATCCTTTGTTAAAAAGGCAGATGGAACCTGTTGAAGCTTATCAGAATAGAAAAGAGAGTCAAACATTTGAGGAACTAGTTCAGAGAGAAAGTGACAGGGATGAAGATATCATTGTGGAAAGCCTTCTTATCAGAGAGAGAATCCTTGGAAGGTACCATGTAGAACTGATTCAACCAATAAGAGATGCTGCTAATTACTTCTCTTGTGCTGAAGATTTTTCTTCCTGTGTAAGGTTGTATAGGCATGCAATGAAAACAGCCCAGGGTTGTGATCAATTGGCTGTCTTAGACTTACGTGACATAAGCAGTGAACTGTGCAACTGGTTGGAAACGGCAAAGAGGAAAGGTTCGATTGAAGAGGACTTTTTTGAAGTTCTTAACCAAACAATTCTTGATCTTGACCATGAAATGCAGAGAAAGAAGACATACAGGCAGGGTTGGATTGGTTGCCTGTTCTATGCCGTACAGGAACTTTTTTTCATGATAAGTAAGGTTGAATGTGCTGAAGGAGTGAAACTCTCAAGCTTAGGACTTTTATTGAAAACTATTTGCAATTTAGATCCTCGAGATAGTGGTGGCAATACATTGTTACACAAGTTTGCCATGGATCATGGTGGAGTGTCTTCATGTTCATACACTGGTGCAGTGAAACTTCTTTTGAGTGCAGGATTAAATGTTAATGCCACCAATGGCAATGGTGATACTCCCCTTCACATAGTTGCTACTTTAAAACCCGGTGAGGACAACATCCATCTTTTAACTGACATGTTGCAGGTTTTGTTTGATGGAGGTGCTCACCATGATTTTGTTAACAAGAATGGTAAAACACCCATAGATTTGGCTGAAACTAATGAGGCAGTGATGATTATTTCAGACCAAAGTAAACTGGAGTTACTGTGTATCAGTGCCAGAGCTGTCAGAAAGTTTGGAATTCCCTATTTGGGGATAGTGCCCAAAACTTTGGAGAAATACATTAGCAGGCATTAAAATGCATACTTTTTATCACTTAAATAATTATGACATAGCTGGAATATTCACCTAAGAAAATTTAATAGCACTAGTGTGCTACATATTCCCAAAGGTTATGGTGTTGAGGAAAGAAGTCTGCGATTGATGGGCTCCTACTTCACAGACCGTTATAACAGGGTCAAGTTAGGATCTGTAGTGAGTGAGTGGCAGAGGGTGACCAGGGGATGGCCACAGGGTTCTGCATTTGGACCTCTCATCTGGAACATCTTCCAAAATGATTTGATTTATACTGTTGATCCGAACATGAATATGTATGCAGATGACCACCAGTTTTATGCCGTTGGCAGCACCCTCTCTGATGTGCATGATGGTCTTGCTGTTTGCACTGAGTCAGCATCTTCATGGTACAGAGCTAATTTACTAAAGGGAAATTTGGACAAGTACCAGACAATGGCACTTAGTTGCGGAAGGGAGACTATGGACAGTATTATGATTGACAATCATGAAGTCAGATCCACTGAATGTCTCAAGCTATTAGGTGTCTGTATTGATAACAATCTTCGTTTTGATGAACATATAAGTAGTATCTCTGAGAAGAGTGCCCAGCGGGTAGGCGTTCTCATGAGGCTTAGGAACCTTATACCCACACAAACTAAGTTCCAGTTATATAAGGCAGCTGTTCTCATAGCCTGCGTATCAGGGCGGTTTTGTTGAGCAGGGAGCACGAGCTGCGAAGCTGCGAGAAAAATAAAAGTTGCTCCCGCCCCAATCTCCTCGCGGTTTCTCTGCCCTTGCCTGCCTTTGTTACTTAGTACGCCCAACCAAAACCGCCATGCTACGCAGGCTACTGTTCTTCCGTATTTAACCTACTGTCATCTTATATGGCATTTTTGCCGTGCTAGCGATTCTAGATGATTAGAGTGTATCCAGGAAAGAGCACTTAGAGCTATGTATTGTGATAAACATTTGTCCTATGGTCAATTACTATCTATGGCTTGGCTATCTGCTCTACACAACCGGCGACTACAGGACTTAGCTATTCTCATGTATAAAGTTAAAAACAACATATGCCCAACATACATTAGCACTCTCTTTGAACAGCTTGCAATTAAGTATAAACTGTGCAATCATGACTTCACTATACCCAGATTCAACACAGTCTCCTTTGGAAAGCACTCGCTCAGGTATATGGGCCCAAAGGCATGGAGCTCTGTTCCTAGTAACGTGAAGAAAGCTTCCACGTTGTCCTCCTTCAAGTATAACATCAGGAAAGTGGATCTTAGCATGCTATTAGATGACAATAACTGCTCTAACTGCTCTCTTTGCATTTCTTAATTTTTTATTTCTTATTTTTTATAAGATAATGGATACATTTGTACATATTGTATATAGTTCTCTCGAATTTCTTATTTGCTTATACTGTACATAGTTTTTCTTAATTTCTTAATTCTTATATTCTTTGTTTTTTTCATTTTTAATTAATTAATTGATTTATTCTTTTTTAACTTATTTTAGTGTCCCCACTTAGTGGTTATACACGGCTATTACAGTTTTGACACTTTAATAAAGGTATCATCATCATCATCATCATTAAGCACGCTGATGACGTGAATAAACTGGGCCTTAATGGGTTGTTGTGAGCTTAGCAATCCTCCCAAGATGTCTCCCAAGTGCATCCATAACTCAACAGTAAACAATGTAACGTGTACCATGTGTTTTATAACATAAATTTAGGAGTCGACTTTTGAATTTGTTTCATGTGAAAATGAGGTGAGTGTTGTTGTTGTTGTTGTCATCTGCGTGAGCTGTGCTGGCTATAGCTTGTGCAAATCATTCTTTGCAAAGTTGCTTTTCTCAAAAAGAATTTTTAATATTTTTCCGGCACCTCCATATGGATTCTATTTTACACAGCCTAGTTCCTAGGCATTGTCTCTTGCCGTGTTGTCCACACAAAGTCTGGGAAACAGTTGGCAAGAGAATGCCTAGCAAATATTGCCAAAATATGTCTGATTTTAGCACGAAAAAACCCCTGGTCACATTATTTTTACAAGTTTCAGCATCTTTGTTTTGCAAAAGCCACTCCCAATCGTAAGGAAATGTCAAGAAACACCGGTAAGTTCTAACTTTTTGGAGTCTGGGGAGCAGTGGCCGAGGATAGTTGGCTGTTTATTTTTATTTGTGTGAACGCTTTTGCTTGTTTCCAATTGCAAAATCAAATCAAACACAGCGCCGTAGCTAGAATGAGGCCAACCGAGGCACTCGCCTCGGTAAAATTTTGACGAATTTCGCCGATCATTTTTATTTTACATAAGCGATCATCGGATATTTTTAACGCATCATGATATTACAAAGAATTCAGCAATTCAGTCAATATACTATGAAAAAATTACCACATCATCGATCTCAAGGGGCTACGTAGGTTAACTCAAATTTTGAAATCAAAACCATTGGCGAGGTTAACGGTCACCCAGATTATGTAGCTTGTTTCTGATTATTGCTTTTTAAATTCCACTTAAATTAACTCGAAAAAAAGTTACCGAAAGGCCCAGAAAACGCTGCAAATCGCATTTCCGAGAGACTAAAGTTCAAAATTTCTCAGGGGGAGGGGGGGCATGCCCCCGAACCCCCCTAGCAACTCCCGCCTGCCTCGGTTGGCCGTTTGGTCTGGCTACGGCACTGAAACAACTGCGAAGCAAATACCTGTGCTTGCAGACAGGGAATTTTTTTCCTTTTTGTTGTTTTTTTTTTTCTGTTTTGTATTTGTTATGTTGCTTTGACTCAAATGCTTAAAAAAAACTAAAGGAGATAACACCTCTGTACCTTTGCTGATTCACAGTTCGAAACAATACACTACAATTGACCCTTGCTGATTTAAACATAGCTTCCATTAATGTCTGGGGGCGGGGGGGGGGCACTCCCTTATTTGGCCTGTGCGGGTATGTGCCGCTGAACTTAAGGTATGGTTTTCAAGGTCTTGAGTCTAAAATTTCACTGTTAAGCAACTCAGCAGGGTGTCTTTTTGGACTGGAAGCCTTTTTCGTAAATATCTATTTTCACGATTTTAGTGTGAAAAACTACTTCCAGCCTTTTATTGTTTGATTTAAATTATAATTCTTTTGATTGGAGCTTCGCTTTTAGCGCTGGCTTAATCCGTATATTAATATATCGTAAAAGAAACAAGAAGCGTAGAGTAGGCGTGCAGAGGAAGGTCTTCCTGTTCTCAGACCGCCCTTTGCAGAGAATGAGCTAAGCAGGCAAACAATTAATCACCAAATTACAGCGCGAAAATGCAGCATTAAAAGAAAGATGCAACAAGCTAGAAGGTATTGTATTGACGAGATGACTAGTTTCATCCTTTATTAGAAACATTTTTTTATTAATTTTCAGAGCCAACTTTTGATGAGCAGTTCAAAACGTTCCACAAGACTCACTAAACATTACAAGGATGGAGGGCAGCGGCTATACGACCCTGCAGACATGGAAAAATTTGCCAACAAGTGCACCCCTGGATTGTTCGAGGCCGTGCCTTGTGTCTAGTCAAGAATGATGAAAAACAACAGCTTTCGAAAAGACATGAAATACTGAGACTGCGAGTTGTGGCACTTTCATCAGCTGTCTTACTTTAGAAACCAAGTTCTAATAATGATAATGGTAATGATAATGATAATGATAATAATAATAATAGTAATAATAATAATAACAGGAACCATACTTTAGAAAGACACTTAAATTAAATTAAACACCATGGTGTGTAATAGACGAACAGAAAAAAAACAATCCCTGACTGTGGGTTGCACTTGTCCTTTCATGGTGCCAGTGATGATGCTTTGACAGCTGGCTCACTTCTAGGGTTTAGCACTCACCCGAAGTGTGCTAAATCATAAAAAAGGATTGTCTGGAAAAAGCATTCACAAGACACAAGCGATTGAGCCATAAAGGCAGGTACATGTATTTACGTGCTGAAACAATTCATTGTTAAACATCTGCCACTGCACAACACCCCTGGCCAAAACAATAAGTTGACACAAGGTGAGGTGGCTGGATGTAAAGAAAGCAGGGGGCTAAATAGAAGGCACAAGGACCTTGTAACAAGGAGACAAAAACAACAAAATAGAGTGATTTTATTTGAACTGTGAAACAGATATTAACAAACAGTGCAAAATAGCAAGAGGTAAACAAAAGAAGACAATGGAATTAATACATAATAGTGCATAGTATTCTTCTACCTGTTTCACGGTTTAAGTAAAATGATTTTAATTTATCAGTCCACAGATGTACACTGATCCAGTTGAAAATTCCTCCCCAACAGAACAACAACTTCCTCCTGCTCATTATAGATGATTTTCATTGTGTCCAGTCTATAAAAGACCCCAAACAGAGCCAGCTGAGCAAGTGCCTTCACATGTGTACTGGAGTAGTGGATCACCAAGAATCTATACCGCTAACAACAAGAAATGTCCACGGGTTGTACCTGTCCGAATTGCTGGGGTGCAATTGTTAACTGCCGGGAGGAATTGATGCCAACAAAGTGAATGAGTTGTTTCAAGAGCATTTGTCAAATTATTTTACATTCAGTTATTTAGACTCTCTACCTGCTGATTTCAGCCAGTTTGACCTGACAAATGTAAACAAAGTTTAGTTGAATTAAGGTATGATTTACAACAAATCAGAAACCTAAAAGTCAAGGTCGTGGTCTAATAGTCATTAAAAGCCAAAGCTTGTACAAAAAGAATAATTTAACACTTTTAAGTAATAGATTTTAGTAATGTATTTTATCCAAACTTTTCATGCCATTTAACACTTTGGCATAAATCAATGCCACAGAAATTTTACAATTAACTGGCAACCATAAATATCTTTATTATAAATTCCCCTCAAAAATGAAATTGGCAACTCCCAATGTCAATAACTAGTTTTACATACAGCCCATCATAAATTTTTCCACATACCACTTTGCATTGTCTCACAATGTAGAATTTGAAATGGAAAATTTAATATTGAATGGATAATTGACTTTCAAAAATGTTGCATAAGGGTGCCAAAAAGAGCATGTACAATGTTTCATGATACAAACAATAACAAATACCTTGTAGAGTGTATACAGATGAGGCCAGACATGACTTGGATTTGCTGTCCAACACTTGGCTAGTTGACTAATTTGAACAGTCCCTTAAGAGCATGGCAAATTATAGACAAGCAAATGCAGCACCTCAATGAAAATTTTCTAGGTACTCATACATGAAGCACGTACCCTTACTCTAGTCACGAGATTTCAGTTTCGTTTTAGAACAATGCAAGGTCCACGGTGTTACTTTTGAATCATTTGAGATTGGGGTTTTCATTGATCAATCTGTCGGTAACCGAGTTACTAGTCAATAGATGGGGAATTGTAATCCTCGAGCGTTATATGCCTTCGCTTTCGTGGCTACCTTGGTAGCGGAGGCTTGTTTTTTGAGCGTACTAGTTTTCGAGACCAATCTTGGGAAAAAGAACTCGAGCCATTCCTGTTGGACAAACTTCGATTCAGGCTCTCCAGGAGATGAAGTTCGCTGTCCTTATTTTGTACTGTTCCTTGCTACGATTGTGAATGGTCTGCTGCTGTTGTATAAAGGTTTATTGTTGTTAGCTTGGCTCACTGGTAGCTCCGGAGAATGTACATTGAAGCGCGTCCCATTTTGTCGACTGGTCATTCATTATGGGTCATTCTTCATCAATCTCCTCACAGCAGTTTTAATGGCGACACTCATAGGGGTGCTCATCGGTTTCAAGTCGAACACGAGAGATGTTGGTGAAATTTTTTCCCGTGAAAATCGTGTGTATTTTGTGATGATCTGTGCCGGGTTCATTTTGGTGGTTATTGCTACGGTAACAAGTGGGCTGTTGTCTTGCAGACAGCGTTCACGACGTTTTGACGATTTTGAAAGATTTGAAGATTTGAGCTATTCAGATCACAGCTCGGGACACTTCGCGGACATAAACTAACAGCTGCTGCGACATATCGATGGACGACAATAATATTTGTACATGCTTAGGCATTCGTTTTGTTGTATTCCAAACTCTAGTCAACAAGAAAGGTTTCCCGTTAAACCCCACTGAGGTCTGTAAAGTTGAAACTGACAAGCAGTAAAAACAATGACATCTAGGGAAAATGAAATGCTGGCAAAGCCATGCCATGACGTTGGATTAAAACTGCAAAAGCAAAGACACCCAATCAATAGTGAAATTCTTACAGTAATGGGACATCATTCTCCAAATGTGAGACAAAGAGATTTGGAACAGACCCTTCCACGTTTTTTTCAAGTTTTGGTTAAGACCGACCTTACGAGCAGAGGCCACATTTTCACTATTGAGCTGTCGTACAAAAAGTAGCCTCTGCCGACAACTGTTCAAATCCGTCCAGAAATCTGGAGGAATAAGTTTAAAAAATGGGTTTTTTACTGTTCTTGACCAGTTTAGAGCTTTGCGTGAGTCTTGCATGAGTCTTAGGTAGCAGATCAGAGTTGTTGCAAATTTTTGATTCTTGCAAAACTTGTGCCATTTGACGACAGGTCTAATGATCAGTTTTGCTTGCGAATCGGATGATGAATTTCCCGCATGCACGATAGAAAATTGAACAGTTGTCGGCAGAGGCTACTTTTTGCACTCCAGCTCACACAGTGAAAATGTAGCCTCTGCTTGCAGGGTAGTTAAGACCAGGCAGCAAATATCCATTGGCACTGCTAGAAAGAGTGCCTTAAAAGTAGAAAACGTATTAAGTTATACTTAGTTTAAAGGTCATACATTAAAAGTGAGCAAAGTTATTGCTCCGCAAGGTGGAAAGTTTACAGACAACTGTATGGTGGGCACGGCTGTCAACCCCCCACATCTTCAAATATTGAGAGTTGATAGGGAAGGGATGACAGATGATGTCATATCACATGGCATAATTTTTATGAGACCATTTGTGCAAAAAATACTCATTGATTCTGATTGACAAAGCAGTTCATATAAATTAAGCCACATTATTGCTTAAATTACCATGGCTTACTAGATTTTATGTAGCCTGTTCACAGACCGTCTATTTTCTCTTTTAAGTCGGTCGAGCACGCGTGATAAAATATAAACCGCGGGGGAATTTATTGACCGCCAGTGCAAGGGGGTAGTGGTGGGGGAAGAAGAAAATATACAGCGAACGCAGAGGTGATAGTGATAAGGCTTTGACATGGGGGAGGGACTTAATAAACCCTTTTTTCGCCAAAGATGTCTACAGACATTTTTTATTTTCTTTCTCGCGCTCTGCACTCATTTTCATGACCTCGCTTTGCTTGCGTTCTCGAAATGACTGACAAGAAAAATAAAACGTCTGTGTACAGGCTAGATTTTATGAGGAAATGTTCGATGTTAACAGTAAAATAGCTCACAGGCTAAGTTTTAAAATTTCAGGAAATGTTCGATGTTAACAAGAAAAAGTAAAATTTGGTGATTGCTCATACTCTGATCTGGACATGCAAAAAAACTGTATTTAAAATTTCACGGTTGAAAAGTTCGAGTCTAAATGGCGAAAAGCAAAAGAAAAATAAAGGAAGTAAACTTTGGTGATTGTCCGGGAGAAAAGCATACTCTGATCTTTCTTTGAAAACAAGAGATACAGTCCCCAAAACTGGAGAGTTGGCAACACCGGTGCCTAAAATGTAGTTACTTTGTAGAGCTGTGTCTTTTAAGTTCTTTTTAACTGTGTTAGTTTTTCCATCCCTTTCAGTTTTTCCATCTCGAGGAGGATAAATATACAAAATGTTAATTTGTTAAAGATAGTTGACCTCGTTTTAATGTCCAAATAAGTCAATAGTGTAGGGAAAGCTATATGTTTCTGATACAAGACTGCAAAGCAGTGTTTAAGGTTTATTGAGACTTAAAAAGCAAAGTTGAGGCTAAATAAAATTTATGTGTGATTGTTCTTTTATAAGTAATGAGTAGTGTTTACCCCTCAACCAAACCAACTAGATTGGAGCTATAATACGTGCTGCAATGCTAGGCTATCCCCAGGGGGTGGATAACTTAACAGAAAATTGGGTTAGGGATGTAACACTGAGCCCTTACCACCCACCTTGTAACAGACCAAGAAATTCTAACTTAATAGATACAGGGGGCTTATTTAATTTAGCAAAGGAGATGGTATTAGTTCACCATAAAGAACTAGAATACAAAGTGGAAAAGCGCAAGTACAAGAAGGTGGAGGTCATGCCACCAAAGATCGATAACAAATCCAGATGTCCAGTTAGGGCTGGTGCATGATATACCAAGTGAATAGCAAGACTCGAGTTACGTCACAAATAACACAACAATGATCCCTAGCCCTTACACAATATCACAATAAACTTCACACAACAGAACGAGATATATGGTATATCGCGCATCACCCCCAGTTGGTGAATAAACCATCCAGGATCAGTCCACACAAAGTTTTACAGTTGTGATCGACTGATGAAAACAGTGCAACATTTAGCTTATATTTATATTAGTGAAGAATGATAAGGGGGAGGGAATGGGGAGGCTTAAAATAGAGGGGGGCTTATTAACTTTCTTCCCCAGAAAAGGGGACCTTATTAAAGGGGGGGGGGTGTATTTGAGATGGGGGGGCTTGATAGAGGGGGGGCTTGATAGAGGATTTACGGTACAGACATTCGACTGGAATGCATGCAAGTGAGAATCTCTGGTAGTATGCCCAGCAGATCTGCTTGGTACTGATACAGATTTATAATTTAGACAATAGGAAGTTTAAGTTTTAAACATTTGATGCAAAACATTAATCCCCTGTAAATCTTGACCTTGTTTTCATACCTGGGGCCTGGGTTATCACTTTATGTTTACTCAAATCCGAATGTAGATTAGCTGAGAGGAATGCTTTCATCGGAAACGAGCATTTCATACCAGATTTCTGGGTGGGTCTGTGGTCATTTGAGGAAAAACCTCGGTTTATAGCGAAAAGAACTGGCACAGGCTGTGAGGTGACAAATGGGATCTTTCACGTAGCATACATAACATCTTGTTCGAGCGAAATGGCGCCATACAGCGCGCGGGCTGATGGGAGTACTGTATAAACCAATCGGAATAAAGCTGCATACATTCGCGCCAAAATGGTTGCTTGTTGTTTCCGCCATAGCCGAGGCTTTTGAGGTGTTTCTGTTGTGGTTTGGCTCGAAATCTTGTATTAAGAAGCCTTGAAATAATCTGTTTATATAGAGAAGGACTATGTATATAAAACAGGTAAGGTTTTCTTCCGTAAAATCGCTCCTTTGTAGGTGTTTTGATGATAGCAAACGCTTGGAATGAATTATCGAGTTTCCCCTCCATCGAAAAATGACAGACTCGATGTGTCACGCTTAGATCAGAGATGACACAAGCTAACTTGAGCACGAATTCTTGAAGCTTATGCTATGTGTATTTCTTTATATTTTATTGGTGCATATGTCATTTGTTTTTTCCTTCGTTTTTCCCCGATTCTGGACAATCTAAATCTGAGGAAAAACGAAACGTGATCGACTGGCGAAATTCGGTGATTCTGTAGAAACTGAGGTGAAAAAAGCCTCTCAGAGAAGAGTGCAATTACAATATTCATATTTCTTAACATCTGAGTTTCAAAAGGTTGAACTGTGATCAAAATGTTTGCGTCCTAGACTGATATATGATTGATGGACTATGTTTTCCAACTGGTATCACTCTTTATGATAGCTCTGGACTGTGGAACTGTGGCTAAGGGGCTGTCGACATATTCACTTTTCCCCCGCTTAACATCAACTGGACGTTTATGGGGGGAGGGGGTAAGGCAGTGGACGTTAGTGCGGGGCATTTTTGGACAAAAGCCAACTGATGCATTTTCATAAATTATACGTCATGTGTGGAACGGTGCTTGTGACGTAATTAAAGAGAAAACGGGACCAATTAAAGGAGTGAGTGTAAACTGTGATCTTTTAAATTCTGCCGAACAGGGTAAGTTGCTTTGACATCTCCAAACAAAAAAACAAAAAGCACATGCAGAGTAACGAAAGAGTAACGCATACGTGAAGTAGAAAATGGAATGTCGCTGGCCAGTAGGTTTAGTATGTTGTTTAATAACATGGCGGCCGACATGGCGGTCTTGTACCAGCGATTCTGGCTTTGACCTCTGAATACTGTAGTGTAGTAGGGAATCAAAAGCATTGACAGGAAAAAGCAGTTATCAGTGATTTTTGGGGCAGCAAAATGTCAAGTGGACGTTAAGGAGGGGGGGGGGTCTGACCTAAACATCCAGTTGACGTTAAGCGGGGGAAAAGTGAATATGTCGACGGCCCCTAATAGATTTGCATCTTATTGTGATTGGCTAGATTGCAGAATACCCAGCTTACTAAACATCTAACTAAAATAACTGCTGCCACAGTCCTGCAGTAGTCTAAGTTGCATAATAAATTCTGAAATCGAGTGCAGGAGTGAAGGAGCACTAGTATACCTTGTTCTATAAGCACACTATTTACTTGAACTTGTCTTTCGGATTGCTACAGGGGCTCTAGTTGTGTACCCACTTAATATTCACTTTTCAGGGAGTGCGGGAGCAGTTTTTCAAGTAAGATATTAAATGGGCTGCGTATTCCGCAATGGCTCCTTGTGATCTGTGATTTATCATCTTGTTCTGATATCTCTCTAGGTTATAATTCAAGGCTTCAGGAGTTATCGGGATCAAACTATTATTGAACCGTTCAGCCCCAAGCATAATATTATTGGTAGGTTAAACCAATATGCTTACTTATATGTACTATTGTTTCGCTGTTTGTACTCTTGGACTCTCTCTAAGTTGAGATTGAGTATGTTCAAGTGTTATTCATGTTGTTTAACCTTTTTTGTATTAAATAAATTCATGTTTAGTTGGCAGAAATGGGTCTGGAAAGAGCAATTTCTTCTTTGGTAAGTTGTAGCTTTCAATTGACAATTTTCCCTCAATACATTATTTTGTTTTATTGCAAACCTGTTGTTGTTATAATCTGCACTCTTTGACCAAAGCCTGAAACTCCTAACCCTCTATAGTCAGCATTAGATATATTTTCCCATCCCTTATCCTTGTGCTGCAAGGTAGCATATTTTGCCTTTCTGTGATGGAAAAGACCACAAATTCAACAGACATTTATTCAGTGAACAAGTAACTCACATGTCACATGCAGTAGAACCTTGACGTAATGAACCTCTATATAACAAAGTCCTTGGTATAACAAACGATCTTCTTTACCCCACTAATTGTGAAATATATGTAAAAAGAACCTCAGTATAACAAAACCTTGTAAAAGCGAACAAATTTTGTCTGTCCCTTGGCCCTTCATTATATCAAAGTTTCACTGTACATCTCAGAGTGAATGATGCAAGTGCACATGTTTTTTCTCAGTAGGGCTGGTGCATAGGTTATACACCACATCCTCTAAGACCTCTATGAGTTTAGGTTGCATAGTGGAACCCCGCCTTATGGCCACCCCGGTAATATGGTCACCTTAACATTACAGCCACTTTTTTTCGAGCCTCGTCAGTGGAGTCATTTGTTAATGCAGCAATGACCACATTTTAAAATCCCAAGCAGTGGAATCTTTTTTAACTTCACCCCGTTAATAAGGCCACTTATGCTTGTGACATGTCAAATTCATTGACCTGGTAAGCTGAGCCTGATTTTTTGATGATCTTGTATTGTTTTTAGACTACAGTACACTTAAAATGCATTTGTGGCAGTTTAATAGTGGATTTTTAAAAGTGTTTTATGTACTGAAGGAAAGTGTCATGTAGTTTTTGTAGTCACTAGTACTGTTGTTCAAGAAGTGTGAATGCGATGTATGATGTATTTGTTATTTTGTCCCTCAAGTCATGAAATTTGACCCTACCTTGGTAATAAGGCCACCCCACTAATACATCCAAATTTTTTTGGACCCATTGGTGACTGTACTAAGAAGGTTACACTGTAAATGATCATCATAGCATTAGTGGATACCTAATGTGAGGAGTGATGACTGCAGATTAAGATTGGGTGACCACATCATTTGCTCAAAGTGCATTTACATGTGAACAGGTTGTTTATTTATATCCTGTTTCATTTTTTCAGCAATACAGTTTGTCCTTAGTGCTGATGAATTTAGTAATCTGCGACAAGAAGAGCGACAAGCACTTCTCCATGTAAGTCATTTTATGAGCTATTGTATTGGGATGTCAATCTTTACTTTTTCTGTTATGGTAGCCCAGGATCGAACTTGTTGCATGTACATACTTGGAAAAACTCTTTTGTTTCTTGCCTCTGTGATGAAAAGATAGATAGTTCTCTCCATTTTATCTAAAAATTAATACAATATCTTCCCCACTCAAGAAATGTTTTTCCTTTCAGGAGGGCACTGGGCCACGTGTGTTATCTGCCTATGTGGAACTCATCTTTGATAACACAGACAACAGGATTCCAGTAAGTTTATTCTTTTGCCCTGCCATATAGCTTCCCTAATGGGGCTAAATTGTAATTTAGGCAAGTTTAACTTTGAGACGACACTAGCCGGTCAGTGTTTGAGTCCCAGGCAGGTAGGCTTGTGTGGGGTGGCTACTGGGTCTGCAGGGGCTTACATGTGATTGCATATCTCAGCTCTGCTTTGCTTTGCTATTCATGATCTGTGATATCTACTGGTTTTTGCTCCCACTCCTCCCCCTGGATAGGTAAGTATGGTTTGTGGTAAGTATTCCACTGAACTCTTCCAGTGTGATGGTGCCGTGTGGTTAGCACTCACTTGGTTGTCATGGTTACTTCCAAGGCAATGCTCCTCTTTTGTACTATATATGGGCCCTTCCACCTTTAAGGCACCCGCTCCCAAGCTCATCTTGTCCATGACTTTAAGCTACAGTAAAACCTCATGCAATTACCCAATCCCCGCAAATGAAAAAATTCTTAGTTTATTTCTTCAGGCCTGCAAATAATTTTTCCTTCCAGAATTGGCACATTGGCATATGTCTGACTTGGCCAACATTTTAGTTGGACAAATCAGAAAAGTTGTTGGACATATATTTTGTTGACTTCAACATTTGTACACATTTTTTTATCACTACTTTCAGTACTATCTTCAGCCACAAAAATTAATGTTAGGCTTTGGTGTTACTGTACTTTTAGCTAATTACAGGATAGAGTCACAATTGAACACTACTGCATGACTTGGTCAGATTGAAGTGGGTTATCTCAATTTTGTTCTGTGGTATAATAAACCTCTTCAGAACTGCAATTATTGTTTTGGTAAAAGGAACTACAAAACATGGGCTACCTGTTGCTTTCACTTTTGCCTTATCTCGGGGTACAAATTTGTGAACCTGTATATTTATAACTTATTTACATGTACACTCTTTCTAGATTGAGAAAGATGAGGTATCCCTACGACGTGTCATTGGATCCAAAAAAGACCAGTATTTTCTGGATAAAAAGAATGTAACAAAAAGTGATGTAATGAACCTGTTGGAAAGTGCTGGATTTTCTCGCAGCAATCCTTATTACATTGTCAAGCAAGGAAGGGTAAGTTGGACGGGACAAGGGTTTTCCATATTTGCAGATTTTTTGGGGAGATGAACTGCCCATTTGAGTAGGGTTCTGCTACCCAAGTTGCAGGGTTTGTGTTGGCGTTTCAGCTGTCACCTTTGAATGGAAACTATGCTGTGCATGACGAGATGTAGGTCCTGTAGGTTTTTTTTCTACACCAACAGGGTATGTGGAGGGATATTAGCACCCTTTAGATACAACAAAATTATTTTCCTTTAAACATTCTTGAGATTGTGTGATCTTATTAATACATTAATGTGTGCAAAAACAGTCATACACATTAAACAGGAAAAGTTTCCATTTTAATTGACCTAGTTATTTCAAAACTATTTTTCAGATTAATCAACTTGCTGTTGCTAAAAACCATGAGAGACTGAAGTTGTTACGAGAGGTTGCTGGCACAAGAGTGTATGACGAAAGAAAGGAAGAAAGCAAGAGTATACTTAAAGACACAGGTTATTCACCTTGTACTTACGACATAAATCAAACAATAATGAAATTAATACATGTGTACATGTACATGTGCTCTTTAGGTAGCTTCTGTTGATGGATTATTTTTCATTTGCATTTGCAGAAACTAAAAAAGAAAAGATAGATGAGTTACTCAATGATATTGAAAAGCGACTGGAAACACTTGATGAAGAAAAAGAAGAACTAAAAGCATATCAAAAGTGGGACAAGGAGCGAAGGTAACAATGACACAAAATTCTGAGATTAACTGTGTGATAAGCTGAGGAAACAAATTTCCATTTGGGAACAGTTTAACTCGGGAATATCTTTCATTTTCATTTGTATTTCTCATCAGTCATGTGTGTTGAATTGGCCACTGTTCTGTATAATATTAAATTATGCATTTCTGTGCTATTTTTTTAGGTGCCTTGAGTATACTATCCATGACAAAGAAATGAGGGACACAAGAGAAAAACTTGATTTAGTAAGTTAGCAATTCAGTTTATACTGTATACAATTACAGCTGTATGTAGCTTTGTTCTTACCAGGATTTTGAGCTTGTGCATTCCGTGCTGAAAGATCTGGGCCCTGCAAAACTTTTATGAAACTTAAACATGTACCCTTTCTGTTTTATTCCATGGCGTAGTTATGAAAACCACAGGTAACAAATGAGAGCAAGGTCCCTTTTCCAAAGGGAATGTTCTGTGGAGATGGCAATCAAGACATAAATACGCTGCTATGCCTTTTAATGTCTAGTGAGGGTAAAAGTCTATAGTTTTCAACACTTCAAAACAATAGACTGTTTTTAGTCATTTGAATTTATTTTTGTTACAAAATGGTTTGGCTTGTAGCCCTCTTGTCCGCTATGAGGGGTACAATGTTCATGTATATGTTGTGGTTCAGTTTTATGCTTGGTTTAAATTTTATGTTTGTTTGTTTTTTGGTGTGGTAATGTATAGTAATGATTTATAAACAAATGAAAATGAAATTTAAACCAAGGATAAAACTAAACCACAACATATAATCTTATATCCCCTCAGCTTTTATTGATAGTGTTTATTTTTTTTTGTGAGAAAATCCTTCAAGGTCCTCATTAGCTTGAAGAGAAAAAGTAATGATGTAGCACTGTCTTACCATTTTTTTCACTTTCATAGTAGTATTTAAATATGATTTTACTTAAATAACTATCATTGTTTTAGTTGGAAAATTCTAGACAACAAGAGACAGATAAAGCCGGCCTGCTTCAAAAAGAAATTAAGGAAGCCAGTAATAAAGTTCAGGTTAGCTGAATGTAATATTATTATTATAACTAGTAATAACCAAAGGTTACGGAGTGCGAGTGACAGCGATCAAAGGTCAAAATGCTTTTGCTCCATCGCTGTCTTTTGTGTAAGTTTCACGTGACAGATAGTTGACACACGTGATCAGATTACGAGTGATAGAAGGTCCAAACGTGCCTGATCAAATTGTGTTCTGTGCATTCCATTCTTTCTTAGTGAAGTCCAAATGAATGCTGGCTACATTCATGCGACGAACGCGTAATAACAACCTGGAGATTAGGATTGTGGGCTCCTCCTGTCGCCACAACTATTTAATTGCATTGTAAGATGATGCAGATAATTCCTTGGTTCTTGAAACAATCTTTCAAGTGGTTTTCTACATATAAACAGTCCATAGGATATTGTGACTCTGTATTTGGGGTAGCCATTTTATGCCTAGTCTACTTTCAATTTTCTCAAGAATCCTGAAAGTTACCGGTGTCTAATTTTGTAGAAAGAAATAAAGTCCTTGGAAAATCGGATTTCTGGTGTTAATGTGAATAGTACATAATGTATATTTTTGCAGCACAAGAGCAGATGGGTCTGGGGCAGTTTCAGGTGAAGTGTAGCGCAGATAGATTGGTGTTTTAGGTTGTTAACTTTTTGCTATACACTGTAGTTTCTTTTTGGCCAACATCAACCTTATGGTCCTTTGATTCATGTTGTATTGCTTAGTGGAGCCGGAGTCCATAGTATAAGGCCGTGTTGGTATGGTATCATTAAGGTTCATTGCCATCATGTTTTATGTTTTAGTAGCAATGACCTATTTTATTTCTTAAAAAAGCTGAAATATGTTTAGCATTTTCTATAAATTTTGTTCTTGTTTCACATGCAGGCTTTCTCTCATAGCCTACGAGAAGTACTGGATCGCTTAAATGATGCCAACTCAGAGAAGAAATCAATAGATGAGGAATGCCAGAAACAAATTACCGAAAAAACAAAATTGGAACTAGCTGTTAAGGACCTGGACAGGACAGTTAAAGATGACAGGACTCTAAAGGTGATCAGTTGGGGTTCTACAGGTTCTTACGCTGTCTTTTTCCTGACACAACAAATACGGTCAAACTTCAATGTGTGATCCCCTCACATAAGCCACCACTGATCCAAAAAACCATAATTTTCTCAGTCAAATCACTACAGTTGGAACCTCTCGTAAATGGCCACCTCTTGTAAGCAACCGAGACCACTTTTTTGTGTCATGGTTTTAGAATGAATTTCCTTTGTTTGTATCCTCTTGCAAGCAGTACATGTTTTGATCTCTACATGTATGTTTGTCGAATGTCTTACCCTACTCAGAATATGTATGTGAAGAACAGTTATTCACATATGTACTCTGAGTAGTGTTAACATAATAGTGTTAACAACATGAAGTTACACGTATCGTAGAGCCTCCAGTAGCTCAGTGGTTAGAGCATCCAAACTAGAACTCAAAGGGTCCGTTGTGAGTTCGATTCTCACCTGGAGCTCTGAATTTTTTCTGAGCTTTCTGGTATATTAATTCTTGTTCTTCCAAATTATATTTTGACTAAGAAACTCCATGCTCTGGATTCTCTTCAAATATTTAGATTTGTTCAAACCTCTTCACAGAAGAGACTCTCTGTGGATCAATTGTTATGAAGCAAGAGTGTAGCGTCATTGTGAGATGGCGTGATTTTATCCCTTTTAGATTTTGTTATTAATAGTTTCACTCGTCTGCCAGAGAGACAGAGAACTTGATGACAGATCGGATTAAAAATTAAAGCTTATAGATTCACAGGAGTCACGATTTCGTGTAATGTGTGAACGAGCCATTGTACTTTGAGGATTGAAGCTGTGAAATAAACCCTGTTTTCACTTAAAACTGTAATATCGTGAAGAACGGCCCTTTGGCATTCACGACACAATTCTTGTATGCCCCCACCTGCCGTAAGCAACCCTAAAGCTTCGCATTTGGGGTGGTTACTGACCAAGGCCAAATGCCTGAGTAGAACTGTATGTATATTGTAAGGCATTGTACATCTTTTACCAAGCCCTGAATTTTCTGTTTCTTTTTAACTCAGACTCAACACCGGGATCAGCTTGCAACTTTAGAACAGGCAATTCAAACTAAAGAAGAAGAACTGGGTGAACTGCTTCCTAACTATCAACGTATGAAGACAGAGGAAAATGAATGTTCTTCAAGGTACGTTTGCATTTTTTATGAAAACTTATTCTATTCTCTATCGATACGCTCAGCCGAATAGAAAATACTTCCATCATAAGTATGAAGAGAAAAAAACAACACAATGATATTACATTATGTAAATGGAGGGAGCCACCAATTATTGAGTTTATCATACCAGTGATAGTTACACCAAAAACAAGGAATATATGCAAAGAATACAGTTACAGAGCACAAAGAAAGGCTAGACAATATAAGACAAGATATGCATGACTGTGACATGAAAAAACACCTAATTAATTTTTATGTTTTAACCCATTCGCCCCTGAACCACCCGTAACCGCCTGTGCGGATCCAGGTCCTTTCTACCCATTGTGACGTCATCAGTTTTAATGGTCAACGACAACTTTCTTCGCTAACTTGTGCAGAGTGAAGAGATCTTTCAAACCATATCAGAATGAGCACAATTCAGTCAAGGACACTGGAGAAACAAGCAAAAAACCACGTGACATTGACCTGAAAATCTCCATGAAAATCTTGTTCCATTACCCACCTACCTTTCCTTTCACCTAATCCTAAGATCCTAAAAGCTTTCCTAAAAACTCTTCCCACCAAAATGAAGCCTACTAAATGCCCAGCAGGAGAAAAAAAAACGAGGTAAGAAAAGCGAAAAAAGAAGGGAGGAGAGAAAGCGAAAAGTAAAAGTCAAGACTGCTGTGTCACTTTTAAACCCAAAAACTATCTCGAAATTTTGCTTTCTGCGCATGCCCGAACTTCGCAAGCTGATATTTTGCATCTGGATCAGAAGGCCGCGAAGTGTTTGACCTGTAAACCAGTTTGTGGTAAGTTTTAGCTCTTTATAGCACGACAGTGACCAGAAAACCACTCGACTAGCTTCAAAACGCGTTTTTCGGCAAAATCTCCAGGAGCGAATGGGTTAAAAGTCATGACTAAATTTTGTTTCTCTGAATTTGGATATGGTTTTTAGAAATTCTATTCCAGGAGAGTTGTGGGCTACATTTGACAAAGTACATGTGAGTTGGAATAATATTATTGTTATGAAGATGAAAAAAAACACACACACACACACACACACACACACACACACGCAAATTCACTTTTGCAAGCAACATTTTCGCTGTCCTCGGATTTTGAGGTTCCTAGTATTTTGTTCATGACTGCATACATATACATGTAAATAACAGCAAACATCGCTAACAATGATTTACTGTAAAGCACACTGGATTTTGCATAGTGTTATGTATGGTCATCTGACTGTCATAATGTAGAAAGATTTTCGCCTGAAAATTGTTAGGATGCAAGTATGTGAGACGAGACGAACAGAGTTGTATGCAAAACAAGGTCGTAGAAATCAGTTTACCTCAGCGGAGGAAAGGGATAGATGGATTACTGAGGTAAGCTGCAAATGATAAGGCCATAGTGGAAAACTTACCAGAAATTGCCTTGATATATAAACCTTTTTCTTTATGAATCTTGAAAGTTAAATGCTGAGTAAGCTTGCATTAGAAAAATTACTTTATTGATCAAACTGAAACAGCCCATCCATGAAATCTACCACTGGGGACAAAATTGACATGTTGTATTTCACATATTATCTATGTGCCTCTCCAGGCTTTGCTTTCTGTTTTTGCAAATTTCTTTTTGCTAGTTTTAGCTTTTCGCTGGTTTTTGTGTATTCCAGTCCAGGACATGCCAGTGCCACTGTGAACATAAACTGATGGGGTACCTAAGCTCTTTAAAAGCGATTGCTGATTCTCCTTCCAAACTGCTTTGTATTTGGTTGAGAAGAAAAAAAAGAATTTGACATGAGATCACAATTCACCTTGAGCCATGTAACTCAACTGCCTACACTTGTCTCATGTTACTCAAACAAGGTCCTCGATGTTCTGAGCTATAGCCCTTAAGCTTGGTTTTTTGTGTAAGATTTCTTTTGGCATGCAGAAAAGTTTTATTAATTCTTTTTCCAGGAAAAAAATGCCCTGTCGGTGTCTATAGCAAACAAGGAATCACAGGTATGTGGTAACACTAGAATTCTTATTTTTTTATTAAGCCGACAGTGTATTTTTAACAGTGAAACCAGTTTTTAGTGTGTGCCTACAGGATCATTGCTAAAGGTGCATGATTAATGCAGATTGAATCATTTTACAGAACATGAAGGAAGAAAAATTAATGGAGTATTTATTGTGGCTTTTGTCTGCATTATACAACAGTTTGATACAGGTTGCCGCTTACTTGTAGTTTTTTTGTAGATTTCATGCATCTGTAAAATGATAGTCTTTGGTATTTACTGTGTTGCATTATTGTTAGATGCTGTCAGGTGCTAAGTATTAACATAGGCATATTTAACGTAACGTGCATGAGCTATTTCTCTATCTAGACTATTTTTTGTGGGAAATTGGGTTAATGAAACGCAAAACGCTTTGCACATCTGAGTTGATCCTTATTCTTTAGATTCTTTTTTCTATGTCTTTCCTCCCGACATCTGGTGCAAATTAAACAAATTGTTTAAGTACAATGAATATCAACCCACCAAATGTTGCTAATAGGAAAGACTTGGGGTTTCTTTAGGGCTTCTTAAGAAGAAGTGGCTCAATGATTGCTAGATAGCTAAGAAATGTCACTATTTTCTTCATTGTTGTAGATGGTTGCATCATCCCTATTCACGAGGTTTTCTCTTGTGATTCTAATGAAACAGCCTTCAACTCTGACGACTTGATTCTACAAGTTTTTTAAGGTTTAGAGGCTTGTTTATAGTGGAAAGTGCACCTAACTTATCCAGCTACTTTACAGGCACTCCACTAAAATACCGTAAAATTCTGAAAATAAGCCTCAGGGCTTATATTTTTCAAAGGCCCTTTTTGAGGTGTTCATTTTTGGAGGAGCTTACATTCGGAGGGGCTTATCTATGGAGGGAAATTTGTGATTCAAAATCGATTGGGCTAGCCTTATAGTTGGAAGTAAAATTAATTTACCGTTTTTGCTATATTTTACTTTGTATTTGAGGGTAATTTTCCAAGAACAAGCCCCCGGAGGGCTTATATTTGGAGGGGCAATTTAATGGAGGGTTTTTTGTGTTACGAGTTTGAGTTTTGCTTCATTTGACAGCAAATGAATGTCTTTTCTCTGTAACAGGTTGCTGCAATTCGAGTGGAAGTTGAAAGACTGAGGAGTTCAGTTCAAGAGCTCAGTGTTGAAATACAGGTATACAGTAGATATTTTTCTTTCCCACTTAATATTATTATGTTCTTAATTATTTTAAAGGTGTGAGCTGTAAACTAGTGTATGGTGTTGATGTGGCCAGCAACAAAGCAATGTGTCTTTTCATGTCTGCACAGGAAAGGTCAGATGACATGGACAGGAGAAAACAAGATATTGAAAATGCTAACAGAAGGCTTGCTGAGTCTAAAAGGAGGCAAGATAACGGAACAAACAGTAGGAGGTAAGTGCAACCAGCAAACATTGGATATCAGAAACTATAGATAATAAACAAACCAAAGTCATCATTGTAGTGGTACATATAATTATGTCTCCTATTGCACTTGCACTTGTAGGAGTTCAGATCTTCTGTAAGGTGGTTTCTTATGGAGGTGTTAGAAATGGAAAGTGTTATAAGATGACCCTTGGACTAGTTGTGGTGGGTTACCATATTAATTAATTAATTCGATTAACCGCCCTGGGCGCTTATTAAATTTTTGGACCTTGAGAGTGGGCACTTATTCAAGGTGGGCGCTTATTCAAGGCTGGGTGCTTATTAAATTTTCAACATGTTCAGCAAGTGTAGTATGTGTATTTTGCAACAAAACAATAAATGGTAATAACAAAACCCGAAGATGTAGCAATGCAAGGTTCCTGTAATATACTTTGAAGAAAACTCTGTTTGAGGGAAGTCTCTTATTAGTACTTATTAAATTTTTTGGGGGTGGGGTGGGGGTGGTCGCTAATTTGAGTTTGAGTGGGTGTGGGAGGAAGGTGGGGTGGGGTGGGCGCTTATTAACTTTTTCTGCCTTTAGGATGGGTGCTTATTCGAGGTGGGCACTAATTTGAGGTTGGGAGCTTATTCGAATAAATACAGTACCTAAGCTAGTTGTTTACAAGGTTCCATCCATAGCACTTCTGTTGGTGTTTACTGGTAATACGAGATCACACATGGATGATTAATAGAGTTCTTTTTTAGTACAGTCTATCAAACAGACAGCCCTGCCATTCCTGTTTTGTTTTATATGTTGTGATGTTTGTAGGTTAGGTTGCAATGTCCCTGGACATTGTACTATGGGAAGCTAGGCTTGGTAGGGTTAAAATTTTGATATAAAATTTTATTATTATTAATCATCTTATTATTGATCAAAGAGAGTTGTGGAGAGAAGAAGCAGCTATAGAGCAAAGCTTGCAGAACATAAGAGAAGAGCTGAGTAAGACAGAGAGGAATTTAAAAAGCACTGTTAGTAAAGTAAGTATCTTGTCTTGATGTTTGCTTAATTGTCAACTAAAGGAGCATTGAAAGGGTAGAAAATATTTTGTATGATAGTGACTCATGCTGCAGTCCTCCGATTGGGTCAGACTTTTTCAGGTCTAAATTTAATTTAAACCTGAAAAAGGCTGACGTCAATCTGTGGTACTACCTTCACAGGGTTTGCACATTCTTGGAAATCCTTGAATTTTTTGGGGAGTCCTTGAAAAGTCTTTGAATTCCATTTTTCCTTGAAAAGTCCTTGAATTGTCTTCAGCTTTGAATGTAGTGGCCTGCAAAGAGCTTTTTGATGCTTTTTGGTTGTCCAAGACAGAATATAAAATAATATTATTATAGCTCAGAGAATTTAAAGGTTATTTATGTAAAGTGCTCTATGTTTTATGCAATAATTAACTATCAATTTAAGGCAAGTGAACTGAAAATGAAGAGAAGTTGGTGAAGCAAACAGTTCAAGCCTTGAGACGGAATCTGTCAGAAAATTGAGTAATTTAATTTTCAGTGGACAAAAACCTCGTACCAGAATAATTTAAAGCATATTGCATTCCTTTTTATGCATTTTTCAAGGGCTATAGATGTAATAGTTATCTGCAATAACACCAAAGAAAATTTCTGCTGGGAGTTCGAGAAAATAAGTGTCAAAGTCAGGGTTGTCACTAAGATTTCAAGTTGCCGGGTAAACACAACAAGTAGGCGGGAATCAAACGGCTAAGGATTTCATTTGGTTCTATTTTTCTTCTATTTTCCAATAAAAGTAGCCGGGGGCCACTCTCTTAGTAGCCGGGGAAAATCCCAGGCCCCCGGCTCTTAATGACAACCCTGAAAGTTCACAAAATGACATCTTACACGTGAAATTTTCAGAATTTTACCTGGGTTTTCACAATTCTTGTGAACTTTGACATTCATTTTCTCGGGCCCCCATCAGAAATTGTCTTAAGTGTTATTACAGATGACTAATTACATCTTTTGTTCTTAAAAACTGTAAAAAAAATATTGTTTAAATAATATTCTGGTATTAGGTTTTTGTCCACTGAAAATTGAAATTACTAAATTTCCTGGTGGATTCTGTCTTAAAGTCTTATTAGAATAGAAAGTGGGTTATGTGCATTTTTGTACAATCTGAGAATATTCCTGGTAGCTGGTACTTGAAAATCTAATGTGGTCCTTGAAAAGTCCTTGAAAAAAGGTTAAAATTTTTTGTATGAACCCTGCTTCAATGTTCATACACAAGAAATGATTATATTAATTAATTACTTAACAAAATTTTCTTGTGTACAGTCTCACTGTCTGGCTTGCAGCAATTAGGTTTTTGTTAGTTGCTGGCCAGTCTAATGCTAACTATGTAAAAATGAAGTGTCAATAAAGGTTAATGGTTAATTCACCAAAATTAATAGATGTGTTTGATTGTGCAGCATGTCAGTAATGGCATAGACACAGTTAAGAGGATTGTTCATGACAAAGGCATTGATGGAGTTTATGGCACGCTCATCGAGAACTTTGATTGTGATAAACAATTTTTTACGGCAGTTGAAGTCACAGCAGGAAACAAGTAAGAACCTGCCTCAAGTCCCTAGAGTCTTCAACATCACTTTTCTCCTAACACCTTTCCATACATTATCTAGAGAGTAGGTATTAAAATTTTTTGAAATAGTCACCAAAGGGATAATGCTTTGATACGAGTACTCTCATCCAATTCTTTGAGGAAATGTATGAAGATCAGTCTGGAGTATTGGGTAGGGTAAAGAGATACATACTGAAAAGTGAGTTCAATATTGTTTTTGATTAAAGACCTCATGTTACTCAAGAAAATGCCTCCTTTTTCTTTTCTGAAAAGTACAGTCAGAATTTTTTCATTGGAGGAGGGGAGTGTGATTTTTAGTTAGGCCATTTATTGAGTCATGGTTGGTGCTTGAACAAATCGGCCCAAAATATTACTGTTGTAAATGTGAATGTTTAACCTTAATGTATCACATTCTCATTCTTTGTCTTTGAATGTTCTTAACGTGCTGTGTTGCTTGTTGTGGCACTGTCTCAAGCAAAATGTGGTCCAAAGAAGGGCAGTGGGAAAGGCCTACGTCCAATGACAGACATTCAACGGCTGAAACTGAATGCACCTTTAACGTTAATCTGCAGGTTGTTTGACATTTTAGTGGACTCAGATAAAACTGCCGCTCATATTTTATCCATCATGAATAAACATAAGTACCCAGGAGAAGTGTCATTTATGCCACTCAACAGACTACAGAGCAAAGCACAGCAATACCCTACAACTTCTGTAAGTACAATGTCAGTTAAACCCCAATTTACAAACAGCTACTATAGTGTAAAGAATCACCGGGTGCAAAGAAAGTCAGTTTTACAGCTTGCCATTCAGGCAAGCTGTAGCTAGAATGTACTAGTCCAAGAGTCACTTAAACTAACCTGAAATTTTTTTTAATGAACAGGATTGATTACAGTTCTGTAATATGAATTCCCCAAAAAACTTTACCTGCCCGACGGGCAAGTTGAGTACAGAATTCACTAGCCCGTAGCAAAATCCATGCTGAGTGATGATGTCACAAAATGTTATTGAAAGTATGAAATCTGTTGGGACATCATTGATGCAGGCAACAGACACTTTTTTTGTGTGTGTCCAAGCAACGTGTACTCCCACAGGAAAGATAGCTTGCTAATGATGACATTATTTACTATGCTATTAGGTGTAATAAACATTATTCACTGCCCTTTACCCTCAGTACAACGATTAGTATATTACAATCTGAATTAACTAAATATGGTCACTGATGTCTTATTTTCAGGATGCTATTCCAATGATTGATAAATTGAGGTTTCACGAACAGTTCAGACCTGCTATGGAGTTAGTATTTGGTAAAACTCTTATATGCCGCAACCTAGAAGTTGCATCCCAGTTTTCAAAAAGTGAGAATCTGGACTGCATTACTCTAGAAGGTATGTTAAAGAAAGCATGCAATTTTTTCCCCAAATTAAGTGAAATACATTTTATTATATAAACACCATGTGAAAATATCACCATTGCTATGGCTTCATAATAAACCGCATCTTCCAGACCAAAAAACTATTTAAGTAAAATGGTTTGGCATTTCATTGTTGTTTATATAATAAATAGAACATTACATGGTCGCTTGGAGATACGAAATTTCTCTTCTTGTGTTGAAAAAAATATTTCACTACTTGTTCTCTGCACTTACTTGTGAAATATTTTTCAACACTCGAAGATAAATTTCGTATCTCCGCGCGACCATGTAATATCCTCTATTTATTGAATACATTGGGCAAGTAAGGTAAGTCAACATTCAGGGTCCTCTTTGGAGACATAGGTGCCTTATCACTCCAACTGCGATGGTAATGGTATACAGGTTGTCATAGTGCTGGATATACTTTTCAGAAAGCCTGTGAATAGCATAGCTTATAAGCCCACAGGCTCCAGCCGTTTTACAATATGAATAGTGCTATGCAATTTATTCAGTGGATGATCCAATAGACCATTTTATAGTTGTGTGCTTAGTATCTTTTGTCTGTGTGCAGACGTCTCCTATTTCCTTTGTTGCACGCAGGAAAGGAACGCGTGCATCAAAGGAAATAGGAGACGTCTGCACGCAGGCAAAGTATCTGAGCCTTTGAGTGAACTTGAGGCTAAGGTTGACGTTGTGCATTTTGGTACAAACCTCCTTCCTCTTCTTACGGAAAATAAATTATGCTTAAAAATAACAGTTGGCATAAGAAGAACATGATTTACATAATAAAGCTGGAGGTCAACTTTTTAGGGTTTGTAGAGGCCCTGAAAAGTCCTTGAATTTTAGACAGAAGCCCTTGAATATTTTTGAAAGCTCCTTGAATTAAAACAACCTTTGTTAAAAAAGGGAGTTTTGTGCAAAGGAAAGATTGAAAGCACAGCAGGATGTAAATTTTCTTGGTGACCATGAAAGTGTGTTTTCTCATGATTTCAATGTTCCTGCATAGTTCATTTTTCATTATTTCAAGTAATAATAATAATTTACCAATTTATATAGCGCGTATTTACATGTGCTGATCAATAGCGCTTTACAATCATATCTTTAAAAGAAAACGAAAATACATTACCGTGAGAATAAAATAAACTAAGTTACAAACTATAAAAATACTTCTTAAAAAGATAGGTTTTAAGTCGAGATTTAAAACTGTTAAGTGATGTTGCCTGACGAAGCTCCACAGGTAGCTCATTCCAGAGTTTCGGAGCTGCTGCTGAGAATGATCTTGCTCCCAATGTTGTAAGCATCTTTCCCTTGGGATGGTCCAATAAGAGCTTACCAGTAGACCTAAGATTATATAATGAATTCGATTTTATACTAATAAGATCGCTAAGATAAGTTGGCGCTAGGCCATAAATACATTTGAAAGTCAAAAGTAAAATCTTATAGTCAATACGCAAAGAAACCGGCAGCCAGTGCAGCTCATAAAGCGCCGGTGTAATGTGAGAAAACTTTCCAATGCCAAGAATAAGTCTTGTTGCTGCATTTTGTACACGCTGTAATTTAGCGATCTGCACATTTGGTAAGCCAAACAATAAACCATTACAATAGTCAAGACGGCTGGTTATAAAAGCATGAACCAAAGTAATTAAAGAATCTCTCGACAGGTATTTCTTAATACGTCTCAAGTTATGTAAATGATAAAATGCGGCATTACAAGCCTTGTTTATATGATCAGTCATGCTTAAGTTGCTGTCAAACCACGATCCAAGGTTTCTAACACATGGGCTTGGACTGATACGATTATTGCCCACAGTTATGGAACACGAATCTAATTTATCAAGCTGTTGTCGTGTGCCGACTAACAAAAATCGTTTTATCATCATTGATCATCAACCGATCTTGAATCATCCATTTCCTCACCGCGTCAATGCACTTTTCCATAGCTTGTATAGCATCAGCTTGAGCAGTGTTGCCGAGTGGTTTAAAACTCAGATGCAGCTGCGTATCATCAGCGAAACAGTGAGCATCAGGAAGATAATGTTCCACGATCTTAAACAGCTTGGACGCATATATTATGAATAGCAAAGGCCCTAAACATGAGCCTTGGGGTACCCCGCAGTTCAAGTCCAAAGGACGAGAAAGAACTCCATGTACAGAAACGCGCTGACTTCTATCAGACAAGTACGATCTAAACCAATTCAGAGCAGTCCCACGTATGCCAACCTCGTCAGATAGCCTCTCTAAAAGTATTCGATGATCAACAGTGTCAAAGGCAGCACTGAGATCCAATAAAATTAACATAGTGACATGTTGAGAGTTCATCTTTAACAAAATATCGTTCATCACCTTGATAAGTGCAGTTTCAGTGCTATGGAATTGCCTGTAAGAAGATTGAAGCGCAGGAAAAATAGCATTTGAAACCATGTGATCGTAAACTTGATTAAAAACGACTTTTTCAGTCAACTTGGATACGTATTGTAAGTTACTAACTGGTCTCTAATTTTTGTACAGCAAATCCAATCCAGGTTTCTTCAAGATAGGATTAATAAGCCCACATTTCCAATCATCCGCAAATTCTCCAGAATTAAGAGACAGGTTGATCATTTTAGTAATGACTGGTAATAGCACATCAGCACAGCTGATTACCATAGATGTTGTACACTAGTACAAGTACACTAGGAACCGTACCTTCCTGGGGGAAGGTATTGCAATAAGCCAACCCCCCTCTAGCTACGAATTTAAAAGGTCTTTACTTATGGCATTAAATACTCTTTAATGGGCTTTTGGTTTCCCTGTCATGCATCTACTGAACAGTGATTTATCTTGTTGATAGCCTTACATTCAACTTTTGAATATTTGAGTTCCATATGATGTATATTGTTTCGCCATTTACGTCAAACTTTCCTTGCATTATAGTTGTAAAGTAATTGGTATAACAATTCATATTACAGTAAATTGTGTGATTGTCTGTTACAGGTGATCAGGTAAGCCGCAGGGGTACGCTTACTGGTGGTTTCTTTGGAAACAGAAAGTCACGTCTAGAACTGCAGGATAATATCATTAAGTTGAACCAAAAGATAGAAGAAGAAGAAGAGCGCAGAAATCAACTAAAGGCTGAAGCTGAGAGTATCCTTTGAAACTGTCAACTGTGGCATTTATAACACCATTTCAGTAAGGGAACTCACTAAAATGGTTTATACTATGCTGCACGCAGTCTCTTAGATGTGGCCCTTTTCATCTCTTGTGCATATTTTCAAACTGATCTAAGAAGAAAAGAGGGGCTTCCAGATTAGAGCTAATAAAGTAATGCATAACTGTTCCTGTTATTCAAACTGCAGCCTTCTACAAAGATTTTGCCTTATTACCGGTATACAACCACCAGTGAAATGCCGATGAGCTTCCGTGTAAAAACATGATACCTTCTCACGTAAAAATAACATGTTATCTTCACTTGTGAAATGATCATCGTTTACGTGGCTACATGAGAAATCACACCGTTAGCAGCCAAAAAAAATATTAAAGTGAAATGTCTTGGTATTTCATTGGTGTTTGTACACCAGTAATAATATAACATTACATGGCTTCTTGAAGATGCGAAATTTCTTTTCTCATGTTAAAAAATATTTCACTTGTTCGAATTTTTTTCAACACTAGAAGAGAAGTTTTGTATCTCTGCGTTGCCATGTGATCCTTTTTTTATTGAGGTGTCAATGTATTAGCTCAAATTACATATTGAAAACTTCATCTCCACATATCTTTTCTGAGATTGTACTGCCATTTCTATGTGTTCATCGGTGTTGCATAAAGTCTTTCTAGCCATTTGCAAGCCAAAAACCATTTCTTCTTCCTATTGAGTAATGTGAACCTATAAAGCATTAAGAAGCTTCGTCAAACTTTTAGTGTCAGTGCTTTATATTTTTTGTCGATTATTAGAGACCTTTAGGTTCCAAGTCGAGAACGACTACGAGTACGAGATTTGACTTAAATTTTTTCACGTACAGGTACTTTCAAAAAGTCGACACCCCGGAAAGCTAAAATTGTACTTTTTCACCAGAAAAATTAGCACTGTTATCGTTATTTTCCGAACGCAATATGCTAAAACTTCTAACTTTTGATATCTTGTTTCCGCCACCACGACATTCTCGATAAAACTCGCAGTAAAATGACGACGGCTATTACGTCTTCCCGCCAAAATAGGGACTTAAAGACCCAATGACCCGACGACAACGAGAACGTCGCTAGAAAAGTGAATTTCCGATCTTTCAGTCTTAATCGCAATTATTCCTACCCACTTACTTTGTTAAATGTAGGTGAACCCTCGCGGAGTTGAATTCCTAAGGACCATATCCAAGTTCAGAAAGAGAAATAAAATTTGGTCGTTGCTTGTTTACGTCCTCCATAAAGCACGAAATTAGGCATTTTCACGTCGTAGTGGTTGAAAACCGGGCATAGAAATGTACAAACAAGCGTGATGCACGTGCAAACTTGTTGTTTTGCTTATGAAGCCTTTTGTTTTTTTGACGTTCTCGTTGCCGTCCGCGTCGTGGGATCTTAAAGTCCCTAATGACGCTGGTTCACCCGTTCGAGCACTATTTTGTATTGAGAAAATCTAGTACTCATATTCGTACTGGTCTTAGAATCTAAAGGTCTCTATCAACAAACAGGCACCACGTTTACATGGTCTATAGTGCTAGAGCTATAGGGATGATGTTAAAGTGTTCAAAACTGAAGTAGAACCACTAACCGCAGGCTGGTAGTTTCACTGCAAAGTTTTGAACACTTTGACGTTATTTCTGTAGTCTTTAAGAGTATAGACCATAGAAATTTAATGTAAGTACATTTTTACAATAACATTGACAGTTTTCAGCATCCTTTTCAGGTGTTGTTCCATGAAAAATCGTGTGCTAGTGACAGAAAAAAATTGCACAATCTTTCCATCATTTTCACGGTCTATGCTTTTATAGACCAATCAACATGCAAGAAATTGCTTAGCTCAAACAAGATCGCACAATATGTACACCTAATTGCAGTAACGTTGTCCTAAAAAATGAAAAAAGGAAAAAGCCAAATAGGAATTAATGAGGATAATCAAACCACATTCTCAGGGTGGATTCATTTGCAGCCGTTGCATTTCCCCGCTGGAAAGTTTTTTTTTATTGGTTTTAGTTTAAAAACAATAGCAAATTCCAACAGGGAAATATGACGTCTATGTGCGGATGCTGCAAATGAATTCATAAGGCTCATTAGCCTAATTAATTCCTATTTGGCTTTTTCCTTTTTCATTTTTTCCACGACAACGTTTTTGCAATTAGGTGTATCTATCAAATGAATTGTTATGCCCAAGTGTCCTTAACTATCATGCAGAAATTGATTCTGATGTAACAACTGCATTTGGAGAGGTTCAGAAGGTGGAAACACAAAAACAGCGTTTGGAGTGAGTCATGATTTCTATAAAAATTGCAATTTGTTTGCTCACGGAGCACTTAGGAAATGTGTCCGTGCGTTCCAAATCGAATTGGAATTTGGAAGTATTGGTTTTCAAGGAGAGGGGAAAACCGGAGTACCCGGAGAAAAACCTCTCAGAGTAAGGGATAGAACCAACAAGGAACTCAACCCACATATGGCGTCGACGCGAGGATTTGAACTCGGGGCACATTGGTGGGAGGCGAGAGCTCTTTGTAACCTAACTTTGCTGATACCAGGCCTTTTTTTTGCCTATCATTAACTTTTACACTTAGAATGAGAACATGCAATACGGTCAACCTCCATCTGTGACCACCTCTCACGATCAATCATCTGTCTAAAACACCAAAATATTCCCATTCTTAGCCAAAGAGCCTCTGGTAAATGTCCATTTATTGCAACACTTTTCTGTACAAAATTTGAGTAAAATTAAAGAAATCTGTTGGCCGTCTGTCCGTAGACGCCGATCAACCAACAATGAACCGACGAGTGGCTAAAAGTCCATTGACAATTTTAGCCTGCGTAGCAGGCGCTTGGAAGTAGTGGGCGAAAGAGAGAACGGGCGCGCGCGAGGGAGACACGCGTTTTTTTTTTGTGCCCACTACTTCCAAGCGCCTGCTACGCAGGCAATTTTGCCAATTAAAATGAAAAAGGGTTGGCCGACAGATGGTAAATGTAAAATTTGTAGTCAGGGTTGTTGACTAGAGAGTGCAGAATTTAGGTTTTAAGTTTTCAGCTCTGTTAGATGTTAATGTAATTCTTGAGCAAAACATGTACCATGATTTGATAAACGACAAGTAACTTTTCAGGCAAACTTATGAAAAACAAAAAATAGATGTAAAAGCCAAGATCCAAGAGAAGAAAACTGCCGAACGAACCTTGGAGTCAAAGGTAAAATTTCTTTCAGAGGTTTAGATAAAAGACCTATTCTGCTAACTCAATGTTGTACCCAATTCAAACCTTTTGATAATAAAACGTTTTGTTTCAGGAATTTCTATATCATTTAAATGTGAATGCCACATTATAATGCAAATACAATACACAAAGAAATACACAACATTGAGTTAGCCTAATAGGTCTATCGTTGAAAGGAAACGTTAAAGAAATAATTCTCCGCCCTTTTCTCCCTTTTTTGTGTAGTAATTTAGTTAATCCATGAGTGGTCATATTCCCAGGGAGACCATATTAGATGGACAACAATAAGCTATCTTCAAAGGATGAGATCATGCGCACTGCCAAGCCAGTTGGAGACGCCTTTCAGTTGACTGCTCTTCAGTTGACCGATGATGATGATCACGGAATGTTGTGGATTAGAGGACAACAAGTCACGCCCTGTTTACACTTTATATTAACCCTACCCCTATCATAGCCCCAGCTCTATATGCTCAGCCTAATTGGTCTTTCACTTCTTTTTTATGAATACAGGAGCAAGGGCTGTCACATTTTGAGGTTGATCTAAGGTCCATGCGTAGTACCATGAGAGCTTTAGAAGATGAGCTGGGAACTCCTCTGGTAGCACGGCTTAGTCCAGAAGACCAACAAGAGGTACTACTACTAAGTACAGCGTAGTACAGTAGAGGGACCAATAGCCCTTATGCATGTTTACGTCACACAAGCAAATTTCACCACCAAGCCTCGTTTTGAAATTAAAAATAAGCGAAGTTTCACAGAAATGAATTCCCAAGGCAGTAGAGTTGAAAAGAATACCCACGCACAAAACGTGCAAATGCAAAAAATTTTGTTCACAAACGAGGCTTGTTGGTGAAATTTACTCGTCTGACGTAATCATGCATAGGGGCTATTAAGGTTTCCGGGAAACTGCCCACCTACCCCTCCCCTAAATCAACGTTAACATTTGCTTCTCACTTGGGGCAAATGTTGGGTTAGGGGAGGGGTAGGGGGCAGTTTCCCAGAAACCTAAGTTGATGCCAGTACAGTACAGTAGATTACAGATTAATCCTGTTGTACCCCTGTATCTCCGCCCTTCTCGACTAGCACTTGCCATTTGCGGGCGGAAATGGACTTCATATAAATGTTTTTTGTTAATAACGTGTGCGAACTGTAGAATTTTCCACCATCCTCCAATCAGTAATCTTGTTTCTATGGATTTACATTGACGACTACATGGTCAACCAATGCAGTGAAACCACTCTTATCTTGCGTACTTCTCTGCTTGTTCAATAGAGACGTTTAATAGTTTTATAAACTGTGAAGGAAACACTTTTGAAATGGGCTGTGTTTAAGTGTAGATTACCCTTTGCATCTTTCAGGTCGATGATTTAAACGTTGAAATTTCCACTCTTCAAGAGAGGTTAAGAGCATCTTTGGTCAACAGAACAAGGGTAAATTTTCTTGAAAAGAAAGTGCGAAGAAATTGTTTTTGTTGTTGTTTTTTAATTGGACAAACCATTAATGACTCTGCAAGAACATTATCTGATAAACGACTTTTATTTGCAGCGCTGACGCTATTTATTGATATTCCAAATGTTATTTGATAGAAGTTGAATTGTTACCTTATCTTCTTGCAGCTTGAAGCCCGGAAGAATACACTGGAAAATACGTTGAATAACAATCTTAAGAGAAAACGAGAGGAGTTGAAACAGGTCAGCTGGTCAAGCTTTCGAGTTATGTACTAAACCATTCCTCTTGAAGCCTGGCTTCCTTACATTTGTCTGGCACGTCACAATCGCCTGAGTTTCCTCAAAGTGCTAATAGGGAGCTTAAGCAATGGCGATGGCAACGGCAACGAGAATGGCAAAAAAAACAACAGGCTTAGATAAGCAAAACAACAACTTTGCACGTGCATCATGCTATTTTGTACATTTCATTGCTGTCACTGCACGACTACGTTGTGAAACTGCCCAATTTCACGTTTTGTGGAGGCAACGAATTTCTTCTACTTTTCTTAAACTTCAATACAGTCCTTTAGAATTCAACTCTAGAAACATTTGTCAACATTTTGTGCTTCTTTGTGTGGCTGAAAACGCTTGAGTTTGTCTGCCTTTGCTGAGCGGCCTCGTGATGGCATAGCCTATTCGCCACTTGCGCATCTCCCATAATGCACCTTAATTGTCCCCCAAAATTTTGCGTGAGCATTGTTTTCAATTTACATACATACATACATACATACTTTATTGGCTCGTCCCCACGGGGCTTTTCAGAGTCAATTTTACATTACAAAATTATAAACCAAGTACATGACAATAAGAATAATATAACAATGATAAAAGAAGACAAAGGTCAATAAAATTAATTAAATTAATTAAATAAAGCAGTCATTAAGAAGCTTTTGCCTGAGTGAACACTTGAATTCCGTCACGGATGGGCTAAGTTTGAGCGCAGGCTGCAACTCATTCCAGAGAGAGGTTGCTCTATATTGAAAGGTCCTTTGGCCGCTGGCAGTGCGGAAGAGTGGTATGTTCAAAAGTTGAGAATTTTGGGACGGCTGTAATACCCAAGAGAAATGAAAAACAAAGGTTATGCAAAATTGTGGAAGGCAAATTAGGTGCATTATGGGAGATGTGCAAGTGGCGAATTAACCTTGTAATATTCTCTGCAGGCTTTAGAAGAAATATCACTTGAGGACCACCAGCTAGAGTTGGAGACAAAAAAGAGTGAGTTAAACGCCGCTGAGCGCAAAATCTCTCAAGATTCAAAGAAGCAAGAAGGTAACTGAAGGTTTTTGTTTTGGAATATTCTTAGCAACAAATTTATTTACATGAAAAATCAATATTTTACGAGTACAGGCTACCTGCAAATAGCGAAGTTAATCGAGGCAAGTAGTATGAAGACGTATCACTTAATATTACAATTTTAATACAAAGATTGTGACAAAATAATAAATATGGTATTACAGATTAATTACTTGCAATGATGATTTTAATTATTTTTGTCATAAATAAGAGGCTAGAGGAAGCCAAAAGCACTTAGAAATTTAAATAAATTTTAAATTTGTTTCATTTCATTCACTAACGTATCTGTATCAGCATAACTGTCTTGATTAAGGAAGACCTGAAATGAGGATTCGGTTATTTTCTTCTTGAATTTATGTTACATGTTTGGGGAGTTTTCTCAGAGCTCCTGGTGTACTGTTGCAAATTTTGCGCCTAAAATGGAGAAAGAATTCTCATGGTGATTTACCAGATAATAGGTAATACTGACAAAAATTACCAGAGGAAGAAGAACAAATGTTGTAATGATGAATATCTTAAAAACGCACAAGGAAGAAAAGTAAACCTATGAATTGTATTTTCTCTATAGAATTAATAAGGAACCTGTTTGAAAAGTTTTTGGGCGTTCCAGATCAAAGTGGAATTAAGGGGGGGAATACCGCTTTAAGCAAGGTAGAGAACCAACAACAAACTCAACCCACATAAATAGGAACCTTAAGATCTGACGACGGCAACGGCAACGAGGTCGTCTAAAAAGCTATAGGTTTAATAACGAAAACAACAATTTTGCACGTGCATCTGGCTTTTTTGTACATTTCTTGGCCGTCACTGCACGACTACCACGCGAAAACGTTTTACAGAGGAAGTACACAAGCGACGACGAAATTTCTCCTCTATTTCTCAACTTGGATATGGTTGTTAAGAATTCAACTTTAGGAGGGTTCACCTACATTTAACAAAGATTGTGACTTGGAGTAATCACGATGAAGATTGAAAGAACGCGAATTCACTTTTCCAGCGACGTTTTGGCTGCCGTCGCCGTCCTCGGATCTTAAGGTCTCTAATGTGGCGTTGACCCTGGCATATGTAACCCGGGTCCACGATGATAGGAAGCGAGTGCTCTCAGTAGCTAGTCTACATTATATGATACAAAGTGACGTTTAGAGTGTAAAACCTTTTAGAGTACTGATTTGTTTTTTGTGCCTCCTGTAGAGCTCGAGCAAGAGATACGTGAGTTAACGAAGCAAAAGGCCGAGCAACAGTCAGCACTGGATGAGTGGAAGGTGGGTATCATCAAACCATGTGGAAGATTAAAGAAAATTGTTTTTAATGTAATGATTTTTCCCCTGAAAATCATGGTCTAACAATTAAGTTCCGAATCCAAAAAAATTAATGGGTCTTAAAGGACGAATGCCTGAGCTAGCTAAAGGAAAAATAAATAAGATTCCATCTCCAAACATTTAACATTACCGGGAACGTCTGTCATGCAGTTCTGGAGCGTCATATGCAAGTGTCATATTTAACGTTACTGACACTTCAAACGTGTTAAAGTAATGTAGCTGGATTTGTTGTAGAACTCGGCCCAGACTTTGTTCTTTGTCACTGAATTCTTAGAACGTGGAAAAACAAAGAAGGGATGCTGTTGAAGATGATGCTAAGCAAATGGAGAAATTGGCCCATAAAAGAAGCCTTCTAATGAAAAAGGTAAGAGCAGTGTGTTGTTATGGCTCATTATGTGCGGCTACGTTGAAGTTTTTAGAAAGGCCCAGGAAGGATTACCCCACCACAAAAAGACAAATGGTAAAAACATGGCATCCTTCTTTTATAGAAAGACATTTTCCTTTTGCCTTCTTGCTTCATCAGTACAAAGAGTAACTCTCGAGTTTTCAAACTTAATGACATGTGTTATATGTCAACAGAAAGAGGAATGTGCCAAGAAGATCCGTGAGTTGGGTTCTCTCCCTGCAGACGCATTTGACAAACATCAAAAGACTCCTGTGAAGACGGTATGTTAAATAAGTTCTACTTACAAACCTCTTTAACCGTCTGAAGACTGTCTCGTTTGAAGAACCTGCCACCCACCCTCCCTTAATATAATCACAACGCTCCCCTAATACATATCAATCAATCCAGTCCCCAAATCATTACTCTGGTGTTGCTATCAAATTCTCATTTTTTTCCTTTTGGTTTTCAATATAGGAGGTGGGGAGAATTTGTTGAAGTATCAATTAGATTCATCTTCGGTGATCATGCTTTCAAATCTCATGACCAACCTGTTTTATGAAGCTTTGTTATTACAAGGAGAAATTTCAAGCTGATCACTCTTACGGCTCAGTCTTTAAATACGGGCATCAAAGGGATGGACAATGCCAAATCTCCTCATGACAAAGGTGTCCTCATTACAGGCGTAGGAAATACATGAAGTTTTGTTTCTTTGGGTCCCAAGAAAACAACTCCTAACCTTCTAACGCCCAATATGCACCTTCCAATTCTCCAGACTGATTTTCATACTTTTTCTTAAAGAGTGAGTTGAAAGAATTTGATTAAAAGATCAAAACATTTTCTCATTTAATGATCATTTAAATATTTCTCCAAACCTTTTCTCTTGGTTATGTTTTTTTGATGTCAGGGGGAAATTGATGTTGATCCCTCTTGGCAGTTGAGTTATTTATAATTAGTAATAAATTGGTTTTATTATATTGCCAGCTGTGGAAAAAGCTGCATCAGTGTAACGAGGAGCTGAAGAAGTACAGCCATGTTAATAAAAAGGCGCTGGACCAGTTTGTCAACTTTTCAGAACAGAAAGAAAAATTAATGAAACGAAAAGATGAACTTGACAAAGGATACCAGGTAAATCATGAATAGGATGATCAAGCTATTTCTAGGTAAAGTTCTTTAGGTAATTGGTAGTTTTCGGAAGAACAAGTTTGCTTGTTAAGTTGCTTAAAAGGTTTAGAATTAAAACGCAGGGAAGGCTGCGCCCGGCATCATTTCAGAAAGAATAAGGGACACGCTTATTCGGGGGAGGGAGGGGTTATATGGGTTGGTGTATATACGAGACAGGGGCGTATCAAAGTTATGTTAGTAGTTTTTGAAGTCATGAATATTTGAAAATAATATACAGCTGTATGAGTCCTGCGGGGTGAAGAATTTTATGAAAGATGATGCGATGATCTTTTATGTAATGAGTAGGTTTTGCTGCCAACTTTCAAATCCTTTACAAAATGAGCAAGAAATTGTGAAAAGGGCAACATAAAACCACCACTAAAAACTCGGGTGTTGGAGTGATGTTGACCCTTTTTTAGTCATGGAGGGGCGTCCTGATATTTATTGACTGTTCTTTTTTATTTTTTTCAGTCTATTGTGGATTTAATGGATGTTCTTGAACAACGTAAACATGAAGCCATTTTATTCACTTTTAAACAGGTATCTTTGGAACTTCTTAACTACCTAAAACCACAAAATATAATTGTTTACTTATGCATAGGAAACGGGTACAGAAGTCATCCATCTGATTTCCGTTAGATTTATAGTCCCATCAGTGACAGCCATACCTTGCTAGAAAAGCCTCTCTTTCACTTGCTCGAGTTTTGGCGTACTTGACCATGTGCTGCTTGTTCCGGCTGGGGTACAGTTTTGAATCCAGGCCTTATAGCGGGGCGCTTGGTAGAGCGGGATCAAATATGACCATCAGTTTGTCAACAGACGGATGCTCGCGCTCTAAAAACCAGTTTTACGGGAGAGAACAAGATGGACGAGTTCAGAAGTTCGAGCTTCGGCGACTTTAAAGACTTAACGCCATCCAGCAAGCCTCCATTTCTCTTCCTCTTACGAAAACAAAATGAGGTTCTCCTCATAGGGTGCACTACGTTAAACCAGTGCCATTACTTTCAGACCGTCTTCTTTTCACTGCATTTGGGTACTGTGAATTCACCACAGATTTGGACGATTTTGGCAGAAGTCCCTTTCAATATTGTCATATTTTTACCTTCCATGTATGTTTGTCATCTTTTAGTAGGAAGCTACATGAAACAACGTCATTTTTGATTAAACCTCACCTGTCAGTGTTAAAACGGTTTCGTCTGTTTTATCATCAGATGTCTCACAACTTTAGCGAGGTGTTCAAGCAGCTCGTTTCAAACGGGAAAGCCACCCTAGTAATGAAGACAGATCCAGTGGATCAACCGGTAAATCACGTGCACTTCTCTGACCTTTGTATGCTGATGTAATGATTAATAAACGGGGAGTGTCTTATCAAGTTGACTGACACTATCATTTACTTACGGTATAGGAAAACCGTTTCATTTTGTTTCGCAGACTGTCTTGAACAGGTCTGAAGCCCTCCTGCCACGGAAACCGATCGTTTCCGCCATACAAACTCGGGCAGTGAAACTGCACGAAAATTTCGATCACTTCAAGTATAGTTGGCGGGTGAACATGACAAACATTTAGGGTGAATATTCCTCGTTCCTTAAGCCAATTACGTGAAAATGTTTACACCTCCACCGAATCAACTTGTATCGAACCGACTTTATATCGAAACGACCAGTAAGCCTGCAACTATGCTAGCGCTGGTTCGGATGCAGGACTCCTCACCGCAAAAGAAACTCGCGACGTAACTCATGTTTTTCTTGTGTTCTGTTTCTTCACCGTTAGGATGAGGAAGACGGCGAAGCATCTTCTCAACAGTCACCTGTACCCCTTGTGGACCAGTTCACGGGGATAAGCATTAAGGTAACGCAACACTATACTTGTCACACTCCTCGCGTTACCGTCTTTCATTTGTTGTCGCACAATAGCTTATTCACTGTCGTTTATTACTTTCACCAACATATTAGACCCCTGCTGCAGGGGTCTAATAAACCTTGTATAGGGATGAAAGACACTTATTTCCGCTTTCAAAGAATAGAAATTTCATGGTCAAAATAGCACTTAAATCATATTTAATAAATTTGCAGAATACTCAATAAGTCGTTTGTAATTTTATTACTAGTTATTAGACAATCAACGTTTTCTTTATTCTTTCTATTCACTTGTAAATTACCCTATTGTATGCTGTTCTTTATTTATATAAGTATATTTAGTTAATAAAAACAAATCTAATGTAAAGAGGAAGTCTTACCTATAAGCCTTCATAGTTTCTTAAGACTTCCTTGCCTTTGAGTTTCTTTTTAGTTTCGTGTGGATTTCATGTAATGTAATTTTTATTATTTCCTTTCCTTTTTTTGTAAAAAGGCATTAAAAATCAAATCATTCAGGTACCCCCTGCCCTTAGACGTCTATTCCTCCACGCAGGGGAATAGGACACGCAACGCTTTCTGGGAGATCCGTCCGCCATTTTAAGAAAATTTTCGACATAGACGCGACTCATTTTTTGACAGAGCCACAGGCAGCCCAACAGAAAAGACTTAATGTGGAACTCAGCGCCGGGTCAAAGTCAGGAGATCATTTTGAAATGATGAATATACATTGTATGAATTCATTTTCATTTGTTTTTACCATATTCTTGTTAGGTGTCGTTTACTGGCAAGTCCGCCGAGACCCGTGAGATGAACCAGTTGTCGGGTGGGCAGAAGTCTCTTGTGGCCCTGGCGCTGATATTTGCCATTCAGAAGTGCGACCCAGCTCCCTTTTATTTATTTGACGAGATTGACCAGGCTTTAGATCCCCAGTTCAGAAAAGCTGTCGCAGGTAAAGATGAATTCTGTCTTATCCAAGCTGCTCTTAAGCTTATATAAACAAGGGTTTTAGTTTTAGTTTAAGATGTAATATATCAAGCATGAGACGCAGTGTTTCATCACCAGGTGAAACACGGAGAAGAAAGTTGAAAATACGACGCGCAGCGGAGCATTTTTGATGAACTTCGAGGTGTTTCATCTGGTGATGGAATGCTTGATATTACTTTTGAAACAAAATGATTTTAGAAGGAGAAATTAAGGAGGCAAAAATGAGGATAGCCGTCCCTATTCCTGTACTGTACGAGTTATCAATCTCTCTATGCGTCTGCGAGGGTTTTCTTTTTCTGGTTCGTTAAGATGACATAGATGACGGTCTCCCTTGTTACGTAAATGACAGATCGAGTTCAGTATTTTTGGCTCTTTTGCCAGTTTTTGATCGAACTCGTTGATATTTTGAGTTACAAACGTTCGCAGAGACCTATGTAGTTACCAGGATTACCTCTTCTTCAATTGGCTAATTTACAGTTACGTGTCAATAACCTAGCCTTTGAGTGAAAGCGAAGTTAGCGGTGATTTTCTTTGATAGAAGCGTTAGTGCCAGTGTATAACTGAGGGCATGATTTACATTTTAAAAGAACTGAGATTTTTAACAAAACCAGCCTTGCTTCCATTCAAGGACAAGATACTTGGAACACAACTGCAAAATGCTTTTTAAGCGTAACGAATAAGTTTATGCTCGAAATAGCCATCTCATAAAGTAAGGTTTATCCATTCTCGGTGACTGGATATATCTGTACAGTAGAACGTCGATAACTCGAACTCCCCGCTAACTCGAACTAAATTTAATTTCCGTTGATCAAAAACTGACTGAAATTTACCCCGATAATTCGAATTCTGATTCTTGTAACTCCACTCGGATGGAACAGTACATTTTAATAGGCCACTTTCACGATGATGATATTTGACTACAACTACCAGAATCCGTTTCGTTTATGCTTTCTTATTTAAATTTGCCAATCCCGCTGAGATTTAGAAAACAACAGCCCTAATTTGCACAAGAAAACAACAAACTGAAGGATTCTGGTATTAGTAAATCAACGTCATCATGCAACTTTCCTATTGGTGAAACGAACAGATCATGTTTTATCGTAAAAAATGCCTAATCGTGCTACCGTTCATGATGAAATAAGTTACATTTGGATTCTACTGTATTTATTTGTTCATTTTTTTTTTTTAAAGAAATGCTGCGCAAGTTGGCAGAGAAAGCGCAGTTTATCACCACGACCTTCAGGCCTGAACTACTGGAGTCCGCTGACAAGTTTTATGGCGTTAAATTCCGTAACAAAGTCAGTCACATTGACGCCATTACCGCTGAACAAGCAAAAGATTTTATCGAAGATGATACGCAGGACAAGTAAAAGTTGCCGTTTCCTTTGTATTTGCACAGAGATATAGACATTCTGTACAGCGTAAAAACTTTTATCAAACCATTGTCTGTTTTCGTGAATGTTCTTTAGATAATTAAATATTGTAACCGCCTTGTCCAAACAAACCAAATGGCGCTGATGTCAAACGTTCGCAGTTCTCAGTGGTGCAATTTTAATGTCCACCCTAAACTTTGTCATTAAAGTTGTTATCATTATTCAAATATTATGTGATCTCATTGACTGAGAAATATAAATATTTAATTCCAGCTCCGAATTTTTAAGCCGGCTACTCATTACTGTTAGGACAGTCTTTGTCTCATTTTACTCTTTTCACCAAGCATCATAACCTAACCACGAAGGAAAAAATCTCTTGTTTGACCGAAACTATGGACCGGAAGACACTCGGTAGACGCGGAAGCCGGTCAGTCAAGAAGGCCGTATACAGCTGCGTAAAAGCGGCACGTGGAGTGTTTATCCGTGTACAACGCGGTGGGAGGGGGTGCTCGTACACGGGCTAGCCATTTGCAGCTTATTTACTGGAAAATGTGGAGGAACCGCCCGCCACACCCTTCGGCATTTGAAGCTTTTCCATAAAAAATGAAAAATTCCCAACTATCGCCTGGGGAGATGGACAAGCTTCGAATTGACTGAGCCATTCAAGTATAACTGACCTAGAAAGAATTTTTTGAGAACATGGGAACTGGTTGTGATAGTTTAGAGATTCTTCCGGAGCCAGAAGTCCGTGAACATCAGCTGAAATAGTGAGATTTGAAATACCTTGAAATTTTTCGACTGAAAATTTTAATCTGCATTTTTGACGGTAGACGGTAAAAAAATACCCTTTGCGACGGCGGACGGCTGAATGTTAGGCCCAGGTCGTTTGACGAATGACGGTTACCCACTGAGACCAATCTCTAACTCAAAGTCTTCTGGCTTTTTGGTCAGCGGGTCAAGGCCAGGGATGATTGAAAATGCCAGAAGACTGGGTATGAGATTGCAGTGAGACCTCTTTCGTTCGGGGATCCTCTGGCTTGCCGGTGGCCAGTGCGTGGGCGATAGCTTTAAAAAATTGGGTCCGACGTGTTTAAATTAGAGGTGGGAACAATTCAATCCCCGGCACTCCTTACTAGGTTTAATACATGCTACTTCTTCAAGTCGCAATAAGTTATCAATCATGAAACAGATGATTTCTTAATTCAGAACCAGATTATTGAGAAAAAGAAAGTTGTTATGAACTATAATACATACAAATTAAAGATACTTCAAAAACAGAGGTCAATTCTCATCTTTTCAACATAGCACAGTCATACTAATATTGATTAAATCATATTCAAATTAGCTGGACAACTTAGGAAAAGCCAAGTGTGAATTTCTCTTGAATATTTTATACTGGTGGTTTTTTACCACAACAACGTCAAAGCGATTCGGGTTTTCGCCCGTTGCTTTGGATATTTTACAAGTCGTTTGTTCTTATAGAAAATGTGAAGTAGCTAGTTGAGTAATATGTTATTTTTAAATAAAAATCGGGTAATTTAGCTGCTAGTTCGTTTTGTACTTGTCCCTTATTGAAGAAACGTTCTTTTATACTCGCAAGCTTTAAAATAATGATATACGGCCAAACACATATAATCAAGGGAAGCATTAAATGCAAATACAGCCAATCAGAATGCCCGGATCCACACCTGTCTTACAAAATTAATACGAATCGGCAATTCACCATGAGTTCCTCAGCATTTTTTGACAAGTGAATTACAAAGCTTCGCCGCGTTCTTCCAGCTAACCAGAAAAAGTAGAAACTCCCAGCGCTGTATCACGAACTAAGCACGGTCTCGCATGTAATTCATCGTTAAAGCGTGAAAAACAATTATGGATATTCTTACGAAGTTTGCGGAAGATAAGGAAAAGTCTGCAGCCTTAGAAGACGCTTTCAAATCTTCTAGATATCCAGATACGTTGACTATTTCGCTTCTCGCTGCCCACATTGGATCAACTGAAGAAGAAGTACAGGTATGGCGTTTTTAACAATTCTTTTTCTTGGTCTAGAACCACGAAAAAGTGAAGGCTATATAATATTTTGACTGAATGATCGAAGGAAAAAGGAAACCGGATGATTAGGAAATTGCGTCTGAAATGTAGAAAAAATATTCAGATCTTTTGCAACCAATTTTTGCTTCAATCAAATACTTAATATACAGAAATGTTTTTAGTGTATTTCTATACATCGTGGTTTACCGAAAAGACCTATCAGAAAAAAATATCCACTGATGATATAACCAAAATTCCCCCTTAAAGTTCGTTTGGAGGATTTATCGTCATTCATCCTTTAGCGGATATTCTTCCTCAAACTTAAACCTCAGACGTTTTGTAAACACAATGAAAGACTATTCAGTTTGTACAGCGCGGCGCTCACGTTGCGGCAATACATGAAATTTTTCTGGCGCTGTGAGTGCATAATTAAATTTCGAGCGCGTCGCACTTCGCATTATTTTTAAAACTGCCACTGTAAGAAAATATGTCTACCTGCCGAATTTTCGTTTTTCGTCCTTAATAAGAAGAAAATCTTGTACTGATCTGTTTCGCTGAGTTTTCGAAGCGTTTTTTTTTTAACCACTATTGGCGATTCATTAACATAATGCTGATTAATAAAATATGCGATTATTATTACTTTTGCCTGTCTAACAAAAATGTTTTGCTTTTTCAAACATCGCAGAACTGGTTCACAGCAAGGGTAACAAAATGGAGGAAGGAAGAAGGATTTGTTCCAATTGCTGAACGAGCAGCAATTTTGGCTCAAAATATGAGCAAAAGCGGCACTAAAGAATGAGAACTGACGAGCAAACAGAAGGCAAAGTTGAAAAAAATATAAAAATATATAGGTAGGAGTCCAACACTTTCGGCCGAGAACATCAATGTGACAGCTTGTAAAACTTCTCCACTGCCCGTAACAAGCTACATTATTTTTTAAAGTGTTGGAGCTTTAAGTTGTGGGATAAAGTACCACAATTCTCAGCATTAATTGGAGAAAATATTTTAAAAATACGCATTGATAGTAAAATCCGAATATTAACGAAACTTTTATTTGGATTTCTTCTTTTCTTTTTAAAGAAACCATTATTAATTGCATTCCCAAGAATTCGCTTGTAGTTTACAATATTTCGTCCAGCATTATTGATTATCTGCAAAAAAATATTTTGGAAAAAAGGATAGTATTCTTTTTCTAGAGAAGGCCAGGCAACGCAACCAATTTAATTAATGTAATGTTCAGTGGAATATTCACTTTGGGAATTTAGGCGCGGGCGCCTTGAATTACCCAAATAAACAGGAATGAATCAGCTGAATGCAGGGGCCCCTGCTGAATGAATGTAAGTTTTTCATTTACAGATTAGAGATGTTACAATCTTCCTTGCCAGAAACATCTGTTTGCATCATCGCTTTCAAGGATAGGTTCTCAGAAGTTTTAGTAGTACATTCTCAAGAATCGGAAGTTAATAAATAAAGGCATTTTGTTGTTCTTTGCGTTTACTGTTGGGTTGGGGACTACATTGTATGTGTTGGAAGTAAGAGTATATATCATTGCTCCAGAGAAGGCCAATAAACAATATAGGCAATGTGGCAATAGCGACAACATTTTAAAAGTACCCCTACTGCAATACAACAACATAACTTTATTGTACGAATTAAAAAAATTAAAATTGCGTTAGAGGCACGAAAAGGCAAGAGAGCCGAATTAGTTCGAAATATCTCGATATTACTTTGATTTTATTTATTTATTCTTTAACATATTTGAGGAAGAAAAAATATCGTAAAATTCCGAAAATAAGCCCCGGGGCTTAAATTTTTCAGATACCCTTTTTGAGGAGCTTATATTAGGAGGGGCTTATATACGGAGGAAAATTTGCGTTTCAAAATTGGCTAGGCTAATACTTGGAGGGAAATTTACGCCTCAAAATCGATTGGGCTAGCTTATTGTTAAAAGGAAATTTATGTCAGTAATTTGCAGAAAGGTTTTACTGAAACTCGCCTTGAGGACTTAGATTTTACTAAAACTAAGCCATGCAAGTACTTTGTCTATATGAAACGAGGAACTCCAAGCCAAGAGCAATTTACGGTGACACTTTTTACTGCAATCATTTGGCACACGTAATAGCTCCTTCCAGGAGCCTATCAAATTTGATGGGCTCCGGCTCTTTCCCAAATGCGAAAATTTGTGTTTTACTGTACAGTTTTTGCTCTGTGTTATTTCAAATTTGAAAGCAATTTCCAATTACAAGCCGAGGGCTTAAATTTGGACGGGCGATTTAACGGAGGTTTTTTTGCGTTACGAGTTCGGGGGGCTTTTATTTGGAGGGACTTATACATGGAGGGGCTTATTTTTGAATTTTACGGTAATTATTTTGGCTTGCCCAGGGTTGGAACCCACTCACCTGTGTGACCCATCAGATCAGACGAGACCCTAAGTTGAGGGATTAGCCGATTGCGCCACTGCGACCCAAGGTAACTTGAAATACGTGAAAAATAGCTATAAGTTACGCACTAGGTACGGGATAAGTTGGTTACTTTTCGGATTGGTTAGAGTATTTGATGTAGTGAAACCGGAAGGAGTTCGAGTTCTTCCGGCTACAATAAATATTTCTGGCGGAGCGCGAGGTATTAACGGATTTGCGACACTCAGGAATTTCATAAACTTGCAGTTTGTTGCCGAAGTGAGGGCGGAAGTCGTTCGAGATATCTCCAGATCAGCTCGAGTTGTTTAGTTTATCTGAGGAAGAAAAAAATTTTTTTTGGCTCGCCTGGGGTTTTTAGTGAATTATCTTTGTCCCGTCAGATCGCGGAGACGAGAGTGAAGCATAAAAGATCGCTGATTTGTGGGTTTAGATTTTTGCCAGGGGTATATTTGCAGAACGCCGAATAGTAGGCGTGCGAGGATTAGTTATTTTGGGCTTATAGGAAACTGAGTGAAACCGGAAGTGAAGTTTTGGCATTCGTTAATACTCCTAGTTAATTATACAATGTACCTATAACAGGAAGAAAACCACTTCATGTACAAAACAATTATTGATAGCATTGCTCACCTTAAAGGTGAGGTTACACGGGACGATTCGCAACGACGATTTTTAGCGCAAAACAGCGTCACATTGTTGGAACAATGTTGTAACCATTCGAAACAATGTCGCAACAATGATGCAACGCTTTGTTGCGCTAAAAGTGAAATGTATGGAAATGTATGGTCCACCTTGCACTCACGCCAAAATATCCAAGAGACTTTAGAAAATAAGGGACTTCAGCTCCAAAAACTTGAAACTAGCTACACTGTTGATGTTTTATGCCCAATCTTTAAATTCTTTAAGAAGCAGATATCAATCAAATTATATCAGAGAGCACTAACGATAAGATTTTTTTGGTGATTTTTAGAGGCATAGCCCCCCCCGAAAAAAATGATAAAAAAAGGTGTAAAAGTTGCCCAGATTTCTTCAAGTTTTTGAATCTATTTCCACTTGCTACCCGTAGCAACAGAAGACGGGAAACAGTTTCAATGCATAAAAAAAAGTCTTTAATGACAAAACTGAGGCATTATTTCAATTTCGTGGTAATGCAATTGATGCGAATAAATGTTTTAGCCGAGAGAGAAAACAGCGTGTTATAGGCCCCGTTTAAGTTGAAGGAAAAAATGGCAAAAAGGCTACCAAACAGGTAATTACTAAAACAAGGCCTAGAAAAAGCACGAGGAAAGCGACGGTTTCATAACTTCAGGTTATGTGGTGTTCACAATAGATTAAAAACCAGTACCTTCTGAAGGCTTGAAATTGGAAGCCCTGTGTAATGTATGCAAGGAGAAATAATTCAAACACAATTATTCACTTGAATCCGTTTGCACAGTTTATTACATCAAATGTAAAAATACAAAATCATATCGCAAACTGAGACAAAATCTTAGAAATACGATTAAAAAACTGCAGGTAAAAGCTAATGAAATCACTACTTTCTGGCTAAATATGTGACAAATAGTACCAACAAACAAAGTAAAACTTTTGAAGTCTAATTCTGTTTAAAACTTCTAGTGTTAAGCTAAATTAGTTCATATTAGACGGAAGGAAGGATTTAACCGTTTTCACCTAGGGGAGCTCAAACAACAATGACGGAGACGGCTTTGAAAGTGAATTCGCATCGCTTCGAACTTTATCGCGCTTATTCCATCTTTGGCCAATTCGTCAAATCTTGTCAAATTTTTCTGAAGTTGAATTCTAAAAGACAGTATCAGAGGTCAGGAAAAGAAAACGAAAGTCGTCTTGCTTTCACGTACGTCCTCCACAAAACTTTTACGTTGTAGTCGTGCAGTGGCGGCGATGAATGTACAAAAAAGCGTGGTGCACAAGCAAAGGTTTTGTTTTGCCAGTCTGTTGATTTTTGCCGTTCTCGTTGCTGTCGTCGTTGTCGTTGCTTAAGCCTCCTATTCTTTATTGTTTACTTGGGTATTGGCATCTAATTTGAACTGTGCGGATGCTAGCGAAAACAAAAAACACTGTATTTTCAAGCCTGTTCAGTTTCTCATGGAGCCATCGCCAACAACATCTCTGCCAAAAGAGCCTCACCAAAGCGGCTTTGAGACTATATTCAGTTCATGAGTCCATATGAGCCCTTAAATGGACTTAAATGAAATCAATTTACCCAAGAGACTATAAAGGGGACAGAGAGGGTATCCCCCATATACACCCTACTCCATAGGTAATTCGTCTCGAGTTATTTTTAACACCACAGATCTCAAGGGGGATTAGACAACAGCCAATCACATAGCGCGAATGTGTTCCGCGTGGATGACCCACGCTGAGAGCCACGCGTCCTTCACGAAATGACGCAGAACAAAATGGGGGAAGACGCGGAGAGCGATTTTGCTATTCCTTTTGTCGACGAAAACGACTACAGCGAGATTTCTGAGAAAGCTGTGTCAGCGAAACCGAAATTAAAAAAGAATCGCCCTTCCTCTCTTGTATAGAGCTAAGAGTAGAGTAGGGAAATCCTTAACACACTGAATATTCTCTCAGGATCATTTATAATTTACAGTTTGAAGACAGCAATAGACCAATTCGGCTAACTCAATGTTGTACCCAATTCAAACCCTTTGGGAATAAAACTTTTTGGTCTCAGGAATTTCCATATCATTTAAATGTGAATGCCACCTTATAATGCAAATACAGTGCACAAAGAATCTTAACCCCGAGAGATCTGAATTGGGTACAACATTGCGTTAGCCGAATTGGTGTATTTCTGGTTTGATGTTTATTTTTTTCAGTCTTTATAGCGATTATTCCTACCCACTTACTCAATTGCAGGCGAACCCTCCAAAAGCTGAATTTCAAGGGACCATATTCAAGCTCAGAAAGAGAAATAAAATTTCGTCGTTGCTTATTTACGTCCTCCATAAAACGCGAAATTAGGCATTTTCACGTCGTAGTCGTGCAAAAACGGGAAAGAAATGAACAAAAAAGTGTGTTGCACGTGCGAAGTTGTTGTTTTGCTAATTAAACCTATTGTTTTTTTTTGACGTTCTAGTTGTCGTCCGCGTCGTTGGATCTTAAACTCCCTAAATTGTACAAACGACCGGTTTCAATAGACCGGCGAAATTTCTCATTTTATTAAAACACTGAGGTTACGACAACTTCGAGTTAAACTGATTTCACGGGTTGTCAAAGAGTCCAGCGATTCCTTTTTCCCAGGTGAGCGCCGACTCATTTCGCTTCAATATTCAGGAATGCTCTCGATCTTTTTACGCTTTCATTGCCTCTCGCCCGACATGTTTTGCACGGCGTTTGGTCATGCGAAACCTCCACGAAACATCCACGCCTCGCGCGAGGTAACTTTATCCCGATTCTAAAAATAACTCGAGACGAATTACCTATGGAATATGGTGTATATGGGGGATGCCTTCTCTGTCCCCTTTATAGTCTCTTGTTTACCCCTAATTTTAGATAGCGTTGGAAAATTAAAGTGCTTCTAACAAAAAGCACTTTTTGTTTTAGGATGAACCGTCGGCATTACGAAGTCATAGTAATTTAGAAATGTTTTAAAAGTGCCATGATAGTCTAATTCAACGTGGTGTTAAGTAAATGTCTCTCATTAGGACACCAAACAGACAACAATGGCGGCCAGGATCGCAGAGAGCATGGCACGTGACTCCAGCATATTTGCTGCTCCTGGGACCAGTATGTACTTGGTTGGTAGTACTTCTCTGTCGGTGTGCTTGGAAATATCTTCATTTCCATCCATAGAGCTGTGCATGGCCCACGCAATCATGACTTCAGTACCAGGCTACATAAAAATATATGTAAAGAATTTCATGCTATTTTCAACCTTGTGAAACAGCAGCAAGTTCCTAAGGCCCCCGCGAGGGAGGGTTCCTCCTTATAAGAGGCTAATGGGGATGTACCGCTGGATGGGGTAGCATTTTCAATTGAGTTACTAGAATGGGGTCTCACATTTTCGGATTTTTTGGTGTAAGACAGTTCTTCAAATTTGCGGTTAGCAAACTTACCAGAATGTTTGCGCTGTAGGTGAAAAGTAAAGCGTTCTTCATTCGGTTTAAATAATGGGTCAATTCATAAAAATAGAAAGTGGCTAAGTTAGGATCGCGAAAATTACATATTTGCCCAAAAGTGACTAAGATGGGGTCTGTAATTGGCCCCAAAATAGACTGTAATGGAGTAGGGGCTATCAGAGGCCAGCGGCACATACCCAGGAAAAATTAACCCAAGGACACCCCCCCCCCCGGCTAAGACTCCAAATAAAACATGTATTTATGTATGTATGGAGAAGACTTGTCCGAGATAGAAGGGTCACTTGCCTACCCGAGCTAGTATCCAGGGTTAGCCAAATCTTCCTACATTCCCTTAAAAAACTTGGTGAACTGTTTACGAGAATCAAACAGTTGGCTCGGCTTGCAGGATGACACGCCTATCCAGGTTACATATTTCGCTGGTCAGGTCAACGTTTCTCCATGTAATCAAGTTGGCTCGTCAAGCCGGGTCAATTCAGTCAAGGCAGGCATGCACTTGCGCTGTTGTCAGCTCTTGGTTTGTTCATATAAACGCTCCGGGCTAAGGATGACTCGGCTAGGAAGGTGACCCTCTGTCCAGGGAAGACTTTTCTCCATATAGTCGAGGACTAAATTAAACTTGGATGCCTATTCTCACTTGGGCCTGTCACAAACAAACGCCCCTTTGCCTCTTGGACCTGTGTATTTAATTCCGCCATCTGTGGATCCACAGGAAAACCGGCTGTACACAATATTTACGAATTTAGTGTAAATAGACGTATTTTATCCTGTTTTCCCTTCTCTTCGTTGAGACGGACACCTGACAACAGGTTGTCGCACTTCCTCCCCGCAGGGATGGCTCGCTTTTGTACCCGAACTCCCGCTCCTTTCCATCTCCGGGTGGGGCGTATGGGAGTGGGGTCCACGGTCCCACCCGGAGATGGAATTTTAAAAAAGGAAGAACTTACCTTAAACTGAACATCGTTATCAGTGTCGCTTGTCTCTGGATCTCTCTCAAACTCCACCGTTGTATATCCACCAGCCTCGGTTGCCGTTCTAATAACAAAGTCATTTGCACTATCCTTTGATGGTTTTTTCGTTGAGGTGCTCCAGTAATCCTACGGGTAAAGAAACAAAGTCTCTTATTTACCTCTTTAACACAGACCGTCACTTTTTAAGGTATTAAATCTTAAATTACAACTTCGTGCTGAGCGCGAAATTTCTGAGACCTGCTGCCTCATTAGACTGCTTGAATGGCCTTTTGCGCACGATTTTCAAGGTCATAATGTCTTTCTCTTCAGCCAACATACGAACACTGTCTATAGTCTCCTTAGTCTCATTACATCCATTCACTCACGTCCTCATTTTCACGTTCAGTGGATCGTTCGCTTTTCTAATCTAACCAGGTTTTTCTTATTTGGAGATCTTGTCTTAAAAACTGCGTTTTGAATTGTTTTTTTAAAGAATCTTTTTTTGACGACATAAAAGGTTTTGTAGATCTTTTATAAGAACAGATTTTGTTGTTATGAACATTGAGTATCCGTTGCGGACTAACTGACGCACTTAACTACCGCTACATAGCTGCAGTGGGCACAAATATAAGCGATATCTACCTCCTTGTTGACTCAAGAGTATGTTAACAGTTTATATCGTTGCTATGTATCGACTGACCTGTAAAACAGCTTCATAGCTAAGTGTTAGTCACCTTAATAAAGTATGTATGTAGTATGTATGAATATATCTAGTGATCTCAGTGTTACCAGGAGGAATCACTCAAAATTGATGAGGATGTATAAGCCACTAGTAATAGTAATATTTCCTTGGGTCTTACTGTAAATTTGGAAACGCTATTCAATACACTAGCCCATCTGGAGTACGTCAAATGTTCTAAAGCAGGGTAGTTCTTTATACTGAATGAAACTCCATATTACTTACATCAAGATAGTTGTCGCCGGAAGCGACCCCGCCCAAGGCAATATCGTAATCCTGCATGCCGCTACCATCCCCTGTTGTAAAGGCGACTGCACACCAACCAGTGGTTTTACATCTCAATGTGAAAGACAACTTGTTGTTGCTGTATATCCAAGTCAGCATAAATTTATCACCGAAACTAACGGTCGTGGCTGCTTAACAAAGAGATAAGGATTAAAAAGATCATGTTAAAAAAGGTTTCTTACCGAAACGCTAAAATATTGTACTATTCGTGTGACTTACACGATCTTATACATACATGCATTTTTTATTGTGTTTTGAGGTAAAAGTACAATTATAACATGCCCTCGGGTAGCTAAGCTAATTCAGGCGGGTCATGTTTACAGGAAATAAATACAACTAAATACAACTAAAAGTAACAAGAGAACTAAAGAAACTAAAATTGGCAACAATAACTAGAGACTACTGATAAGCTAACGGTATTACTAATAATAAATGACAGCAGTTAACAGTTTGGGGTAACTACAATCCTCGTCACAAATCTTGAAACACTTGTGTGATTTTCCCCTCCCCAATGTTGACTTGGGTTTGCAGTCATTTCAGTGGTCCAAAATACGCTCGGCTCAACATTGGGGAAGGAGAGGGGCACATTTGAGTGAGAACAAAGGTGTGAAGAGTGAATGTAAGAAATTTGGAGAAAATTCAAGACAAATGGCCCCTGTTTCAACGATTTGTGACGAGTGTTGTAGGTTGAAAGCAAACGACGGGTCACGAGAGTTAGATCCGTTCATAAAATCAAAATAATTGCGCTAAACGGTTTGTAACTTATTTGCCAGTTTAGGTCCAACAGAAGCGAAATGGTCATTAAGAACGTTGCTTATTTTACTTGGGTCACTGGTGACAGAATCATTGTCATTAGGGTCTTTAATAAAAGTAATAGGTTTTGTGTTCTTCAATTTACAGGCAAGTACATTGTTTATTCCCTCCAATGTAATTTCATATTAGTTAAGTTAACATTAAAAAATTTAGAACAATATTGCTGTTTACTTAAATGCGTTAAGGTACAAATTATCCTATAAGACGTTTATAATTGTTAAGCTCCGGCTTCCGCAGCTAAAACCCTGACTGAAATTGGTTGTGTAGAGATAACATGATCTAACAAAATTCTTATGTACATGTATCCGGTGTGGAATAATAGTCAGTAATAGGACAACTGCACGATGACGATATTTGACTACAACTACCAGAATTCATTTCGTTTTTGCTTTGTTATTTAAATTTGTCAATTCCCTTGAGGATAAAAGAACAATAGCCTTAATTTGGACAAGAAAACAACAAACTCAAGGATTCTGGTAGTTGTTGTAAAAATGACGTCGTCGTGCAATTGTCCTATTGTGGCTCACTCACCGGTCACAATATGCGCATCCTGCTTGGGAGCCCTCGGTGGGGGAGGGGGGGTGGGTGTGGAGGGGGTCAGTGTAATTATTTGGGGTTGGCCCTAAGAATCCAATAGATAAGGCTTAGACGAGTAGCTCTTTCATTATAATATTCATTTTAAGTTTTTCATTTTCCGCGGCTCTGACTATAGACAAAGTGATTTTTTTTAAAGTTCACTGACAATATGCCGAGTTAACAATGTCAACAATTCGCTTTTTATAATATTGGAAGAATAAGGTAAATCTCGATTAGCTATAACTTGTTCTTACAATTAAATTAACAGAAATGATTATTGGCTAGTCTACATTACCTGTTGATTGAGGCGTTAAACCAATTGAGGAAGAGGGCACCATCATGGTACTGGTGGTAGGTGTTATTCCTGAAGAAAAAGCAATTTTCGCTGAGTTCTAGATAGCCAAAAAAGTCCTCAAAAAAGTTATTGTCAGTATTTAACTGCCAAAATGGGCCCGAATTTTGGGGTTAAAAACAAATCTTTTGAATTTAAATTGTAGCCGCAGCTCATGACGGAAAAAAATTTCGACCAGGATAAATAACTATTTCAACCCTACACCAGTAAATGGTCATTTATCATGCGCGACGGAATGTACTAATTTCCGTCCTGATTATGAACTATCTACAGTAGGCTGTGAATCAGAATCGTGATGCTCCCACTAACGACTACGACGTTGAGAATTAAAATTATTCAGTCCGTGAGTCCATATCACCACTTAAATGGACTTAAATGAAACCAATTTGCCCCTAATTTCAGATAGCGTTAGAAAATTAAAGTGCTTTTAACAAAAAACACTTTTTGTTTTAGGCTGAACCGCCGGCATTACGAAGACATAGTGATTTAGAAATGTTTTAAAAGTTCCATGATAGTCTTATTCAACGTGGTGTTAAGTAAATGTCTCTCATTAGGACACCAAACAGACAACAATGGCGGCCAGGATCGCAGAGAGCATGACACCTGACTCCAGCATATTTGCTGCACCTGGGACCAGTATGTATTTGGTTGGTAGTAATTCTCTGTCGGTGTGCCTAGAAATATCGTCTTTTCCATCCATAGAGCTGTGCATGGCCCACGCAATCATGACTTCAGTACCAGGCTACATGAAAAATATGCAAAGAATTTTATGCTATTTTCAAGTTTCTGGAACAGCAGCAAGTTCCTAAGGCCCCCGCGGGGGAAGGTTCCTCCTTATAAGAGGCTAATGGGGATGTGCCGCTGGATGGGGTCGCATTTTCAATAGAGTTGCTAGAATGGGGTCGCACATTTTCGGATTTTTTGGGGTAAGACAGTTCTTCATATTTACAGTTAGCAAACGTACCAGAATGTTTGTACTGTAGGTGAAAAGTAAAGTGTTCTCCATTCAGTTTAAAAAACGGGTCAGTTCATAAAAATAGAAAGTGACTAAGTTAGGATCGCGAAAATTACATATTTGCCTAAAAGTGACTAAGATGGGGTCTATAATTGGTCACAGAATAGACTATAATGGGGTGGGGGCTATGAGAGGACTGAGAGGCCAGCGGCACATACCCACCCCCCCCCGGCTAAGACTCCAAATAAAACGTGTATTTATGTATGTATGGAGAAGACTTGTTCGAGATAGAAGGGTCACTAGCCTACCCGAGCTAGTATCCTGGGTTAGCCAAATTCTCCTACACCTTAAAAAACTTGGTGAACTGTTATCGAGAATCAAAGAGTTGGCTCGGCTTGTAGGATGACACGCCTATCCAGGTTACATATTTCCTTGGTCAGGTCAACTTTTCTCCATATAATCAAGTTGGCTCGTCAAGCTGGGTCAAGTCAGTCAAGGCGAGCATGCACTTGCGCTGTTGTCAGCTCTTGGTTTGTTAACATAAACGCTCCGCGCTAAAGATGACTCGGCGGGGAAGTGACCCTCTGTCCAGGGAAGACTTTTCTCCACATAGTCGAGGACTAAATTAAACTTGGATGCCTATTCTCACTCGGGGCCTTCACAAACAACGCCCCTTTGCCTTTTGGATCTATGTATTTAATTCCGAGCATCTGTGGATCCACAAGGAAACCGGCTGTACACAATTTTTACGAATTTAGTGTAAAAGGACTTTTTTGTCCTGTTTTTTCCTCTTTTCGTTGACACGAACACCTGACAACAGGTTGTCGCACCACCCTCCGCAGGGATGGCTCGCTTTTGTACCCGAACTCCTCCCTCCTTTCCATCTCTGGGTGGGGCGTATGGGAGTGGGGTCCACGGTCCCACCCGGAGATGGAATTTAAAAAAGGAAGAACTTACCTTAAACTGAACATCGTTATCAGTGTCGCTTGTCTCTGGATCTCTCTCAAACTGCACCGTTGTATATCCACCAGCCTCGGTTGCCGTTGTAAGAACAAAGTTATTTGCACTATCCTTTGTTGGTTTTGTCGTTGAGGTGCTCCAGTAATCCTGCGGGTAAAGAAACAAAGTCTCTTATTTACCTCTTTAACACAGACCGTCACTTTTTGCCGTATTAAATCTTAAATTACAACTTCGTGCTGTGTGCGAAATTTCTGAGACCTGTTGCCTCACTAGACTGGTTGAATGGCCTTTTGCGCACGATTTTCAAGGTGATAATGTCTTTCCCTTCAGCCAACATACGAACACTGTCTATAGTCTCCTTAGTCTCCTTACATCCATTCACTCACGTCCTCATTTTCACGTTCAGTGGATCGTTCGCTTTTCTAATCTAACCAGGTTTTTCTTATTCGGAGATCTTGTCTTAAAAACTTCGTTTTGAATTGTTTTGTTAAAGAATCTTTTTTTGACGACATAAAAGGTTTTGTAGATCTTTTATAAGAACAGATTTTGTTGTTATGAACATTGAGTATCCGTTGCGGACTAACTGACGCACTTAACTACCGCTACATAGCTGCAGTGGGCACAAATATAAGCGATATCTACCTCCTTGTTGACTCAAGAGTATGTTAACAGTTTATATCGTTGCTATGTATCGACTGACCTGTAAACCAGCTTTATGACTGACCTGTAAACTAGCTTCATAGCTAAGTGTTAGTCACGTTAATGAAGTATGTATGTAGTATGTATGCATATATCTAGTGATCTCAGTGTTGTATAAGCCGCTAGTAATAGTAATATTTTCTTGAGTCTTACTGTAAATTTGGAAACGCTATTCAATGCAGTAGCCCATCTGGAGGACGTCAAATGTTCAAAAGCAGGGTAGTCCCTTATACGGAATGAAACTCCATCTTACTTACGTCAAGATAGTTGCCGTTGGAAGCGACCCCGCCCAAGGCAATATCGTAATCCTTCATGCCGGTACCATCCCCTGTTGTAAAGGCGACTGCACACCAACCAGTGGTTTTGCATCTCAATGTGAAAAACAACTTGTTGTTGCTGTATATCCAAGTCAGCATAAATTTATCACGGAAACTAACAGTCGTGGCTGCTTAACAAAGAGATAAGGATTAAAAAGATCATGTTAAAAACGGTTTCTTACCAAAACGCTAAAATAATGTACTATTCGTGTGACTTACACGATCTTATACATACATGCATTTTTTATTGTGTTTTGAGGTAAAAGTACAATTATAACATGCCCTCGGGTAGCTAAGCTAATCTAGGTGGGTCATGTATACAGGAAATAAATACAACTACATACAACTAAAAGTAACGAGAACTAAAGAAACTAAAATTGACAACAATGACTAGAGACTACTGATAAGCTAACGGTATTAATAATAAATGACAACAGTTAACAGTCTGGGGTAACTACAATCCTCGTCACAAATCTTGAAACACTTGTGTGATTTTCCCCTTCCCAATGTTGATTCGGGTTTGCAGTCATTTCAGTGCTCCAAAATACGCTCGGCTCGACATTGGGGAAGGAGAGGGGCACATTTGAGTGAGAAGAAAGGTGTGAAGAGTGAACGAAAGAAATTTGGAGAAAATTCAAGACAAATGGCTCCTGTTTCAACGATTTGTGACGAGTATTGTAGGTTGAAAGCAAACGACGAGTCACGAGAGTTAGATCCGTTTATAAAATCAAAATAATTACGCTCAACGGTTTGTAACTTATTTGCCAGTTTAGGTCCCGGCCAACAGAAGCGAAATGGTCATTAACAGCGTTGGCTATTCTACTTGGGTCGTGAGAGAATCATTGTCATTAGGGTCTTTTATAAAAGTAATAGGTCTCGTGTTCTTCAATTTACGGGCAAGAACATTTTTTATTCCCTCCAATGTTTTTTTCATATTAGTTAAGTTATCATTAAAAAATTTAGAATAATATTGCTGTTTACTTGAACGCGTTAAGGTACAAATTATCCTATAAGACGTTTATAATTGTTAAGCTCCGGCTTCCCCAACTAAAACCCTGACTGAAATTGGTTGTGTAGAGATAACACGATCTAACAAAATTCGTATGTACATGTATCCGGTGTGGAATAAAAGTCAGTAATTGTGGCTCACGCACCGGTCACAATATGCGCATCCTGCTAGGGTCCAACACGTTTCAGGCCAGTTAGGGCTTATAGCCCTGTGGAAGGGGGGCTCCTTTATCCATATCCCCGCCCCAGAATCTTGCTCACAGGCTCCAACATGTGTTGATACTGTGGTCTATTTTTTTTCCTCTTAATGGTTGTCTGGTCTCTCGGGGATCATTTGGTTTTGTTTTCGTTTGGGTCTTGGTGCTTTCCTTCACTTACGCCATGTATGAGTTAATTTTTTTGGTTGGTTCTCGTCTTTTTTTAGCCTGTGTACAGGCTAGTCTTTTCTCCGGGAGGTTTTTCTCTGAGTGCGTCGAATTTCCCCTCTCCTTATTTCCAATTCGTTCAGGAATGTTGTATCTTTAAGTAATGGTAACAGGACTGAGTGGAGTTCAATTCAGCGAGTGATCGAGCCAGTAATTTTGAATTTGAAATTACGAGCCCGATTACCGCTGAATTTTATGACACGAAGTCCTATTACCAATTAATTGAGTCAATAACAAAATGCGAGAATCTCAGTCTTGTAAATATTTAGCCACTATATTCACCTCGATTTCAAAGAATAATTGTTAAGGTGATTCCCTGGTTTTGCACTGCGCATTTCTTACTGCGCATAACAAGATGGCCGCCGTAAAAAAGAGCATGTGAAGTAACATTATTAAAATGAAGTTGACTGAAGAGAAACGCTATTGGAATTTTTGCTTGCAGTTGTTTCTTGCCGAGGTGAGACTTAATGTGTTGGGAATGTGCGTAACGTAAGCAGTACGCGTGTGCTGAGTTCTACTTCCTCTCGGAGAACCTCGATAGTGGATGTTTAACTTGTGATTACTCAATTTGAGTTTCATTTAAACGCTTTCTTTATCACATTGTGTCCTAAATGTGATATCTCGATGTAAATTCTGTAAAGACGGATTTTTTAATACTTTCTTCCCCATTTCACATACATTCTATTTTGACACTCGCCCCAGTCCTCTCTCAAAAATCGGAGAAAATGCATTTGGTGCGCACTTTCTTCAGCTCTACCGCAAAAACGAGTGCGGTGACCCCCATTTTTTATTTCATGATTTTAATAAGGACAGTGCTTCCTTTCGATGAGAAAAAAATTGGCACAAATCTATGTTCAGTTTTTTGGCAATTTTACTAAATTGTACGGATTGAGCTATCACGGGTCGAATAGCGCGTGTCCAATTTAATTCTACTTTGGAGCGTAAAGTAAAAACAAGGGCATTAAAAGGCATTTTCTGGTACGTAAGTGGATAAACAATACATTAAAATCAAATTCTGTGTGATACACAGAATCCTTATATTATGTTATTATGACAGGACCCCTTTGATAACAGTGCTCTTGCACTGAAGGGCTATCCTGTATAAATATTCGTTATTATTATTATTATTATTATTATTACCACATGCATCATCGAAAAAAACTCTCCTTTTTGTCTAGTTTTGGGCTGCCCGCGGTTTTTGTAAAAGGGTCCTAAATAGCCGTATTTGTCAGCATTGTGACGTCAAAACGAGCACGGTGACCCCAGCTTTTTATTAGTTTTTTATCATCTTCTTGACTTGTTGCATCAGTGTACCAAGTTTCATCTACAATCTATGTTTGGTTCTTTTACTAAGGAATCACCTTAAATGTAAATAAAAGTCACTGGACCAGTTAGTTTCATCCATTATTCTTTTCCAGTAGCAACTGGTCAGCTTACCTGGTCACTATTTTTTCATTGATTTTGATTGGTTATCACGTGCTATGTATTTAAATTTTATTGGCTAGTGGTATTTTCTACTTGATTATCATTGTTTCTTTAACTGTCCGATTTGACCTGTCCAATTACAAGCTCCTGGTAATCGGACAGGTCAAATCGGAAATTTTTGGAGTAAAATGAAGCTATAAATATAGTCTGTTAAGAACCAATCAGATTCAAGCATTTTGTTATTGACACAGTTAAGTTAGCAATACGATATAACAAAAGAAAATGTGCGCCTTCTCTCCTGAATGTAAGAGGACATGTAGAAAATCAAAATTATTTTTCAATAATAATATTCCTTTTTAGCTCGAGGCTTGAATAAATATTTTAATTCATATCTTTTAAAAAATTTTTAGTATTTGCAGTTCTCAATATTTTCGAAGATTTTCCAAGTTTTTGTTCGGCATAAGTTCAGTTTTGGTATTCTTGAGCATTAGAACTTTCTAACATATAGTCGATTTTCAGATCAGATGCAGTGTCGTGTTAAAGCAGGGCTTACACAATAACAAGTCTTTGTCCATCCCTTATACATATATCTTCATCCTCTCTTGATATTTGTTATTTTAAAACTGGATCACTGAAATTTATAATCAGTGGTCAGAGTAATTATTTGGGGTGCTTTGAACGGTGGTCATCGGAAATGATAAAAAATATTCGAGGTTGTTACTATCAAACATTAAATTACTGACACAAGTAATCATGATTGGATAAGGCTTAGACGAGTAACTCTTTCATTATAATATTCATTATAAGTTTTTCATTTTCCGCGGCTCTGTCTGTAGACAAAGTGATTTTTTTAAAGTTCACTGACAATATGCCGAGTTAACAATGTCACCAATTCTCTTTTTATAATGTTGGAAGAACAAGGTAAATCTTGATCAGCTACAACTTATTCTTACAATTAAATTAACAGAAATGAATATTTGCTAGTCTACATTACCTGTTGATTGAGGCGTTAAACCAATTGAGGAAGAAGGCACTACCATGGTACTGGTGGTAGGTGTTATTCCTGAAGAAAAAGCAATTTTCTCTGAGTTTAGATAGCAAAATAAGTCCTCAAAAAAGTTATTGTTAGTATTTAACTGCCAAAATGGGCCTCATTTTTGGGGCTAAACATAAATCTTTTGAATTCAAATTGTAGCCGCGGCTGAAATGACGGAAAAAGATTTCGACCAGGATAGATAATTATTTCAACCCTACACCAGTAAATGGTCATTTGTCATGCGCGACCGAATGTACGAATTTCCGTCCTGATTATGAACTATCTAGGCTGTGAATGAGAATCGTGATGCTTCCGCTAACCACTACGCCGTTGGGAATTAAAAGAGCGTCTAACAAAAAGAAAATTAAACAGTGAATGATAATGATGATAATGATAATCATAATAATAATGATGATAATAATAATAATAATAATAATAATAATAATAATAATAATAATAATAATAATAATAATAATAAACACTTTGTGTTACGAGAAGAAGAATCCAGACTACGAAGTCGTGATGATTAAAAATGTTTGGTTGCAGTGATTGAGGCCATATTCACAGAAAAGCGGATAGCCTTTGCGCCGGCACAAAAATCATACCGGATAGGATTTCTGTTCACATATTCGATTTCGACGCGATTTCTGTAACGGAGCGAAGCTGTGCGCATGTATTCCCTTCGATCAAGTGGAGCGTCACATATCGGAAAGATTTTTTCCTACCCTCAGCCACAAGTTGCTCCAAATTTTCTTAAAAGATCATTTTCTCCAAAATTCTTAAAAAGTCTACGGCGGGGAACGTTTAAATCTACAGCAAGTGTGAAATGTCATTTTTTCTTCTACAACTGAACTTTCTGAAACGAAAACCCTCTCAGACTAAAATCTTTTTGTCTTTGGGTTTCATTGTGCAAGTATTCTCCTGTTGTGCTAGGGTCGTTTTTCATTCAAGGCAGAGTATTCAGATGTTTGTCGCCATTTTGAAAAACGTGGTCCTATTTCCAAACCATTGATCTCAAATCCCTGGTAGTCCACTTAACGAAGGGCGAACAGGGTTAAACTCTCACTTTGTTATTTGTTATCTCTGTTAGCCAATCAGAAACGGAGAAATATTTTGGTGGAATGATATATTTAGTCCCCTCAAGCGTTGCCCGAGACAAAATCAATTTCAGTATCAATATGTCCTGGGAGCCGTTTCTCTAAAGTCCCGATAATCAACGGGCTAGTAAAGCTGTTGTTTCTTCCAGCAAGATGAAGGTTTCAATAGTTTGGCATTTAACAAGATAAAACCATCAGTTGATGAAACAAAATGGAGAAGTTTGCTACCCAGGACCCGTGCTCTCATTTGTTTTATTTCGATTTGAAAATTTGATTTCGGGCCCGAAAAGTCACCGTGGAACCTCGTTATAACGAACCCCTATGTAAGGAAGACCTCGATATAACGAAAGATTTTCTTTACCCCAGTAATAGTAAAATATATGAAAATGAACCTCGATATAACGAAACCTTGTTACAGCGAACAATTTTTGCCAGTTCCTTGGCCCTTCGTTATATCGAGTTTCCACTGTAATTGCATCCTCGGAGACCCAGGGGCAGTTAGTCGGGTCGATAAAATGTTTGTGGTGAAAGTTTACTGTAAGATCGAGACGAGCCCCAATCTGAGACTATGATTTATGTTGACATCTGTCATTACCTGTTGGTTGAGGCGTGGAAACAAGAGATGTGAATGGCATCATCATGGTAGTGGTGGTAGGTGTCATCGCTGCAGCCATGGCCTCAGCGATCAGGTTTCGCTTATTTGTTGTTCTTCCCCTGTTGGTGTTACCGTGGTATGGGCTCAAATTTGACGCCGTTGGATCGGCATCGTCAGTTGGGTGCATAGCCCAGACAATATAGACTTCAGTGTTCATCTGAAATCCAAAGGTAGACAAAGAAAACAAGTTTTCGAAGTAAACAAGTATACTGAAATTAAAGAAATGGAAATGATGAAGAAACTGAATCCTGGGTTAAAGTGCTTTCCCCCACGTACCCGTAAAACTTACGATACAGTAATAAAAGCAGCAAAATGTTATCCTCTCAGTTTCGTATTTCAGACCTCAGGTATGGAGATGTGTGGTCTCGACACCACGTGGACATCTGAATTTTCAGAAAATCAAAAATAGCAGGCCATTTTAAATGACCTCAAACACCCTTAGCATGCAGCACCATACTAAACAATGATCATCATCTTCTTTGCTTTTTGTGCCAGAAGGAGAAAAAGGCCTTACACCAAGGTGTTAGAAGTATGATTCCACTGGTTTCTACGGGGATAAGCCACTAGCGACAGATGTTCGTCTGTACTCATAGAACTGGCTTAGTGTGACAGAAGGGATCGAGGCTATCTATATCCCCGCGGCCCTACAGCAGCAGATGTTCGTCTGCACACATACAGCTGGCCCAATATGATGACTAAAGGGAGGCTTTTTATATCCTCCCGGCCCTATAGCACATTTATAACCAAACAGACGTTAACATTGGTAGAGTAGCAGACCTGTTTGCTACGAATTCGTAAAAGCAGGCTGCAGCTCAAACACGAAGACTTTGATCTCAAAAGCTCATTTGCCGAAAACACCATCACCCAACAGTCTGAAAGTCTTTGCATATCAGCATGGTATCAGTGATTATTTACTTTTGACTATGGGACTTCGATTTCTTATAATAACTTCTTGGTAGTCTTTACGCTAGAGACTAAACAAGCTAAGAAATATTTCAAGACAAGTAAATTTTAATTACTACGAGAAAAATAATTTTTCACACACAACCGATTCTTTTTTACTTCAGGTTGACTTATTAAGCTATTTTCCCACACAACAAAGTTAAAATTGATTGACATGTTTCGCCTTTCTCAAAGCTCAAGTCAGATAAGTCGGTCATAAGGATGGTTTTTAAGTCACTTGAAACTTTCTTGAATTGTTTCAACTTTCCGACTTTAATGAGATGCAAAGTAAAATTACCTGAGATTTTACTGAGGCCTTCACACAAGCATTTTTGGTGAGTAAAACTTAGCAGCTGGCCCACACACGTTACTTGAATATTTGTTAATGTACAACTTTACCGTAAACTGAACATCTAAGTTTGCTTCTCCTGTCGTCAAATTTCTTTCAAATTTTACGCTGGTATATCCACCCATCTCCATGGCTTCAACTAGCTGAAAGTTGTTGACAGCATCTTTTGGTGGTTGCCCTGTTGTGTTGCTCCAGTAATCCTGTAAGTCACATATGCAGGCGGTTACACATACAGTCAGTTTGGGTTATTTTGGTCATAATAATTGGAAGTAAAGTTTAGCCGTGTCTATATTAGATATAAAGACACTTCTAATCAAACATTTTTTTGTGTTTTTTTTTCCTTTATGAATTATAAATGACACCACCCTCTTGTGTTTCACCATGCGGTCGCTTACGAGAGCTCATTCTCGTAGTCAGCCTAATTACGACCACTCATCGAATTTATAAAACCAGTGGTTGCTTACAAGAGCTTCGGCTGTAATTTAAACAAGCGCTCTCATATAGTGAGTTCATGATGCCTGCAGAGGACGTTTGCATTTTCACAAATAATTACTTAGCTTGTCTGTTTTTACTTTATTCTACAAACTTATTTTAAATTTCATAAGCGTTCATTCTACAATTCTGCTTGGACTCGGGTTATGGCATATTTCAAGAGATTTTTTGCGTTTTCTACCTACAGAAAACATTCTTTGTGTTTCCTTGATGTTTGCTGGAACTCTATTAGGCTTGGCTCACTTTGTTTAATTGAAATTGAAACGTATGCGTTGACGCGTGCATGCTTTAAAAGATTTCAAGCGATCTTGGTAAGGGTTGAAGGAATTTTAAATTCGAAAACCGTCTTCAGAGTAGATAAACTCCCGAATGCTAAACGTTGTAAACGGATATTAACGTCGTTATTATTCATTGTACTCGCTATCTGTCTTCTTATTGGCTAAGATCATACCGCTCTATTTAGAAACCTGCGTACTTACAGATTAGTTAGTTATTTGCTAGCAGATAACTGTCTAATCTGCAGGTTGCGCGCGCAATTTATGATTTCCTGTAACAATATCAATTCAGGTTCCGTGCGACGGTGTGATTGTTGTTATTATTTTTTTCAAAACAATGTATAATAAAACAATTGTTAGATTTAGTTTTTGTGACATCCTATATAACATGCCAAGGTCTCGGTAAGACGGTAAGTGTTATCAGCCTTGGCCTTCGGCTCGGCTGATAACACTTACCTCGATTTTCATTATTCCGGATATCACAAAAAGTTCATCCAATAATTGTTTATCATCGTATGGAAAGACATAAACAAGGAAATTTCTATGTAGTAACAAGTTCAGTAAACAGACTAGTGTGGGCAGTGATGCCTCTCCTCCTTCGTTTTAGTACAAACGTAACATAGTTTTTAAACCATCATCATGAACTTGAATTGTCCGGTAAATAATTGTTGGTACCACACATGTGGACCGTTTTTGGACCTTTTTTCGCCAACCTTCTCATTCTTTTAAAGCCTCCGGTGAAAAAAAGACACCCTGTTCAAGTTGCGTTAACTAATGGAATATCTGCCCTTCTAGGGCATGATGAATTTATTTCCTTGATCACGTGCCGTAAAAAAGCCAAAACGTTGGAGTTCATTCATAATGTTGCAGAAAGACGGCGAACTAAGTAGAATGGTCACCTGTCGAGTCGGTCTTTTTGTTGAGTGGTGTTCGAAATTTGGGATATTAAAGACTTAAATCATTTCCACATCGCGTGACTCCCAAACAGTTGTTTGACACTGATTTGCTCTTACTAGAGCAATATGAAAAACGTAGAATTTGTCAGAGTGCGTCAAACGAACGGACCTTATGTACATTCCAAAGATGTCTTTCATTAACGGAGTTTTGTAAACAGAAATAAAGCACTACCATGGTTTTTTATTGACGTACTGAAAATGATTTTGAATTTGAAAGTATTTAAACTGATTCGTGCTCACCTATTTTTGTTATAGGTACGGTAAAACGGGCACCAAAAAGGTGCAACTTGTTTTGCAACATTGCAGCAAAAGAAGTTGAAAAGCGATGTTGCGCTTTTTACCACCCACTCTCAAACCTGTCTTTTAACAAATCAGATTGTTGCAGGTTGCGAAAAGTTGTTGCAGAAAGTAGAGAGTAGTTCTACTTTTTGCAACAAGATCTGTCTATGTTGCGCGTTTTACCTGCCCAAGGCAAACTTGTTTTGCAGCAAGTAACGTAACGCCTTTGTATGGCGTGACTCCCGCATAATCTTATCCAATCAGAAGTCAGTATTTATTCAACCTACAGCAACCTTTATTTTTTTCAATACAGGTTTAAAGGTGGGTGCTAGAATGCGTAACATGCTTGTCAACACGTTCTGCAGCAATGTTGCGAAACAACTTGGACGTCTTTGTTGCCCGTTTTACAGTAGTTTTATCTGTTACTATTTTTCACACTTTTACAACTTTTTAAAAAAAATTTCCCTGAGAATTCCAGTCAAATTTAATATTTTCTCGGTTTATACACAATACCCTTAACTATGGATTTTAGGATCATAACAAAACTTTTGTTTGAAAAAGGCTTATAAGCTATTTTTGTATCAGAAACAATCATACCAAACTAAACCAGTAAAGAATGAAACTTTGCGGATACGAAATCGCGAATATAAAAAGACTTCTTGTGAACGAAAAATGTCTTGAGTAAAGGAAATAAATAATTCTTTCTCTAAAAGCCGTTTACTCCTGGTTACTCGTACATTGGTTGTACGCAAAGTGACTTGCAAGCATTTCATATCATGACGCACGCCATTGTCATGTATCGAGAGGAGCAGAAAAATTTCAGTACGCTCTTTTAAATTAGTTTTAACCTCTTTTTTCCTTTCATAGATGAAATCCGTTACTATCTTTTACAGCAAGAATAACAACCCAGACCCTAAAGACTTTTTCCACATTCCCGCCGGCTCCAATAAGCAAGATTGTGATGCGTGATCGAGGCTTGAGTTAACATTTTAATAGCCTAAGGGTCTTTTATTCAAATCGACCACTTCTTTTTGTCACTTTTGTCCATAGGAATACGGGAAAGGTTTAATGTTCAGTTTTTATAATTTTGATAATTTAGGTGCGCATAAGTTAAAAGAATCCTTCTGTGGTGCTAAATCAACTTAAACAAACTGTTTTAGAAGAAAAAAAGTAGACTAAAGGGTCTGTATCATATACACCCTGAGGCAGATATATTGCTTTGTCCAAAGAATAGAAATGATAGGGTCTTCAATATTCCCTTAAAATCCGTAAAAAGCGCTTTGGTGTCCCGACTGATTTTTGTTTCTGACATGAGTTATCTGACTGCGGCAATAGCTGAGAAAATTTAAGACGCGAATGTTCTGAAGTCTAAAAGTCTAAAATCATGTCCGCAGAAATATTTAGCGCAGTTGGCACGCGATAGAAATAAATATAAGGCGGACGTGCAGATAGTTTATGCTGCGCTAACCTCAATTCAGTAAATGCTACCTTTGGTTTTGTTGAACACTATGCTTTTCCCACTAAGCAGTCAAAGATGAATTATTTCATATACTTCACTTCATTAAGCAGTTTTAATTCAAATTAAAATCATTCTACGCCGTCTTTCACTTTAAATAGACTGAAAAGATAGTGGGTGTCTTGGCAATCACTAAGCTGGAAATTTTTTAAAAAGTAAATTTTGTTTTACGAAGGCAGCCAAGATGCAACACTGTCTTTCTGAGTATGTAAATTGTTGCTTTCAACTCCGTATTTCAGAAAAATAATTATTCTGAAGGCGAACTCAAACTTAGTCTAGATCCCCTCGGTGCACATCACTGTCAAACTGTTCATCCAAGCAATTTTTCTCTAGCAACCAGGTAAACGATCAATTTACTTATAGTTTACTTGACTACCGAAAAGCACAACCGGTCACATTATACAAACTTACCTCAAGATAAGATGTGTTACCATCGACCCCGCCGGCAGCGATATCGTAGTTTACCATACCTCTACCGCCAGGATTTTCTGTAAAACCCACAGCACACCAGCCGGTTGCTTTACAAGTCATGTTGAAGAGCAGCTTGTTGTTGCTATAGGTCCAATGCAACTTGAAATTGCCGTCACCAGAACTAAACATAGCGTAATTCAATGCATGAACTACATGGAGAGAACAAGGAAACAAGATAAGCACAAAAAATGCGTAGTTCTTAGCGAACGCCATCGAAACAGCCTTCGCTTCGGATGAAATTCCCTGAACGAATGTAGCAGATAAGCCGCGCCGAATGGTAATGAAACCCAAACTGACTGAAACACTGGTATAAGTACCCTTAAAATAAATTTCATGTATAATAAATGTATTTGCATCATTAAAGGCGATTATCGGAAGTGTTAACTATTGTTTAGTTTTTTGCCTTGTCATGACCTGTTAGGGTTTCGTTTTTTGAAAACATTTTTCTCGCGATTATGATTAAAACAGCTTCCTCTCCTACAAATATACGTCCCAAGTATTATATACGTTATATATACGTTACAAACAGCAAAAATTACTTTTTTTACTGTTTAACAACTTTTCAAAAACCCACAACTAATTTCACCTGTTAAATCTTTTCAAGTTGGTCCATTCGTGTCTACTTGTGTAATTGCTGTGTTATAAGTATTGTAAAGTTTTGAGCTACTATTTTTATGTTTCACTCAATTTGGTGGCAGTTCCTACTGTTAAAATTTGGATAAAACTCGTTACTTTCATTTGTGCTAAATACAGAGTCAGTAAATATTATCAGCTTATGGAGCGAAAATATTGTTTGACTAAACGTGTGTAAGCTTTAGTGTGAATAGTAATATATCACCTTCCGTTTTCAGTTAGCTTCAAATCGTAAAAACGCTAGCAGTAAAGATTAAATCCTCACATCTTTAAAGGACAGACATTAACAAAAAATATAATAAACAAAAATATTACAGCACAAATTTTACGTTGCAAGTTTACATTGATAAAGTTAAGGTCAGCTCTATATTTGTCTTTTGAAATAAAATGCAGAAATTGTCACATCCTGATTGGTCGGAAGCTTTTGTTTATTATAAACAATTGACAAGAGTATGGTTGATTTCTGGAATAGAAACGCGCCCTTTTTCGGGTTATTTAGTGGTGAAGTTTCCTCTAGAGTTAGCTTTCTCTTGGCAGCGCTGACTCTCCTTCAAGTTTTGTTCACTGTGCCCCCTGATGAGAATGACTGACCTTCTGAGCAGACTTTAACTTTTAAATTACTATCTCATTCAGTCTACGTTCCTCTTTACATTAGTGAGCTCACTAGAACTTAATAACAGTGTACCATAGCTATTTCTCAATTTAGTTCTCGTATTGTTGCCAAATGAGTATTTACCACTTACTTAATGCTACACAGCGTATTTGTGGCTAATGTGTGGTCATTGAACTACTGGTGTGGTTATTGAACTAACGAAAAAGCCGGCAGCGATATCGTACATTTCCATATTTCTATCGGTAGCAGTTTCTGTAAAACCTACTGCACAATAGCTGCACAATTTTTCAAAATCAGAGTTGGAGTGGGCATGTGTTTTAAATACATTAGAATTTGTTGGGATTTTTTTGAACTAACGAAAAAGCCGGCAGCGATATCGTACATTTCCATATTTCTACCGGTAGCAGTTTCTGTAAAACCTACTGCACAATAGCTGCACAATTTTTCAAAATCAGAGTTGGAGTGGGCATGTATTTTAAATACATTAGAATTTGTTGGGATTTTTTTGGGGGATAACTTTTAGAATAATGTTGTTTCAACTCTCCTGCTTGTGTTACCACTTTGCACAGTTGTATTAAACCTCATTTCCTCCACTGGTACCGAAGAACCTGGTTCAGCAGTTAGCCTGTTCACAGACCCTCTATGTATTTTCTTTTCAGAGATCGTCGAACGCGCGTTTAAAAAATATAAAAACCGCAGGGGATTTATGGACTATAGATTACCACGAGCGCTGTCGAATTGTAAAAAAGAAGAAAAAAAATGTGGACAGGTGTAGGTCAGTTCAAGAACCGGAAAAAAGTGTGAGGTGCTGTACGATTTGCAATATGTGACTTATTAATTCCGTTCTTAACAACAGCCACCTAACAGCACACAAATAACAACTAACAACATATCTGGTTTATTTTACCTTAGTAGGCCGCTACGCTTTATTTAAAGACCAAAGTGAGCCTAAAAAACGAAATTGTGAAAAATACTTAACAGAATACAACAAGGAAAATGAACGGAGTTTTGGATACGTATCTACAAGAGACGGAGGCCAGAAAAAAACCCTACAAAAAAGCCGCCAGAAGGGCGGGAAAAATAGAGGAAACCTGAGTAGGAACCAAGCCCAAAAACTCCACGACCTTCCTATAAGGCCGAAGAAAACAATAAAAGAAAAATATAAAATTAAGCTTTCTCGCAGAAAAGGAAGAGTAACGACCGGGCTTGACTCGCATACTAAACAGCCTAATATTTATTTCTGCCAAAATACTAATTCCACTCTGCACGTATTAAACATACAATTGCTGTCACAAATACTTGTTGTCACAATCATTTAAAGTATCTGACAGTGATCTTACAAGTAATCAACAGCTAAAATAATTGCGAGCAGAAATCTATTTTCTTCTAATGGTACGTAACCGAAGAGAATTTAAAATCCCGTTAAGCCATGCAATTTGCGATATTTACAGTAGAAATCGGTGCGGTCAATTGTTTGCATGGGGTCTCGGATTATGCAAGAAAGAATACATCTAGATTATTTTCTCTTGGTTTCTGTCTTTCAATATTGTAGTGCGTAACACGCATTTTGCCTTCACAAACAGCTTCCTTGTTGAATGTATTTAATATTGCTGACATAGTGTTACAGTCAAGAGAGGATAAAGGGGACAGAGAAGGCATCCCCCATACATACCCTATTCCATAGGTAATTCGTCTCGAGTTATTTTTACGATCGGGATAAAGTTACCTCACGCGCTGCGTGGATGTTTCGTGGAGGTTTTGGCATGACTAAACGCCATGCAAAACATGTCCGGCGAAAGGCAATGAAAGCGTAAAGACATTAAGAGCATTTCTGAATATTGAAGCGAAATGAGTCGGCGCTCACCTGGGAAAAGGGAATCGCTGGACTCTTTGACAACCCGTGAAATCAGTTTAACTCGAAGTTATCGTAGCCTCAGTGCTTAAACAAAATGAGAAATTTTGCCGGTCTATTCAAAGCGGTCGTTTGTACAATAAAGCAAGTAGCAAGTAATATTCATGTACGTGTAATTAGTTTTACAAATTTGAATGTTATTGTAGTTTTTTAAAGTTGTTAAGCGCTGCTGATCAGTGAATGTAAATAGCGCTCTAGAAGTTATTAAATTATTATCATTATTATTATTATTATAGGACGCCAAGTGTTATTTTTGTTGAATAATAAAAGACTAATGAAAGAATAAATATCAAACCAGAAATTGCTCTCTTCAAACTGTAAATTATAAATGATCCTGAGAGAATATTCATTGTGTTAAGGATTTCCCTGCTGTACTTTTAGCAAGAGAGGAAGGGGGATTCTTTTTTAATTTCCGTTTTGATGACACAGCTTTAGCAGAAATCTCTCCTTAGTCGTTTTCGTTGACAAAACGAATAGCAATATCGCTCTCCGCGTCTTCTGCCATTTTTTTCTGCCTCAATTCGTGAAGGACGCGTGGCTCTGAGCGTGGGTCATCCACGCGGAACACATTCGCGCTACGTGATTGGCTGTTGTCTAATCCCCCTTGGGATCTATGGACTTAAAAATAACTCGAGACGAATTACCTATGGAATAGGGTGTGTACGGAGGATGCCTTCTCTGTCCCCTTTATCTTCTCTTGGTTACAGTGTGTTGCAGGGTGGTTTACTGGTGGTGATTGTGTTACAGGCTGTTATACGGTGTTGACATAGTGTTACAGGGTAGGATCTCAGATTGATAGCATTGAAGTGAACGCGTGTTTTTGGCAAGCGGTATTCTATTTGAAACTATCAAAATTTTAATAACCTCAATAATATTAACTCTAGAATATTATAATATTTCTTGTTAATAGCATTGATCCTTTTATCTGAAGAATTTTATCCCTTTCCTTTTCTTTTTATTTTCTTTTCCTTTTTTTGTGATAGTTATAGTGAGACAATGTTTACATTCGCTGAATCAGGAGCAATTTCTCATACAAACACAATGGCACTGGCGCTGGATTCAACAAGTGGCTGGAATTCCTCGTATACCACTGAAACTTCTCTGGAGCGAGAGTGCCGACTTGAAATTCATCGCGAGCGCCGAAGAAAAAAGAGGACAGCAAGAAAGCGCGGAGCAGAGAGACCATCGTTTAGCACAACGAAGACAACACCGTCAGCGAGAAAAAGAGGAACAGGAGACTAGCATAGAGAGCGGTTCCATTTCATTTTCTTCCCAAAAACCATTTACGTGTATACACGATCTTATAACCTTTTACATAAATATATACATACATTTTTTATTGTGTTTTGAGGATAAAGTACAATTGTAACATGCCCGCTAATCTAGGCAGGTCATGTTTACAGGAAATAAATACAACTAAATACAACTAAAAGTAACAAGAAAACTAAAGAAACTAAACTTGACAACAATGACTAGAGACTACTGATAAACTAACGGTATTACTAATAATAAATGACAACAGTTGACAGTTTGGGGTAACTAGGTTGAAAGCAAACGAAGAGTCACGTCAGACGTCGTGCTTCTGCGGTGCCGAACTAAATTCAGGAATTAAGTTCAAGAAAAGCACGGCAGAAGCACGGCGTCTGAATCAAACTTTTGAATCAAGTTCGGCAAGCAATTAAGTTCGACAAGCGCTGCCGTGCTACACGGCTCTGGCACGGCAGCGATTCAAACGTCGTGCTTCTGCCTCGCTAAACAAAACTCATAAATTATATTAATGTATTTTGGCGAGATTGTGTTCTCACGGGGAGTTTGGAGAAGAATTGTTACGAGGCATCAGTAAATCCTGAATTTGGTTCGACTCTGGCACGAAGTTGTTTTCCTGCCGTGCTACAGTCGAAGCAACTTACAATTAAGTTCGGCAAGGCAGAAGCACGACGTCTGAACTGGGCCTAATAAAAGTAATAGGTTTTGTGTTCTTCAATTTACGGGCAGTACATATATTGTGTATTCCCCCCCATTTTTTTTTTATATTAGGTAAGTTATCATTAACAAAATTTAGAATTATATTGCTGTTTACTTAAACGCGTTAAGGTACAAATTTTGTTCCTATAGATTTTATAGTTGGGGGTGTTACCAGACGCAGATAACTTACTTTCAACTTTTAATGGATGGTAATCTATGCTTTAGAGAGCTCCTTTGCTTTGCAGTTTGAAATTGTTTTCATAGGTGCATGTTTATTTATCAATTCGTCAAACTTGTTATAAAAAGACGAAAATAAATTGCTCACGTCACACGGTTTTTTATTCAAGAGTGCATTCCAGTCCACATTCAAGAGAGATCAGCGTTAAAACTGTCCCTAGAGAATCTAGAAAAGTCGCCACCGTGAACCAAGGTAAATTGAGATATGTGAAAAACAGCTATAATTTATGCACGAGTTACGGGATAAGATGGTGACTTCTCGGCCTGGTTCGTGTATTAATATTTGACGTAGTGAAATCGGAATGAGTTCGAGAGGCGAGGTAGTAAGGGAATTTCTTTAATTTCCAGTTTGTTGCCGAAGTGAGGGCGGTAGTTGTTCGAGATATCTCGAGATCAGCTCAAGTTGTTTAGTTTTGAGGAGAAAAGAAATATTATTTTTGGCTCGCCAGGGGGTTTGAAGTGACTTATCTTTGCCCCGTCAGATCAAGGAGACGAGAGTGAAGCATAAAAGATCGCTGATTTTTGGGTTTAGATTTTTAATTTGGGCAAGCGACAAGTTAATGTTTTGCCAGGGGTATATTTGCAGAACGCCGAATGGTCGGCGTGGAGGATTAGTTTATTTTGGGCTTATAGGAAACTGAGTGAAACCGGAAGGGACGATTCGCGCACTGCATTGCGCTTAAAATCACAGGGTGCCCACACAATGTGTTTGTGTAGCCGATTGTTATTATATAGTAAATGTACTGGATTTACCGTTTGCTTCACCTATAGCGATATATCGCTAACTATGTATATAAATCAATGATAAATAAACGTTGAATTACCTTATCTGTGGTATATAGTCGTCCTTTTACCTCAAAAGCGGTTTTTTGAGCGATTTTGAAGGAGTTTGAGTTCGCCGTTGACTCAAAAAACCGCTTTTGAGGTAAAAGGACGACTATATACCACAGATAAGGTAATTCAACGTTTATTTATCATTGATTTATATGCATAGTTAGCGATATATCGCTATAGGTGAAGCAAACGGTAAATCCAGTACATTTACTATAAATAACAAGCGGCTACACAAACACATTGTGTGGGTCCCCTGTGCTTAAAATCGTCTTTGCGAATCGTCTCGTGTAACATCACCTTAAGCGGCGACGGCAACGAAAAGGGCCAAAAAAATCAATAGGTCTACCCAGCAAACAATTAACTCTGCACGTGCAGCACACCTTTTTTACATTTCTTTTTTATATTTGGGACGTAAGGACGGGCGATTTTGTCAGAACCAAAATTTCTTGGATGTATTTTTATATGAGAAAAATATTCTTACCCATGGTGCTCCACGCGCGAGAGAGCTCCGCTATTACGAAACCACTCACATACCACCACAATTTCCTATCTTTTTGAGAACATGTTCGACAACAGCTGGATCAGTATCAGCAAAATACATGCTGAATATCATCAGCATAGTTAGACCACTTCGTCTCTTTGATGAAGTAAAATAAGTCATTAATGAAGATATTGAACAATAAGCGTCCTAAAAGGGACCTTTGGGGGACGCTGCTGTTAACATATGGTGTATCACTTGAAGCGTCCTTCACTCGAACCCGTTGCCTGCGATTTGTTAAATATGTCTTTTTTAAGTTTAAACTATGGTTAGAAATACCATTAGCAGAAAGCTTCGAAAGTAATAAGTTGGTGGTATCAAATCAAATCACTTAGTCCATTATCACAGTTCCAACCACAGAACTCTTGTCACGAGCTCCTCTCTAGTCCTCGATAAGAAGCAAAAAGATGCACAGACTCACAACTGTAGCCTTTTCTATGTGCTGAAAAAATTTAGATAAACGCGGATTGAAGTAGAGAACAAGCTGTTTTTGCACATATCTCTCAAAACCCTTGTCCAACAATACTAGGATGGATACGGTTCTGAATTTGAACTCGTCAAACTCATCATCTTTCTTGAAGATAGGACAGGTCTCCGCTAGTGTCCATTCAAGTACTAATATCCATTCAAGTGGCACTTTTACAACTGTTCCAATTAGCATTATACCCTCGTACCGTTGCTCGAAGACGAATACTATTAATTTCATTTTTCCATAAAGCTTTTTTAAAACAAGCCTGGTGGTCTGTACACACTGATAAGAAGCAGCTTTTTCGCTCTCCTGGCCCCAGTTGTTCAAAAGGTGGATAGCGCTATCCACCGGATAAATCACGATCCAGTGGATAGCGCAATCGGTTTCCCTAACACTTATCGGTTGGATAGTGATTTATCCGGTGGATAGCGCTATCCAACGTTTGAACAACTGAGGCCTGGACATCTGCACACACAGGCGATTATTGATTCAACTTTATGTTCCTCCAAGTCATGTATTCTAGTCACAATCAGTCCTCTTGTGACATAAATGAACTCACCACCCCCACAACAGTCACGATCTTTGCAGCATAGACGAAAGCCTTTGATATAAAAGTGCGAGTCAGGAAATGTATAATCCACCTTGCATTCAGAATCATCAAAATATCCAAGAGACTTAATAATAATAATAATAAAAAAAAAACGTGTAAAAGTTGGCCAGATTTTTCAATCTTTTTCCACTTGCCACCCTTAGCAACAGAAGACAGGAAAAAGTTTCAATCAAGAGAGGATAAACGGGGCAGAGAAGGCATCCCCCATACACACTCTATTCCATAGGTAATTCGTCTCGAGTTATTTTTAACACCGCAGATCTCAAGGGGGATTAGACAACAGCCAATCACATAGCGCGAATGTGTGCCGCGTGGATGACCCACGCTCAGAGCCACGCGTCCTTCACGAATTTACAAAGAACAAAATGGCGGAAGACGCGGAGAGCGATATTGCTATTCGTTTTGTCGACGAAAACGACTACAGAGAGATTTCTGCTAAAGCTGTGTCAGCGAAACGGAAATTAAAAAAGAATCGCCCTTCCTCTCTTGTATAGAGCTAACAGTACAGCAGGTAAATCCTTAACACACTGAATATTCTCTCAGGATCATTTATAATTTACACTTTGAAGAGAGCAATTTCTGGTTTGATATTTATTCTTTTATTAGTCTTTTATTATTTAACAAAAACAACACTTGGCGTCCTACTTGCTTTATTGTACAAACGACCGGTTTCAATAGACCGGCGAAATTTCTCATTTTATTAAAGCACTGAGGTTACGACAACTTCGAGTTAAACTAATTTCACGGGTTGTCAAAGAGTCCTGTGATTCCCTTTTCCCAGGTGAGCGCCGACTCATTTCCCTTGAATATTCAGGAATGCTCTCGATCCTTTTACGCTTTCTTTGCCTTTTGCCCGACATGTTTTGCACGGCGTTCAGGCATGCGAAACCTCCACGAAACATCCACGCAGCGCGCGAGGTAACTTTATCCCGATTCTAAAAATAACTCGAGACGAATTACGTATGGAATAGGGTGTGTATGGGGGATGCCTTCTCTGTCCCCTGTATCCTCTCTTGGTTTCAATGCATAAAAAACAGTCTTTAATGACAAAACTGAGGCATTATTTCAATTTCGTGGTAATGCAATTGATGCGAATAAATGTTTTAGCCGAGAGAGAAAACAGCGTGTTATAGGCCTCGTTTAAAAGTTGAAGGAAAAAAATGGTAAAAAGGCTACCAAACAGGTAATCACTAAAACAGAGCCTAGGAAAAGCACTAGGAAAGCGACGGTTTCATTACTTCAGGTTACTTGATGTTCACAATAGATTAAAAACTACCTTCTGAAGGCTTGAAATTGGAAGCCCTGTGTATATGTGTGCAAGGAGAAATAATTCAAACACAATTAATGACTTGAATCCGTTTGCATAGTTTATTACATCAGAGGTAAAAATACAAAATCATATCGCAAACTGAGACAAAATCTTAGAAATATGATTAAAAACTGCAGGTAAAGGCTAATGAAATCACTACTTTTAGGCTAAATATGTGACAAATAGTACCAACAAACGAAGTAAAACACTTGAAGTCTAATTCTGTTTAAAACTTCTAGTTTTAAACTATATTAGTTTATATTAGAAATAAGAAAGGATTTAACCGTTTTCACCTAGGGGAGCTCAAACAACAATGACGGAGACGGCTTTGAAAACGTCTCTTAAAAAGTGAATTTGCACCGCTTCGAACTTTATCGCGCTTATTCCATCTCGGTCAGTTTGTCAAATCTTGTCAAATTTTTCTGAAGTTGAATTTTAAAAGACAGTATCAGAGTTCAAGAAAAGAAAACGAAAATCGTCTTGCTTTCACGTCCTCCACAAAACGTAAAATTAGGCACTTTCACGTTGTAGTCGTGCAGTGGCGGCGAAGAAATATACAAAAAAACGTGATGCACGAGCAAAGGTTTTGTTTTGCCAGTCTGTTGATTTTTGCCGTTCTCGTTGCCGTCCGGTCGTTGTCGTTGCTTAAGCCTCCTATTCTTTATTGTTTACTTGGATATTGGCATTTAATTAAGAACTGTGCGGATACTAGCGAAAACAAAAGACACTGTAAACTCAAGTCTATTCAGCTTCTCATGGAGCCATCGCCAACAACATCTCTGCTAAAAGAGCCTCACCAAAGCGGCTTTGAGATTATATTCAGTCCGTGAGTCCATATCACCACTTAAATAGACTTAAATGAAACCAATTTGCCCCTAATTTCAGATAGCGTTAGAAAATTAAAGTGCTTTTAACAAAAAACACTTTTTGTTTTAGGATGAACCGCCGGCATTACGAAGTCATAGAAATGTTTTAAAAGTGCCATGATAGTCTCATTCAACGTGGTGTTAAGTAAATGTCTCTCATTAGGACACTAAATAGACAACAATGGCGGCCAGGATCGCAGAAAGCATGACACGTGACTCCAGCATATTTGCTGCACCTGGGACCAGTATGTACTTGGTTGGTAGAAATTCTCTGTCGGTGTGCTGAGTAATATCTGCATTTCCATCCAAAGAGTTGTGCATGGCCCACGCAATCATGACTTCAGTACCAGGCTACATAATAAAATATGTAAAGAATTTCATGCTATTTTCAACCTTCTGAAACAGCAGCAAGTTTCCTAAGGCCCCCGCGGGGGAGGGTTCCCCCTTATTAGAGGCTAATGGGGATGTGCCGCTGGATGGGGTCTCATTTTCAATAGAGTTGCTAGAATGGGATCACACATTTTCGGATTTTTTTTGGCGTAAGACAGTTCTTCATATTTACAGTTAGCAAACGTACCAGAATGTTTGTACTGTAGGTGAAAAGTAAAGTGTTCTCCATTCAGTTTAAAAAATGGGTCAATTCATAAAAATAGAAAGTGACTAAGTTAGGATCGCGAAAATTACATATTTGCCTAAAAGTGACTAAGATGGGGTCTATAATTGGTCACAGCTTAGACTATAATGGGGTGGGGGCTATGAGAGGACTGAAAGGCCAGCGGCACATACCCACCCCCCCGGCTAAGACTCCAAATAAAACATGTATATATGTATGTATGGAGAAGACTTGTCCGAGATAGAAGGGTCACTAGCCTACTCGAGCTAGTATCCTGGGTTAGCCAAATTTTCCTAGACCTTAAAAAACTTGGTGAACTGTTATCGAGAATCAAAGAGTTGGGTCGGCTTGTAGGATGGGCCTATCCAGGTTACACATTTCTTTGGTCAGGTCAACTTTTCTCCATATATTCAAGTTGGCCCGTCAAGCCGGGCCAACTCAGTCAAGGCGAGCATGCACTTGCGCTGTTGTCAGCTCTTGGTTTGTTAACATAAACGCTCCGCGCTAAAGATGACTCGGCTGGGAAGGTGACCCTCTGTCCAGGGAAGTCTTTTCTCCATATAGGCGAGGACTAAATTAAACTTGGATGCCTATTCTCACTCGGGGCCGTCACAAACAACGCCCCTTTGCCTTTTGGACCTATGTATTTAATTCCGAGCATCTGTGGATCCACAAGGAAACCGGCTGTACACAATTTTTACGAATTTAGTGTAAAAGGACTTTTTGTCCTGTTTTTTCCTCTTTTCGTTGACACGAACACCTGACAACAGGTTGTCGCACCACCCTCCTCCTCGCAGGGATGGCTCGCTTTTGTACTCGAACTCCTCCCCCCTTTCCATCTCCGGGTGGGGCGTATGGGAGTGGGGTCCACGATCCCACCCGGAGATGGAATTTAATAAAGGCAGAACTTACCTTAAACTGAACATCGTTATCAGTGTCGCTTGTCTCTGGATCTCTCTCAAACTCCACCGTTGTATATCCACCAGCCTCGGTTGCCGTTCTAAGAAAAAAGTTATTTGCACTATCCTTTGATGGTTTTGTCGTTGAGGTGCTCCAGTAATCCTACGGGTAAAGAAACAAAGTCTCTTATTTACCTCTTTAACACAGACCGTCAGTTTTTGTGGTGTTAAATCTTAAATTACAACTTCGTGCTGTGTGCGAAATTTCTGAGACCTGTTGCCTCACTAGACTGCTTGAATGGCCTTTTGCGCACGATTTTCAAGGTGATAATGTCTTTCCCTTCAGCCAACATACGAACACTGTCTATAGTCTCCTTAGTCTCCTTACATCCATTCACTCACGTCCTCATTTTCACGTTCAGTGGATCGTTCGCTTTTCTAATCTAACCAGGTTTTTCTTATTTGGAGATCTTGTCTTAAAAACTGCGTTTTGAATTGTTTTGTTAAAGAATCTTTTTTTGACGACATAAAAGGTTTTCTAGATCTTTTATAAGAACAGATTTTGTTGTTATGAACATTGAGTATCCGTTGCGGACTAACTTACGCACTTAACTACCGCTACATAGCTGCGGTAGGCACAAATATGAACGATATCTACCTCCCTGTTGACTCAAGAGTATGTTAAAAGTTTATATCGTTGCTATGTATCGACTGACCTGTAAACTAGCTTTATATCTAAGTGTTAGTCACCTTAATAAGGTATGTATGTAGTATGTATGCATATAATTATATAGTGATCTCAGTGTTGTATAAGCTACTAGTAATGATAATATTTCCTTGGGTCTTACTGTAAATTTGGAGACGCTATTCAATGCACTAGCCCATCTGGAGGACGTCAAATGTTTAAAAGTAGGGTAGTTCCTTATACAGAATGAAACTCCATCTTACTTACATCAAGATAGTTGCCGTCGGAAGCGACCCCGCCCAAGGCAATATCGTAATCCTTCATGCCGCTACCATCCCCTGTTGTAAAGGCGACTGCACACCAACCAGTGGTTTTACATCTCAATGTGAAAAACAACTTGTTGTTGCTGTATATCCAAGTCAGCATAAATTTATCACCGAAACTAACGGTCGTGGCTGCTTAACAAAGAGATAAGGATTAAAAAGATCATGTTAAAAACGGTTTCTTACCAAAACGCTAAAATAATGTACTATTCGTGTGACTTACACTATCTTATACATAGATGCATTTTTTATTGTGTTTTGAGGCAAAAGTACAATTATAACATGCCCGCGGGTAGCTAAGATAATCTAGGTGGGTTATGTTTACAGGAAATAAATACAACTAAATACAACTAAAAGTAACAAGAGAACCAAAAAAACTAAAATTGACAACAATGACTAGAGACTACTGATAAACTAACGGTATTACTAATAATACATGACAACAGTTAACAGTTTGGGGTAACTACAATCCTCGTCACAAATCTTGAAACACTTGTGTGATTTTCCCCTCCCCAATGTTGATTTGGGTTTGCAGTCATTTCAGTGCTCCAAAATACGCTCGGCTCAACATTGGGGAAGGAGAGGGGCACATTTGAGTGAGAACAAAGGTGTGAAGAGTGAATGTAAGAAATCTGGAGAAAATTCAAGACAAATGGCTCCTGTTTCAACGATTTGTGACGAGTATTGTAGGTTGAAAGCAAACGACGGGTCACGAGAGTTAGATCCGTTCATAAAATCAAAATAATTGCGCTAAACGGTTTGTAACTTATTTGCCAGTTTAGGTCCAACAGAAGCGAAATGGTCATTAAGAACGTTGCTTATTTTACTTGGGTCACTGGTGACAGAATCATTGTCATTAGGGTCTTTAATAAAAGCAATAGGTCTTGTGTTCTTCAATTTATGGGCACGTACATTGTTTTTTCCCTCCAATGTTTTTTTCATATCATTAAAAAATTTAGAATAATACTGCTGTTTACTTAAATGCGTTAAGGTACAAATTATCCTATAAGACGTTTATAATTGTTAAGCTCCGGCTTCCCCAGCTAAAACCATGACTGAAATTGGTTGTGTAGAGATAACATGATCTAACAAAATTCGTATGTGCATGTATCCGGTGTGGAATAATAGTCAGTAATAGGACAACTGCACGATGACGATATTTGACTACAACTACCAGAATTCATTTCGTTTTTGCTTTGTTATTTAAATTTGTCAATTCCCCTGAGGATAAAAGAACAATAGCCTTAATTTGGACAAGAAAACAACAAACTCAAGGATTGTGGTAGTTGTAGTAAAAATGACGTCATCGTGCAATTGTCCTATTGTGGCTCACTCACCGGTCACAATATGCGCAACCTGCGTTGGAGCCCGCGGTGCGGGAGGGGGGGGGAGGGTGGAGGGGGTAGCCCCTTTATCCATATCCCCGCTCCAAAATCTTGCTCACAGGCTCCAACATATGTTGGTCTCTCGGGGATCATTTGGTTTTGTTTTCCTTTGGGTCTTGGTGCTTTCCTTCACTTACGCCATGTGTGAGTTAATTTTTTTTGTTGGTTCTGGACTTTTTTTAGCCTGTGTACAGACGGACGTCTGTATACAAGCTAGTCTTTTCTCCGTGAGGTTTTTCTCTGAGTGCGTCGAATTTCCCCTCTCCTTATTTTCAATTCGTTCAGGAATATTGTATCTTTAAGTAATGGTAACAGCACTGAGTGGAGTACAATTCAGCGAGTGATCGAGCGAGTAATTTTGAATTTGAAATTATGAACCCGATTACCCCTGAATGTACGAAACGAAGTCCTATTACAAATTAATCGAATCAATAACAAAAATACGAGAATCTCAATCTTGTAATTATTCAGCCACTATTCACCTCGATTTCAAATAATAATTGTTAAAAGTAAATAAAAGTCACTGGACCAGTAGTTTCATCCATTATTCTTTTCCAGTAGCAACTGGACAGCTTACCTGGTCACTATTTTTTCATTGATTTTGATTGCTTATCACGCGCTTTGTAGTTAACTTTTATTGCCTGGTGGTATTTTCTACTAACTTGATTTTCATTGTTTCTTTCATGACTGTCCGATTTGACTTGTCCCACAAGCTCCTGGTAATCGGACAGGCCAAATCAGAAATTTTTGGAGTAAAATGAAGCTATGAATATAGGCTGTTAAGAACCAATCAGATTCAAGCATTGTGTAATTGACACAGTTAGGTTAGGAATGAGATATAACAAAAGAAAATGTGCTCATTCTCTCCTGAATGTAAGTGAACATGTAAAAAATCAAGATCATTTTTCAATAATAATCTTCCTTGTTAGCTCGGGGCTTGAGTCATAATATTTTAATTCATATCTTTTAAAAAAAGTTTTAGTATTTGCAGTTCTCAACATTCTCGAAGATTTTCCAAGTTTTTGTTTGGTATAAGCTCAGTTTTGGTATTCTTGAGTATTAGAACTTTGCAACATATGGTCGATTTTCAGATCAGATGCAGTGTCGTGTTGAAGCAGGGCTTACACAATAACAAGTCTTTGTCCATCCCTTATACATATGTCTCCATCCTCTCTTGATATTTGTTATTTTAAAACTGGATCACTGAAATTTATAATCAGTGGTCAGTGTAATTATTTGGGGTTGGCCCTACTACTCCAATGGAACAGTGCTTTGAACGGTGGTTATCGGAAATGATAAAAAAATATTCGAGGTAGTTACTATCAAACATTAAATTACTGACACAAGTAATCATGATTAGATAAGGCTTAGACGAGTAACTCTTTCATTATAATATTCATTTTAAGTTTTTCATTTTCCGCGGCTCTGACTATAGACAAACTGATTTTTTTTAAAGTTCACTGACAATATGCCGAGTTAACAATGTCAACAATTCGCTTTTTATAATATTGGAAGAACAAGGTAAATCTTCGTCAGCTATAACTTGTTCTTACAATTAGATTAACAGAAATGATTATTGGCTAGTCTACATTACCTGTTGATTGAGGCGTTAAACCAATTGAGGAAGAGGGCACCATCATGGTACTGGTGGTAGGTGTTATTCCTGAAGAAAAAGCAAATTTTCGCTGAGTTCTAGATAGCCAAAAAAGTCCTCAAAAAAGTTATTGTCAGTATTTAACTGCCAAAATGGGCCCGAATTTTGGGGTTAAAAATAAATCTTTTGAATTTAAATTGTAGCCGCAGCTCATGACGGAAAAAAATTTCGACCAGGATAAATAACTATTTCAACCCTACACCAGTAAATGGTCATTTATCATGCGCGACCGAATGTACGAATTTCCGTCCTGATTATGAACTATCTACAGTAGGCTGTGAATCAGAATCGTGATGCTCCCACTAACGACTACGGCGTTGGGAATTAAAAGAGCGTCTAACAAAAAGAAAATTAAACAGTGAACGATAATTGATAATGACAATGCTAAAAATACTAATAATAAACACTTTCTGTTACAAGAAGAAGAATTCCGGCCACGAAGTCGTGATGATTTAAAAACAGTTTGGTTGCTGTGGTTGAGGCCATATTCATACAAGGGCGGACCGCTCTTGCGCCGGCACAATAATCATACCGGATAGGATTTCTGTTCACATATCAAACGGTGATTTCGACGCGATTTCTGTAACGGAGCGAAGCTGCGCGCATGCATCCCCTTCGATTAAGTGGAGCTTCAGCCACAAGGTGCTCCAAATTTTCTTAAAAGTTTCTCCAAAATTCTTTAAAAATCTACGGCGGCTAACGTTTAAATCTACAGCAAGTTTGAAATGACATTTTTACTTCTACAACTGAACTTTCTGAGACGAAAACCCTCTCAGACCGAAAGCTTTTTCTCTTTGGACCACCCGCGGTTTGAGATCAATGGTTTGGAAATAGAACCACTCTTTTCAAAATGGCGACAAACATCTGAGTTCTCCGCCTTGAATAACAACGACCACTTACTTGTGCAAGTATTCTCCTGTTGTGCTAGGGTCGTTTTCATTCAAGGTGGAGAAGTCAGATATTTCTCGCCATTTTGAAAAGCGTGGTTCTATTTCCAAACCATTGAACTCAAATCACGAGTAGTCCACTTAAAGAAGGGGGTGCCGCACAGGGTTAAATTCTCACGTTGTTATTTGTTATCTCTAACATCAAAACACTGAAATTTTCTTTTTTAGGATGTTTTACAAAATCAAAGGCTTCTCTAAACAGCAAAAGTTGTCAGAAAGTTGCCGAGAAACTTGTGGTTGAGGTTATTTGTGCCACACTTTAATGCAGAATGAACAGGTATTCGGACCTTAGCGGAAGTGATTAAGTAGGAGCAAGGACTGGAACCCACTGAGACGGAAGTAAAGAATTCAAGAGTGACGACTGGGACGTGCACTAAAACTCTTGTTCAAACACTACGGCACGATATTCGATGTGTGTGAAGGACTTCCCAAAATCAAAAACAAAAGCAAAAAAAACAAAAACAAAAAAACAAAAATTCCCCGAGCTATTTGTGGCTGAGGCTATTTGTGCCACACTTAAATTCAGAGTGAACAGGTATTCGGACTTGTAAGGATTGGGACGTGCACCAAAACCTTTAGGCCAAATATTACGGCACGATATTCGATGTGTGTGAAGGACTTGTTCCTGATCCGGGCCTTTGCTGCTCATACTATATCAGATAGCACTACGTGTCGACACGAAAAGCTATCAGGTATAGTGCAGACATGGACTGAGTGGGTGCCGGCACCTAAAGGTCTTTCATGGGGAAACAAACTAGGCAGGGCTGCAATGGCGGCCAGGATAACAGAATAAACATGACACGTGAAAGCATGGCCTAAGTGGGTGCACCTAAAGGTCTTTCATGGGGAAACAAACTAGGCTGGGCTGCAATGGCGGCCAGGATAACAGAATAAACATGACACGTGAATTAAGCACACATGCTGCACCTGTGATGGGGGAGGTGGAGGTACTTCCTGTTTCTGGAACCAGTGTGTACATGTCTGGCAGTACTCCTGTAGAGGTGTGCCTAGAAATATCTACATCTCCATCCATAGAGCTGTGAAAGGCCCACGCAATCCTGACTTCAGTACCAGGCTACATAAAGAAATATGTAAAGGATTTCATTAGTTTGTTATGTTAATGTTGTTTTCAACCTTCTGAAACAGCAGCAAGTTCCTAGGACCCTGCGGTATATATGGAGAAAACTTGTCCAGGATAAAGAACTTCGCGAACTGTTAACGAGAATCAAAGAGTTGGCTAGACAGTTAGGATGACATGCCTATCCAGGTTAAATATTTCGATGGTAGGGTCACCCTCCTAGCCGGGCCAAATTTGCTTCATATAATCAAGTTGGCTCGCCAAGTCGGGTCATTTCGGTCAAGGCGAAGCGAGACTATCTGAGCTACACTAGCGCTGTTGTCAGCTCTTGGTTCGCTCAGATAAATGCTCCGCGCTAAAGATGACTCGGCTGGGAAGGTGACCCTCTCTTCCGGGATAACTTTTCTCAATACAGTCGAGGACTAAGTTAAACTTGGATGCCTATTCTCACTTGGGGTCGTCACAAACAAACGCCCCTTTGCCTTTTGGACTTGTTTGTTTAATTCCGCGCATCTGTGGATCCACAGGGAAATTGGCTGAACACAATATTCATGAGTTTAGTGTAAATTTACTTCTTTTGTCCTGTATATTCCTCTCTTCGTTAAGACGGAAACCATTAGGTTGTTGCACCACCCTCCTCCCCGCCCACAAAGACTGCTCACGTTTGCACTTTTGTACCTGAATTTATAGCTGTGTTTAGGGATGGTAAGAATTTACCTTAAACTGAACATCGTTAGCAGTGTCGCTTGTCTCAGGATTTCTCTCAAATACCACCGTTGTATATCCACCAGCCTCAGTCGCCGATATAAGATCAAAGTTATTTGTATCCTTTGATGGTTTTTGCGTTGTGGTGCTCCAGTAGTCCTTCGGATAAAGAAACAAAACTCACTACCTTCTCAGCACAGACTGTCACTTTTTAGGTATTATAGTCTTAAATTACAATTTCTTGCTCTGTGCAAAATTCCGAGATCTGATTGAGTCAATAAAAAAGTACTTGAATGGCCTTTTACGCACGATTTCCGAGGTCATAACGTCTTTCCCCTCAATGAACATTCGAACACTGTCTATGATCGCCTCAGTGTCTGTATTTCTTTTAAAATTTTCGCCAATTTGATTAAATCGTTCACCTTCCTAATCCAACCTATAGTTTTGTTCGGAGATCGTGTCTTAAAAACAACGTTCTATGTCATAGAAAATTTTTAAGATTCTGTACATCGCGTATCTGTGGCGGACCAAGAGGGCTAAGTTAGTTGGTGGTAGAATTTCTGCTGCTGCAGACACAAAATATGCGACATCTACATCATTATCGGCGAATGCGAACATAATATCACAGTTATTATCGTCGCCATGGTGATCTCATTATCGTACAACCCACTAGTAATAGGCATTTACTTAGTTATTAATGTGAATTTGGGAAAGCTATTCAATGAATCTGCCCATCTGACGTCAGTGAGATGCTCTAAGATAGTTCTTTATACTGAATGAAATCCATCCCGCTTACATCAAGATAGTTGTTTCCGGAAGCGACCCCGCCTAAGGCAATGTCGTAATCTCTCATCCCTCTACCATCCCTTGTTGTAAAGGCGACTGCACACCAACCAGTGGTTTTACATTTCATTGTGAACATCAACTTGTTGTTGCTGTATATCCAAGTCAGCATAAAATTATCACCGGCACTGACGGTCGTGCCTTAACAAAGAAATAAAGGTAAAAAAAAAACATAATAGAAACAGGTTTCTTTACCAAAACGCTAAAATAACGTACTAATGGTTTGACTCGCACGACATTAACTCTAATAGCCTGATTTAGGCTCTCACGTAGTTTCGACGATCAACAAGAAACATATTTAGCAATTATTGAATGAGGTAGCCTGAGAAAACACACGGTTTTCCTCTCTCCTTGCCGCTGGGGAACGTTTCGCGAGGAGGGACATCTGCGACTCAGCGACAGAAATTCCATACTGATGACGTAAAATCTGTTCAGAACATACAGATAATAGTTCGCCGTGAAAAATGTTCTGCCATTAACTCAAACTCGTCCCCAGGTTCTCTTGGTTTAACGGTTTAATAATCTGCAACTTTGCTTCACTTTCGACGTCATCGGTTCAGTAGGGCAAAACTCTTCCAAATTTGGCCAACAGTAGCTGGTTTTGATGAATTATGCGTGTGATTTTAGCCAATCAGAAGCGGAGAAATGTTTTGTTTAATCCCCTCGAGCGTTGCCCGAGACAAAATCAATTTCGGTATCAATATGTCCAGGTCACAAGATCAAAAATTTTTTCTTTTAATTTTTCAATTGTGCAGTGATGAAAAGTTATTAGAAGAATGATGTAGATCTTCTTCGTTTGGTCATTCATAGCTTTTTATGACAAATTACAGTGGAACCTCGATATAACGAACCTCCATTTAATGAAGTCGTCGATATAACGAAAGATTTTCTTTACCCCAGTAATAGTAAAATGTATGAAAATGAACCTCGATATAACGAGACCTCGTTAAAGCGAACAAATTTTGCCAGTTCCGTGGCCCTTCGTTATACCGAGGTTCCACTGTAACTGCGGGAAGTAATCAAGTTAATCAGAATCTGAGACTATATTATTTACTGTAACAGTTATTACCTGTTGGTTGAGGCGTAGAAACAACAGATGTGGATGGCATCATCATGGTAGTGGTGGTAGGTGTCATCGCTGCAGCCATGGCCATAGCGATCAGGTTTTGCTTATTTGCTGATCTTCCCCTGCTAGTGTGCCTTGGGCTCAAATTTGCCGACGTTGAATTGGCATCCGTAGTTGAGTGCATAGCCCAGACAATATAGACTTTAGTATTGTTCTGAAATCCAAAGGTAGACAAAGAAAGAAACTATTTAAAAAGCCGGCAGTAACTTATAACTGAAAATTATCAATTGACAAGTTTGCGAAGTTTTTTTTTTAAATTAAAGGCGTGGAAATGATGAATAACCTACAGTGCACATAAAGTGCACTGTTGCGGTTTTATAGCCGAATTTTGAACGTGTTTTATAAACTTTTTATCTACTGAAGGGAAATTTTAAGTTGTTTTCTGAATTACTGTGCGCGTTATCTACATTTCCATTGTATATTAAATATTAATGAAAACAGTAACGGTACCCCTAACCCAAAAATGCCGCGAACAGATGAATTTTATGGCTTTATAACTGAAGTTGAGAAAACATTCCATTTTTGTGATTGATTCCTGTTTAAAAGACAGTGTATTTACAGCAGTTAAAAGGGATGAAAGTTCTAAAAAAGGCATGTTAAAGGGGTACCATTCGTCAATAGAATTAAGGTATACCACAGGGTACCTTTTTCGTGAAAAATAGTGTCATATAAAATAAAGCTTCAGACACAAATGATTGTTTTTTTACTTCAGGTTAACTTAAGTCTTTTTTCAAACGCAATATAATTAAGATTGATGGACATGCTTTGCCTCAAACAAAGCTCAAGAAAGCGCACGTTCGCAAAGTCGGTTTTAAGGGTGGTTTTTAAGTCACTTGAAGCTTTTTTTCTTGAATCGTTTCAACTTTCCGACTTCAATGAGATGCAAAGTAAAAGAACTTGAAATTTTTCTTAGGTCTTCACACGTGTATCTTTGGTTAAGTAAAACTTAGCAGCTCATAAGTTTTACTTAACTGTCTAGTGTAAAGACTAGCTACAGAGTTCACTCACACATGTTACTGGAATATTTGTTGTACAACCTTACCGTAAACTGAACATCTATGTTTGACTCTGCTGTCGTCAAATTTCTTTCAAATTTAACGCTGGTATATCCACCCATCTCCATGGCTTCAACTAGCCCAAAGTTTTTAAGAGCATCTTTTGGTGGTGCTGACGTGTTGGTGCTCCAGTAATCCTGTAGGTCACATATACAGTCAGTTTGGATTCTTTTGGTGTAAGTTGTAATTGGAAGTAAAGTTTAGCCGTGTCTATGTCAGATATAAAGACACTAATTAAATATAATTTTTTTGTTTTTTCCTTTACGAATTATTAATGACTCCTGATATCACAAAAACCTCATCCAATAATTGTTTATCATCTTATGGAAAGACATAACCAAGGTAATTTCTATATAGTAACAACTTCAGTTAACAGACTAGTGTGGGCAGTGATGTCTCTCCTCCTTCGTTTCAGTACAAAAGTAAAAGAGTTTTTAGTTTAATTTTAGAATTCGTCCCACCTTATGTATTTCTCTTAAGTCCTGATTATGATAATAATATTAACAATAAACAACTATTATTGTTATTGTTGTTATTATTGTTGTTGTTGTCGATAAGAATTCTTGTTATTGGGTTTACTTGTCCTCCGACCATCTATTTCAAGTTTATAGAGAGTTTAAGATACCTGGACGGCTAACCTCGAGGACGGCTGACCGGAAGTAAATTTCGCGTGTAGACCACAATGCGCATGCCTGGTCCACGCGGATTGCAGTCCTGTTTGTGTCGAGGACGTGAGAAGTGGTGTTTTGCCGTCCACCAGTCAACGTGAGTACTGTTACTATTATTTCCCCATAAATTTCCGCATGTTTTTAGATTTTCGAACTTCATTAGGTGAACATTGTTTGTCACTTTTTTGTTTTGGGCAATAAAACCACTGACAAGCTGGTTAAAATTGTAAAAGTGATATGCACTGTGTACAGCCACGGTGGAGCATTTCGACTGACCACGTGCGTGGTGGAACCCATTTCGGAGCTCGAACAAGCCCTAGAAGAGATTTGTTCTTTGGAAGAATCTTTCCCGGTCGAAGAGAAAGAAGCCAAGCAAGCCAAAGGAGAAGAAAACAAGCACAAAGCACAAGAAATTCGAAAAAAAGCGATGGAGAGCTATGGTCCTAACCAAATCAAGAATTGCCGGAGATGAAGCTCCCATGGAACCTAAGAAGAAAAAGAGAAGAGGAGGCAATGATTCCATTGAATTTCTCGGAGAAAAATCTCAACTAGAGCTTGAAGTCAGGAAGAGAGAGTTGGAGCTTAAAGAAAAGGAGACAGCCCGATCATTTGAGCAGCAAAGGGAGATGATGCAATTGATGCATCAGCAACAACAATACATGATGGAGCTACTGTCGAAACTGGTAAACAAGTGACTTTTACAATGACTGTAATTGTCTTTCAAAGTAGCTCGGCACAGCTATGTTAATTTGTGTTTATCTTTTAACATTGGTAAATACTGAGGTCGGACTACTGAGCCTTTCTAGTAACAGTGAGTGTAATTACAGCCTTTATCTTGTTATCTCAGCAACTTGGTTTCTTCTATTAAAATTGTGCTTGAATAATATTTGACTGTTAGTAAAGTGTTTGATTCCTTTATCTTCGAAAAAATCGATGAATTATCGAAAGGTTGTTTAACTACCTTTAACTGATTTCAGAGCTAAATTTTTCGTCAGCAGTTTGTGGAAAGGTGACTTAAAATTGCTCAAAAGAAGTATTCCTCCAGTGTGGGAGGATCCAGCTCCGTAAAGGAAAGTTAACGCATTTCTTAACAGGGCACACACGACATACAATTTTCCGATCGAGCTTAGACCTATTTCAAGGTTTTTTTAAAGTCCATAAACTTGAAATACTCCACAATGTCTCCAAACAACCACTCGACTGAGGTACGCACATTCGACATAGAATCATTGAAGGCTTCCATTTGCGCTGTCAGGGCGGCCCCTCTGAACGGTGCCATGAGATTTACCCTTAAAGGATAGGTCAGGTCTCCGTATATGCACATCTGTTGGCCAGTTGGGGATACAGCATTGTGCTCCAAAGCGGTGAGAAAATTAGAGTTCGCCAACATGGCAGCATTATGCCTCTTTCCCTCTGAAAAATCAATTGTTCAACTCATAAATTTTTCTAAGCCAAAACTGGTGTCTTAAAACCAAAAACAAAAGAGACTGTAGGAATAACTAGACTTACCCACAGGGCCGAACAAATGTCCAGTAAGCCCATTAGGAAGAGCAACAGCCTGAAAATTTAGGGCATGTACCCTCTTGTGCCCGTTATAAACAAGCCGTTGGTGTTCCCCCTGCCTGCAAATCGGGCGAACAGTTCCATCCACAAACCCAAAACAGTTGTTAAGGGCAGCACCCTAGTCAGACACAGCATCAAAGTATTGTTGGATAGCAAATGGACTCAGGATGGAATTATTCCAGGTTGTGATTCTGTGATGATGCAGAGCGAAGATATAGTTGAGCACTATGTTCGATACCATACACAAAACAGGAACTGGTTTTGCAAATCTGCTGACCATGTCACTGTAACGACATGGATATGCGAGGCGACGAAGAAGTATGCAAAGGCCCTCTATTCGGTCGCAAACACTGCCTTGTAGACACGTAAAGGTGGGCGGTAATTGAAGAACATCAGCGAGACGTCCGATATCTCCTCTTTCAAACCTAAACTCCGCTTTACATTCGGCTTAACTGATGTTTTCGTCAAAGTTAAATTCCTCATACTCGTAGTAAGGCAGCTCTAAATTAACTGGTTGATTTGTCTCATAAAGAAACATAAACTCTTCATCCGTCAATAGCCCTTCCGCGTAAGCAATAACAATCATTTCACGAGTTTTTCTTAAAGATACCATGATGAACAAAAAGGTGTCGTCTTCAACTAGAAATCTGCTCCTTAACGAGAAAAGTTTCCCGCCAAGGTAGTCGTCATCGACCCAGTTCTTCGCGCTCAATGTTACCGTCCACTAGGTCAGCCGTCCAGGCATCTTAAACTCTCTTATTACAAGTTTATTACGACAGCTTATTTTATTACAAAGTGCGACGATTATTACAAAGTGCGACATGTATCTATTTATCTAAGCAATCTTTCTCTAGCAACCAGGTCAACCATCAGTTAACTTATACCGAAAAGTACAACCGGTCACATTATACAAACTTACCTCAAGATAAGATGTGTTAGCAGAGACCCCGCCGGCAGCGATATCGTAGTTTACCATACCTCTACCGCCAGGATTTTCTGTGAAACCCACTGCACACCAGCCGATTGCTTTACAAGTCATGTTGAAGACCAGCTTGTTGTTGCTATAGGTCCAATGCAACATGAAAGTGCCGTTACCAGCACTAAACATAGCGTAATTCAATACATCAACTACATGGAAAAAAAAGGAAACAAGATAAGCATAAAAATGCGCAGCTCTTGAGAAACGCCATCGAAACAACCTTCGCTTCGGATGCCGAGAATTCCCTAAAGGAATGAGCAGATTAAGCCCCAGGGGATTCGTTGGACAATAGATTTACTAGAGCGCTGTCGAATTGTAAAAAGGAAGAAAACATCTGTGCAGAGTTGTTGGTCTCAGTTCGAAAGCAGGAAGAAAGTGTTCTGTACGATTTGAAATATGTGACTTAATATTAAATTCCGTTCACCCATGCAATTTGACATTTACAGTGGAAATCACGGCGGTCAATATGCTCGCGCGGGGTCTCGGATTATGCAAGATTATACATAATAATTTTAAGAATATATTTTATAAGAATGTCGAGGCTGAAATCTGAGAAATTCTAAGAATAAGTGCAGGTGACAAGAGGAGCCCTCAATCCTAATCTCTAGGTTGTTCTTGGGTATGCGTCGCATGTATGTAGCCAGCATTTGTTCGGACTTCCACTAAGAATGAACACCGATGCACAGAACGCGATTTGACCACGCGCGTTTGGACCTTCGACACTCGTAATCTGAGCACGTGTGTTTAGACGATCTGTCACATGAAACTTACACAAAGAACAGCGTGGGACCCAAAGCGTTTTGACCTTCGATCATTGTAGCCAGCACTCCGTAACCTTTGGTTATTACTAGTTTAAGAATAAACCCAAGGCTGAGAATTTGATAAATACAGCAGAATTTATGTTTTTCACTTAACAAAACGGCAAGCGCACTGGCAATTAAAACCCCCTGATACATCCTTAAGCGGATTTATCGCCATTTATAATTAAGAATAATTCCAGAATATTTTTAGCCTAGAATTGACAGAAAAATTAGAATATTAATTTAGCCCGGGGCCGGAAAAACAACATTCTCGCTAAAAAAAAGAGTGTACATAAACAAGGCTTTTGTCCACACGTATCCGGTGAATCGGGCATACGAATCCGTAACTTTTTGAATCCGCTCTCCAGAGTGGAAATTTTTGCATATTCCATGAATTCGGAATCGTGTAGACACTAAGTCCGGATTTAATATTGTTTTATCCGGTGACGTAACAAGATCAAGCCCAGTTCTTTACCGTGAATACTGTATTCAAGATAGCAACCTCGTTGCCAGGTTCTCTCTCTTACCCGTCGAGGAAGGAACCTTAGCTCGCTCTTTGCAAAGCTCTTCTGGGGTGATTCTGCCATAATTCTACACGCAGATTTCACGCGCTTTACGACGCATGCTTAGCTTTGTTGCCAATTTTCCCAGAGCATTCCTGGGTACTAGAGTGAATCCGGAACGGCAAATTCGATTTGAATACGGATACGTGTGGAAATGGAAATTTTTTCTTGGCGGATTTCAAAAATATTTGGATTCAAAAATATTATGTGCTATTTATTCCCTTCAAGTGTTGTCCGAGACAACGTCAAGGACACAAGATCAAGAGTTTTTGCTATCATTTTTTCAATTGTCGAGTGATGAAAAGTTATTAGAAGAATGATGTAAATCTTCTTCGTTTGGTCATTCATAGGTTTTTCTGACACATTACAGTGGAACCTCATGATATAACGAACCTCTATGTAACGAAGTCCTCGATATAACGAAAGATTTTCTTTATCCTAGTGATAGTAAAATATATGAAAATCAACCTCGATATAACGAAACCTTGTTATAGCGAACAAATTTTGCCCGTCCCTTGGCCCTCGATTATATCGCGGTTCCACTGTAATTGCGGGAAGTAATCAAGTTAATTAGAATCCGGGACTATATTATTTATATTGACATCTGTCATTACCCGTTGGTTGAGGCGTAGAAACAACAGATGTGGATGGCATCATCATGGTAGTGGTGGTAGGTGTCATTGCTGCAGCCATGGCCTCAGCGATCAGGTTTCGCGCATTTCCTGATTTTCCCCTGATAGTGTGCCTTGGGCTCAAATTTGCCGACGTTGAATTGGCATCCGTAGTTGAGTGCATAGCCCAGACAATATAGACTTCAGTATTGTTCTGAAATCCAAAGGTAGACAAAGAAAGTAACTATGTAAAAAGCCGGCAGTAACTTATAACTGAAAATTATCAATTGACAAGTTTGCGAAGTTTTTTATAAAATTAAAGGCGTGGAAATGATGAATAGCCTACGGTACACAGAAAGTGCACTGTTGCGGTTTTATAGCCGAATTTTGAACGTGTTTTATAAACTTTTTATGTACTGAAGGGAAATTTTAAGTTGTTTTCTCAATTACTGTACGCGTTATCTACATTCCCATTGTTTATTAACGAAAACAGTAACGGTACCCCCAACCCAAAAATGCCGCAAACAGATGAATTTTATGGCTTTATGACTGAAGTTGAGAAAACATTCTATTTTTGTGATTGATTCCTAGGATGAAAGTTCTAAACAAGGTATGTTAAAGGGGTACCATTCGTCAATAGAAGTTATACGAAAGGGGTACCTTTTTCGTGAAAAATATAGTATCATATAAAATAAAGCTTCAGACACAAATGATTCTTTTTTTAATTCAGGTTAACTTAAGTCTTTTTTCAAACGCAATATAATTAAGATTGATTGACATATTTTGCTTTGCCCCAAACAAAGCTCAAGAAAGCGCAAGTTCGCAAAGTCGGTTTCAAGGATGGTTTTTAGGTCACTTGAAGCTTTTTTTCTTGAATCGTTTCAACTTTCCGACTTCAATGAGATGCAAAGTAAAAGAACTTGAAATTTTTCTTAGGCCTTCACACATGTATCTTTGGTTAAGTAAAAATTTAGCAGCTCATAAGTTTTACTTAACGGTCTAGTGTAAAGACTAGCCACAGAGTTCACTCACATGCACATGTTACTGGAATATTTGTTGTACAACCTTACCGTAAACTGAACATCTATGTTTGATTCTCCTGTCGTCAAATTTCTTTCAAATTTAACGCTGGTATATCCACCCATCTCCATGGCTTCAACTAGCTCAAAGTTTTTAAGAGCATCTTTTGGTGGTGCTGACGTGTTGGTGCTCCAGTAATCCTGTAGGGTCACATATACAGTCAGTTTGGGTTCTTTTGGTGTAAGTTGTAATTGGAAGCAAAGTTTAGCCGTGTCTATGTCAGATATAAAGACACTAATTAAACATATAATTGCTTTTTTGTTTTTTCCATTACGAATTATTTTAAATGACACTACCCTCTAGTGTTTCACTTGTTGCAGTCGCCTACGAGGGGTCATTCTCGTAATCAGCACTAGTAACGACCACTTTTTCGAATTTAAAAAACCAGTGTTTGCTTACACGAGCTTCAGCTGTAACTTAAACAAGCGTTGACATAGTGAGTTTATGATGCCTGTAGAGGAAGTTTCCATTTTCACAAGTAATTACTTAGCTTGTCTGTTTTTCCTTTATTTTACCAACTTTTTTTAAATTTCATAAGCGTTCATTCTAAAATTGTGCTTGGTTCTATTAGTTATTGCATAGTTTCAAGAGATTTTCTGCGTTTTCTAATTTACAGAAAACATTCTATGTGTTTCCTAAAAGTTTGTTGCAACTCCTCTTTTAGGCTTGGCTAGGAGCCCATAACCAGAAGCGAGCAACTACCATACTAGGACCAATTTAGTTTTAGCCGGAATATGTAAGATTGCTCTTTCCTTAAAGAGAATACGTTTTAACTTTTAAAGTTTATGGACATGAACCACTATCCCTGCGAGTTTGAAAAAGTCTGGTAGAAACGCAGCGTACCTAAGGTCAGCGAGCTTTTGTTTTACGCACAGGTATGAATAACAATGGCTGTCAAATATAACAATACTCCATTGAAAACCACTCACTTGTGAAGTATGCTATTAGCTGGTGCCGCGAACTTTGAAATATATTTAAGAATCACTAGACTTTATTAACACAATCTGCTATACGCTTGATCAATACAATTAGCAATAGTTGACACTACAGCTGCCTCCGCTCTGTATATTGTCGGTCAATAGTATTCTTGCTGGTTGTGTAGCTCTTTGAAATATACCGATTCATAATGAAGATTTTCACACATAGTCCATACAATGGGTGAGATAAATACAGGAGACGCAAGATTCCATGCACAATTTCAGTTCGATTTACACAGCTTTGATCAAAACATCCTCAGTTTCGAGAATAGTTTATTCTAAACCATAAGAAAAGATTTAATCAGAAGTTGAATTTCTCGCTATTTCTCTTTCACTTTTACATTCACTTCCTTTTATTTGCCGCAAAGTAAGCCTTAGAAATTAAAAGGACGTTTGATCAATTCACGCTCGCGCATTCTAGTCTTATTTTAAACTTTATAGTGGAAGGACATCTGTGAGTAGGGAATAAGTCAGCACAGAATTTGATTGTAGGCGAATCTCTGTTATCGTCCATCGAGTGATAAGCTAGCCGTTGTTTCACTCGTCTTGCTTGTTTGGGGTGGAGTCTTACTGATTCCGGTCAAAAAGAAAAGGGTGTCTGGCAAGGTTTCCAATCAAGGATTTGTGAACTGGTGTCTGGCAAACTCTCCAAGTGTTTATATATACACAGTTTTACGCACATTATAACTTCATCTGCGCATAACGAGTGTCTTTTGGTCCATAACTTTCGTAACAACTGCTCCACAGAATGTCACTGATAACACGTAACTCAAAGGAGTATCGTAGTACGACTGCACAATAAATGTCACAAAATCTACCTAAGCGATCCCTTCGGAATTTTCTGTTTTTACGTTATCCTAACCATTTCGCACTTGCGGGCGCAAACAATAGAAACGTCATCATTACCTACCGATTCCTCGCGGCCCCTGTTCAAGTAAATCGAAAGACGTAATGCTTCTTCTTTTTATTGCCTGCGTGCAGACGTCTCCTATTTCCTTTATTGCACGCGGAAAAGGGACGTCTGCGTAACGCCGTCGCTAATTGTGTTCCAGCGTCCCGCTGGCAGGGAATTCTATTTCGCATAAATTGTGAAATAATATCCGGTTAGTAATAAGAGTTGACAGGCCAAACACAACATCATAAGCTCGTGATAATGCGAAACGTGACCTTGAGAGTCTGCTTGAACTGAGGTTTTTCTTCTTTTCTCTCTCGCACTACACAGTGCATGTAGCAGTCTAAATTTTGACTGAGTAAATCTCGTTTTTGCCCCACTAAGTCTTACATTTAGAGGTCATGAAGCAGGCTTGTTACATGGACAGTGAGTAATCATTTCCTGTGGTTTATGCTTCTGTGGGTGTTCCTGATAGGATTTGATTTCAGATGCAGTTCTAAAGTGTTTAAATTTTTTTTGACCTCTGTTTGTTACGGCTAAATAAAGATTTTAGTTTTTCTGGCTGGCTTTCTCCGAAATGCCTGCCTGGTGCAAAGTCCACGCCGCTTTTGTACGGTCTGCACAGAATGGCATATGTTTTGATTTGTTTTGACAGGAAAACCCCGATTACATAAATCGCTGCATACATTATCAGACCAGATTCAATAACAACCAATCAGCGTTAAGTCGAACAATGCACACTGTGTGTCAGCCTATCACGGCATGTTCCCAAGATCTTGGGAACCCAGCGGGACGCTGGAACACGATTAGCGACGGCGTTACGCAGACGTCCCTTTTCCGCGTGCAACAAAGGAAATAGGAGACGTCTGCACGCAGGCAACTCCTTTTATAAAACTCCGTTTTTGCAGTTTGAAGTGTGGCAAGATGAGAAGTGAGTATATTGAAAAGTTTTCGGTAGGCTTGAAATGTGTTTGCAAGTCATAGATCTTATGAGTTGAAAGGCGAGGTCCTTTGAAAACCTCATAAAAATCAGTCCCAATTTATTGTGCCAAGGCCGCCTAACAAATTAACATACCTGTGTCTTTTGCGTTTCATCTATGGAAAAATGGCTCAGTCAAAAATAATTACCTTTAGACTGCCTTGGGCTTAAAGCGTATTAGTGACGACACAAGCGCGCTCTAACTGTTCGCGCGCGACAATTTTTTTTGACAATACTCAATTGCAACCAGTTTTCAAAGGACTGTAACTTTATTCGACCTCAGCTGTAAAAGCATCGTAAAATTGATTCAGTTTAAGCGCATTGAAATATTAACTGTCCTTTAAGACTTCTGTGTTTCTGTTGTCATCCTTGTAAGCACGCGTTGCACAAGCGATTTAAGGTGAGATATCAAGAAACAAAAGGATGAACAACAGCTCGCATGGCCGTTGTTTTTTTGCTCTGCCCTGACAAGTTGATGAACAAGGCGGTAATCACTATAAAGGAAAGACCGCGCAGACTTCCACCAGTGAGAGTGATTTAGTTCACGCTTCACCTGTAATATTACAGACCTATGCTTCTAGCTTGACTGTAAGTAAATGTCCCGAGAACAATAGCCATTCTGCGCGATGACACATTTTAGGGCGCTTTTCCCACGAAAATAGAATCTCCACCATGTCTTTGAGCGCATTCCAAGTATAAGATATCAAAAAGGGAGACTAAACGTTATTAAAAGGCAAAAAATATCATTTTTAGGTCTGTAGGTTTAGCTGACTGGTTTGTGGAATTTAAAAGATATTCAAAATTTTCGCCAAAACCGTTCTAAAAATAAACTGGTCCTTGAAAACGCCGTGACACGCGGAGCTCATGGAAGTTGCTCGCTCAGGGTTATGGGCTCCTGGCTTGGCTAACTTTGGTTAATTGAAATTGAAACGTATGCGTTGACGCGTGCTTGCCTTAGAAGATTTCAAGCGATCTTGCTAAGGGCTCAAGGATTTTTAAATTCGTAAACGGTCTCCAGAGTATATAAACTCCTGACCGGTAAACGTTGTAAACGGATAAATGACGTTATTATACATTGTACTTACTATCTGTCCTTTCATTGGCTAAGAGCCTACAGCTAATTTTAGAATTCAGCGCAACCTACATATTAGCTAGTTATCTGCTATAGCAGATAACTGTCTAATCTGTAGGTTGCGCGCGCAATATATGATTTCCTGTAACAATATCAAGTCAAGTTCCCTGAGACGGTGTGTTTGTCGTTATTTTTTTCAAAACAATGTGTTATAAAACAATTATTAGATTCGGTTTTTGTGACATCCTATATAATCAAGGTCTCGGTAAGTGTCATCAGCCTCGGCCTTCGGCTCGGCTTGTAACACTTACCTCGAACTTCACTATTCCGGATTTCACAAAACCTCATCCAATAATTGTTTATCATCATATGGAAAGACATAAACAAGGAAACTTCTGATGCAGTAACAAGTTCAGTAAACAGACTAGTGTGGGAAGTGTTGCCTCTCCTCCTTCGTTTCAGTACAAAAGTTAAATAGTTTTTAAACTATCATCATGACCTTGAATTGTTTGGTAAATAATTGTTGGTACCACACATGTAGACCGCTTATTGCCAACCGTTACAGTCCTCCCTATCTTATCCTATATCTTCAACTAGGGTACAAAAGAATTCATGTTATGCTGACTTGTGTATCTAAAAGATAGCAATGCGGCAGTGCTTTCTGTTGATGCTGACATTAGTTAGGCAGTGATCCTTCTCGGCTTGCGTGAGACGATTATACCTTAGTTTTATCATAGTTAATTGAGTGGAATGGTTATGAAACCCGTCAGACTCCTTTGTTGTATGTTTCTGTGGACCTGAAAGTGCACAACGTTCAAAAGAATTCCTATCATTTTGATTGTATTGACCAATAAAAACGTTGCATTAATTTATTCCGTAACAATTTGCCAACAGAAAACAAAGGATTGTGCACTTTCACGGTGCTTTGAACATGAACTGCAGCACTGTTGTTTTTATCATTGATGTTTGCCGCTTTTCATAACCAGTCTCCTCTAATAACTATGGTTTTATTTAACAATTATTCCACGAGGGCGCGTTGGATATGAGATGATAGGTAGCCAACAAGGCGTGTAACGCCGAGTTGGCTATAATCATCTCATATCCAACCAGCGCGAATGGAATAATTGTTTTATTAGAAACGCCCTCAAAGTCTCGATGAATTTTCCCCACTTATCTTTGTTAGAACAAACCGAAAAAGACAAGGGACTTCCGCTATTCACATGTCACACGTCTATCAAAACAGTCAACGCGTGAACGGACTGGATGAATGAAAAATAAAAACATATAGCGTTGAACACTTTTAAAAACGCATCAGAATTCTAGGATTTTACACAGCAGGACGGCTACAAAAACCTAGCAGATAATGTGAAGAAAAAGAATTTTTAAGTGCAGCCGTCGAAATTACTGTGAATTTGGATTTTTGGTGCAGTTACAAAAGTAAGAACAATGGAGAAAAACTACCTCGGTCGCTTGTTATGAGAGGGTCCTGAAGGGGTAAAATGGGAACTGGGATTGGCCAGTTTTTGCCCTGGGAAAATGGAATTTAAGCCACTGGGACTGGGATTTGGTCACCGGGAATGGGAATAAAATGTCAAAAATGGGAATGGGATAAATAGTTTGGAACCATGACCAGTCGAGGCATCACTTATTTCCTGGGGTTAAGAAAGGTCAGAAAATTGCCAATGCACCTTGTTCTAGTCAATTTTTAGCATTTTTATCTAGGTCTCCCCCGAATGGCCCCGATTGGCGGTCAACGATATTTGTGTACAGCGGTGTGTGTAAAACCAAAAGTCTACATGGCATGTGTATATGTATGATACAAACAACATGGCGGGAGCACATTTTAAGAGAGACACTCTTACACTGTACAAATATGCAACGATGTTTTATTTGTACATCAGTTGAAGAAGCAGTGAAAAGGGTTTCAAAGTGAGCAGCAACACACATCCAAATTCCTATTATAAACTGCCAACATCACATGTAGTTTCCTTACCTCACATCAAAATTCCAAAGCCAACCTCACAGAAGATAACCAGAAACGAGGAAGCTGAAATGAGGGCATGGGAGAAAATGCACGGTAAGTCCGTCAGACAACGAAATGCAAGACAAGATAACACAATGGACAGGGCAGGCACTTTGCCTCTGAACTTATATGAAACTGAAACGGTCTTAAAACCAGTCAATTCACTGATAGGCTTAGAAAGAGTTCCAAGCGAAAGTGATGATCCACCTAATTCAAATGAGGATGCCAGTTTATCACCAGAGTCTCCCAACAACGAATGGGTAGACAGCTTTAGTGCGAGTGACAGTGACAGTGACTCTGAAGAAGAGGTAGACAGTGCTCTTGAAACAATGAACATGATCCGTCCAACCAGACTGGCAAGAGTAAGAACACTTACAAGTCGGATGGCAGATTTCCTGCAGGCAGGAACGGCAGGAATGTGAAGTGGGAGAGACTAATCGCTATAAACTCGCTACTTGAAAGTTTTATTGCTTTCTGAAATGATCCTGTTACTTTGTAAATCCTTGTGAACTTTGGGTCTTTGTCGGGTCGTATTTAGAAGCCGTAATTTTGCGGATGCGAAGAGAAAAGAGGTGGTATGTATAACACTGGGATTTTTTCCAAATTCTGCTAGTGGGAATGGGATTTGAGCACTGGGAAGTGAGATTTCGAAAAAAAATGGGCTGGGAAATGGGACTGGTACCCCCCCCCCCCTTTCAGGACCCTCTTATGAAGTTGTTTGATACCACCGGCTGGTTTTGCTGAACGAGAGAAAAAGCTATACTGACGCATCGATTGCTGTAGGGAATGGCTGCATAGCCTGTATTTGTAGCTGGTTGCTTGTGATTTAGTGATTCTTAACGTCGGATAAACAGGCTGCAGTTTTCTATCGGCCAGTGACTCGGCGAGTGGCTTCGCGAACATGAAGAAACCACAATTGTCTTCTTTCGTAGCTGATCAAGGTATTTTAGCTTCATGTATTTTCATGTGTTTTTCGATGAACTTTCAAACAAACTCTTGTGCCTTTTTGTTTCTTTGTTTGTTGTTCCCTGATGAAATTGCATTTTCTAGTATTCTAAGAAATGAAAACGATTTTCTTCGGCTCCCATTCTATCCTTCGCGAAAAAAATCTCAGCTAGTTCCAATTTTAAACTGACGCGTACACCGACCATATATGGAGAACATGGTATAATTAACACTGAATTATTCTTTGAAATCGAGGTGAATAGTGGCTAAATATTTACCGAGCCGCAAAAGCGGCGAGGTAAAAATTTCCAAAGCCACTGTTCACCGAGATTGAAAAGAATAATTGTTTTAGTATATACACACGAAGTGATCTCAACAAAATCAGAGAGGAAACCATTAAAGAGTACGATTTGATTGACAGATCAAATCACGCGTAAGTTTAAAAATAGATCTTCGCAGAACTTTCAAACATGGCAATTCACAAGTTTGTCATTTCGCAAACAACAGCGTAATGGCTTAAATGGAACCGCTAAAAGTTTTGACTGTTTCCTTACCTGAGAAGAAAAGTAGAGCTGTGTTGTTTTCTGTTGACTCGCCAAGTTTATAGCCAAAAGGGTTTTTTGTCGTTCTTCGCATGAAGGATCATGAAGTGCTGACAAAAATGGCGGCTCGGTTGCTCGAGGTAAGACGTCGTCTTCCTGTATCATTCTTTTTCCTGTTTACTTGAAACGTAGAATTTCTGCAAACATTTCCTTTTTAATTTGTTTGTCATAAATAAACTTTGATTTTTGAGCCAAAATTTCCTTGTTAGATCGCGCTGAGTTCACGAAACGGCTTCTTCTACTCGAATACACGGGAGTTGTAAACAATCCATCGAGTACAACACTCAGCTACAGTAAATTGAAAAACGCCGTATTGAATCCTTCCAAGTCTTTTCTTCTTGCCTTAAAAAAAGTCAGCCGTAGGATTTTGTCGACTTATAAAAGATCGTTCTCGAAAAAAATAGGAAAAACACCGAGCTCACACATTATCCACTTGCTAGGAAGTGAATCCGAGATAGCGAACCGATCAGATTGCTTAAATCACCAAGATCACTGAGTGTGTATATACTAATGGCTCATATATCATAACGGCTAAGCCAATCAAAACGCTAGAGTTGCATTATCAAATGATTCAGTTTTTAATAATTTTAAAAATTTAAAATAATTTTAAAACTTTGAATTTGAAAGTATTAAACTGATTCATGCTCACCTATTTTTGGTTAAGGTACGGTAAAACGGGCACAAGAAAGGTGCAACTTGTATTTCAACGTTGCAGCAAAAAGAGTTGAAAAGCAATGTTGCTCTTTTTACCGCGCACGTTCAAACCTCACAGTCTTGCAACAAATCAGATTGTTGCAGGTTGCGAAAAGTTGTTGCAGAAAGTATAGAGTAGTTCTACCTTTTGCATCTCTCTACGTTGCGCGTTTTACCGGCCCAAGGCAAACTTGTTTTGCAGCAAGTAACGTAATGCCTTTGTATGGCGTGACTCCCGCATAATCTTATCCAATCAGAAGTCAGTATTTACTCAACTTGCAGCAACCTTTATTTGTTTTAATACAGGTTTGAACGTGGATGGTAAAACGGGCAACATGCTTGTCAACATGTTCTGCAGCAATGTTGCGAAACAAGTTGCACGTGTTTGTTGCCAGTTTTACCGTAGCTTTATCTATTACAATTTTTTCACACTTTTGTAACTTTTAAAAATTCTTCCCTGAGAACTCCAGTGAAATTCAATATTTTCTCCGTTTATACACAATAGCCCAGCCTAGTCCCTAGGCGTTCTCTCTTGCCCCGTTGTCCGCGCGAAGTCTGGGAAAGAGCGGGCGAGAGAACGCCTAGCCAATACTGGCAAAATACTCCTGATTTTAGAGCAATTTTACCCCTGGTCACATTTTACGAGTTTCTGCTGCTCCATTTTCGAAAAACTGCTCGCCGATAGTATGGATGTGTCGGTTGAAGTGTCTGCAAACAGCGGTAAGTTCTAACTTTGTAGCATATTATTTTTTCTGGTTAATAAATTTGTTCGTCGTGGTGGATTGTTTACAGTCAAAGATTCTCCTACCCAAAAGAACGATGCAAATTTTCACCAAAAACTTACATATACATTTTTTTCGACTCAGAGTGGGAGTACGACAGCGGGGAAAGCAATTTAGAGCTTGCAAGTCATCCATTCTGTGGCCACCCGAAACGAAAGGTATTCGATTTTTGTTTTTCTACAAGTGATTGTATTTTTAATTAATTTTATATCCACGAAAGTATATATCTCGGTGTTGTTTTATTGAGTAACATTTTATAATTTTCAGGAAGTTCCCCTTGTCGAAATCTTTTTTGTCCTGTCAGAACACCAAAGAAGCTGAAAAAGGCATCGATGAAGCTAGGTACTACTGTATGCCATATCAAATCTTCAAATTTATTTAAGCTTAACTATTTCTTTGTTTTTTTTTAAGAGGTGGATAAAGGAGTTGTAAGCAAAGGAAAGAATAAGACCTGTAGGGCAAACCTGTCCACTTTAATTTGACTGTTGTGTAAGGTGATAATAATAAGCTTATTTCTAGTGTGTTCATACTTAGTGTTTTGCTTAAAACAAATTTATTTTGCAGGATGTTCTCCTCGTTTGAAAATTATGTCCCATGGAAGCAGATGTTTCCATACGGTCCTTTAGCAAAGACGAACCGGCAAAAGAGGTTAAAGGAAATAGGTACATGTACAACTGTACAATGTATTTACCATTGTTACCAGTTTAATTTTAAGGTGGCTCGATACAGTTTTTCAGGGTCAATACCTCCCAAGTTTGAGCATAAACTACGTCGCAAAATACAAAGTTTTGGAAAAATTGCCACCACAGTTGTATTAGATAAAGATGAAAATTTGTTATGATCAGGGTTGCAACGGCATCGGAGTTGTCATAGCAACAAAATGACGCTATTACCTATTTTACTTGCAGCAGTATATCTCGGCACTGGGAACTGTTCTTCGAAAATCATTGACGGGAGCTTTTTCCTCCAATAACAGCCTCGATGTTCGTGAAGTTTTAAGCGAAATCTGTAAGAGCGTTATCGAGATATTTTGGGATAAAGTTTTTATTGTTAGAAACACATTAAAAAATGGACAATATTGTTGTTTGGCCGTTATCTGTAGAAAATGAAGCGCTTTCGACATGAAATTTCACCTCATAGTAGTTTCAATCTTTTAAAAAGCGTGTGTGAAAGATCATAGGAGATAGCTCCAGCCGATTGCTAGAAAGAAGGATTTGATTAGTATGTATCGAGGCGCTCTTGTTAGCGGTTTTGTAAACATTTTGGTCTACTTTAACAAATTAGCGAATAATTTTTAAACCGCTCGATAGATTTTTTTAAAAATTTAAGATTCTTGAGATTAACACCCCCCCGGGCGATTGTGATGCGTGATCGAGGCTTGAGTGAACATTTTAATAAGGGTTTTATACAAATCACTTCTTTTTGCCACTTTTGTTCACAAGAATAGGGGAAAGGTTTAATGTTCAGTTTTTATAATTTTGATAATTCAGAGCGCGTAAGTTAAAAGAATCCTTCTGTGGTGCTAAATCAACTTAAACAAATGTTTTAGAAGAAAAAAAGTAGACTAACGGGTCTGTATCATATACACCCTGAGGCAGATATATTGCTTTGTCCAAAGAATAGAAATGATAGGGTCTTCAATATTCCCTTAAAATTAGTAAAAAGCGCTTTGGTGTCCAGACTGATTTTTTTTCTGACATGAGTTATCTGACTGCAGCAATAGCTGAGAACTGGATTTAAGACGCGAATGTTCTGAAGTCTAAAAGTCCAAAATGTCTGCGGAAATATTTAGCGTAGTTGACACGCGGAATAAATATAAGGCTGACGTGCAGATGTTTCATGCTGCGCTAACCCCAATTCAGTCAATCCTAGATTTGATTTTGTTGAACACTATGCTTTTCCCACTAAGCACTTTTAATTTAAATTAAAATCATTCTACGCCGTCTTTCACTGTAAATAGACTGAAAAGATAGTGGGTATCTTGGCAATCACTGAACTGGAAATTTTTTAAAAAGTAAATTCTTTTTTTACCAAGAAAGCCAAGATGAAACACTGTCTTTCTGAGTATGTAAATTGTTGCTTTCAACTCCGTATTTCAGAAAAATAATTGTTCTAAAGACGAACTCAGACTTAGTCTAGATCCCCTCGGTGCACATCACTGTCAAACTGTTCATCCAAGCAATTTTTCTCTAGCGATCAAGTAACTTATAGTTTTCTTTACTGGCAAAAAGTACAGCCGGTCACGTTATAAAAACCTACCTCAAGATAAGATGTGTTAGCAGCGACCCCGCCGGCAGCGATATCGTAGTCTACCATACCTCCACCGCCAGGATTTTCTGTAAAACCCACTGCACACCAGCCGGTTGCTTTACAAGTCATGTTGAAGAGCAGCTTGTTGTTGCTATAGGTCCAGTACAACATGAAATTGCCGTCACCAGAACTAAACGTAGCGTAATTCAATGCATGAACTACATGGAGAAAACAAGGAAACAAGATAAGCATAAAAAATGCGTAGTTCTTAGCGAACGCCATCGAAACAACCCTCTCTTCGGAGAAATTCCCTGAACGACTATAGCAGATAAAGCTGCGTAATGGTAATGAAACCCAAACTGACTGAAAAACTGGGTTATATAAGTACCCTAAAAATAA